AAAAAATGTATAATTTTCCAAAGCCTATTTTCCTTACTGTTTTATCTAAATTTAAAGGATGGCCTGATTTATTAAAAAGGAACAAAATGTTATACTCAAAGTGCTAAATACGTTTTGTGGAAACTATTTCTTTTAATGTTTTAACTGAAATAAACGTATTTTATAAAAACAATTTACCGAAAAAATATGAATTTTCCAAAGCCTTAGCCCTTAGTTTTTTATCGAAAGAATTTAAGGGCCTGATTCATTAAAAAGAAAACAAAAATTTATCTCAAAAGCACAAATACTTGGTGGGAAACTATTTCTTTAATATTTACTCTTAAAATAGAATAGATTATTTTACAAAAAAAATTTGCCAGAAAAATTTGAAATTTTCAAACCTTTAGCCTTACTTTTTTTATCAAAAATTTTTAAGTTGCTGATTCATTAAAAAAGAACCAAATGTTATCTCAAAAGTGCTCAAAATACGTTTGTGGAAAACTATTTCTTTTATGTTTAAGCTGAACATAAACGATATTTTATAGAAAACAATTTACCAGAAAAATTGAACTTTTTCAAAAGCCTTTACATTACTTATTTTATCAAAAAATTTAGGATGTCTAATTCATTTAAAGGAGAACAAAATGTTTATCTCAAAAGTGCTAAATACGCTTCGTGGAAACTATTCTTTAAGTTTAAGCTGAAAGAAACGATATTTTATAAAAAACAATTTTACCAGAAAAATTGAATTTATTCAAGCCTTTAGCCTTCCTTTTTATCAAAATTTAAGGATGGACCTGATTCATTAAAAAGGAACAAATGTTGTATCTAAAAGTGCTAAATACGTTTGGAAACTATTATTCTTTAATGTTTAACTGAAATAAACGATCATTTATAAAAAAAATTACCAGAAAAATTGAAAATCTTTCCAAAGCCTATAGCCTTACTTTTTTATCAAAATATTAAGGATGCCTGAATTCATATAAAAGGAACAAAAATTATCCCAAAAGCCTAAAAGACGTTGGTTTGGAAACTATTTCATTAATTGTTTAAAGCTAAAATTAAACGATATTTTTTACAAAAAAAATTTCATCAGAAAATTTTGAAATTTCCAAAGCCTATAGCACTTATTATTTATCAAAAATTTTAAGTAATGAACTGATTCATTAAAAAGGAACAAAAAATTTATCTCAAAAGCACTAAAACGATTCGTTGAAACTATTCTTTAATATTTACGCTAAATGCAATGATATTTTCAAAAACAATTTACAGAAAATTGAAAGTTTCCAAAGCCTATAGCCTTACTTTTTTATAAAAAACAAAGATTCTGACTCTTTAAAAGAGAAGAAGCCTCAAGGCTTAGTTTTTACGAAATATAGGAGATTTGAAAAGCACTTAAAAACTTTGGTCGAAATAATTATTGTTTATTAATTAACAGTAACATAAGCACACCTTTCAGGAAAAAAATAATAACAGAAAATTGAACTTTGCCAAGCCTACAGAGTTACTGTTCTGATCAGAAATAACGCTATCTAATTCTTGTAAGCACAAACTAAGAAATGTGTAAAAAGCAAGCTCGATACTTCTGGTAGAAAATTTTCTTTACTTTTACGTGGCATGTAGGATGATGTGTTGCGAAAATAAAATTAGACAAAAATGATAACACTTTTTTCAAAGACATAGGCTTCACCTTACTTTCCGGAAAAGCATAGGCTGCTCAAACTCTTTAAACATAACTGACAAATATGTGAAGCACTAAAAACCTCAGCAAGTTCTTTACACTGTCCTGCTTCAAAAATAAAGACAGTCAGTTGTTTTCAACACAATATGGAAATGTTTGCTTAGAAATATAAATGATAAGTTTTGCTGAAAGGATAGGTTTTAGGACATTTTGTGGGTTGATTAAGTGTTTTTTACAAGATTGTATAAATTCTTGAAAGTCTTGGGCTCTCTCTTTCATTTGAAATGAATGTCACAATATCTATAACAATACTAGAAATGTTCAATAAAGACTAGATGCCGTTGTAGAACGAATAAAATATGATCAGACAAAGATATTTTTTGAAATCAAATTTCTTGACCAATTTCGTATGTCCAAACTGACAAACATGATTTTTTCAAAGCATGAGTTATATGTAAACAAAATTTGGCAAAACTAAAAAATGACTTTTTTTTGTACAATTCAACAAATGGTGTAAGACAAATTTATTTCATACAAAAATAATCTTGTCCTGAATCATATTATTTCTCAACGGCATCTAGTCTTTTATTGCATTTCAGTATTTTATAATATTTGACCAGTTTCATTTCAAATGAAAAAGAAGCCCAAGACTTTCAAGAATTTAAAATTTCTTGCTATTAAAAACTTAATCAACCCAAAATGTCTAAACCTCCTTTCAAAACTTGTATTTTAATTTCTAACAAACATTTCATTGATTGTGTTGAAAACAACCTTACTGTCTTTATTTTTGAAGATAGGACAGTTATGTAAAGACTTTGTGAGGTTTTTACGTGCTGTCACTTTTATCAGTTCATGTTTAAAGAGTTGACAGCCTATCTTTTTCGAACGTAAGGTTGAGCTATTATCTTTGAAAAAAATCACTTTTTGTCTTAATTTATTTATGCAACCACATCATCTTACATTCACCGTAAATTGTTTAAGGAAAAATTATCTACCAAAGTATCAGCTGCTTTTTACCACATTTCTTAGTTTGTTGCTTACAGAAATTTAGGATAGCGTTATATATATGATCAGAAAGTAACTCTGTAGGCTTTGCCAAAGTTTCAATTTTTCGTGTTATTTAATTTTTCCTGAAAGTTGCTCTATAGTTACTGTTAATCAATAAACAAATAATTTTCACCAAAGTTTTTAAGTGGCTTTACAATTTCCTATATTTCGTTAAAACACTAAGCCTTGAGCTTCTTCTCTTTCTAAAGAGTCAGAAAATATCTTTGATTTATTATAAAAATATATAAGGCTATAGGCTTTGAAAAATTTCACAATTTTTTTTAAGGTAAATTGTTTTTCTGTAAAATATTCATTCATTTTAGCGTAAATATTATAGAAATAGTTTCCACGACGTATTTAGTGCTTTTTGAGATAAATTTTTTTGGTCCTTTTTAATGAAACAAGATTCCTTAAATTTTTTTGATAAAAAAGTAAGGCTATAAGAGCTTTGGAAAATTTCAATTTTTCTGATGAATTTTTTTTTGTAAAATATCGTTATATTTTTAGCTATTAAACATTAGGAAATAGTTCCCCAACGTATTTTTGTGTCTTTTGAGATAAATTTTTTTCCTTTTAAATGAATCAGCATCCTTAAATTTTTGATAAAAAAGTAAGGCTGATAGGCTTGAGAAAATTCAATTTTTCTGTAAATTTTTTTATAAAAATCGTTATTTCTCAGCTTAAACATTTAAAGAAATTAGTTTCCATCAACGTATTTACACTTTTGAGATAACATTTTGTTCCTTTTAATTGAATCAGGCATCCTTAAATTTTGATAAAAAAGTAAGGCTAAAGGCTTTTGAAAATTTGCAATCTTTTTCTTGGTAATTTTTTTTTAAAATAATCGTTTTATTTCATCTTAACCATTAAAGAAATAGTTTTCCACAAAGCGTTATTTAGCACTTTGAGATAAACTATTTTTTGTTTCCTTTTTACATGATATCAGGCTATCCTTAAATTTTTGATTAAAAAAGTAAGCTAAAGGCTTTGAAAAAATTTTCAATTTTTTTTCTGGTAAATTGTTTTATAAAATACTCGTTTATTTCAGCTCAAACATTAGAATAGTTTCCACAAACTGTTATTTAGACTTTTGAAAGATAACATTTGTTCCTTTTTTAATAATCAGGCATCCCTTAATTTTTTGATAAAAAAGTTAAGGCTAAGGCTTTGAAAAATTTCAATTTTTCTGGTAAATTTTTTTGAAAAATCATATTTATATGGACATGCTATGTCTCTACGAGTAAATATTAAAAGAACAATAGTTTCCCACACGTTTTAGTTGTTTTGACATTTATTTTTGTTTCTTTATTAATGAATATCAGGCATGCCTTAAATTTTTGATAAAAAAGTAAGGCTATAGGCTTTGAAAATTTAATTTTCTGGTAAATTGTTTTTTATAAAATATCGTTTATTTCAAGCTTAAACATTAAAGAAATGTTTCCACAATAAACGTATTTTTGCACTTGAGATAACCATTTCGTTTCCTTTTTACTAAATTCAGGCATCCTTAAATTTTATTGCTAAAAAAGTAAGTGCTATAGGCTTTTTGAAATTTCATTTTTCTGGTCATATTTTTTTTGTAAAAGTTTATCATTTATTGAGGTACATATTAAAGAAATAGTTTCCACCAACGTATTTAGTGCTTTTGAGATAAATTTTTGTTCCTTTTTAATTAATCAGGCATCCTTAAATTATTGATAAGAAAGTAAGGCTATAGGCTTTGGAAAATTTCAATTTTTCTGATGAAATTTTTTTATAAAATATCGTATATTTTTGCTTAAACATTAAAGAAATAGTTTCCACAAACGTATTTAGCACTTTTGAGATAACATTTTGTTCCTTTTTAATAAATCAGGCATCCTTAAATTTTTGATAAGAAAGTAAGGCTATAGACTTTGGAAAATTTCAATTTTTCTGATGAAATTTTTTATATAAAGTATCGTTTATTTCAGCTTAAACATTAAAGAAATAGTTTCCAAAAACGAATTTAGCACTTTTGAGATAACATTTTGTTCCTTTTTAATAAATCAGGCATCCTTAAATTTTTGATAAGAAAGTAAGGCTATAGACTTTGGAAAATTTCAATTTTTCTGATGAAATTTTTTATATAAAGTATCGTTTATTTCAGCTTAAACATTAAAGAAATAGTTTCCAAAAACGAATTTAGCACTTTTGAGATAACATTTTGTTCCTTTTTAATAAATCAGGCATCCTTAAATTTTTGATAAGAAAGTAAGGCTATAGACTTTGGAAAATTTCAATTTTTCTGATGAAATTTTTTATATAAAGTATCGTTTATTTCAGCTTAAACATTAAAGAAATAGTTTCCAAAAACGAATTTAGCACTTTTGAGATAACATTTTGTTCCTTTTTAATAAATCAGGCATCCTTAAATTTTTGATAAGAAAGTAAGGCTATAGACTTTGGAAAATTTCAATTTTTCTGATGAAATTTTTTTGTAAAATATCGTTTATTTTAGCTTAAACATTAAAGAAATAGTTTCCACAAACGTATTTAGTGCTTTTGAGATAACATTTTGTTTCTTTTTAATGAATCAGGCATCCTTAAATTTTTGATAAAATAGTAAGGCTATAGGCTTTGGAAAATTTCAATTTTTCTGATGAAATTTTGTGTGTAAAATATCGTTTATTTTAGCTTAAACATTAAAGAAATAGTTTCTACAAACGTATTTAGCACTTTTGAGATAACATTTTGTTCCTTTTTAATAAATCAGGCATCCTTAAATTTTTGATAAAAAAGTAAGGCTATAGGCTTTGGAAAATTTCAATTTTTCTGATGAAATTTTGTGTGTAAAATATCGTTTATTTTAGCTTAAACATTAAAGAAATAGTTTCCACCAACGTATTTAGTGCTTTTGAGATAAATTTTTTTTCCTTTTCAATTAATCAGGCATCCTTAAATTATTGATAAAAAAGGAAGCCTAACGACTTTGCAAAATTTCATTATTTGGTTAAATTTATTTCGTAAATCGATTTTTATTCTAACGTAACTTTCAAGGAAAGAATATCCACAAATTGAATTAGTACTTTATGTACATATCTCTATTTAAGCATCAGACATCCTGAATTATTGATAAAAAAGTAAGCCATAAGGTTGGCATAAATTCAGTATTTCTAGTATAATTTATTTTCTCAAAAAGGCGTTTATTATAACGTAAATATTAAACAAACAATTTTCACCATCGTATTTAGTGCTTCTCATAGATTTCCTTGTTCTTTTTTAAAGAATCAGACACCCTTTATTTTTGACAATAAAGTAAGCCTATAGGCTTTGCTAAATTTTAATTTTTCTAGTAAAAATTTGTCTAGAACTGCAGCTTTTGACATCAGTTTTATCTTAGCATTTAAATTCTAACTTTCAGCCAGATTCTCTACTTCAAATTGTTGATGTGCTCAATTTTATTGGAGTATGACATGTTACATAATTATTTACATAGATAGAATACATTTAAATTTTATTTAAATGCATGGTCTCCTGTAAATCAGTTTTTCTCTAACTGAGGGGTTACCATGCCTAAAAAATTGAAAATGAAATGAAATGAAATACGTCATACTCTAATATACTCGTACATAAAATGTGGTATACTAAATAGGAAGAATACGTATAAAAAATTTTCAACCAATTGAGCATGTGAATCTGTACAAGCACCCACCATGTAATTGAAATACCAGCCACATGAATGTGCTGAAATTTTTATTTGAAAATGTTCAATATATTTACAGCTAAAATCAAAATCCCACCCTATTTGTACATACAAATTTGAAACTATATATGATTCCATTGAAGAGAAATATTAGATATACTTTTGGATAATGTCATAGCTGCTCCAGCCAGTACGATCATTTAACTTTTGTTCAATTGCTGTAGAATATACTTTGTTCGTTTGGTATCTTAACTGTTGACATGAACCAGTTACTGCTCGAAAAACATATTCTGCAATGTCCTCTGGTGTCTGTCCCATTGTGATGATTCTTGCATTGCTTTTATCGATAAACAGGTTCATTGTCTCCTTGGTTTGCTGGTCAATATTTGTAAGTTGACACAATTGTGATGAATTTTCAGTAACACTTTCAATGAAATTCGTTTTCACTGGGCCAGGCTCTATAATGCTTACCCTGAAAAAGAATTGATTTGCCTTAGCTCTCAAATTAAGGCCTACATGCACCTGCATTGGCAGATCAAGTTGCGCAACAAAGGAGCAACTGAAATAGCAGCATTAAAGGCAATCAACTGATACAAAAGTGTCTGTCAATCAACATTGATCAATCAATAAGCATGTGTGTGGAATCACACTCAGCAATTGGTAAATTCTTGCTTGACAGTTTCTGTCAGTATCTGTTGATTGCCTTTAATTAAAACATAAGATAAATCAACATAAGTCTTTTTCAACACTCACTCTGAAACAAACGACAGGTGTAGGGATGGCCCAGTGGCTATGATCTGTGGTTTCACTTAATTGACATGAAAAAACAAAACATTCACTAAGAGTGTAAAGAGGTATCAGCTCTTTAAAATCCAAAGCAAAGGAATCATGAATTCTTGTCACAAGGAGAGGAAGGACCAGGACACTGCTCGATAAACACAGCTTCTCCATATCCTAAAAACTACCTTTTGAAGTAGCGTATACAGAAATCTTGCCTGGTCATTTCCCACTAGCTAATACCCTACTGTTAGAAAAACTAGGGATTTCAATGGGCTTTTATTGGAAAAAGTGTGCTTTACTACTTTATGGGATAGTACAAACTACGGTCAAGGTAAGTCAAAACTTTTCACTTATTTCCTTTCATTTCCAAGAAACACAGACAATTTCTATACTGTCTTTCTATAATGCATAGCAAAAGCAACAATATGTGGCTGTACACCCTAATGAGCAAATGGGGGTAGCAAAAAGAGGGTTTGGGGGTAAAGCCTCTAGGAAGTTATTTTGGGGCCTTGCCCTTTACTTTGTCTACAAATGTGACCAAACTCATAAAGTTGCATTTATGTTAGCATATCATTGATGGCTAAAATAACCATGGGCAGAAAGGCTACTGGCCAGACATGTGCAAAAACTAGTCAAAATTTACTTGTCAACTTTATAAAGTTTGACTGACACCAGTCGGCTGCTAGAGACATTGCTCTTCCAGATAAAAAATTATAATCACAGTTCAATTTATAAGAAATTACCATGTTACACTCATCACTTTCAGTTGAACTAAACTAAACACTTTGGTGATTCAAAAAAATATATATCTGGTGTGCACTTGAACAATAAATCAGAGGTTTTGCACCAACTTGTGCACCTAAATAAGCTTTTGTTCACGTTGTCAAGCTAGCATCTGGGGTCTTGACAAAATATTTTATGGCATAATAAACTTTGTATCTTGATCAAAATTCAGATAGTATGAATGTAAAAGACTGCATGGCTATTACAAGCACAATTATAATGATGCCTGTTAGGAACTGGGCTCCCGAACCCCTAATCTAGAATAAGCATTAAGAGATAGATTAGGGTGGATGTCTGGTTCTAATGTTTTCAGTGTATCTGACTTGGTAGGTATACAAAGTTTTATGCATGTAGACCGTAGAATGTCTACTATTGGCCACAAAACAAAAGTAGCAACTAACACTTTGCCCATAACCCACAAAGCTACAAATCTTGAATGTTTACAGATAAAGATAACAAGAAATTTCTGGAGGAAATGCATGTTGCATGAAATTTATTCATGTCAATGGCAACTGCCAATACATCTGATTTAACATTTCAGTTGGTCTCAAACAACTTAATAAATAATAAACTTAACTTGTAAAGCAGCAACATATTACATTTTCCCAGCAACTGGTACTTTGAACAATGATATGCTTTCTTTGTAACCATCTTCAAACAGTTAAAAAACATGATATTTTGATCCTGTCTTAAGGCTATATTGTGTAACTCAAATTTTCATGATTCTCTTGCTAATATACTATTTCATTTTTACAACTGCATAAATCCCTAAATAATCACATTGTAGATATTCTACTTACCTCAAGTTTTTATCTTTGTATTCTGAAACAAGTGCCTCTGTAAATCCTTCAAGCGCAAACTTAGAGGCAGAATATACACTGTTAAATGGTATACCAATCAACCCAGCAACACAAGATATCATCACTATATGACCAAAAGTGTCTTTTTTCCAAGTTTCAATAACTTTCTTTGTAAGGTTTATTGGACCATAAACATTAGTGGCAAGAACAGCTTTGATTTTCTCAACTGGTATGGTTTCTATTGCACCAAACAGGCCAATTCCTGCATTGTTTACTAGAAAAATAAATGTTCAATATTCTAATTAACATGGAGACAAAATTTTATATAAATTTCTACAAGGTAATGAATTGCATTTTGCCAAGTCTAGATTATTTTAATGTCTGCTGATTCAAGTAGGCTTTGGGTGTGGAATACAGAAAAAGATTCTGATTTAATAGATACCAACAATGGTCACAAAAAAGGCACCATTTACTAAATAAAGATATATTGGCAGAACATCTTTGCTTTGATTATAATTTTGAGCCTATTCCTGTTAAATATTGCCTTTTTTACACAGAAGATAACCATTAAAGAATTTCTATTAAGAGTTGTAAAACCAAAAAAGGAAATACAAAAAGTAAACTGTAAACATATTTACACAAAGGTGCAAACGCATTGCATATTTCTACAAAAATAAACACTAAATTCATTGCTTTGACTGAAATAAATTTTAAGGTTTCTTCAATCAAAAATTTGGCAAAATAATGTTTTGCATATCAAAGTTATTTTGCATATCATGTCATGGTAAAATCATGGCATGGCTTAGTTAAAAGCGTGGCCCTTCCGCCAATTCATAAAGTTATTTTCGATCTTACACACAAAATGAGACCAAATTATTTGGTAATTCACCTAGTACGTCGATTCTTCCTCTTGCGCCAATTATCTCATCTACAACTTCGTTGATTAGCGCAACTGAAGTTACATCCAACTCCTTTATAAACAGTGTTTTCCCTAACAAGTCCTTGGCCTCAGTTTCCAGCTCTTCAGCATTTCTCTTATTCCTAACAGTTGCATAAACAGAGAATCGTTGATTTTCATCCTTAGCCAGCAAAATAGCTGTTGCTAAGCCGATGCCAGAGGAGCAGCCAGTGATCAAAACAACTTTCGCGCTGGTAGCCATTTTGTCCTAACCACAGGGAGCCAACAAGGCAAAGATATACGTTCACTTCACTTCACTGTTTCACTGCTCGCTAGCCTCACTGGCTGGCCTGGGCATTGTGTTGTGGGCATTAAATCCATCCCCATTTTGCCACCATTTCTAAGTTTGCCACCGTTATCTTTAATACCACAACCTTGATATCAAACTTCAACAAACAGTTGAACAGTTTTTAAACAAATACCTTTCAAAAAAGGTGGCGAGCTAGTGAGTAAAGTGGCGCGAATGACATGTTTTGTCACGAGTAAAGTATGTCATTCGTGCCACTTCACACTTTACTCGTGATAAAGCGACACGAATGACATATTGTTCTCAACATATTCTTAGCTTGTTCAAGCAGCAAAGTGGGAATCTAGAAAATGTGGGGGGGGAGGCTAAAACCGAATAAAAACAGGCTTGATTGATGGCTCATATCCTAATATTTCGCATTTTGGCAAAAAGTGCAAATGCCCCCTTCGCCTCGGTGCCTGGAAGGGGGCTTATTTGTAACTACTTGTCGAGTTTGCCACCCACTTTTGGATTCACGAAAAGTCATAGATCCTGTAAAATGAAACAAATTGAAACACAGCACAAACTTCACATTTGAGTCAGGAAAGAAGCTGGTAATGAACAAACCTATTAGTACCAACAGAGAAAATAATTGTCTCCTGAAAATATGGCAATGCAGCTTAAAAACAAAAAACCGGCTTAATATGACAATTTTTCATTCAATAATAATTTAAAGTAAATAATTTAAAGTAAATTAAGGTACCTGACAGGTTGAAGGTATCTACCTACACCACGAACTAAAAATTGTGTAGCCCTTAGATGAATGGAATTGATAATGATGTTGTGAATATGAAAGTTACATTAGAGATTTTTATGAAATGTTGGACAAAAGTAGGGCTGCAGCCATGTTAAAGTTTTCTTCTTGGAGAAATATCATGAATAACGGTCACTGATCAATTATAGTCAAACGTAACGTAGTTTATATGGATCTTTATAGCATAGCATTATCATAATCAAACAGAATTTTCTTAATCAATGCTTTGATGAAGATTGTATGAAAAAGTAGAAAATTTGATTTTGTGTCAAAGGGAAGTTTAAATTTCAAATTACTTCGTCACAATATTGTAGGTATAGGTAATTCATATATTGGATGACTAGCACAATCTCATGGCCACACAATTTGTGACTCACTATTAACTAATTTTTTATTATGAAGGTACTCAAAATGAATACATTGTACATTGGCGTCATAAGAAACTTGAATTGAATCTAGCAGCTCACAACAAAATCGTGAAATTTATATGAATGGATTAGCTGTTTAAGAAAAACTACTTTCATCAGAAACAACGAACAATGAATTCCGTGAGATGCCATTATTGCCAAAAATTTTTTTTGGAAAAATGAAGCGAGGGTTCATTGCAACTTTTTAACAACACTTTGTACTCTCATAATTCCATTTTGCTTTCGATGCAACAGGGTTGGCTGGTGCTCAATAATTCTGGAAAAATCAACTGAATTCAGATTGTCCATAGAGATAGGTATGTCAGTCTTCTAATTCTACGCCAAAATTGCTTTCGCTTTTTACGTATGCAGGATTATGAAACATGGTCGTACCTTCCCCAAACACGATTTGCTCGGTGCTGGCATTTGAATAAGAAACAGCTGAAAAGTAACAGAAATCCACTTGTCAGGTTCATGCATTTAAAGGTTTAGATACTCAAACCCATTCAAATGAGCGTATTAAATCATTTTGGAATTTCATTGCCATGAAACTTTACTAGAAAAGCTTCAATCTAAGATTTTCATAAAATCTTGGATAGAATATATCAAAGAAACGGCAGTAAGTAAAGTTTCTTTTATCATTATTCGCCCCAAACCAGAAGCAAATGCTAATCTCACTTGTTGATAACATTGACAGGATAATATTAACACTCCTTTCGTTGTTTTGAGCCTGTTTTGACCAATGAAATATGTTTTAAACCTTATATCCTTCAAATTTTTGTTGATTTGGCTCTCTTGGTCAAATGAAATGAACACTATTGACCGAGTAGTCTTTACTTTCATTCTGGCATTCTTTCAATATCAAAAGAACAAAAAACAATGAATTTGGAATTTCGACTAACCCTCAGAGGTTTTTTTAGACAGCTGATTTCTAATCGTCTTCTTTCGCCTTTTGACGCGCATCAAATGAACAGTTGCGATTATTGTAATGATGGTTAACAGTCCAAAAATAATTCCTAGAGAAAGAGCCAACTTCTTCTTTTCTAAAAAGAATAAAGATAAGCGTAAAATGCCAGTAAAAATAACTATTATTTGGAACATGATCATTCTCGTTAAAAATAAATGACCACAAAACTTGTTAAGTTGATATAATTTGTGCATGCCAGGGGCTAAACTTTATTGAGATCAGGCAAACAAGCAATAGGTAAGGACGATTGTCCATCTGGAATCATTAAAAAAGTGCATCCAAGATTTTCCCGAGACCGTGTAAACCATATGAGATGAAAAATGCTATGTCTTATAATAACAAGGCTTAACCTGTTCACCTTTTGACGAAAAGAAATTCAAGGATAACTGACAGAATCTTTGAGGGTGAAATGCTTCTAGTAGACACATCCATTGTTATTATCTTCGATTACTTTGATTTACGCACTGATTTTTCTTGCTCAAAATATTTTCCGAATTTTGTTCAAAAACATAAATCCTTAAGATGTACACTGTCATTTAATTTTTGCATAGACGTAAGCATCATAGGGAGCAGTTTGACACGATCTAGATATACTGGTTTTGGCTTCCCTTTATGGTATCAATATTGAAAGTGAAATATCTAATACGCTTTTTGATATCAAATTGCAGCACTTGAAACAACATAATAGCTATATAACGCGTTATAAAAGCACCCTTCCAATACGCACCACTGTCATTGTCTGTACTTTTCACGTCTGCAAAAGAATGAAACGAGGCGTTATGTAGGTTAAGAAGATTTTTTGGTGAGAAATTGCAGTGTAATGATGCAGCCTCAGCAGCCAATTCAGACGTTGATCTCGTTTATTTGATAACTTTTTCGAAAAAGAACTCAAAGTCAAAGAGTATGTAAAAAAAGAAGTCAAATAGTATGTAAAATTTTGAAGACAAGAAAGACAGATAGCTTAAGCATTTTTAAGCATTTTAAGCATTTTTTAATTTGATATTGTAATTTGACATCTTTTAATTTTCTTTTTAACTTTAATTTTAGCAGGACCTTGACTAATAGCAGCTTCTGAGCAAGATGACCAAGTTCATTATCCTGCATAAATGTAGATTATTATCATTAGTATTATTATTATTCTAATTATTGAATTTTATCAAGAATTCAAATTTGAATAAAGTGTTAGTTTTACTCACTTGACTTTTGCTTTTGCTTTTCAATGTCAACCGTGCATTTAGAACCTAAAAAGAAAAAATAACCAATAACGAATTAATGACATACTGCACTATAAAAGAAGCAGAGCAATTTATTACTAACAACAAGTCATTTAATGATAAAAATTCAACAAATCACATGAAAAAGAGATTAACAATGATTATCAAATGTTTGCTGAAAAAGTAACACAAATTGCATTTAAAATTATATACTAGATTTTAAGCATATTTCTTCGCCTTCCTTCTTTGGTGATTGATGACAAGTTGCTAGAGTTCATTTTGCCAAATAAACAAGAAAGTTTCTTTTTCGCAAAAATCTACTTGCAATGCCGAAATTATCTTTGAACGTGCAAAGCTCAGATTTCAGTTTTCATTTATCTACGTATTTACGTGAAACGTGCATTTGATTGGCAGATCTGATTTTGTTGATGACACATGCCTCTTAGAAAAAAATTCATTAGCAAGTTTCAAATGTGACTCCATTAAGATATTTGGGAACAAGAATCTTTAATAGGGAAAAATTCACAATCGGTAGTAAATGGTAGTAATTTCTTAGATAGCCATTTCATGTCTCGGAAATTTAATTTACTTAAACGTTAGGTAATATAGTGAAAAAGCATGTTGGTACAAAAATGAGAAAGTCGGGACAGAAAAGATCATTGATATATTTGTAAATAAGTCATAACCAAAGACCCTTCAAACAAGTTGCATAGTTTGTGCTTTTACCCTTCAGATATATTGCACAATTTAAGTGCATGCAACTATTTGAAAGTGGCTTGTCTATTCTAATTTTTAACCCAGTACAAAAAATTATTTTATATAGAAATTTTGCTTCAACATAGCTTAGCAAAGAAACACAAACTAAAGTAAGAAATTATTTTGATTGGAATAGAAATTCGAAGAAGAACAAACCTTCAAAGCCTGGATAGCACTGACAGGTTTCAAGACCATCTTTAAGCAAGCAGACACCATGCTCACAGCCACAAGGTCTGGAAACATTTACCTCTGGAGTAACATAATATTTTAACTGTCGTATAGGTATTCCAACTTCAAGTTATACCTCATTCAACTAATTCTTTTTATATCAAACATCATTATCCTATTAATTTAAGGGAAGTTTGTCTTATCCACCGACAAAGAAACCATGATTTCTAAAAAAACGTCCATTTATAACAGCCATAATGTAGGATGCATGACCCTCCGAAATGTTGAGTCATTTCTGGACCCACATCTTGTCTTAGCAACCCTCTAAAAACCAGGATTAAAGAACAGGCTGTTAGAGGGATGACTGAGCATAACGGAAGGCCTGACATAGACATAAACATCTTTTCAACAGAAACACTAAATTAATTATATGATACTGTGACAGATGCTATCAGCAATACCTGCAATGCAGGGATCACAAAAAAAGAATTATTTGGCTAGAATATGTTGACTGATTTTGATTGATTCTGCAAAGTACGAAAATCGTTACTCCGTTGTCGTAAATTGTTCTCTCTATCAGTGCCTAATCTTAGCCTGTTTTCCCAATAATAGTGGTCTTTGAATTTGAAACAGTGGTCTGGGAAAAGCAAAATTAGTGGGAAAATAAAAAATTTACAATGGCTCTTTCTAGACGTAAGAATCAAAGTTAATTAATTCACAGCTATGTGCCATTTTCCCATGGATTCTTCTTTCCCTTCTACTTCTACGCAATTAATACTTGAAGCTAGCCATGAAAAACTTGATTTATTGATAAGAGTTAGTTTTGGATTGTAATTTCCCAAAAAAAATCAGTTTTTAAACTTGATATTTGTTCAGCGTTTTGTTTCCTTGCAAATTTGGCACCTTTTGGGTCAAGTTATTTTTCTTAAGAGTAGCTTAGGTGTTGTGTCATTTCAAGCCAATCTAGAGGGCATGACCACAAAAAATCTTCCTTTAGAATAAACATAGCTCGCTATGTAGGATGTCTCCTCACAGGAGGTTATGACTGCTGGAATATCACCCTAAAGATTAGTTATCATGTTGATTTTTACACTGTGGCATCAAGTAAGTGGCAAAACATTTTTCAATATGAATAATCAGACTAAAATCCTGGTAACTGTCCTAAGACTTAACTGCCCAATACATACGTTTTTTGCAATGAACGCCGGTCCATCCAGGCAAACAGATACAGTCATAGCCATTGGTTTTGTCTGCACATCGATATGATCGCTCTGAATCACAATTGTTTGGCGAACAATCATCAATATCTATGCAAAAATAAAGGCTTTTAAATGTTTTTTACTTATGTTTTTTATCTAAGGCAAAGATCGTTATTGCTAGATAGTCGGGTAATCAAACATGAACGGAGAAAAAGCTTTTACAATGGTGGTTCAAAGGCCTCGTTGCAGCTTGACCGAGAATACAACTGATAATGACATTGATGAAAGCATGACGTAATCTATCTATTATAACTGGTCTGTCCTCACTATGTCTTTCATTAGCTACATGGACTCCGTACCATCAAAATAACCACTTGCCTAGACTTCTTCTACTGGGTAAAGTGTGCAAACAAAAGATACATTGCCTTTGCCAATTAATGAAATATTTGCAAAAGAGTTTTAATTCCCATCTAGACTGACACACACATTTATCACGTATTTCCATTACAATTTGTTAAGTTATATAATGAAAAAACATGCAATTGGTTACATTTGTGCATTAAAGCGTAAAAATAATAACCTTACTTGTCTGACATGTGACACCAGTAAATCCCACTGGACAAGAGCAAGTATAACTTCCGATAGTGTTGATACACCTTTTACCTGTTCCGCAAAATACTGTCGTACACTCATCTATATCTGAAAATTGAAAGTTTGGTCTTACAGATCTCATAGTTTCCAATTGTTGAATTTCAAGTATAAATAGAGCGTGAGAAAAGGTGTCAACACGCTTTGAAGTACAGTGGATCACCGTAAATAAAATCTTTTTCAAGAGATAGACTGGATCCTTTTTAAAGGTGTATTTACGAAATGCAGGATAATTTGATCAGCGATTCTTTCAAATAAGAGTGTCTGTTATAAATAGATGGAGGCATTGTCCTTCAAATGTAAATAAAGCGTATTTTTTCAGGCAGAGATAGGTTCTTAAATGCAAGGTGTTATATCAAAGAGAGATATCCTATAAGTTTTTAAAGTATCCAGTTTAATGAATTCAATGAAGAGCCATATTTAAAATAGCTTTTGAATCTGTCCATCATATTTTGATACCAGGTCGAATCTAAACATTATTAAAACAATCTGAGCAAATTTTGTTATGATAAGTGACGCAACCTTGACAATATTTCCCTTGAAAACCAGTGGTGGAAGGACAAACGCAGGAGTATGAGCCAACCAGGTCTAAACAGGTTGCTCCATTTAGGCTGAAAAAGAAAAGCTTACACAATTCGATGCAAAATGTGGAAGTGTTGGTTATCCACGTAAATAAATTAGTATACTGACTTTACATTCGTGATTATGTTCCCTTTTTTGACAGTTAATTTCAAAAAATCAATAGAAAGGAAGTTGAAACTGAGCATTGTTGAGCTACAAAAGCAAAGTTTACGAAATTGCAATGAATGATTATAATTATGATTATAATTGTAATTATTCATAACGAGCCGATCATGTGATGCAAGCTCACTTGTGGAAGGAATCATTTTACAGTTAAACTTGCTAGCGTGTGTCGTGACAGCAGTTTCTTCTCATCTTCCTCCAGACACTAAAATATCATACAAAGGCTCAAAGATATCAATTAAAATACCGTACCATTTATGATAAGCACAGTCATTTATATCTAGAAGAAAAAATTGAAATGTCAAATGCAGGAAGATCACCATTCCGACTATTTCAACTCACTTTACAAGAGATTCAAGATCACCTAACTTCTTTTCAAGGCAAGAAAGAAACAAAGTTATGACAAACATTTTCTTGAATAATTAGCTTAATTTCAGAGCAAGCAGCATCTTATCTATGATTTGCTTTTGCTAGTGGTGGTAGAAGAAATATATGAAAATTCAAAAGATAAAAAGACATACTTATATCACACTGCTTGCCGGTGAATCCCGGTTGACAAATACATCTAAATCCACCTCTTAAGGGCAAACAGGTTGAGCCATTTCGACACGGGCTACTCTGGCACTCGTTAATCTCTGAAAGAAACAATTGACTTGAACAAAAATGCCCAAAGGTAAGTTGATTGCGCATATCAATACTCATTTTTCCGTGCATTTTTCATTATCGAGGAAGAAGAAACACACATGAGATGATGGAAAGTTTATTTTTAAATCATAATCAGTTTCTTATATGTGAAATCAATAATAAAACAAACTAATCTAAAAATTGGTGAAGCACTTCCTTATTTTCCAGGAGGGGCTCAGCCCCCCCCCCTCGGTTTTCCTCAGGAGGGGCTGAAGCCCCAGAGCCCCCTAAGTTTATGCCTATGCATTATGGCATCAAACATTCACAAAGAGTGGCTTTGCCCATTTAGGATAAACTGGTCACATCTCTTACGGAAGGACCATAATACAAAAGTTTTATTAGCATACGTAAAATACTTTCATATTGCAGAAATTGCTATTGTTACATTAAATTTATCGGTGCTCGATCATTGGTCTTCGATGGTGCAATAATAAGAATTTAAAATAGACAATTGAATGTAGACAACTAAATGAAGAGAAGTTATATTCTGCTGTTTTTGCCACTTCGTAAGCAATTTTCTGAACGTAGCAACTTATTAAAATTTCGAAAGTAAAATACCGGTATTATTCTTCGATTAACTACAAGTCTAATTATTACAAATCGTGGACGAGAGAAGAAACAAATTCCCACCATATGGCTACCAGTGAATAAGAGTTAATCAAGCAATAAAAAAAGGCTTTTAGACTTTTATACCGCCAAACTTTCAGATGAATTTCCAAATATATTATGGCAAACAAAACGTTGGACGCGTTCGTGAATTTAAACCGGTATTAATAGACACGCAATGGACAGCACTGCCTGCTAATTGGCATGAATTTAGGATGAAGAGTTGTTAAAAACCATCTTCAAAACATTCAACAGTTGTCAAGTCATAACTGGGGAAATAAAGCTACAAAAGCCTATGACTTATCAAAAAATGACTTAACTTTACCTTTTTCACATCTTGTTCCTTCGAATCCTTTACTGCAATTGCAAGTAAAGTTACTTCCAAGATCCCTGCAAATACCACCGTTGAAGCACGTTGAAGGGTTTTCGCACCACGAGGAATCTGCGGAGAGATTTTCACTGGTATTTATTACGGAATAACATTAAAGATGAAATAAAAATTTTTTTGATCGTCATAATGAATCGTTTGTGTGTGCCAGAAAAGTGGGTGTTGAAGACCGTCAAATTTTACGTTTTTCATTCGTATGATTTCACGAGCTGTTGCAGCCAAAAAACCCGGCTCCGAAGCAACCCCCTACATAAAAAATATTTCAAAAAGTATCATATGCATAAATTACATATATGCAAGCACTACTTTTGAAGTATGATATATATGAGTAAAACAGAGCGAGGGTTACATTTTGTTATCATGATTTGATTCTTTTCTTTTTAAACCCATTGATGAATAACGATGGAATCACGAATGTTATGTAATATGCAAAACGTACTTGAGCAGCAATAGATCCCTTTTTTGCCCATTGGGCAAACGCACGTGTATGAGTTTAAGCCATCCTGGCAAGTTGATCCATGGCAGCAAAGGTTGCCAATACAGTCGTCTATATCTAAATCAGCAAAACTTAATCATCAGCAAAAGTTTTGACTTCGGCAGTAAAAAACTTATCGAGCTGAAAACCTTTTTTCAGAACCTAATTTAAATGCATTTGATAAGTATTGTCTTGAAAATTTCCTGATCTTTGTAGTCTGGTACTTATTTACTTGGCTCACTAAACATCATGTTTATGAAAAATGCATTCATTCTTTATTCTTAATCTGCCATAAACTTGTTTAAACTTTAACTATAACAGCTGCACTTTTAATACGCAAGTTTACAATTCGCTTTTAGAATATTCAATAATTCCATAATTGAATAACAGCAATTCATATCCCTTGCGTTTTGTTCGTCAGTTGCAATTTATTGCAAAAGAAAGGAAGGTATGTTCTTGAATTTGGTGATGAAATTTGAATTTGTTGAAAAGATAGCTAAAATCTAACAATTGGAGGGGGGGGGTGGGGGGTTCACCAAAGAAAAAAGGTTACTTCACATGCTCGAGGAGAAATATAAAACAACGAATTTGCCAAAAAAATCCAATTAAAAGTTCAAATAAAAATGCTAAATTCGTAAAATTTTACCACATTTTGCCAATAACTATTTTATAACTCAATGTTTTCTTAGATATAGCCACAATGCAAAAATAATTTAACCCTTTTTTCTGCATCACATAGAGAAACACTTACATACTTTGAGATCTTAATAGTTATTGACGGTAGGCCGAGCCCTGAAAAGCTGTCATTATGAATTTTAGGCTCATTTGTATTCATACTTTTCCAAAAAATCCAAAATTATGTCAAACTCCAAAAAATGTGGCATGAAGAAAGTTAATACATCAACCCTGGGCAATGTTACGCATTGGTACCTATTAACTCGACATATGAAGTTTTATGATTAAAGTACATTCTACTCAATACAATTTTTTGTACAGATATATCCCCATGTTTGATCAAAACAGCTTTAAGATGAAAGCCTTAGCTCTACGAATAATGCCATATGTCAGAAATAACTTTGAGTAAAGTGTTCAAAGATTTCTAAGAATGAGTATGACACATCAAAACGTGCTTACTTGCTGAGCAATCTTTGCCTGTGAATCCACTTCTACAAGTGCACCTAAAATCCGCATCGATTGTCTGGAAACACTCTCCTCCATTTTTGCAGGGCATAGATCCACACTCATTGATGTCAACTTCACAAGCCTTCCCAGTCCATCCCTTATTGCAGCTGCAGTTATACGAGGCAATGCCATCAATGCATTCACCGTTTCTGCCACAATAACCGAATTCAGTTACAACTCCAACACCCTCAATAGCATTTTCAAAATTTCCAGGATCACAGTCATCGATATCTGAAAAGAATAACATATAGTCATATTACTGACAAACATTTTTATGATACGACATAAAAGATCACTGGTTGACTGTATCAAACAGTGAAAGGATACAGGTTGTCTATGAACTTTCAAACTGTTCTTTATATTCAAATCTGCATTAGCAAAAAACTGCATGCCGTTAGTGACCAGGCAGATACCGTCAACTATGCAGGTTTTGCACCAGAGTTTGTGGACTTCTATATTAATACCTTTTTTTATTCTTTCATTTATTGTCAGCCTAAATACTATAACATATGTATAAACTTTGTTTTCATATGGAAGATCAAAACGATTAGAATAGTTTTTGAATTGACGATCTTGCTTTATACTTTAGAAAGAGAGAAAACAGCCTTTTTTAACAACATTCAAAATTAAGTCTAAGTCAGGAATAAAAATTCACCTATTTCACAGTGCTTTCCTTTGAATCCCTTTTTGCAATCACATTTGTAATCGGCGATTTGGTCTAGACATTGCACGGTACCAGTAACGTTGCAAGGATTTGAGGCACATTCGTTAATATTTACTTCACATGTCTTCGAAGTAAAACCTTCTCTACAAACACATCTAAAACCATCAAGCCCACTAATGCAAGTCACAGAGTTTTTGCATGGATTACTGGCACAAAAGTCGATTCTTTTTTGGCAATTCCTTCCCTCGTAGCCTTGACTGCAGTTGCATGAGTAGTTGGCAACTTTGTCAATGCACAAACCACCATTGAAACAGGGAGCCGAGCTGCATTCGTTGATATCTGTTTGGCAATTAACACCGGTGTACCCAGGAAGGCATTGGCATATATAGCCGTTTATTCCATCAATACAAGAGCCACTATTCAAGCATGGAGTTGCTGGAAAGAATTTAGATAAAAACAGAAATAATTTAACTTAAGACATAAGAAACCTTATGCTTGTTAATTCTATTTGTGAATTTATTTGATCCGTCGTGGTACAAAAAGATTGATTACTTGCTGGTCTGGATGAGACTACTGAACAAAAAGCAATTGAATATACAGTTGTTTATGCAGATATTTTCTCCTGCGATTGGCTTTATTGAAATGCAAAATATTTGACGATTATGAAAACTAAATTTTTTCATTATCTATTACTTACCGAAACTAATAAAACTGGTAGCAAAGCGTTCACAAATACCTCTTAAAAAGTTTTGCTATTTGAAATCCAAAGTACGTATATTTTTTATAAACGCAAATCAAATTCAAAATGTTAAAAATTCTTCCAAACTTGACCATTATCTATTCTGCGAAAATCATATGCAAGCACTTTTTATTCCCTTTATGAAATAGAGTCATAAAGATTTTTCAGTAGATAGCTAATGTACCAAGACAGAAAATACGGAATAAAAGATCTTACACAAACATTCGTTGATGTTCACTTCACAGTGTAGAGAGGTGAAGCCAGGAAGACATGAGCAAGTGTAACGATTAATTTGGTCTGTGCAGCTTCCATTGTTGCAAGGGTTTGACAAACACTCGTTTATATCGATTTGGCAATCTTTCCCAGTGTAACCAGGTTTGCAAGAGCACTTCAATAAAAGAGAACTTCAATGTTAATGCACTCGTAGCTGAAGCTCGATCATTTCTCTAAGTGAAAATATTTTTTGAACTTATTTTTTTCGTGTTAACAGATAGCGTTAACACAAAGGGTGACAAAGAATTGTATTTCTTTAGAATTTTGAAATTATCAGTTAGGAGTGAAACTATTTTAGAATAACTTTTGAGTGCATTTTGATACACATTTGGCTAAATATTATTTCAATACAAATTAATAGTTAAAATGCTATTCTTAAAGGCTGGCAAATCTTCTGCCATCATTTCATTTCAAAACAATTAAGATTGTTCTCAAAAAGTCAGTTTGCCTACTTTGTAGTCCAAATGCAGATCCGTACAGTTTGCACCATTTTTGCAAGGATCAGGCAAGCATTCGTTGGTACCGTTGTGACAAGTCTTGCCAAGAAATCCTTTTGTGCAGTTGCAAGAAAATCCATTGATGCCATCAATGCATATGCCTAGAAAAGACCCACTTGAAATAATACGAGATACAGGGCAATCCAGTCAGAAAAATATTGCTTAACTATGTTCACAAGAAATGGTTTTAAAACCGTTATAATGTAACCCCAGTTTTACTGTTAAAATCAACAGTTTAGTAAAACATGGAATTTGTGAGGCAGGACTTTTGAGAAGATGCTGCATTTTCAGTTACGAATAGGGGTAAAAGCTATTTAGAGTATAATAAACGGGCCTGTTATCCAAAAGTTACATTTTACTTTCAAGTTATTCAGCCAAGAATGTCTTAAGTTGTATAAAGATGGATACATACCACCATTTAAACATGAGCTAGGCAAGCAGTCATTGATATTTGTCTCGCAATGTCGCCCTGTGAATCCGTCACGACACTGACATGTATACATATTCAAGCCATCAACGCACTGGGCAGCGTTCTGGCAAGGCGAGCTGCTGCATTCGTCGATGTTAACCTCGCATTTTTTACCCGTCCAGCCACCATAACAGTTGCATCTGTAATCATTTACTAGATCCTGCATTCGAGAATAGAAACTTAAACCTGCCTTTCTTTAAAACGTAAAGCAATTATATGGTTAATGTCAAGCTGATTTAAAGCCAGGGCAATGGTCTATATGTATGACTCCTGTGTCTTATATTTACTTTTAATGTTCCTTGAAAAAGAAAGAATCGAAATAACTTTTGCAACAAGAAGGGGACGAAATGGCACTATAATAAATGTTAAGATGAAAGGAGAAAGATCGTCCGTAAGATTAATTAATACAGAAATTGAATTGGACAAAGATAGTTAAACGTAGCCGTTAACCAGGCTGTTAAGGATGTTATTTGAAGTCGACGTACATCAAAACCACTTACCGTACAGTTATGGCTATTGGAACAAGGATTAGGTTGACAATCATCTATATCTAAGAAAACAACCGGACAAAAGGGTTTAACATCTACAAAAGGTTTAACTCATATATATTGGGAATCAATTTGCTCTCAATGCGAACGATGATGCTATTTTTAATAATGCTAATATTGTTAGGAAATGCAAAGTATATCAGACTAGCATAATTACAAATGGGAAAACGTAGTTGTTAAGTTGTATTCAAAGACAGAAAAACTCGAGATAAGCGTCTCAGTCGAGAACAGTAATATCTTCTTGAAACATATTAAGATACATGATCATAACATTACTCAAGTGTAAGAGCAGTCGTTCCTCTCATGTGCATAATACAACTGCGCCGTTCTTTGAAACATGAAAGATACTGCCTGTTTGTTTGCTATTTGTGATGGCTATTCTGATATAAAATCATTGCTATACTGATGTGCTAAAAATTCACTAACCTTTTCCGTGTTGCTGAAAACTTCAAGTCTTTCAAAACAACAACAGAAAGGTATTAACGATGAATCACGTGTCTTATGTAATATGCAAAACGTACTTGAGCAGCATTTACTGGTTTATCGAAATGTTGGAGATTCGATTTATGTAATTTTATTTAGGCCGAATTTTTTAATAGAGATTGCTTTGAACAAAGAAAGAATACAGACAATGGACAGTAAAAAAATTGTCTACATTAGCTGCAATTACAGTTTGGGAAAAAGGGGTTAGTTATAAGATATTTTATATCCAACTTACTTATTTGACAGGACTTCCCTGTAAAACCAGCTGGACAAGAACAGTAGAAATCCGTTCTCTTGTTGATGCATTGAGCACCATTGCGACACGGGTCTGGCTGGCACATATTGACCTCTGAAAAGTTGTTCAAATTTATTTTTATTATAGATATAAGCCATTTGAAAGAGAACCTTATTTCAAAGAGTGTCTACTAATAGAAACAGCCAGCTCAAAAGAGAATCCTTAGGTTCTTAATTATATGCTCCATCTATTTGATAGGATAAGTAAAGATCAAAAAGTGTCTTTGGTTAATATTTGTTATAGGCATTTTATCAGGATGCGTGGCGAGCAGCACGAAAAATGACCATGGATAACCTTTAAAGATTAAAGTTCACCTAACTGCCCTTCTAGCGTGTAAGTTAATGATTTACATGCACTTAAGTATCTTGCTGATCAAATTGTCACTATTTGATGTCACTGACTTGGCAACTGGAAAATTTTGAAAAAGAATTTAAACGTTGAATGGTTTCTGTCCATAATAATTGAAAGTTTAAACGCAACATGGAAACTTGTAAAATTTTGAACTTTTGGTACTTTTTAAAAAAAATGGTTCTTTTTTGAAAAGAGCTACTTTCAAATTAAGAGCCTACTATTGATTTAGCACCTACTATCGATTTAGCTCCAATCCAAAAAACGTCTCAAATCGATTAGCCCCTAGGGGCATAATTTGAAGAATCAAGGTCAAACGGAATATGCTTACCTGTTTCACATGTGCGACCAGTGAACCCTGGGATGCAGGTGCAGTTGAAAGAATACAAAGACAAAATATTGTTGCATGTACCGCCATTCACACAAGGTCCACTTCTACAGGAATTGAGGTCTAAATAACATGGAAAATGATTAATGAAAACCAGTGCGTCAAACTTTGTCAATTGAAAGTAACAAAAGAGTAACATCTATCAGCACGGGACAGCAATTCAATTTGATATCAAATCTAAACACATAAAAGTACGAAATTGAAACTAAAAGTACGAACTTGTCACCCATGCCATTGCCCAAACTCTACCCTAATTTTAGATCCTTAGCCTTACTGGGTTTTGCAAAATTTTAGCTGTTTTAACCAGAATACCTTTATCACAAAGTTCTCCTGCCCATTTGGTGTTGCAGACACAGTCATCTCCACTAACACATTTTCCATTTGCTGAAAATAATTCTGGCAACAATTAGTGTCAAAAACGAAATATTCTGAAATAAAAACAGTCTAAGCTTGAACAAAACAAGAGCAGAAATGTTAGCCTAAGACAGGGGTGGGAAACCTACGGCCCGCAGGCCAGAATCCGGTCCGGGAAGAGAATTTTTGTGGCCCGCGAGAAGAAAAAAATCCTATTATAAATTTTTGGTTGGCAAGTATGATTCAAAATTATTGAATGAAAAATATCGATTCAAAATTAGATTATCTTATATCTACATCAAACCTTGGAATCATTTGTTCATCTTGCTTAAAGACAGGATAGCAGAATCTTTAAGGGAGTGGGAAAGGTTAACAAATGCAACAGGAACGAAACTTACTGGGCGTATTCAAGACAGTTCAACATGGATCACGGATGTCTCTTTTTTATCATGCCTCAGTTACTCGTATGCTGGGGGAGGGGGGGGGCTTTTTATAAGAAAAATTGGTATTTACGTATATTCAAGTGAATGGTATGAGCTAAAAGGCTAATGCCAAATAACGTTGGTTAGTGGACAATTCTGTATTTCCTTCCCAGAATGATTTCTCAATTCCCTCAATAACATCCTTTTTAATTTGGGTTGGTTATTCTAGTTTTCGATTAAAAGACTTCGTTGCAAACTATTTATGTTAAAGAAAGGTTTGTAATTTCAGTGTTATTGAACTTAGTTGAAAGTTTTTAATTATCATTATCATCATTTTATTACAACTATCGTATTTGTTTATCTTTTTACCTTTAGCCCATTTGAAGAAAAAACTTTAAGGATCTGGCCCAGTCTCCAAAAAGGTTGCCCACCCCTGAGTCTAAGAGATCCTTTCATATTTTTATCAGCTCATTTTAATCAAAAATTAAAATAAAAACTTAAAGGCTCATTCCAGTTCTTAAGTTCAATAATTCCAGCCAATTCCATCGTTATTTCAACACATATTCTTTGAAAGAGATAATTCCTGAATGTATTCTTGTTGATCAAATTGAAACGATAAAAGCTGTAGCGTAAGTATAAAGAAGGTATTGAAAAAAATACATTGTTTAATATAATTTTTCTCAGGTTTTGCTCTCGTGCATACTACCATTGTGGATTATAAAGTAACGGGCATTATAATGAAAGGTTCAAAAGTGATTTTAACATACCACAGCCAGTCTTTGAAACACATTGATCACAATTCGCACCACCCCAGCCCTGGTAACAGCTGCAACGATAAACGAAGTGACACTTATGTAAGTAAACATTTTGAAATGAAGAGATCTTAAGTGATGCCGCCTTAAGATATTTCTATCATGACGTCATACCTATAAATAGAGCTCATTAACGACAAGGAATATTGTAAGGAAAGACAGTATCCAGTCTTGATTTGCCAATGGTGCTAACGGCCTTTTCGCCCAACAATAATTTTCAGGTCTTAAGTTTAACAGTTTTAACTGTCATTGATCCTGTTTTCTTGCAAAAAACATCCACCTTCCATGTCTGACTTTGCTAACGGCCATCCTGGCAACAGTAAAAATAAACATAATTTAAGACCGCTAACAAACTTACTCAATGGATAGCTCATTAATGCACGAAGTCAATGGTTCATTTTTAATATTGTGAGAACCAATACCAATAGACCACAAATACAAAACTACAATCTACCAAATGGCAAAGTTTCAGACGATCTATTAAGCGTAAAACGCAGAGTGGCAACTTTGAACCGTTTTGTTCAATGCATCAAAGCGTAAAATTGCAGTAACATCAGATCTGCTTTTTATCCGTGTAACTGTAACATGTATTTGGCTCCGAAGGAAAGGAATGCAGATAATTTTCAGGATCAAATAAGTTTAGTTTTTCTGATATACATACTCGCATTTCCAAGGCTCGGAGCAATTTGCATGTGACAGGTCACATCCTAGCTGGCAGATAGCTAAAAGGAAAGTAAGCAGTTACGTAAAAGGGAATGTTCATTTTTCCAATAGAAATCAAAGGCGCATTTGTAAATATAAACCTTTTTTGATATTCTTGACATCTTGCAAATGTCTGAGCCTAACTCAAAGAATCTTTTAGTTTAGTTGCATTATTTTATTGTTTATGTTTGGATGTCAGCCTTTCAACCCTTGTTCTTTATTTAGTCTCATTGTGCCTTTTTCTGAGCAAATAAAAAGAAACGACTCAAATTTCTTTGGTTTCTTAGTCACATTTTGGAGAACGAGCTGAAAGGCTGACATCCAAACGTTTAAATCATAGATGACATCAAAAATGAAGAGAAGACGTCAAAATGAAAACTGTTACTTATGTTACTATGAAAACTGCTAACATAAAAAGCAATCCACCTTCGTGGCACATAGATCCTTTCCAACCAGACTTGCAAGTCTTTGTCCCTGTTTTTTTGTCACAGGTATAATGCCCGATGGACGGATCCTCTTTGCAGTACACATCGCAGCTCCATCCATAGAAATTTGGTGCGCACCAGGCACTAACAAGAGAGAATCTTGAAAAGGTCATGTGTTCCCTAAGAATATTTCTTAAAACTCTTTGGATTACGATTACTGAGAGTTGCAAGCTAAAACTTTAGAAACAAAAGATAAATGAAGACATAATTTCTTATCATCATTGAAATCTTGTGTTTTTAAGTCTACCAAATGCAGATAAAATCCGCCGTAACAATTGTTTAGATGAAACAAACACCACTATGTGTGGCGACAAAGAGGGTCTTGCACAAACTGTTTAATTGCTCCAAAGGGTCGGGGGGAAAAGGCTGCAGATGCAAGCATTTTGCATGATTAGAGGACGGGACAAGATCAGAATAAGTTAAAACGTAGTATCAAATCAAAGCAAGAATAAAAATCCCAAGTAGACATCAGCTCGGAGCAGGATGCAAGATCAAAGATAGACGAGAGCAAAGCAGATAATCAGAGGATGAAAGATGGTCAGAGCTATGCAGAAGAAGCCTGCCCTCCTTTGCCCTTCCCTGGTCGTTTCTACGTCCCTGGATCAGAGCAAGACAATAGATAGGAGCAAGAAAGAAGAAAAAGAATAAATAAAATGTGAGAGAAAAACGTAGGATGCTCAGAGAAAAGAAGGTCAGAGCAAGATAAAATCAGAGCAAGACAAAGACCAGAGCAGAGGAAAAGCCAGAACAAGACGAAGAGGCAGTTGTTTACTTAAACAATCGAAAACTCTAGGATATCTATTTAGGCCTAAAATTGTGACTAACTTCTTATTTTGCAACTTGTTTTTTTTTCAGAAATCGATCAAAAGGCCAGAAACCCTTTACCTTAGGTTTTCTTGGGTCTTAGGCTAAGTAGGAAAATTCAGTTTAAAGAGCCTATTTTCTAGACAAACAGCCAAGTTCACAACATACAGCAGAATGATCGAAAAGAAGTTTTCACACTAGGGGAACTAGAGTACTATCTCTATGATACGTTTAGGTAATATCCCCTTCTACAGAACATTGAACGGTAGCTAAAGATCCTTGAGGCTATAAGAAGTTACCTGAACGTTGCTAATATGTAAGACACTTGGGTTTGAAGGAATCCATCCTTGATGTGAAAATAAGTTAACTGTTCCTTGCTTGGTGCAATATACAGTGATATGGGCGATATGAACTTTGATATTAGATACGAGTAGCTACCACCTGGAGACCCAATAGGAGCACCAGAGTCATCGTCCCAGGTTTTGATGTCAACTACCAAAGCACCCTAGAAGAAAAATTTGAAAAGGATTAGGAAAGGCAGATCAACAGCAATGTTAAAATAGCAAGCAGTTGAGACTCTTTTGGAACCAAAGATAGCAGCACTGAGAATAGCTTGATTGGGTTATTCTGCTTAGAAGGTTACAAACAGATTAAGACGGCTTGACATTGAGAATGGCGAAAATGAATGCAAAAAATACTTATTCTCACCGGCCATTTGCCTTTGAACTGGAAAATCAGCGGATTTGTTACATTAATACCAATGGAAGATCCACCAGCCGGGAACGCAAAATCATCTCCCCCCAAAACAAATGTATGCCCGATGTAATCGCAGGCTTTTGATTCAAAAGATGACGTGTAGGTTTTCAAACATATTTTGAACCAATTATCGCATTCGCTTAACATCTTTGCATTGCCAATGCCATCGCAATATGTACCATTTGTGAATGTATGGTGTCCATTGTAGTAACGTTTTAGCAGAACAGAGACCACACCATCACTGACAATTAACTGTGTGCCAAAAAGAGTTTTCAAAGCATGTGTCAGTTCAAGTTTAATCTACATATACTTATTACATAAACATTTGGAGGGGGTGGCGAGATGAGGAGAGGGTATAGACACTGATCAGTGGGTATAGATGGCAAAGGAGAAGAAGTTGAAAAAGAAGGTTGACAAAGTAAGGCCAAGGAAGAAATGAAGTGTAGTCGAGTCAGAAGATATAAAGGCATAGAGGATGAAAAAAGAAGACGTGTTAAAACGGAAAAATAGAAGAGAAGGCATATCAAGCAAACAAACCCTCGCTATAAAAAACTGTATCTTTAATTTTTTTAAATGTAAAATATTTTGGTGAATTTTTGGTAAACACAGACCATTGGTTGATTTCTATTTGGCATTTCCATTCTCTCTTCGCAAAGCAAATTCTGTCTTTCACTATTTATCTTCATCTTCAACTATTACTTTGCTTATCATTTTGAAACTTCGAATATACCAACCAGGGACACTCATGGGGGATGCAGAGGTACGAAACATCCCCCCTCCCACAAACTTTTCTGTCATGCAGTGAATTTTGCTTTGATATGGTAAAAAGAGGTTTTGGTAGTCAGTAGTAATCAAACGGTGCCAAGATTCTGCTTCATTTACCTTTTTTCCTCGTTATCTTCAATTTAAAAATTCAATTATAAAAATAAGTGTTTCCAGCACTTTTCAGGCATCTAAAAGTTGCGGCACTTAAAATCAATCACTGTCTAACGCCCTTCCCCAATCCTTGCCACTAAAATCCACAAAACATGAATAAATATTGAATAAAGCGTTCTTGTGCGAAAAGGAAAGGGAGGGGAGGGGCATTGCAAGCCCCTGATAAACCATAGTCAATAGAAAAAGAAACCATAGTTCTTTTTCTATTGACTATGGATGAACTTTATGTTGATTTGTTTTGAAGGACACCCCATACAATTGATCTCTTTGTTCTAGTCCAGTAATCAAAGAAATGCTGCCGACCCCCCCCCCCCCCCCCCACCTCAGAAAGGAGTTTTGACGTAAAAAATAGTTTCAGAGAATCTATAAACACGACTGGTAAATAGATAAATTTATTTTGCTAACCTGCCTTTAAGCAATACTTTTAAATTGTTAATAAAGCACTCGAAGTAAAAGGATAGGTTTTCTAAACGAGGGAAAAGTTTTTTGTTTACAAATAGGCCCCAGTCTAAAAATTATGAACAAAGCTGCTTATCTAAATCACAAAACGATAGCCTACAACATAGCTTTGTATTTCTCACCTTTTTGACAAAACATTGCATTTTTTATCTCGTACAAAATTATCCTGAACATAGAAAGATCAGTTAGTTATCATACCTTCAAGTTGCAAAACAAACTGAGCAGAAAGCACAAGCAAGTTTGAAGATGCATTGTATTACACTGTTCCTGTCATTTACTATTGATAAAAGTAGGTATTTAGCTGCATTCTGTGGTGGAAGCTCGAGGGTCTTGCACTCCACCAAAGGTTTTATACTTGAAATCGTACTTCTGCTTTCGTACTTTCGTCTCTGAAGCCTCTAAACAAACCAAAATAGTTGGAATTCGAAAATCAGTGACAATGTTCTCTTTTCTTTTCCAACAAAAGAGTAAGAAACGGATCATTGGTTGACAAAGAAAGATATGCAAAGCGGTGAAAGACTTTTTTATCACTTCGTTCCCAAAGACAAACAATCTTGGGCACGCTTCTGTCATTGAAAAGGTTTTGCTTTCGGACACCATTTTCTTTTGGCAGAAATAAAAAAACTTACGTCACCGGCCCATGCGCACTCCGATTTGAGTTATCCCGGGGGCGGTACAAGCCTGTAATGGACAAGTTCTTGTCAAGAAATGCTTGCTTAAAGCACTATCAATTACTTTGGGATGCGGATTTTTGCTAAAAATGACCGGAACGGCGAGTTTCAGCTAAAAATTGCGCATTAAGGGTATCTCTGATGGCCCCCACATTCTAATGTTATCAACATATCACAATGGAAGTTTTTGAAAACCACCTGTCTAGATTTATATTCGTTGCTATCAAGAATTTTTGGCCTAAATTTTGAAGCTTATTTTGAAGCTAAATTTTGAACTGAAGGTTATTATTGATTATCAATAGAAAAAAAAAATCACAAAACTCAACCACACCCCCATTTCTCGTCGATTATTGACGAAATAAAAAATAACATGCTTGAATCAAGTAGGGTCTTCGAGCCTCGGTAGCATCGAGCGAGACCTGAGGGTGAACAAAAGGAGATTGTTATACCAGGAGGGTCTCATCATAGGGCTGCAATGCCATTCCCCCAATCTGTTCCTTAGTGAAAGAATGAGCCCAAATTTTACAGAGATAAACCCGAGGATTACAAATACATACACTGAACCAAAATCTACAAGTTAAACATAGGCAGACAAGAGGGTAATTCCTTAAAATCGTTGCCCCTCTCCAAGTTTGACGTTACTGCAACCCGTCTCCTACCCTGGGTTCCAGAGCGTCAAGTATAGCAAGTGGGGCGTCGAGGAAATAGGGGGTTCCATGTAGCAAGTGGCCCCTATTTCCTAACACCATATTTCCTCGACACTGACGCTCTGGAACCCAGGGTACCCGTCTCCAGGATACAGCGAGTCTCGTCGATGGCAGGATACAGCAGAGAATGCAATTTCTGATATTTCAAATGGTTCATTATAATGGGATATATACTGAGGCCTTTCACAAGCACCTACAGCATGACATGTACTACATTACGGACTATCTCTCTAACTACTTTTCGAAAGAGGCATAAGAGGCAAATGCAAATACTCCTAAAGGAACTATACGATGTTCTAAATGCGAAGGGCTCAAATGAACATAAATAATATAATGGGAAGCTGACTTTATTACACTACCTACATCTACTTCTACAAAACACTACCTACCTTTTAAAAAAAACATGAGAAGATTCTTGCAGGATTAAAACCAAGAGTAGAAATTCAGCCAATACTTTGAAAATATATGAAAACTTATAATCTGTACTTAGATCAGGGTAAATCAGCTATCCATAATATCGTAGGAAATGCACATATTTTTCAAACTGTGCAGAAGGGCTCAACCTACAGCCCTATCTGTAGAAATCCTTGGAATGGTCCCAAGATAATCGATTGATTAATCTGGGTGTTATCCAAATAAAACATCTGTCTTAGCATTCTGTATCGTGCGTTTTCAACATAATGCATATTTTCCATCCTTGATGTCTATCTCTAAAACGTTCGGTACTTTTGATTTGCTTTTAATTTATCGTTCATAGGTTCCATTCCCCTATTTAATTGTCGAAGGTTTATGATAACGGTTTTGCACACACCTTGCAGCTCCTCACTATACCTTTCACTTTGATCAATTTCTTCTTTAGTATAGGGATCCCCATAAGTTGATCTGACTTTCGTTTTGTTTGCTAGTGATTGTTGGGAGAGTTGTAGAAGAGGGGGCTTTATCGAGGGGGGCTGTGCCCCCTCCTCTTGTTTCTGATTAATTCTAATTTTCTGCCAGGATCAAATCTTTGATTGAACCTATATTACTTGTTGACATTTGCACTCATGTGTGACCTCAATATTCCTCTTTATAACTGAAAGCTATGCTGACAATATTTTACTACTTTAAATAATTTATTTTCGAGATTTTTCTACTCAAGTAACAGGTCGACATTGGAAGATGACTTAACTCTAGAAAATATGGAAAGGTAAAGAAATTAATATTGAGGAGCCATGCAAACCAAAGCAACTGAAACGTTCATTTTGTACACAATAAAGCTATATGGCCCTTCTCTACATTTTTTGCCTCTACACTAATGATTGCTGGTTACTTGCAAGTTTCGTCTCGGGAACCTTTTTAGCCTCGCTGGTGATAGTGCCAATGATTCCATCTCCATCTCTACATGGGGCTGCGAGTTATCCCTTAACCAGGAGTTTGATAAACGATAGTTATGGTTAAACCGAGAGAAAACTTTCTATGCTCATATTTCGGTTATTTCAGGAATTTTGAACTGCTTGATTTGCATACCATTTTTATTCTAATGAACAAAAATGAACTTTGCGCTGGAAACAATCTTGGGGACATCTTTGGGTAAATTGAAAGGCCTACTCGAGAATAAACATATAAAACACACAATATGTCGACCGATAAGACCATATGGTGAATTTCCAGAATTAAAATTATACACAATCCTATATTTTATACATCAAATACTGATGACAAATACCGTGAACTTGAATTTTTACAATCGCATTGAAAAATTAACAAATAATTCCATTAAGATAAGTAAATTAAACAGATTCGTGAAAAACTGTTGAAAATAATCGGTACTTCGTTGCAGTACCAGACTGAACGCTTTTCCCATATCAAAAACCTATAAAAAGTTTAAACGTAAGTAGGCTTAAAAACAAATAAAGCAGAATTATTATAAAAATGCTTCATAGTACCATGACCAGAGTAATTTCACAAAGGTCATTTTGAAACCAGAGCAAGGAAGGTGGAACAAATCAATTGATATAAGCAAAAATGATTGATCATACAGGCCAATAAGATTAATCAACACGTGCAACAGTTTAAGGTCCTAGTCACACCGAATTCAGTAGCAAATTCATTGGAACTCGAATTCCTGACCAAATCCGATGCAAAATTACGGCTGTTGTTACGTCATCGAATTCAGTTTTGGCTTCTGTTCGCATTGAGAAGCTGCGTTCCGCACTAAGTAGCATAAACTTTTGTATCTTTATCTGGTGATATTTATGCACAATTCGCCTACAGGTAACAGATTATCTGCATTCCAGGTCTGGTAGTTTGAAACTTGAGACCTTATACTTCAAAATTTTCGATCAATACTCTTGCTCCATTCTACTGGTTTTGAAACCAATTTAACTTTGTTCATCGCAACTCTGTTACCATATCTAACGTGACTTTCAATAACTGTCTCTATTAGTGGTTGTCAGCTTTTCTTACCAAAGCCAGTGGGCAAAATCTTGCACTCAAAAGAAGGTTGCAGAGCAGCAGCAGATAGGATTCTTGCGTCCACACGAGACTAAAAGCATACCATATTTTAGCACAGTAATATCGCTCCGCAAAAAAAGATACGGAGTGTATCGGTTGCGAGAGTGTATCCGGTGTAAGGTGGGCAGGGCCTAAGTAGAGCAATTACGCAGCATCCCTAAAAGTGAGCCGGTATGAAAATCGAAATGAATCCGGTGTAAGGTGACCAGGGCCTAAGTAGAGCAATTACGCAGCATCTCTAAAAGTGAGCCGGTATGAAAAGCAAAATGAACCCGGTATAGGGTTAACATGGCCTAGATGGTAGCAAATATGAATTACTACAGCTTATCTTAAACTATTAGTCTTAATTAGCCATTTGAATTGTGTGTGGTGCTTACGTTGCAATTGCTTATTTCTCAAAAGCTCATAAAATAGCTGACAGTGCCAAATACCAAAACTCAAAATCCTAAAAGCCGAAATTAATAATACATAATTAATGTCCTGCTAAATAAATAAACTTTTGTCAAGATTCAATGAAATGTCGTCAAAATTAAACGAAATTAAGTATTATCGAAATAAAAAAACAAAAAAGCCTAAACTTAATTGTTATCGTCATCCAAACCGAGATTGGCCCTTCCCAAGCTGTACGTTGGATTCTTATACATCATGTCGCCTCCTTTAAAATCCACCTGCTCCCCGTCCATGTTCGAGTACCCGACAGCTGAAATTAAAAAATCATTTTAGCTTTCCTTTCTACTGTGACTGTGAAACTCTGAAATTTTGAACAGTTTTTGACAAGGGAAAAACATGAGAGCTACAGCGTTCATCAAACCTTTCAAATGACCATTTATACTTGAGTCAAATAACTCTTTTTCTCGCCAGTTTCTGAACAGTAACCTACATTTTCTCAATCAATGACCGCCAATAATCCTTGCTATGGCCATTTACATCATATGAGGCAAGCTCTCAATAAACTGAAAACTCGTAAAGATAAAATTCCCGCATGATATTTTTTGGTAAGGATTAAACTGCTACATAACACGCACAGCTGTAATGAATCTTCACCTATTATCTATGCTACTGTTTCTTATATAATTCACGAAGTGAAACCAGCTCTCTGCAACTCTCCAAAATATGACATAATTTATAAACAATAAAGAACAAATTAATAATGAGATGGACTTACTCTTCTCTGGTAGCCGTGTTTTCCTCTGCCTGCATTTCATTACAATCAGCACAGCTGCTACTCCAACAATTGCACCGATAACGCCCCCAACAACCCCAAGTGTGATATTTAACTTCTTTTTATCTATGGAGCAAAATGAGATATAAAGACAGACGAACAAGGTAACTGGAAGTAAGAAATGCACGTCAGCTTTTAAAGCATTAGCTAAGATTAGAAATTGTTCGGTTGTACAAAAACGCCCATTCAACCAGGCTTAAGGTTGATGAAAATAACGTCGACTACAACTCAATATAGAACAGAATATGTTTCGATTTTGCATCTTCTCTGTTCGCTCAATGTTGGTACCTCGTCTATTGACATTCTTAAACCTTGGAGGGAGGGGTGACATATCCTGTTTAGACCAAAAATGTTTCTTACTAGTTCTGTCCACATAAAGAGATTTTACATCTAATCAGAATAATTGGGAAAAATCAACTCAATCAACTTATTGGAAAATAATATATCCTGACGCACTATATTGATGCGAACAATTCTTCTAACATAAATTCCAGGTAAGAAAAGTCAACGAAAGTAGTCACCTTCATCTTTTTCTTGCTTCTGTGCGTTCAATTTCTCTGCATGAAAATGAACAAAAAAGTCTATAAATGGATGAAAATTACCATGCAAACACACGAGGCAGCTTATCAAACCTGAAAATTCAAAAAATTTTAGCTGAGCTATAAAGACTGAATAGAAAAACTCACTCTCCTCTGCTTCTTTCTTTATATCTATTTCGCATTTCGACCCTTAAGAAAAAAATAATGAATTTTAAAAACGTTGAAAGTAGCGGCTAGAAGCATCAAGGCACAGCAAAGGATGCCAGAATCTACTTCAAATTGAAAGTTTGGTAATATACCGTATACTCTCTAATGAGTGCCGGGGCGCTCATTTAATTTTTGGCTTCAGTGAGGGGGCGCTCATTAGAGGGGCGCTCATTAAAACAAAAATTGAGTTTTTGAATACAACACGAGTTGATTTAAAAACAATTAATATTCAATATGCATCAGACCTGTTATAGGCCTGTTATAAATATTTACACAATGTCACTGGAGTTTCATATGAAACAGCCTTGGCTTTATTGAATATCTTTTAACTGACAACTATTGTGATGATATGCTGGTCTTCATCTGTTTTTATGATATTTGGGGGGGGGGTGCTCATTGAAGAAGTGGCGCTCATAGGAGAATGGGGGTTCTACGAAGAGGGGGCGCTCATTAGAGAGAATATGGAACTTATTTTGCAATTATGGTGACATCATAAGAGATCTTTTCCCAAAAAGAAAACGAAAAAAACGAACGTTCATCTCACCTCTAAATCCTTGCTTACAAACACATGTTTCAAACCCATTACGCAACAAACAAACACCATTTTTGCATCCACAAGGATCTTCACCAGATTTTCCTGCAAATATGGGTAAAAAATGTACAAATTAAAAGATCGATGAATAAAGAGAAGGGAAAAGTATATTTTTGATAGATGCTCTTTTTCCGATCGCGATGTGATATGATGCATCTATCACTTATTCATGATAAGAGGATACGTAAAAACAGAAAGGAAAAGACCAGCCGTAGTACATTTCTAAAAAGGTTTGTTGATTAGAGATCCACAAGAGGCTGTCTAGCAGTTAATTTAACTTCATATATGACACAAAGCTAAGTACAAAGTTATGCTGACAAATGAGAGTCAAAGTTATGCTGACAAATGAGAGTCATCCTTTGTTCCGCAAATGCTACCAATAATCTTTGAACAAGAGCCAGCATGGGTCACAATAAGCACAAAATTGGAATTTTCTTAGATATTCCTATCAAATCAAATCGTCTTACTTGTCGTGCAATTCCTTCCTTCCCATCCTTTCAAGCATGTGCACTCAAAGTCATTTACCAAGTCAATACAACTTGTCGATCGTTCAGCATCGCAGGGATTCGGATTGCAATTATCCAAATTTGTCTCGCACTTTGCACCAGTGTACCCTGTTCTGCATACGCATCGGTAACTTCCGGGTGTGTTGATACACCTCTGATTTGGCTCTTTGCATTTCCCCTCTCCACACTCATCAATATCTAGAACAAGAGGTTAAAACTTGACATTAATTTTGAAAGTGAAAAGTGAGAACAACTTATAGAAATAAGAACGACAAATAAGAAGCTTTTTGCTTCAAAACAGAAACTCGTGGTCATTGCCCTTTTCCCTTTCCCCTGTCCAGAAGACAAGCATAAATCTTACATTCCTTAATTCAGAATTTTAAACGACAGATTCTAAATAAAATGCGACGTGATTATCTATTTCCTTTTCTTAATGTGAATTCATATGATTGGTTTCGTTCGTGAATGATACACAATATGGAATCTATAGAAACTTTGAGCCCCAGCCCCCTATATAAAAAAGCGGTGCTTATACGCATCCATTTGATACTAATCAAGTAAGCTTAAGAGTCTATTGCAGTTAGACATATACATCCCAGGAAATCTAGTAGAGCTAACTGTGGCTATATTATCATGAATTCCAAATTGAGGAAGTTTTTATCTCAATGCATCGATACAATATTGCAAATTTAAGAGAAGACAGCTACCCTTTGCCCGGGATAAAACAACAGAAGTCTTCATTTAATTTAATATTACATGCCCCGTTTATTTTACCTAAACGTTATTCTAAGGCTTGATGCAACGCAAGAAAAAGGACGGAGGCGTGAAAGTTTGGTGGAAATTTCATATGTCCCCGAAATCCAGAAAAATGGAAATATATGACTTAAGACTGGTAGTAGTCATCTAGGAAGAGGAAAACTGCTGTGAAGACACCGGGGAATTCAAAAGAGGTATATTTTTGACCAATCATAGGGTGATTCTCTGAAGTCAGACTGTTGTCACCTTTGAGCAAAAAAAACCATTTTAGAATTAATTAGCTTCTTAAAAAACGCACCATTAACAGAACTATGGTCATAAAACGCAACAGTGGTGGGCTGGTGGGCACAAGATAATATAAGTATTTAACATTGACAGACATACCTTCACAAAATGGGCCGGTATATCTACCACCAGGTGGGCATGTACACGTAAATTTGCCAATTCCATCTACACAGGTTGCCCCGTTTTTACATGTATTGTTGAAGCAGTCATCTATGTTGACGTCACAGTTCTTTCCAGTTTTTCCAAAGTCACACAGACATCTGTAGCCACCAAGAATGGATATACACGTGGAGGAGTTACTGCAAGGACTGCTGAGGCACAAGTCGAGCTCTAAAACGAGATCACCATAAAACTCACCAGCCAATTAAAAGTTCAAAAATTTACAGAAAGTTCAACTTAAACATTGGAACATTTGAATGGCTGAGAAATTTAAATTCTTAATCAATCAGACTTTAAGGATATGACAAAAAACGTGCCTTTTCAAGAAAATGACAGATTCAGGCCTATTTCAGCCAATCAAAGATTTGGACCTTTGATGCTTTTACTTAGGCCGCGTTTGAATCAGGCATCAATGTAACATCAATTCATGTGACGTAAACTGTACATACCAGTCTCGCATCGTTTGCCAGTGTATCCTACTGAGCAGTTACAACGGAAATCTGTGCCAAGATCGATGCAACGTCCCTTCTGATTTACACAAGTATTATTGTTTGCGCACCAAGATGTAGCTAGACATGCAATAGAAAATTATGTGACATTTTTTTGCCAAGTTAGGAAAAACTACATAACAAAATTTGTAGTTCCGATAAGTCTACGACGAAACATCTGGAAATAAGGTAAAAAATATAACTAAAAAACGCCAGTTGAAGGGCGAATAAAAAAGATCATTGTACACATAAGGAGAGATTTGAGAAAAGAACGAGAATAAAAGAGTACGATTCGAGTAAAATACAGAAAGAGCTTTTGAAAGGGCTGTTCCAAAATCAAAAATTGTGAACCACAAAATCTATCGTCGTATCTATCGGAGAGCTTCTTGCTTGAAAATTGCATCAGACAAAGCCGTGATATACTTACTTGAACAACAGTCGATTCCCTTTTTCCCCGGAGCACACTGACAACTATAGCTGTTAATTCCATCGATGCATTTCGACCCATTGCAGCAACGATGATTAACACAGTCATCGATGTCTAGGATAACAAAGATATCAGCATTATGATCAGTTAATCCCCCTACTAGCGGAAGCCCGCAGAAAGCCTGCAGAAAGCCTGCGGAAAACCTGCGCAAAGCCCGCGGAATGCCTGCGGGAAGCCTGCGGAAAGCAAAGCATTTGGCAGGAGCCTTGCGTAAAAAAATGTAGTAACGGCAGGCAGGGGGACCAAAAGTCACCCGGATCATACTGCTATAGTGTAATTAGACAACAAACCTCGACTTACTTGGAAACATCTAAATGAAATTTGATGAATAATATTGCAATAAAATTCATTGCTTATATTAGCAAAACTATCTAAGCAAGAAGAATTTCTATTCGTTCTTACTTATGGAGCAGTTTTTGCCAGTGAATCCCTTTGGGCATTCACAAACATAGTCCGCATTGTACGTCTGAAAGCACTTCCCTCCATTTTGGCAAGGGTCTGGTAAACACTCGTTAATATCTACGACGAAATAGCAAAGCATTACCAATGATTATTAATTTCTAAAGAGATAAAAAGCCGTGTAACATATTCATGCTGAAAAAAACACCAGTTTTGTATTAGAAGAAAAAAAAATTGATCCTTAAAACGACTTCGAAGAAACTTTTGACAAAATGGACGCTAAGCCCTAAGAGAAACTTTCGCTTCCCATTTTTTGGTCCCAGAAGAAACATTGTAAATGCAACAAAAGAAAACTCACCTTTTTCACACTTCTTGCCCGTCCAGCCTTTGTCACAACTGCAGTTATATGAATTAATGCCGTCAATACATTTGCCGTGTTTTCCACAATAGCCAAATTCGGTGACTGCACCCTCTCCTTCGATCACATTGTCAATGTTACCAGGGTCACAATCATCAACGTCTAACAAAGAACAACGGTTAAAAGCTCAATAAAAAACTTAATTGAGAAAGAAGCTCTTAAGCAACGATTCCCCTGCAACTTTTTGTATATTTTTCATTTCAATCCATTTTTCTTCAACCGCACTTCAATAAAAACGCTACCGTATCCACTTGATAAAAATGATAATTACTAATGGCCAGTTATCCAAAGAGAAAATGGAGCCAAATAAACCTATTTTGCAAGCCCGCATCGGTAAAGCTACATTCCCCGTCACGTAATTGTCCATTCTGGAAATCCTGGCAGAAAATCTATTCTACCATATCAAGAAACAAAAGAACGACCTAAAAGAGACATATATGTATTGAGGCATGCTTCCCGGACCCGACAAAAACAACCATTCTACTATCAAATATCAAAAGTTCTTTAAATTAAAAGTAGTAGCTACGGAAGTCGTAAGAGCTTAAAAAACCTAGTACAGTTGCAGTAGCGTGGTTGACAACCAGGTGGGCGATCGCTAATAGAAAAAAACACTTAAATGACAACATGCAAGTCATACCTTGCTTTGACTGTTTTCTTGAGAATGATTTAGAAACATTTAGCCTTTAGAATGATTGCTGCTCTGAATTTTGAGGCAGGCAAGAAACTAGAGAAAGCTATAACGCCTGAAAAATGCATTGGTACACAAGATCAAATTTTCGATTTCTTATACTGACTACCCCCTCCCCCTCCTCCGAACAATTTTATTTTCTAGAGTTAGGAGGTTCGGTGTAGTCCAGCGGATTTTTTAAGATAGTTATGGTATTTCCCTTTACAACAAACATTGTTATTAAGAAGAGGGGCTAGGGTGTTGTCTTTACCGTTAACTGTTAATACTTTCAGAACAACACATTTCAGAGCAACAGCGCGTTCAAGAACTTTTGGGAGGAGTTGCAATTTTAAAGTTTCAACGTAATAAACCTACCAACTTCGCAAAACTTTCCAGTGTAACCTTTCAAGCAATCGCATTTGTAGCTGTTTATTCCATCAACACACATCTTAGTACCAGTGGCATTGCAAGGGTTTGGCGAACAGTCGTTGATATTCACATCACATGTTCTTCCTGTGTATCCCACTGCACAAACGCATTTGAAACCAGCGAGTTCATTCACACATCTGCCTGAATTATTGCAAGGCGAAGACAAACAATAGTTGATTCGTTCTTGGCAGTTCCGCCCTTGGTATCCCATGCTACAGTTACATGTATAGTTTGCAATACCATCGATACAGTTTCCTTTAATGCATGGGTTGGAGCTGCATTCATTAATGTTTGTCTCACAGTGGGCACCAGTGTAGCCAGGAGGACACTGGCAAGAAAAACTATTGATGCCATCGATACAGGTGCCACCATTCTGGCAAGGTTTTGCTACAAATAATGACAAAAATCTCAGGCTCAAAAGTGTAACTGAGGGAGACTGATAACCGTGAAGGTGAAGTTCATGGCACAAGTACCACGTCATAGAAACTGTGCCTTGAAGTACTAGCGAAATTATGTACGAGAAGCATGGTGACTTGCTGTTATTGCCGGGAGAAAAAATTCGAAAAAAAATTGTTCAAAAAGACAAAAATTTAGAATTTATAAAGTGCTTTTTGCCATGCACGTAACATAAAAGAAATATTAAAAATGGGCCCCTTTTTAACAGCAAGGATAAAAGAGAAGTGAAGGCAAAACACCAGAGAGAATACTCTTACAGTAAGCTAGAGGGCACAGATAATCGAACCTACAGGACTGTCTAGCATAGCGATTGTATAGTAAATCCTAAACGAAACTTCATGCTAACCGCTATTTCTATCCTTAACATGTTTGATAGATGCGATAAGAAAATCATTCGGTATTTAAACAGAAATGTTAAAGGCTGGCGAAGAACTTACGAGCGCATTCGTTGATGTTTGTTTGGCAGTTGTTGCCAGTGAATCCTGGGTAGCATGTGCACGTGTACGCATTGACTTTGTCTGTGCATGTTCCATTGTTGCATATTCCCGCCAGGCATTCGTTTATATCAGTTTGGCAACTCTTGCCGGTGTACCCAGCTATACACGTGCACTAAGGGTGAGAAATGAGTAACGTAAGCTGAAAAAATCAATCACCAGCAGCAAAGGGATTCACTTCGTAATTTTTAGAATAAAAACATGCCTTTGTAATCTAACTATCACAAAAATCTAAATAACTACGTAATATTTTATCCCCGTTCAATATCTGTTAATATTTTTCAAGCTTTCGCATTTGAATGACAGTGCAAATTAGCAGACTGAAACCATATTGATTCATTCTTTTGGTGAATTCACAATTAGAAAAATTGCTTAGACAGCTCGTTAAAAGTTGAATGTATGGAAGGACATGATATGATGGATAGCATATGCCGTATACTTACATTGTAGTCAAGGTGAATATCTGCACAGGAGCCGCCATTTTGGCAAGGGTTTGGGTCACATTCGTTGGTTCCATTATGACATGTTTTCCCATGGAATCCGGACGGGCATTGGCAAGTAAAGGTATTCACGCCATCTGTGCATGTTCCTAAGTGAAATACAATAATAGGTATTGGCTGCAGGGGCTTAATGCTTCTTTAATAATCCTTAAAAATTCTTATGAATTTCAACCGAAAAACTTTACTTGAATTGCAGGAACGCACATATCCAAAAAGGAACCCTTATGAAGCAAAATTACACTGATATAAGTCAACGCTTTCCAAATTAGATATCATTACAAACTTCCTTGTAACTTCTCCTATCTTTGTCTGGCTAAATTTCGGCTCTGCTTCACCCGTCTGTCTGTCAGTATTCACGCGAAATGATAGATCTTCATCCTCCTGTTCCATCGTGAGTAAAAACTATAAGCTCAAAAGTAAAAACATAGAGATACGACGGTTCAAATACGATGTAGACCTACCTCCATTTTTACAGGGGTTTGGACTGCAATCGTCGACATTAACTTGGCAGCTACTTCCAGTGAACCCAGCTCTGCATTGACATGTGTAGGAATTTATTCCATCGAGGCATTGACCTCCATTTTGGCAAGGGTTGCTGCTACATTCATTTATATCAACACTGCAGTCTTTACCAGTATATCCAGCCAGACAACGGCATTTGAAGTCGTTTACTTGATCCTAGCAGTTGAAGGTTTTAAGTGAAAGTGGGCAGTGTACTTTAAACTTATTATTATGAGTTAACATAAATGGTTTTATCTTGTGAGGAAGTAACAGTATCCCCTTAAACTTATCATATTCAAAATAACATTTAAATACTACTATAGAGTGTTCAACTCCCTATTTTTCAAATACATTCTCTTGAAGCTGAACATTTACTTAGATGATACCATAAATCAATGTGAGGCCCACCACAAATGGGGGTACCCTACAAATAATTGGACATTGTTCACAATGAAGAAAGGTATGCGAAACAAAGATTCACGTTGAAATGCCTTACCTTTTCTTTCAATGATTCTGGTTTAAATAAATACTTTCTATAACAATCTGAAATTCATAACAATATTACCACAAAATATTTGTTATCTAGCCTTATCCCCATACGAGCTTATATTACCTCACAAGTTCCACCGTTTTTACAGGGGTTAGATGCACATTCGTTGATATCTATAAAAGAAAAGACACTTTAGTTGTAAATTCTTCTCATTGCTGGATGACGAACGATAACGATGAAAATCACATAGCAGGTAGAAGATTTAATGTCTTTGATCTGAACATAATTTATGGCTGGCATTCTGAGCATAATAAACGAAGGTATTGCTAAATCATCGAGCTTTCTCTATGTCTAAAATAAAACTGTAGATGGAGCTTTTTTTCATCGTGCCAGAATTTCATGCAATGTACTTTTATGTAACTAAGAATGCTCTTGAGAAGCGCTTTTGGAAGTAAATGACAAAGACAAATGATGCTTTGAATTTTTAAAAGATAACAATCGCATAAAATCTTTCACAGTTGACCAGATATCTATGGTGCTTGATACGTATTCTTAGCCATAAAATGTGTTTTAGCCTGCCCTGGATTCTTAAAAGCTTTTAAAAGATATGGCTCTCAGAAAACCTGGGCATAAAGTTACTTTCACTATGGTTTCTTTTAGATTAACCGGTATCTGATACCCAAAAAGCTTTTGAAAACATTCCCACGTTTACATCCCAACTTCAAAGCGTGGCCTTGTACATGTTGAGCATATTCACATCTGATTTTTGCAATTATGAACCATGTTATGTAGACAGAATCACATTGTAAATTGGAACAAAAAAGGGTAACCACATCATTCCATACAAGTAATCAAGTTGAAATAGAGTGTAAATTTGTATGTTACAGCTTTGAAATTCTTGGCACAAAAGATTTATTCGAATGTACAGAATGCTCCAGCAACAAAATCAATATGTACCTTTATGAAGCATAAGGATAGAATAGGTTAGGAGGTAGGTTATTATCATACCTGTTTGACAGTTTTTGCCATTATATCCAGGAAGACAAGAGCAGTAGTAATCGGTTCTTCTGTTTACGCAGGTAGCACCATTTAGGCAGGGGTCAGGGGCACACATGTTGATTTCTACGAGAAAGGTGGGATACTCATGCGAATCATCTAATGGCAATAAAGGATAATCGTGAGCAAACACTGTGATTGCACCGTAATGCCTCGAACAAGCGCCCCCCTCAAATAATAGCCTTTCTCGAATAAGGACCCACCCTAGAGGTGAAGTTATTGAATAAGCGCCCATCCTTCAACCTTCAGAAACGGGCGCTTATTCGAATTTTCAACGAAAACATAATTTTCACAATTTTCAACGAATTGGAAGGCAATTCAACAAGAAAGATTAATGAACAACACAATTTGCACCCAAATGTACTTTTTAAAAGAAGCACCCTCGATTAAGGGCCTCCCTCGTATAAGCGTCCACCCTGGAGCCGCAAAAATTGAATAAGCGAGGCATTACGGTATACACTGTGAATGCACTACAAGGTTCAGAATAATTCTACAGAAATACCCTTATTTACTCCTTTTTTTCATAGGAAATCTTTTTAAGCCAATGAGCAACGTTTATCTCAAAATTCGAGGTACAAAATTCTTTGTCCAGTGAGCTTTTATGAAAGGAGCTATGAAAGTCCTAGCTTTTAGAAAGTAAAACGTTTCAGCTTAATTACTTAAAACATTTAAACTTCTAGCCCCCATCAATATTATGTGCACTAAAAAGTTCTGGATAAGAGAGGTTAATACTGTGAAAACAGAGGGTGAATTCCCTGGTTGACAGCCCATCATAACTGCATAGCAAAAGTTATTGCTTGAGACAGTTACTGCATAGCATGATTTAATAGAAGCAAATGATTTTTGAAGTTACACAGTCAAAATTGGTAGAGTATGAATGATAACTTAGTACAATAAATCATCGATCGAGCAAATCTGATGTTTGTGTGTCTGCTATGGTTATGAAAGACTACGACTCCAGAGAATACTTTGAAATTCTGAATCCAACCATATCAAGCGGTAATTTTTAAAACAGAACTCCATAGTAAAAAACCTCCGACATTGCAAAGCTGAAAATCACATGCTGGTCCAATGACACTATAATCAAAACTCTCCAAATTCAGTTGTTAACCGACAAAGAAACGATGGCTAGATTGAGATTTCTCTAACGTTTTGAGAAAAATGTTTTCCGGCAACATTTCAGAATACATACATCCATGACACCATTGAAAAAAGAACTTTCAAAAGCAAGGACCGGGGAGCATATTACAGATGGAGGGGGCAAAAAGGTTTTTTTCGGGGGGGGGGGGGCTAAACATTCTAAAAACCAAGAGTAGGGCGTTTTAAGTACATATTGGAAATAATTGGGGAGGGGGCTAAAACCCCCGTAGCCCCCGCTTCTGCGGTCCCTAATTGATAATAATCATTTTACCAGTTTCACACAAGGTTCCAGTGTAACCAGGAACACAAGCACAGCTGAAAGCATCTGTTCCTGTGTTGGAACACGTCCCACCATTTCTACAAGGGCCGCTTCGGCAGCTGTTCAGGTCCTTGTCGCAGTTCTCACCAGTCCATCCGCTGTTGCAGACACAATCATGACCAGAAACACAATACCCGTTTACTAGAAAACAAATACGCAAAAAGCGAACATAAGAAACAGTTTTATTGACTTTTCATAACAAAGAAATTGTGTGATAGAAGAGAACAAAAATTATTCTCAGACTTGATTGCGTCATCAATGAATTAATCAATTTATCAACTCTCTTATCAACTACTTTCAATATATTTTACGATAAAATTAAAGGCTCTTGCGCAACCGGCACGCTTTGCGACTATTATCGGCCTAATATCGTACTGCATGAAAATATAAAACACAGTCAATTTTTCAAGACAACTGCCACTAAGCATGCCGGTTGTGCATAAGCCTTTAATAAAACAGGAATCTTATGAGATCTCAAGATACACGGTCTATTCTCTTTGATATGCGGGCATTAGTCAGCGCCCACGCCACAAATTGCGCAGAGACTTGTGAAAAGTTTCTTCTAGGGTTTATTCATCCCACGCTGTTATATTCATATTGACGTCAGCCAATCTTCAAGTTTGACAATTATTTCTATAAATCATATATAATTTCCTGTTTTTCATAGATGCCAAGAAGTTAAAAGAGAAGTTTTCTGTAAAAGAGGTTTTCAGTCCTTATTTCCAGTAAAGACCCGTGAAAGGGTTGAAAAGATACTGCGCAACTCACCGCAACCGGTCTTTTTAATGCATTTATTACAGAATACTCCAGTCCAGCCGCTGACACAACTAGAACAAAAACAGCACCTTCAGCCTCACCGCGACAAACGACATAACCCAGACGTAAGGTAACACTGAGTATTCAAAATACTCAATGACACCAAAAGACTGATAAAAAATTGCTCAATAGGGTTGCCAACACAGAATTCGCCCAACCAAATAGGCACTCACCTGTTAAGAGGGAAGGGGCTGAAATTCCCAAAATCTCTCTGAATTTTAACAAGAGGGGCTGAGGCCTCCGAGCTCCATTGAGCCCCCTGAGCGTAGCTACGGTAACGGCAACACTGGCCGTAGCTACTCAAAAACTATAACAATCCTTTTGCTCAAAAAGTTCTTTTTTGAAGTTATTGCTCTTGAGCAATGGCACCCGTGCCCCCCCCCCTCCCTTGACCATTCTAATCTTGGTACGGTACTGAGGAGTAAATTGGATTTAAGTCTGTTTGCTCTTTCTTGCATCATAAATGTAATCAGAGGCTTTTGCCCTGTTTAATCAAAACTTTTCTTTTTATTAAATTCAGGAATAATATTCAACAATTTACTGCATTGTGAGAGTAACAACTTGTGTAACCAACACTGAGTTGGAGATAGACTGATTTATCCTAAAAAAAGGAAATTTGACTTGCTCTGTGGCACAACATCAGAGAGACTAGATCTTTTCGTTTGCTCTATGTTGTTGACTTTTTCATAGAGGGAAATGTATTATTAAAATTAGATACTTTCCTCTTATATAAGCAAGCACTTAGGTGACAACAAGATATATTGCTACTAATGAACAACAGGCGTTTAAGTTGTTGCAGATGACAAGCAATACTCACTTGCACTGATTTGGTAAATTGCATGATCCATGGGACAGATCACAACCAGACAGGCAAATGGCTAAATAAAAAATGCAGACGATGAAGTCAGTAGCCTTAGAAACACTAACATTCAGTAATAAAATGTTTCATTAAAATCATCTAATTAAAAGGTTTCAAGAAAAAAGAAAAGGTCCTGGGCACAACTCGGGATGTATTGATAAACATCAGGCGTGAGATTTGGCTTCCAATACTACAAATCTTTGAATGAGCGCCTCCCTTTGACTGAGCACCCCCTTCAAATTAGCGTCCCCTTAAGCTGTCAAAATTAGATGAGCTCCCCTCCCATGTATGTGCGCCTCTATCTCAAATATGAATCCGGTTTCTTGTTCATGAAAAGAATGGTGAAAAGAATGGTGAAGAGAATGGTGAAGAGGATGGCGAGACGAACGGTTATGGTGGTATGATGATGAAGAAGTGAACATATTAACCTTAAGTAGAGAACTAACGATTCACATTTAAATAGAGCAGAGATCAAACTAATTTTTCAAACAAAAATTTGCTACATGCAGTCTGGAAAAATAATTAAAAATTTATCAGCGCCCCCCTCTGAATGACAACCCCGCTTTAATGAAAGCCCCCTCCTCTAAAGAGTTGAAAATGTCTCATTCGAGACACTATGGTGTGCAGGTCCCTGAACGCAGAATTTTTATGTGCGGCTATGATAACGTTTTTAAGAATTACTTGACCTCTAAAGTAAAGTAAAAGTCATCAAAAGAGGTGTGAAGCAATTTAGTACTGATAATTCAATCAGTGCCCTGGTACATGAAAACCACTAGAATCAATCCTATTTGGGATAAGGGGTGCAATAAGACGTTTGGCTCTTATAATAAAGGAAATATATTTGACTTACGCAAATGACAGTTGCTCCCTTTCCACCCCGTATTGCACTGTTTACTGCCAGAAGCTGGGTCACATGTATAATGTCCAGATGAGTCGTCCTTTGCAACACAGTATGTAAAACAATCTGGGCCGTAGTAATTCGTGGCGCACCAAGCCCTGCAAAGGAAATTATATATTGACGCAAGGTACAGACTGAATTATGGACTAAGAGTTTGAAATCTTGTTCCAAAATCGTGGAAAAACAAAATGTGGGAGTCTTCTTTGCATAAAGTGTCTGTTTTAGGAAGAGATTCATTTTATTCCATGCTACCCCCCAACCTCAATTCTTTGTAATGCTTCTGAGTTCCCTTCCTAGGGTAAATATGGTACTAAGTTAGTGGTCCACTACATATGTCTTGGGCGTTGTGGTACAAAAATAAATATTCGAGTTGTGGCTGGATTAACAGCTCAAACATTAACCGTATCATCCTCTTTTCATCTCTTAGAAAACGATAAATAGTGTCCACTACCTAGCAAGAAAACCAAGGCTTGAACGTCGCCCGGTTGCGTAGAAGCGCTTTGAAACTGCGTTGTTTTCGTCCCGCCCCGCACTTATATACACATTCATGCGATAAACGTCGATCTTTTCATCCGCGCTACCAATACCAAGAAAATTATTATGATCATCATCCCAAACATTAGCCAACAAACCAAATGCACCCTGAAAAGAAAAAGGTAATGTTAACCAACCGGCTATTCTTCACGAATAATGGATGGTAGCCCTAGCTACGTCATTTCATGACGTACGAACATGAGACGAGTTCCTTCATCACTGCTCCTTTACTTGCTTCACATTTCAAAACAAATTCGACAGTTGAATCACCTCAGCTTAGATTTGAATCATGTTGTAACTTTTCTTATGACTTCTGGTTGCATGCATTAAAATTAAGCCTATTTTAATTAGCCTAAGCTATAACAAATTCAGACAAATAGCATTGGTACGTACATCAAATTTAATATCTGCTGAAGGTTAGATCCTGCACGCAGGCTAATTTTTGCACCAATCGAATGAATTGAGTGAGTTGAATGAATAGAGAACTATTTCCTATGACCACATCTACAACAAACGCTTATACGCAGGCAAAGGGGTACAGTTTGGAAATTTGACCATCAAAATACATACAAACTCAACTTGTTTGTACTTACACTCTCCTTCCCCAATCGCTAAAGAATTGATAGCAGATTTTTTGGTAAATATTTATAAATATGAGCAATTAAATCATTAAAACCTTTGCTCTTTTATTCTGTTTTGTTGTTTTTGCATATAGCATGATTATCGAACCAGTGTCGTAAAAAGGATTTTTTCAAAGGGATGCGAAATTGATGGGCTTTTTATCAGAGGTGGCAAATGGGAGAGTATATACTGAAGATCCAAGACATCAGAGGTCAGAGAACGCCTAAGCCTTCTTCCTAACAAAATCGTCCCATCTGCTTCCCACGGACATTTCCTTGTACCTTCTCAATAAAATTTTCATATAAATGCAAAATAAGTTAGATTATCTATTGTCTGGTCTTTGCACTTTGTCAAGAATAAAGAAAAGTTAAACGGTAAAATTTTTCTCGCATAATATACTTTTGTCAAGTTATGCATAGGCCATCCTCGAAGCTTTTACTTTGTTTCAAAACCTTCCTCTGCCTAACAGCCGTGGAGCCGTAGTGTTTTCTGGACTTTGCACGACATTCAACCTAGATTCAGCCCAGGCACTCGAACTGGACTTTCTTAACCCGGGATACTCAGGTCGGACTCATTTACACATCGAAAAAGAAATCTGGGATAGTTCGAGCCCAGATAAAAAAATGTTGTTTGAAGACAACTTTGACATTTCTTTTTATAAACATAAACATATGGATAATAATTAAATGGGACGAAAGACAGAGGTAATATTGCACTTTCTGAACTCCTTTCACCCAGGCAGTGTATGACTTATGGATCCACGCGCCCTCTGATTATTCCACTGCAAACTGAACTAAAGTTGCACATTACCTGCCAACGGTCGACAGCCGTCCACCTTATTGGATTGTAGAAATTGGAGCCAAGCTTGTGACCGTATCCAGGAAAAGTGAAATCGTCATCACCGAGAACATATGTGACTTTGAACACTTGACACTTGCTCCAATCTTTGACAGGAAATGTAGTAATACAGAATTGAAACCAGTTCTCGCATTCATTGAAACACCACCAACTACCTAGGTTGTCGCAGCATACACCATCATAATCCTTATGGCCACCATTGTAGTAGTCAATGGGCTGCAATGTTACCACAACTGCACTGAAAACAGCCTAGGCGAAACAGAGAGAACTGAAATTAAATTGGTCGTTTTATCAAGTCTTGTAAAGATATAAAGATATGATCTTTAACAAGGGCGCTGAAAATATGTTAGAAAAACTATTATAATCTCATCATTCGCCTAATATCTTACTCTTTAAAAACCAATTACAGAACGAAATCTCACTCTCGTTTGAAGGAGGTGTATCGGGCATCACTGGTCAGCATTTCAAACATTGGCCAAAGACAGGGGGTTAGGATGGAATGGGAAAACGGGCCAATCCTAGGATAAAGGCGGCATTTATATGAAAGGTGTCCCGCGAAAGGTTACGTTAGCAAAAATTGCACCCCTAGACACGGTGCTTTTTTGGCACAATCAATATTCACAACTTTGTCATATTTCAAATACCATTTACTGGCAATAACTGCTGTAAACGTTGTAGTTTGTATTTTCTTAATTCATTTCGAACTTAGCACTGCAAAAATCGAGCTGTTAATACATTTCTAAAATACTATTCATTACGCTTCCTATCCGGTTGGCATATGTTATGTTTCAAAGCAATAATCACTTCCTGGAAATCCTTTTCTTGGTTTTGTGAAAAACATCAATGAAATGTACCAATGAACGACCCTAACCCTAACACTAAAATGAGAAAGTAAACTATATCCTTTTACAAAAAATTCTGCTTAGAGGAAAAGCTAGGTTGAATTTACAAAAAATTTGATAAAAGACTGCATTAGAGGAAAAACTAGGTCGTGCACAAAGGGATCCATACATTACATTGTAATTGGACAAATACATATCGCGACGTCGATATTTATCTATTAAAGCGCAAAGCAAGAAAAAAATTGTAACAGAATGCATAAACAAACACAGGCTCAGTCCAAGCTACCTTGAATCTTCTGATGTTTATATTGATCTCTGTTTAAACTGAAGTGGCCCTTCACATGATGGAATGAGACAATATGATCAAGACACACTCAAGGTTTCACATATCGCCGTCTTCGCTAAGGTTGATTGAACTAACAAAAAGGTTAATGCCGGATATCAAGCTCCATTCATTGTCTAATCTCAGGATTTCTCCCACTTCTTTCATTTTCAACGAAGCTTGCCACAGATGGAGAATAAAATGACCGTCAACTTACAGACAAGGGGCCACAGGCAGGCAGAATTTACAGGACTATAAGAGTTTGGACAACGCCATGCATATTTTGATAATTAAATTTAGCCAGTAAAAATGTTGATCTGACAAATATATATCCTAACGCTTCCATTGTATGTATAGCCAAAACTATATTATTGGTCAAGCATCCATACAAAGATATGATATTCCAAAGAAACGTGCCAGGTTTTTGTAATATTAACTACGCAAGGACAACTACGTGGTGTACCCCAATAAAAGGCATATGCCTAAAACTTAAGTTAAACACAGAGATTTTTCTGCATTGAATTAAGCATAGTTTTTTCTACTCTATTGTTGTATTTTTTGAAGGGTGAATAAAATCATTTACTTTTATTTCAAAGTACTGTCAGTAACATATTTCTGAACACACATTATTAGACACTGTGTTCCAGAATATTGTTGTGTTGTGCTCTAAATGACAGCAAAGGTTTACATAAAAGCATGAAAAAACTGGTAAAATTGTGTCATCAAAGTTTTGCTTGGCCAGCAAATTACCTGTAGGATATCATTCTAGTTATTGTTTCTTGTAAACATATAAATGCATTTCACTAAAAATGTTGCAATTCTTATTGTTTTATTAAGCAAATTAAAAAGGTGAAACTATGTCCACAAATAAAAAGCACTTAAAACAAATATTATAAATACTTCGCCAAAAAGGGTTTTTTATTCTAATAAAATTTGAAACAAATGTTAAAAATTTGATAAAAATTCTGATTGCACACTTAGGTCCACTCTTCAATCTTCAATCGTTAACTCCTAAAGGCTATACAACCAAGCTGGAGTAAAATCAGTCTGACAATATTTAGCAAAACATGATAATTCTTTGCTCCTTACCAAAAGTACAACAGATTCAAAAACCAACTTTGAAGGAAAACCCAGCTCCTTCAAACACCCATATTTATAAATGCATTCAAAAAATACCTGGATACCTTATACAACATATTGACTTTGCATTAAATCATCTGACAATACACATTTCAATGAGGAGTTTTCTGGTGAAGGAAATTTTTTAAAATATTCCCCAAGAGGTAAATAGTGCTGGACCTATCATTTCATTGTACAGGGGTAAAGCAGCTAGGGGTGCCAGAAGGAGGTGAAGTGCCCAGGAAAAGATGGCTAGCAATGCTAAGACTCTCCCACCAGGGGCTGCACCTCCAGTTATATAGTGGGGGCACAGACAAGAAGATGTTTGGTTATAACCCCTTAATATTGTTTTCTGTGAAGTCATCTGGCCATATAGTCCAAGGCATGTACAGCAGTGACAGTGCCAGCAACTGAAGAGTGGAAGGTTAATGGGCATGACTCATGATATCCTGCCCTTTTGTCTCATTTTGGCACATTACACAATGTGTATTTTCCTTGGCAAATCTGAAATATGAGCCAACCCTACCTACTGCATTTTTATAAATTTTTGGAAGAACTGTGTGTACCACCATTTGACAAAATGATGGAGGGGTAACTACCCCTTACCCTTCAACTTATGTACAGTTTGATATGAAAATCAGTTACCCTTAGGCAAATGTAGGAAGGCCTCATTTTTTTTACTAGCTTCCTATTTCTCTTTATAAATTGCATATTAGGTACCAGGCTTTAAGGCTAAGGATAGTTTGGTTATGAAACGGAGAAAAAATAATTAAATTGTGTACACTCATTTACAGACTGAAAAAACAGTAAAAGACGACCATGAATAAATTGGTCAATATTTTTGTTGGGCGGGGCGGGCGGGGCGGGAGGTGGGGATGGTATCCATTGGCAAGGCACCTGCATGTAGATAAACTATTCATTTTAATTCAGCGAGCACCTTTTAAACATGCAAGTTATTCACTAATGGGGTAACCAACCTAGAGGCTACCAAAAATATCCGGTTTCAGGTGCTGCCACAAAAATGGTGATAGAACCGCACCACCTATCCAATGTGGCCTACGTACAGCCTACGTTGTGGCAGAAGACAGGAAAATATATCCGATGTAGCCTTACCGCCAAGTAGTTTATTCCACATGATCTGCGGGAATTTTTTTGGTGACATTCTTAAAATTTTGTCATCTTGTTTGTGGAACGGAGACAGATGTCCGAAAACAAGCTCAACAACTGAGCGGGCGAAATTGTAAAAACAAATGGGGTCATATCACATGAGCTTTACCTCGTTGGCGAACACCTCCCCCGAATTCTTCGAGATCAAGATTAAGAGAACGAATAGACCTACTCACCCTGACAATAAAACAGCAAAGAAAAACAAGTCTCGTTGCCTTGCATTGATACATGGCAGAATCGTCAGTGTTTACAAGATCTCGGACTCTGAAGAATCCTCAAGTCAATCCGACGACCGACCTTCGATAAAACGTGCGATCGCAAAGGAACTACCTCCTCGGTCACTTCAGTATTACACAATTATGTAAAAATCTGTCAACAGCTCTAATATTTGGAAAATGTTTCAAGTATTCGACGGCTAAATAATCCTCCAAAATAAGTAGGACAGGTTCGTTCCCAATCGAAAGATACTTGTGTTATTACCGTCTTTGTTACCGATTTCAATAAGATTTAAATGAGAGAGAAAAAATGTCTATCACGTGGAATGTTCCTTTCATGACAAAGGGTGACGTCAGCCGCCTATTAGTATTACCTCATCACACTGAAGTGTAAGATCAAATTACTGATTCAAAGCATGATTTCTTTCACATTCATTATAGTTGAGTGACGCTATGAAATAGCATGAATGGAAGCTAACAAGAAATATTTTCCTTAAAGCAACTTTAGCGGACGGCAACTACACAAAATTATCTCCTGTATTATTTTGATAAGCGTACCCTCTAAATAAGCCCCTCTCTCAAATATGCAACTCTCTTACCCCTTCCGGAAGTAAGTAACCTAATTCAACAACTTTTTTATCCATTTATTGGGTAAAAAACTTTGTCGCTTTCTTAAATTTAAATTATGCATGCCAAATAAGCCCCCCTAAAGTAGATCAAGTTTTGAGTTACCCTCGCTACTCTAAAGGGATACTGGCATAAACATTGCTTCCAGGGTGTAAGAAATTGTATGGTATGACGTACTACAGTAGTTGTTGCTGTTGTTGTCTTTTAATGTACACGTGAAGTATGCGTTCGGAGAGATTTGAGTTGAAGTTGATTAGAGAAGACCTAAGTTAGAATCTACGGAATTATACAGTCCTCTATTGGAATTAGAATTTGAGCCTGAACCATATATCGTTGTCTTCTTTATCTACTATATGTAGTACTGAACTTGAGCCACCAGCGTATATAGCAATTTCGCACACAGGGTCTTTATACTTACCAATTACACACCCCTTTATTAGGACCAGATAATTTTGGATTAGGCTTGATGTTCTTATTCTCTGGATATTTTGGGGATCGGGTGATTTCAATGTTATTCCTTTTCAAGCATTGATTTTTTATATTTACTCAGTAAATTTTTGTAAGCTCACTAAATAGCAATTTGCGTGAAAATTTTTTTGTACCAGGTTAATAATCTGACGAAACCTCTTTTGTTTTGTAAAAATTTGTGAAAAAATTTCCAAAGAAACGTTTTTCCTTTGTTATCTTCCATCTGTTCCTGGGCATGCTCAATCGGTCCAATTTTTTTGGCAAAACGTGTCTCGCTGTTTTTATGAATAAGTGTAAAAATGCCAAAACAAGAACCAATAAATTTCCTTTTAGTCTCCTCAGTTGTTTTGTTTTTGCATTTATTATTTTTTGTCTTAGGAATTTTTGCTCACAACTAGCACAGGATCCTTCCCAGGGGCTGATTTATAAATTTTTCTAAGGGGTGCTCAAATAGAAGGCTTCGTAACCAAGAACGTTGGGGGAACGTTGCCATAAACAAACTCTGTACCCCGGCTCATAGACTATGCCCTGCTCATAGGCCATTAAAAAATGAATTTAAAAGCCTGAATGTCTGGATTTAAAAGTTTATGTGCAAGTAATTTATTAATTCTTCTTGCTACCAGAGACTCAAAATTGATACTCAAATTGACTCAAATTGATACTTTAGCTTATGGGGTTAATTTAACGCAATTTGCAGCTTTTCCCTCTAATAAAGGCCTTTTTATGAAATTTTCACAATTCTTTCACAATTCACTGTAGCATTCGTTATAAACACAATTTTTAGAAAACAAGACCTTGAAAAATAGTGGAACAAATTATACTCTCAAACAAACAAAGGAGACCCAAAACTTTCACAATGGTCGATTTCTGCTACTTCTGTAACGCCTGAAATTCTATGTAGTTTTATGATTTAGAAATCTGTAAAGTAGATACGTTTTAAGTAGGAACACGAAACCAAAATGGATATTAGGCAATCTGAACGCTGAATAAAAATCATACCTCATGATCGATGAATAAAGTTTGAGACTCGGAGATGCTAATTAGAACCGTTATGTTTTATAAACCATGGAGTGTACAAGCTCTGCCTTTACCTTAGATCTGTGAATTTAAATCGTCAAAAGAACCACGAAAAGCAACCACGTAGCTGTAGCTTTCGGCTAGGGTCGGCAAACTCGAGCAAGAACCATACCTTAGGGGTCCCCCGTGCACCTCCGCAGCTACGCGGCTGAAGGTATTGCAAATTTGCGCTTTAACTAGTCATTTGTTGTACTTTCAATGGCTACAGGAAGAACCCGTATATAAGAAACCACTTCTTTAAACTGAGGCCTCAGAAATTTTCTTATTAACAGAGACTTCATCATCAGGGTCTAATCTTTTTTTTCAATAGACACTGTCAAGTCTAATCAAGTCAGCATAATCTAATTATTCATATCAATAGAAAATCATTAAGCATAAAAAGAGAATATAAAACAGAACTGTTTATACTTGCGGATAAGAAGCAATTTAATTCCGGCCTAAAAATTTTTCTTATAAAATGAGCCCCTTTTGAAGAAAATGAGGCCTCTTTCTCATACCATGTGAGATGGACCAGCAGTTGTGAATGGGGGCAGGCACAGATTCGAATATTACAACTTCAGGAGATACGGTATAAAAGATAATAAATAGTATTAATAATAATAAACACAATTGAAATGGAAAAGGCCTTCCATCACTAAGAAGATATGTTTGGAAAATCTGAGGGGTCCCCGAGCACCCCTCTGGATCCGCGGATTAGGAAAGCTTTCTTCGCTATCAGAAGAGAAGATTTTCCAGATAGTTATGGGAGTTTTTTGTCTTCTGTTCCTATTTCTCTTCCTGTTATTGGGGCTCAACTCAATTGAGTAGGCCAAAGTCGGTGAGAAAATCTCCCGAAAGGAGCAACACAGCCTAGTGCCCGAATCATGTATTGGAACCTTACACGAAATATATCGTAATGTTTTCATCTTTTTTAGCTAATTGAATAAGTTCGAGCATGCTACATTTAAATTAACTTTTTGTAAGTTAATATCTGATGATTATATTACATTTGTATTCATTTGTGATTACTAAATGAATAATGGATTAAACTTAATTAAACGGAAACATGGACTGTCTAAGACAGTTTCACCTTCGTCCGTGTTTGTTTGCGTTTGAGAGATCGAAAAATTTCATTTGTTTCCAGGGGCGCCTGCACAAGATTAGAGCAGGAGGGGCAGTGTTGGCACCGAGGGCAAATAGTAGATTTTATCCGCTGCCATTATCGATTATTTGTGAGGGGTGGGGGGGGGAGGATGCAACAGTAAAATATTGGCACAGATCTGTATAAACATTGCACTGACCCATACAGCTGGGATTTTTGCCTTTTAAAGGCTTTAAACATTGGCATAATTTTGACAAAATTCTCCATGCAAGTGGGTATAAACTGATCTTGTCATTATTCGAAATTTTTGGTTCTACAAAAATTCATGGCAATTATAAATAAAATGGGCTGGCAGCAAGACTTTGATTGTCTGTTTGTTCTCAATACTCCATGTTTGCAGAACCATTGAGAGTGTAAAAGGAAAAATAATAATCACAAGAATCAAATGTAAATCAAATAATTGTTTACTTCGGTGTGTTTTTTATATTAAGGCGATCAAATAAACGAAGATAAATAAGCATAACATCCTTGTTCTGGTGATGGGCAAAATAGTCAGTATCTTGTAAATGTAAGACATCGTTGGCTTTTGAAATTTATTGTCGTCTTCTGTAAAATAATTTTCCGTTACCAAAGACCCACAGCAAAAAAGGATATTTTCCATTTTTTTTATTTCCATTTTTTTATTTAATGGTTTTATGCTTTTCTGGCATATAAACACGATTTTATATGCTTTTCTTAGAAGTGAAGCTTCTCTGCGACGGACTCATCAGCTGGGTCGTAATACTACTCCAGAAACGGATGGGCTAGGGCCTCCTCGACTGTGATCTCCTGGAATAGGTTGAAGCAGAGTAGCTTGAAAGGCACTACTTGCCCCCTCTGCCCCTTCTGGAAGAGGGCAGCAGGGGCAGGTGCCCCTGTTTGTTTCCAAAGAAAATTGTCAACTTTCGAATATAGGTTCAAGTTCCGTTAAGAAAATCTTATTCTTAAATTGTAATAATAGGAGACTCTTGAACTTCGATAAGCCTGATAAGGACGACCATATTTTTTATTCCACAATGAAGGTAAGCCTATACCTATGCCTTTAACTTGAATGCAGAGTTCACTACCATTAGGTTTAAGTGTACAGAAGTTTATTTAAGATAAGAAAGTGACCAGTATAGAAGTAATCATGTAACATATTAACATGGATATGTGCCGCCCATACAGCTGGGTTTTTTACCATCAATGATTCCAAGATAAAATAAAGAACTTAAGTTACATAAAAAAAAAAAATCAAGAAGTTCCTTATTTTATCTTGATGATTCTAAACATAGAGAAAATGTTGACGAAATTATCCATAAAAAAAATGGGTATCGAATGGCCTTGTAACTTTTTACAATATTTTAGATTTATAAAAATTATGGCTGTTATAAATGGACTGGTTGTAAAATGCTGATTGCCCGGTAAGATTTAATACCGATTTATCCTCCTCAGGTTCGTGGAGTATTTCTGAGGGAACAAGTCTTTGTTTATCTACTATTATCTTTGCCGCTCTTCCTCTTGTGGCCCACCTCGTCACAGGCGAACTTTTCAACCTTTGCATTTTTTGCTGGTTTTATAATCTTTCAAATAATTTCTAGCAGAAATTAACATAAAGAAAGTGGTCAAAGTGGTCATCAATGATCGATGAGAGTCAAAAATATTTTCTTATATTTCAAGGCACTTCTTGCCCCTCTGCGAAGAAGGCAGGAGGGGCAGTTGCCCCCCCCCCCGGTGTAGGCGCCCCTGGTCTTGATCCGCGCCCGTGTAAAGAACCGCAGTAAAGAGATTTCAAAAGCAACAAACCGGCAACAGGGTTGCCATTTGGGATATCCAATCCCAGATTACACGAAACTGGGACTATGGAAAAGCTGTTGGGATCAGAAATTGTAATCTAAGATTTAAAGTAAAAATTGGGTTTTTTCGAGACTATCGTGCAAAAATGGATAGTTTGTTAGAATTTGTCCATGGATTGCTTGAATTGACTATTATGTAACCCTTTTCGTACTGCTAAGAACAATTTAGTGAGCCACAAATAATAACACAAAAGACGGTAGCGAGGAAGATTGTGACTTTGCAGTTATAGTTTCTATTCAAACTTGAAAATTATTTCTATGTTTTTATATTGTATATGACATAACCTGTGTATTTTTATGCGACTCAATTCTTATGGCAACTAACTCGACTATTTATGTCAAATTTAGCAACCGAATCATTGAATAATGCGTAATTCATTGCACAGGAATAATAGAAGGCAAGGCTGCGGCGGAAAATCTATCCCTTTCTATTACCTCTGCGGAGGAATCTATAATTTGTGACTGATTTGGGATCGATTTTCAGATAATTTAGGAATAAGGACTTGACAGCACTTAGCAACCCTGCCCGGTAAGAATATTTTTATGCAAGTACGTTCCGTTTCCTCCAATGGAATTTCTCATAAAATTTTTGGCCAAACTATGAACAATTATGATATCGAAAAATATTTTTGATCAGTTTTAATTTGCATGGTCAATCTGTCTGACATTTAGTTGTTAATGATATTATTGTGGCATGTTCCTGGAAATCAATCTATTTCTCCCAGTCTAGTCTACCTGAATGTGTAGTCCCCTCAAAATTCCAATCAGAAAACGAGAAGCTTTTTGCCACCCAGATACTTGGTCGCAGAATTTTTAAATTTTTCATGACTGCTTCACTTTGTTGGCATATGGGGTCTGAACTCTCTCTTGAGCACAATAGCTATCGAAGGCACTGATTATACCTTAATAATTTTGGAATGTAGCCTCGAAGATTTGAAAAAAATTAGAACTTTCAGCCCGAGCTTGAAAATACTGGTTCTTATAAAAAGAAAACTGCTGTGATTAACTCGACAAAATGCTGTCTGAAAAGGAATTTGAATCAACACCCGTAATGGACTCTGTTACATTTTTTCAATAATTTCGATCTGATCATAATACTCTTATCTTCTTCTGACCAAATGATAAAGGACAGAAACAGCAAAACTAAACTGAATCTTCTAAGGTATAGAGACAAAAACGATAAGCAATTTCCCATACAATACGTAGTCTTCGACAATTATAAATTGAGAATATTGGTAAATTACACGCTTTCTTTCTTATATTTTTGGACAAAGGAAAATATTGACACTCACATTGCTAATTAAAAGAGTCTACATTGCTAATTAAACGAGTGTTTCTTATGTCGAAGATAACTCATGTACATATGAAAACATCCAATGTTCTAAATGAAGGCCACGATGACCATCAAAGAATAATTTGAAAGCGGCACTTTCCAATGAAAGCCTGCACGGAACAAGCACAAGCGATCAGTTGAGCATTGACTGGTGAATGTTTCTTGCAAGTAAAGGTTCAGCAATGGTCGCCTTTCATTCCTTCTCGTGACTTGTCGCAAAGAATAATGATATCACAACTGTGCTTTAAGACGTACAACCAAGCAACTTCAAAACAGCTGAAGAAAATCAAGAAAAAAATACTTACATTGGATATAAAGAAAGATTTTATAAACATTCAAACCATTGGACTAATACCGATTGCTTAAAAAACAGGTCAAATCCAGAACAAAGAACCTAAGCTCAATTTGGCCTAAATAAAAAACCATTCTAATACGCATTAAAAAAATTCATCGAGTCACTCACAAATGAATACAATTTCCATCATATAGAGAACATAATGAATTCTATACCAAGAAATATTTTTGTCCTATCTGATTTCTATAGATATCTGATTTTGTGAACTTCCCGACTACTTTTGCCGTTTCATTGAGAGGTTTCTTGATTGTCGAACGAAAGAACCTAGGCAAAGATTTAGAGAGTGTAAGAGCACCCAACCCACCCCAAACCTATGCACATGATCACGAAAACACAAGTCAAGAACTTTGAATGAAACTTCAGAGCAAAAAATTCTACCGAGTTCAGAAAAGCAGTTTTAAAAGTTGTAAATTTTCACAAGAAAAATTTCAATAAAATTTTCAAACGTGATTCAAACTCACCAAAACTATAGTAACAACAATTTACAATACTGCAAAGTTCCATTGCAAAACAGGCTATCATTTCTTAGCACGGAAACAGTTGGTACCCCAAGAGATGACCACCAGCAGGGACATATCAAGGTAATTTGGTTCCATCAAATGGCAGGAATGGGCGTCAATGTGATAATAGTGGCAACCACTCTCGCAAATATTTTCAAGGTCAGCCTGGTTTGATTAGAGCAACTCGCAATTCTTCCTTGACCAAAAGCCATTCTCGACCAATCTTACAATTTCCGATTGATTCAAATATACCACCCAAATGAACAACATTTGCAACTTGAACAAACTAAGGGGCCTTCATCTTTCACATCATGCAGGAGAATTGATAGCAAAGAGGGCATTGTCGTGTTAAAGACCTTGATGAATCCCTGGTACCTGCTTTCTCTCACAAAGCAATCTGCTTTCCAACATATCCTCTTCGCAATACATAGGATACCAACATGATCTACTTCTACTTTAAACGGTTATGTACCTTGTCTGGTGAGGGCTCTGAATTCTTCTGACCTAGCAACTTCTCTCTCCAATAAAGTCAGGCTTGCAAGTGTGAACTTACACGCTGAAAGAACAATCATTTTTGTCCTACCCTACCCTGCCTAATTATTCTATGAAGGTACTTGAAAAAAATTCATCTATCAGCATGAAGAGAAATCGAACACTTTCACAAATAAATCACCAAAATCACTGCAGTTTTCAGAAACAGAATGATAATCAAAATGAAAAATTTTCAAAGATAAATGCAAAACGATCATACATTCTTTCAAGTGCTGTTCACAGGCACTAGTTCTATAGATATCTGATTTTGTGAACTTCCCGACTACTTTTGCCGTTTCATTGAGAGGTTTCTTGATTGCCGAACGAAAGAACCTAGGCAAAGATTTAGAGAGTGTAAGAGCACCCAACCCACCCCAAACCTATGCACATGATCACGAAAACACAAGTCAAGAACTTTGAATGAAACTTCAGAGCAAAAAATTCTACCGAGTTCAGAAAAGCAGTTTTAAAAGTTGTAAATTTTCACAAGAAAAATTTCAATAAAATTTTCAAACGTGATTCAAACTCACCAAAACTATAGTAACAACAATTTACAATACTGCAAAGTTCCATTGCAAAACAGGCTATCATTTCTTAGCACGGAAACAGTTGGTACCCCAAGAGATGACCACCAGTAGGGACATATCAAGGTAATTTGGTTCCATCAAATGGCAGGAATGGGCGTCAATGTGATAATAGTGGCAACCACTCTCGCAAATATTTTCAAGGTCAGCCTGGTTTGATTAGAGCAACTCGCAATTTCTTCCTTGACCAAAAGCCATTCTCGACCAATCTTACAATTTCCGATTGATTCAAATATACCACCCAAATGAACAACATTTGCAACTTGAACAAACTAAGGGGCCTTCATCTTTCACATCATGCAGGAGAATTGATAGCAAAGAGGGCATTGTCGTGTCAAAGACCTTGATGAATCCTTGGTACCTGCTTTCTCTCACAAAGCAATCTGCTTTCCAACATATCCTCTTCGCAATACATAGGATACCAACATGATCTACTTCTACTTTAAACGGTTATGTACCTTGTCTGGTGAGGGCTCTGAATTCTTCTGACCTAGCAACTTCTCTCTCCAATAAAGTCAGGCTTGCAAGTGTGAACTTACACGCTGAAAGAACAATCATTTTTGTCCTACCCTACCCTGCCTAATTATTCTATGAAGGTACTTGAAAAAAATTCATCTATCAGCATGAAGAGAAATCGAACACTTTCACAAATAAATCACCAAAATCACTGCAGTTTTCAGAAACAGAATGATAATCAAAATGAAAAATTTTCAAAGATAAATGCAAAACGATCATACATTCTTTCAAGTGCTGTTCACAGGCACTAGTTCTATAGATATCTGATTTTGTGAACTTCCCGACTACTTTTGCCGTTTCATTGAGAGGTTTCTTGATTGCCGAACGAAAGAACCTAGGCAAAGATTTAGAGAGTGTAAGAGCACCCAACCCACCCCAAACCTATGCACATGATCACGAAAACACAAGTCAAGAACTTTGAATGAAACTTCAGAGCAAAAAATTCTACCGAGTTCAGAAAAGCAGTTTTAAAAGTTGTAAATTTTCACAAGAAAAATTTCAATAAAATTTTCAAACGTGATTCAAACTCACCAAAACTATAGTAACAACAATTTACAATACTGCAAAGTTCCATTGCAAAACAGGCTATCATTTCTTAGCACGGAAACAGTTGGTACCCCAAGAGATGACCACCAGTAGGGACATATCAAGGTAATTTGGTTCCATCAAATGGCAGGAATGGGCGTCAATGTGATAATAGTGGCAACCACTCTCGCAAATATTTTCAAGGTCAGCCTGGTTTGATTAGAGCAACTCGCAATTTCTTCCTTGACCAAAAGCCATTCTCGACCAATCTTACAATTTCCGATTGATTCAAATATACCACCCAAATGAACAACATTTGCAACTTGAACAAACTAAGGGGCCTTCATCTTTCACATCATGCAGGAGAATTGATAGCAAAGAGGGCATTGTCGTGTCAAAGACCTTGATGAATCCTTGGTACCTGCTTTCTCTCACAAAGCAATCTGCTTTCCAACATATCCTCTTCGCAATACATAGGATACCAACATGATCTACTTCTACTTTAAACGGTTATGTACCTTGTCTGGTGAGGGCTCTGAATTCTTCTGACCTAGCAACTTCTCTCTCCAATAAAGTCAGGCTTGCAAGTGTGAACTTACACGCTGAAAGAACAATCATTTTTGTCCTACCCTACCCTGCCTAATTATTCTATGAAGGTACTTGAAAAAAATTCATCTATCAGCATGAAGAGAAATCGAACACTTTCACAAATAAATCACCAAAATCACTGCAGTTTTCAGAAACAGAATGATAATCAAAATGAAAAATTTTCAAAGATAAATGCAAAACGATCATACATTCTTTCAAGTGCTGTTCACAGGCACTAGTTCTATAGATATCTGATTTTGTGAACTTCCCGACTACTTTTGCCGTTTCATTGAGAGGTTTCTTGATTGCCGAACGAAAGAACCTAGGCAAAGATTTAGAGAGTGTAAGAGCACCCAACCCACCCCAAACCTATGCACATGATCACGAAAACACAAGTCAAGAACTTTGAATGAAACTTCAGAGCAAAAAATTCTACCGAGTTCAGAAAAGCAGTTTTAAAAGTTGTAAATTTTCACAAGAAAAATTTCAATAAAATTTTCAAACGTGATTCAAACTCACCAAAACTATAGTAACAACAATTTACAATACTGCAAAGTTCCATTGCAAAACAGGCTATCATTTCTTAGCACGGAAACAGTTGGTACCCCAAGAGATGACCACCAGTAGGGACATATCAAGGTAATTTGGTTCCATCAAATGGCAGGAATGGGCGTCAATGTGATAATAGTGGCAACCACTCTCGCAAATATTTTCAAGGTCAGCCTGGTTTGATTAGAGCAACTCGCAATTTCTTCCTTGACCAAAAGCCATTCTCGACCAATCTTACAATTTCCGATTGATTCAAATATACCACCCAAATGAACAACATTTGCAACTTGAACAAACTAAGGGGCCTTCATCTTTCACATCATGCAGGAGAATTGATAGCAAAGAGGGCATTGTCGTGTTAAAGACCTTGATGAATCCTTGGTACCTGCTTTCTCTCACAAAGCAATCTGCTTTCCAACATATCCTCTTCGCAATACATAGGATACCAACATGATCTACTTCTACTTTAAACGGTTATGTACCTTGTCTGGTGAGGGCTCTGAATTCTTCTGACCTAGCAACTTCTCTCTCCAATAAAGTCAGGCTTGCAAGTGTGAACTTACACGCTGAAAGAACAATCATTTTTGTCCTACCCTACCCTGCCTAATTATTCTATGAAGGTACTTGAAAAAAATTCATCTATCAGCATGAAGAGAAATCGAACACTTTCACAAATAAATCACCAAAATCACTGCAGTTTTCAGAAACAGAATGATAATCAAAATGAAAAATTTTCAAAGATAAATGCAAAACGATCATACATTCTTTCAAGTGCTGTTCACAGGCACTAGTTCTATAGATATCTGATTTTGTGAACTTCCCGACTACTTTTGCCGTTTCATTGAGAGGTTTCTTGATTGCCTAACGAAAGAACCTAGGCAAAGATTTAGAGAGTGTAAGAGCACACAACCCACCCCAAACCTATGCACATGATCACGAAAACACAAGTCAAGAACTTTGAATGAAACTTCAGAGCAAAAAATTCTACCGAGTTCAGAAAAGCAGTTTTAAAAGTTGTAAATTTTCACAAGAAAAATTTCAATAAAATTTTCAAACGTGATTCAAACTCACCAAAACTATAGTAACAACAATTTACAATACTGCAAAGTTCCATTGCAAAACAGGCTATCATTTCTTAGCACGGAAACAGTTGGTACCCCAAGAGATGACCACCAGTAGGGACATATCAAGGTAATTTGGTTCCATCAAATGGCAGGAATGGGCGTCAATGTGATAATAGTGGCAACCACTCTCGCAAATATTTTCAAGGTCAGCCTGGTTTGATTAGAGCAACTCGCAATTTCTTCCTTGACCAAAAGCCATTCTCGACCAATCTTACAATTTCCGATTGATTCAAATATACCACCCAAATGAACAACATTTGCAACTTGAACAAACTAAGGGGCCTTCATCTTTCACATCATGCAGGAGAATTGATAGCAAAGAGGGCATTGTCGTGTCAAAGACCTTGATGAATCCTTGGTACCTGCTTTCTCTCACAAAGCAATCTGCTTTCCAACATATCCTCTTCGCAATACATAGGATACCAACATGATCTACTTCTACTTTAAACGGTTATGTACCTTGTCTGGTGAGGGCTCTGAATTCTTCTGACCTAGCAACTTCTCTCTCCAATAAAGTCAGGCTTGCAAGTGTGAACTTACACGCTGAAAGAACAATCATTTTTGTCCTACCCTACCCTGCCTAATTATTCTAAGAAGGTACTTGAAAAGTTTTCAGTTGAACATTGGGTAGGGAAATGAAATAGTTTTATAAAGAAATCACCAAATGCTGAAGACATCTTTAGAAAAAAACAGCTCAGATTCATTATGATCATACTTTTGAGCATCCGGAGGCAACTTTTTTGGTTTTGATGGCGATACAAATAGCAAAATTTATAGGGAATTTTACAGCAAAACACATCCTAACCGAAATTTTGTGCTTGGGGTCGCATATTTGTCAAATGCTCTAAAACTCTGCATTTGTTAAAAGGAAATTTCATCCTTTGGAATAGTTAGACTACATCCACTTCACTTGAGAAGATCTGGAGGAAAAAGTAGCTCTATAATGATATCACTAACAGTTCTTGATATAATTGGAATGCAGTGACCAAAACAGAACCAGTGTTAAAAAGTTTTGATACAATTTCAAAACTGACAAAAAATTTGGAATAAAATACTCTTTCCAGGTTACCTCTGCTTGTTTCTAAAACCCTTACAATTAGTATTGGCGACTTGCCTGTACCTTATATTGGTATCCACCAAGTAAGTATATATTCAACTTTCACAGTGGTTTGTTTGTTTTGAGCATTATAGACAATGCACCATATTCAGTGATTTTTTCCATGAATTTCCTTTATTTATATGCATTGACAGAGAGATCGAACCCAAAATCTTTAAGTTGGTTTGTGAATCTTTGCTTGATTTTTGACTCTTCCCACAGATTGAGTAAGGTTCTTACAAGAAAAAATTTGTATGCATTTTTTAAGAATTTTAATTTATATACTTTGCACTCTTTGGTTCAACAAGAAAATACAAAAAGTTTTCTGCAAGTCACTGTCTCAACTTTAAAGAGGCAGATGTATTTAAAATGTATTCCTTCAAGCTAAAGTTTATAATTGCCTGCTAGCAACTACAGTAATACAGCTTTTCAAAGAAATAGAACATACTGGAAATACATGGTAATTTGTCCCCTTCTATCATAATCATTTGTGACTGGCTCCTACAGACTGTTTGATGAAAAATTATATTTTTGAACTAAACTGAGACAAGTAAAGATAGAGGCCAAAAACCATTTTTCAAACGAGATGTACTCACGTGTATCTTTAACATATTACAACAATGAGCCTCTGGCCTTAATGCCTCACAAACCACGGAGAAGAAGCAATTGCAGTCTACATTGCCAACTTCGCAAACAAAGGTTACCTTCCAGCACATACACCTATGTTAGGTTTGGAAAATGAAAAATTCAATTAAGTGAAATGCAGAGTCTGATTTCTCAAGAAATGTGTGATCAAACAAAATATATTGAAGAGGGTTTGGTTTACACAGACTTCCGAATCCCCATAACTGCTAGGCAGCCTTGCACGTTCCTGCATGAAATAACCAATACCATAAACCTTGCAAGCCCACAGAACACTTTTCAGAAACATAAAACAGAATAATCAAAAGTACCTTAATTCAGATTGTGTTTTAAGTTCTTTTTAATGCATTCAATGCACCAAAGCGGCATACTAACTTGAATCATTATCATGCTAAAAATATCCAAAGACAAGAAAGTAATGAAATTTCACAGATATTACATCTTCAGATGACAAATAGTATGGCATCATAACTTCATTTCAAAATTGTTTTAGCAACAAGGAGATTCACTATCAGATTGCTATAGATCTCAATACAATTACAAAGATATGAATCAGACTACTGATGCAACTCTCAAAGAGTGAAATGGTTTACTTGTTCAGATATTTTATACCAACTCAACAAACAACTGTAGATTAATAGCTGGACCAAAGCCAAAAACCAGGAATGAAAACCTTTCGCTGACAACAGTGGTCCATAATCATTCTTTCTTCGTTCCATGTGAATTCTTCATTTCAAACTAGATGTACAATGGTAATTGTCACCATTAGTTGAAACAAAAAGTAGCTTTCATTGGTAAAATTCAAATGAATGTGGTATATCAGTAAGTGTCTAGCATTTCCTCAAAACATTGAAAAAAAAAAAACAGTTGCAAGAATATCAAGTACTGTAAGACTTTGTGAAAATAAAGTTAAAAATCTATTTTGCATAACACCAGTATATATATTTTGCTTATTTACAATTCAACTGGAATTACCATGATGTACATATAGCATAGAATGGTAAGCAGCATGCACAAATATACAGAGACAGTAGTTAACATCAAAGTTTCACCATATAAAATCCTGTGAGAAGGAGCAGCAGGTACTTCCTCAGATCATCTGCAAACATCGACTAACACCAGTCCACTGTTTCTTTGGTTTGACAACCATAAACAGCACTGCATGTAAGATTAACCAAGGTTATTTTCAATGTATTTAGACCAAGCTTTACTCTTACCCTCTAGACTAATTTTAATCCTACAGAGAAACATTCATCCTGTGACAAATTTTCAACAATAATATATACAAATTAGTTAACTGACCGAGTTGCTTTTCATGCTTCCTTTACAATTTCTACCATTTTCTTAACCTCTGAATTTGTTACATTTTAACTAAAATCTTGTTGACAAACAGAACTGAATTACAGGAGATTCTATATAGTGACAAGCATTGCTCAGAGACACCTACACACTGAAGATGTTGGTGAAAAAACAGAGACACTTATCGTTGTACTTTCGTTATTTTCCTCTCTTAGTAAGTCCTTGAGAAATGGTCCTATATTCCATATATCAACCTCACAAAATATCTAGGCAAGAGTGGGGTGGGTCTACCATCTGAAAAACAATATTTTAGAAAAAGACGTTGAGAGTCAATGATTATTATTATTTACCATCAAACTGACAAGTGCATTCCATTTGCCAAGATGTCTTCTTCGAAATTCAGTGGTACTCAAAACTCAATGTTAACAACTGAAAGGTAACAGACAATCTTTGAAAATTCAAGTCAGAGATCATTATTATCTCTAGAAAACACTTTGACCAAATTTGTTATTTCAACTGTAGATTCTTCAATGGAATCCAAAACGAAACAATTAATTGTTGCCCAATAAAAGCTGGTGACGTTTGATAACTATTTTTGGATTTTATCGCACCGAAAGCTAACAGTTTTTCGATTGTAATTCATCATCGCGTCTTCCTTCCATCCTGTGTTGCAGTCTCGAAGCCACATCTCCATATTGAAAACCAAATAAAGGCACACAATAACAAAGGGTTGAAATTGTGCCTCCCCATCTTCGAACAATTTTTTGTGTTTCCATGTATTTTCCCCATACTTGAATGATCTTGGGACAACCTTTGCAGTTCTATAAGCATGCATTCTGGAACCTTTTACCTATTGCTGTGACCGGATTCGAGAATCTTCTTCAAGACGGACATGCCAGTACTGTGTTTTCACGATCCATTGGCATTTGCTCGCTTTGTTCTTTGATATTTCTGTGAGATACTTCTCGAAGTTTCTCAAAAAAAGAATCCATACCTGTGAGTTTTTCTAATTCTTCGTCGTAAGCCTTGCTCTCCCGAGTTTTCATGTCCCATCTGCTTCTCTTTCTCCGTAGCCTATCCGTGGGAAACGTACTCGCCCTTTTCACAACTTTCGAATCAAGAATTTTTTTCGTTAATTCATTATTTTTTAATAAATTTATTGTTGATGCCAGAACAGCGTCAACGCACATACTCGGATGTCTTCTGGTCCTGTTATATCTCTTCTTTCGGATCGCCGAGGATAACAGTTTTCGAACGTCCTTTTGGTCTTCAATCATAATATTTTCTTGTCCACAACACATTTCTGCGTTCTAGTATCTTATTCAAACAACGTTGAAACTATCTTCCTGTAAATAAGGCTTCTTCTAAGGTTTGATAGCGACTAAATGTTTCTCCTTTTCTCCTTCCTTTCACTAGAGTTTTCGCGAATCTACTTCGTTCGACAATCGATACACGTCAAATTGGAAGCTTTCGTTTCATTGTTAGACAAACAGGTTTAGAACCTGTTTAGCTGGTTTTCGAACCAGTCAGCATCATCTGCGTGTTCATGTGACATAAAATAGAACCTTGATTGGTTTATTGAGATATCCGCCTGCCCCGGTGTTTATTGTTGTCATGCATCTCTGCATGCAAGTGATGTGACGTAATGAGACGTAAGAAAATTTGCATCAAAATAAGAAATGTGGCGAGGGGGATTTCCTTTGTGATTCCGCTATCAAGATTGTTCGGGAGATGAATCATGCCCGTCTTCTTGAGACATGCACTAGCCCCCGTTTCAGGTTCATTGCACATGCGCATTATCGCTTGAATTTTTTCGTGTGAAGCAAGCATTCTGGAATTTTTGCTTGCGAAAATCAGGGCCGCCGAGAGGGGGCAAATTGCCCCAGGGCCTCAAAGTCTGAGTGGCCCCATAACGTAACGAATTCCATTCTAATCTTTCTGAGTGGAGAAAGATCAATCAAACGTTCCAAAAGTATAGCTAAAAAATCAGGGGCATCATGGCGAATGAATTCAAGGGGTGCCAGAAGAAAAATTTTCCGACAGCTGATTCATATTTCAAATGCACTTCAAAGTGTCCCTGACATCTCGCAACCCTATAGATCGATAGATCAGGACAAGGGTAGAATAAAGTTACCATGGTTGCCGCCGAAGGGCAAAATTTGTTACAATCTTGAATCGTAATGCTTCAAGTTCGCCGGAAATTAAATTCTTTCGAGCAAATCTTGATAATAATATCTTATTTTAAAAATGAATATCCACTTGCAAAAAGCGATGGTATTTATCGACTTTTTATCACCGCATAAATTTTCAAGTCTGGGACAACATTTTCAAATCTGGTTATAGGTACAAAATCGGCACTTTCCCAGTCTTTAATATCAACTAAAAATATAATTTATGAGAAAAAATGCAAATTTCCATAACCAAATTTGGCCCTGAAGATTCGGATTTTCACTGACGGTATCCCAGCAGGTAGAAATCACTCTTTGGTAGTAATCGGTAAAGCCTATGAAATAATTTTGTTTTTTGAAATCTAGTATTTTCTTTACAAAAGTGAATTACTTCTCAATAATGCGACAAAGACTTTAGTCCAATTGATTTATGTCGTTAAAAGGTTCGTTTCACTTCTCCTTTTTACCAACAAGTTTCGTTTTATTCTTCCTTTCAAGCTTGAGAATTCTCCGACATAATAATAAATTTTCTGAATCTCTGTCAAATTTTGAAAACAGGGGGGCTACGGCCCCCTGTCCCCCCGACCACGATGCCCGTGCTAAAAATTGTACATCGTTTGCAACATTGAATTTAAATACAGTCCTCTGAATCTCTCTAAATCTAAATATTTTATAAGGATACTTTCTTTTTATTTGTATCATATATTCTATCCTATACATAGAAACAGAATTGGAATCATGTAGGATAAAGCTTTCTAACATTAGTTTAAATGTGTAGTGACTGACAACCAGTTTGTGCAGTGATAAAAGTAGAAATGTGCAGTGCTAAAACTTTAACTTACAGTAAAAGCGAGAAAATTTTCCATATCTTTCATAAACTTTGACAGCCTAAACATAAAGTTTGCCAAAGTTTTCTATATCTGCGTTTTCCCGTTTTAAGGCTGATTTCCATTTTAAATTTTTTGTGCGCGCGGGCCTCAATATAGGGTCTCAACTTTTTTGTGCGCTCGGCCACTTGACAACTATGATTCTTTCCCTTTTTAATATCATACCACGAGTGATGGTTATGTGCTAATCTTAATCAGCATGGTGAAGGGAGTAGGTCACCCATTCGCAGCATTTCAAATAGTATAAAATGAAGAGTAAAGTGAATGAATTTATAGAAGCGAAGAAATAAACTAGATTAAAGTGAAATATTGAAATCCTTAGGTGTTCCTAGCTTCTTTCATAATTATTGTTTAATGCTATGGCTGCCATACTTATATATTCTTTCTATTCGGTATAAAAACTTACAATAACAAATTACATGAAACAGTACGTACGAACTACTAGACTACCTAAAAGGAGCAATGTATCATGACTGCCTCCTGGGATATGAAATGTATCTAAATATAGCTAATAATAAAATTATAACACTATATATACATACACTAGATTATAATAATACATAGGTAATAAAATGCAACATATACATATACGGTAAATACTTAAGCCCGTTTCACATTGGACCCCCGCCTGGGGGGTACTGCCATTATGGCCTGATAGGGGGTCCGGTCAGGGGTCAAAGTGGGCCAACGCTAAATTTTTTGAAAATTACCTTCAAATGGGAGTATTTTCTGACAAAACCCTTCAAACGGTAACATAAAAATCGAAAATATTTGCTAGCATCCATTTCTTTGTGCTCTCCTGGTCTTTTTTGACAAATTTCTTCATAATTGATTGTTGTTGTCTCAGGAAAGATAAATCTTGTTCATTATCTATAACAAATTGCAAGCTAAACTGAGCAGTTCAGTTATTAACGAAAATGGGCCATTTGGTAGCCATTTGGTAAGACCCTCAAACGAACTGGACCCCCTGTCAGGCCTTAATAGGAAGTACCCCCCCCCGGGATTGGACGCCATTGGAAAATACGTTATAATGGTTGGGGTTTATACCCAAAAAAAATTATATTTTATAAACCCCGCCAACTACAAGCTGGTCTTGCTACGGTATACATCCATGGTCTCGTTCCTTTGGTCTGTATTTTTGCATGTCTACAACAAAGAAATGTTGTTCTTCTTCCGCCTATTTCAAAATAAAAATCAACCACAATGGAAGTAAAACTGCCGCTGGACGAATTAGAGCAATACTGCCAGCAAAATCTTCCACAAAGAGCGTTTGACTACTACGCTAACGGGAGAGGGAAAAACATAACATTAAAAGAAAACAAAGCTTCCTTTCAAAGGTAAGTTTGTCGAGCTCCTTTGAAACTCAAATAGACTGAACTTCGCTAAACCTAACGGCCGGTCTGCAGAGTATGGCACTTTTCGACGAGATCTCCGGTGTGCACGAGCAAAAAGCCTGGTGTGCCGGTGTGCACCACCAAAAATGTCTGGTGTGCTGGTGTGCACCGACTATTTTCCCCTGTTGTGGTTAAAATTTGTGAATTTGCATTTCACCGTAAAAATGCGTGTGAAGTATACTGTTGAAGATAGCGCAAGTTTTTATTTGTATATTTGTCAAGTAAGATTCATGATATCTCAAATTGTTCATACACAACTGTGCTTGTTTATATCAGCTGACATTTTCTATGGGACCACACCAAGCCACACCCATCTTAGTTGCCACACCCAAAAATACCTGGTGTGCAAGAGGTTTTGCACAAAAATATCTCCGGTGTGCACATGCCATACTCTGCAGACTGGCCTAACGGCCTAATACAGATGTGAATCTAAACATTCTATAATCAGCGAAGACCTGCAATAGACATTCAGCCAGGATTTTGTTTATGCATCACGTGTTAGTCCACAAGTACTAACCCCAATTCCAATCTATACATCTAAAAGTTTTACGGCAACATTTTGGTGCTCATATTCCACGAATTCAGGTCAGACTTGTACACGACCAACACAAAGGTCTCTATTATTAACATTTATAAAGAGGCTTATCAGCGTATGGCATGATAACAGTCGGACCAGGCCTGTACACAGGAGATCTCACAAAGAATTGAAATTTCTTTTTCTGCGATTTATTTCAAAATTCTTTGTTTAATATTTATCATTATACGTGTCTACAGTATGCGATAAACTGAACTGTATTCCCCTTTTCCATAATGTATATAATTTTATCAAACATTATAAACGGAATCGGAATAGAGAAATTGGAGCCACATATTGAAGAAGGGCAACTGATCGCATTCCTTCTAATATTTTTGTTTAAACATTTTTTAAATCACGTTTTTTGACAGATGGTTATGACGCTTGTCGTGTTTGGCGAAAAATTTAGTTTAGATTGGTTCATGGAAACGAAAGGCCATCAATATTGCAGGACAATGACTTCTTTTTCAATGATTTTTCTTAATTGATTCTAGGTGGAAAATACTTCCACGCTATTTACAAGAAGTGAATTGCTATGATGTGGACACTTCGATTAGTATCTTGGGTAGCACTATTTCAACTCCAATTTGTGCAAGCCCAACAGGGTTACACAAAATTGCCCACCCCGATGGAGAACTGGCAACTGCCAAAGGTAAGTTTTTTTAAGCAAGGCAGAGTTATAAGGAGATGTTTTCAATTTTCAACTCAAAAAGATTTATTAAAAAATCTCGTATGATCATGCACGTAGACTGGGTTCTAATCACTAAACTGTGAATCCTATTGTATATATTTTGGCTAATAAGAGATTGAAACGAACTGGATAGTTAAACAGATGAAATCAATAACAGCACGGGCTTTATTTCAACAGTGGCCTTAACTTAGTTATGCTTTTGTATTTTCATTGACAGATTTTATCGAATTCTTTGATTTTGACATTTGGAGGTCGAATGGATCGGCAAATCAATAACGTGCCCTCTCCCCTTTTTGTGATAGATGATGGAGCTGGATTATCTGTGTTCAGCAGAGCCGCCGGAGCCAGGGGGCCACGGGGGCACAGGCCCCCCTGATTGCAAAAAGTGTAAAAAGTGCCCTTTTTTGAAAAATATATTGTGTGCATTCTATTATTGCCAGCTTTTTGCCTTTAGAAGCTAAGTAAAATAACCGAAATCTAGGCGTTGTTGGAGAACTATTCACTAAAATTTCCTTAAATTTTTCGATGGATGGTCATGATGCAAAAAGTGCAAGCTCCTGTCATAAAAAATAACAACTGCCAAGGTGGCTGTCTGTTTGGCGTGAAAATTCCCTCGTATGTCTTCAGCAACAAACGCATTAGTGAAAGGTCAGCATCAAGTCTAAGGAGAGTTAGAAATTATTTTCGTTCGTCAATGACCCAAGGACGACTTAACCACTGCATGATTATTTCGATACACAAACAAAAATCTAACGAGATAAACTTAATTAACGTTCCAAATTAATTTTGCTATGGCAGTGAAGAACATGCTCACACCTTCGGCTGATTGCGTGAATATGACTTAAACCTAAAATTTTATAGCTTTAAAAAAATATTTCATGGAGGCAAAAAGTTATGTGTTTCAGGTAACGTAGGAATGGGAAGGCGCGAAAAACCAAGGGGGGTTAAATTACTTAAATTTAAAAAATAAGAAAATTAAAATCATTATTCGAATAGGCGTTAGATAATCATAGAGACTGAAACTCTGAAAAGGATAGGGACTGGAATTCGTTTTTAAGTAGATAGGGTCTAAAAATTTCTTTCAGTTCCTTACATCATATATTGGGTTTAATTTTAAACGTTTTTATTAATTTTGTATTTATGACTGCATCAATGTGGATTCATTGGTATGTTGCAATAAATCTGATCATTTATTGAGTATATTGGTCACAAGTATGGGGGAAGGATGTGTGCCTACCGCTTAACCGGGGCCAAATCCTCTTACAATATAAATTATAAGAAAATATACGTATTGAGATAGAAATATGAATCGTACATGAAAGAAAGATTTACACTACAAAAAAACTCCAAAGCCCATGAGATGAGGAGTTATATAATTAGTTAAGGGTGATCAAGTGCTTGGTCCCTAAATAAAGTACACAGCCACGTCTCCTTTCAGCGAAGATAGTTCCCACTATGCTCAATGTGTTTCATTTTTTATAAATGTCTAAATCAAAATGAAAGCTGTTCTTTTTTTGGCACAAACTAATGATTCGTTTTGGCCCCTCTGTTCAATTCTGCTTCCGGTGACCCTGTTCAGCCATCATGAAGTTTTGAAAAATTACACAAGGGGGGGGGGGGCGGACTACCTTTTAAAAATGAATAGATTCATCAAAACCTATTAGCCTTTAGATCTAGAGTTATAATCGAGGGGCAATTCACTCTTGCAAATAGCTTACGAGATTTTCCCTAAAACAAAAGGATTTCTAGGGATTTTCAGATAAAACAATCGGATTTTCACAAAAGGTGTACGAAATTTTCTTGGGGTGATTTGCCCCTCGGTTATAATTCTTTTAAAAATTTACGTTGGTCGAAGTTAAACAAACTGATCCAGTCCTACTAATATTTTTTCACTTTACATGAATGTGCTTTTCTTCTACCTTCAGGTTGTTATGCCGCTAAAACATGTATGACAGTTAGTGCATTCGCAACATATTCTTACGAAGAAATTGCTGCTTCTTGCCCCAGTAGTCTACGATGGTGCCAGATGTACATTTTCAAAGACCGCAACCTAACATTAAACTTTGTTCGACGAGCTGAGTCAGCTGGTTATAAAGCACTGGTTTTGACTATTGATACAACCCCTTTGTTTAAATCAGGAGACAAAAAAAGTCACTTCGAATTACCTGATTGCATCGAAGCAAGAAATTTTAAAGAGAGGCCAGTCAAGACCCTTGAGGCTCTCACGCAGAAAATCTGTAGTCTTATAGATCCAGACATACGTGGACAAGATATTCAATGGCTAAAGTCGATTACCAAACTTCCTGTAGTACTTAAGGGTATCATGTCAGTTGATGATGCAATAGAGGCAACTAAGGCTGGTGTTGAAGGAATTATAATTTCAAACAAGGGAGGGAGAAATTTAGACGAAGTTCCAGGCACGGTAAATTGCGCATTATATCCATAATTTCCTTTTTGGTTTTCCTATGTGGCGTAAGAGGTGGTACAAAGCAAAACAAGACAACCTGATACCATTTGATTTCAATGATGATGTTACTAGTGAAAGTTGTTTGATGTAGTCAGTGTTTAATTAACTTGATACTCATTATTTATCTGTAGCTGCGTTGCAAATTTGCACTTAAAAATTCTCAATAAAATTTTCCCAAAGTTTTCTCATACCTTCCAAAATTTTCTCAAATTAATTTTTTTGATGGTATGAAAAAATATAAGTTTAGACTTTCACAGGACATAAACTATATTTTCAATATCGATATAGACTCAAACTGTATATTCTGTATAGCTTTGAGTGATATTTAAATATATTCTTTGTTATTCCATTGATTTAAAATGTGAATTGAATTTGAAATTCAGCTAGAGGTCCTTCCTGCAATCGTTGACGCTGTTCAAGACAAATTAGAAGTTTACATAGATGGTGGCATCAGAAGTGGAGCAGATGTTTTCAAAGCGCTTGCTCTTGGTGCTAGAGCTGTTTTTATTGGCAGACCTGTCATTTGGGGCCTTGCATACAATGTATGTTGGTGGATATCTGTTTCCTGTTTCATCGCTAAAACAATTTATATCTTTATTTTTCATCTACATGTTGCAGCTTAATATGTGCACCATTACAGTAACCATAACAAAAGCATCAACTGGAATTGTGTCTTTGGTAGCAATTCCAAATGAAATATGAGGATATTTAGAAATGCTTAGAATTTTATTCATTAAGTTCTTTAAATCCTTGTTATAATTGAAAAATCTTAAATAATTTAATAATTTTTATGGAACACAACACAACCAAATGTATCCTCATTATGGGCCTAAAGCACAAACTGATCAACACTTCAATTCTTGCCTTCAAGGGATCTCGTGGCGTTACTGATGTATTTCAAACGATGAATGATGAGTTGAGGCTTATCATGGCGAATACAGGTCTGTGGAGCTATAAATTTAAATTTAAATTTAGTCTCTTGTTAAGAATCAAATTTTTCTGCTCTGTTCCCGTTTAAATGATTGTCGTGCTGGTCAGGGTCTACGACGAAGAGGGGGCTGGGAGTATGCCCCCCCCCCCACTTTTTGCAAAACGGGAGGTTCGATTGCTTATACACACAAATTGGTTTAACATAAACAACTGTCGCAGCTTACTTAGGCACTCCTATACTAGAGAAAATGCCTTTAAAAAAATCATCCAAACAGGGAAAAAATGTCTTTGAAAAGAAATTTTAAATGGATGGTTTTGGCTCCAATGTGCGATGAAAGGGCCTGTTATTCACTTGAAACTTTCATATTTTTTATAATACATACATTTTTCATACAACTTATTTTTGTAGTTATGCTTTGTATTAATGCATGAATATCTATGTTTATCTGTTTTAGGTTGTGGAAGAGTATCAAACATTAACCAAACATCTTTAAGAAGACATTGTCAGTGTCGTCTTTAAACGATTCTTATTTGTTGCATTAATTGCTTCACTCTACTGATTCGGCAAGCAATAGTGAAATGACAAAGGTTTACATTTGCTTATTTTCTTGTTGTGTAACAAGGGCCTTACATTTAGAGTTGGTGCAGGACTTATCAGCCTCAGTTTTTCTAAATTGTTTGAGACGATTTTGTGCTAAGAGAGGTACGCCAGAAGTCATTAATTCAGATAATGCCAAAACATTCAAAGCAACTGCAAAGTTTTTGAAGAAATTGAGTAATAATCAAGAGATAAAAACATTCTTGGAAATTAAAAGAATTAAGTGGAAATTTAACTTAGAAGTTAGCCCATGGCAAGGAGGGCACTTTGAAAGGATGGTACGTAGTGTAAAGAGATGCTTAAGAAAGGTACTTGGAAATGCCAAGGTATCCCATGATGAACTATGTACTTTACTGGCAGAGGTAGAATGTGTGCTCAATAATAGACCCCTGACCTACTTGTATGATGAGCTTGGTGGAGAAGTCCTTACCCCATCTCATTTAGTCATGGGGAGGAGGTTGAACTTGTTGTCGTCAGGCATAGAATATAGGAATAAGAGCAAGGAAAATCAGTCATCTTTAACTAAACGTTTCTTGCATTTAACCCGATTATTGAATCATTTTTGGAATAGATGGAAAAAAGAGTACCTTGTAAACCTTCGGGAGTCACACAAAATGGTGAGTAATAAACAGCAAGAGATCAGAACTGGAGACATAGTATTGGTACAAGATGACAACTTGAAAAGAGGAGAATGGAAGGTAGCCAAGGTGGAAGAGCTAATTGCAGGGAAAGATGGACATGTTCGCGGAGCAAAGGTACGCAGAGTCGGAAAGGGTAAGTATGAAATATTAAATAGACCTATTCAAAAACTGTACCCATTTGTAGACGCGGGTGAGGAAGTGAAAGAATCGAAAAAAGAAGGGAACGTAATGCATCAGGGAGGAAAGAAGCAAGAGAAAGGGAACGCAGTTGAGGGGAGAAGTGAGAATGAGCAACAGGACCAATTCCAGGCACACCAAGCCACAGGGACCCGAGCTACTAGGGCAGCCGCTAGGGACGCACGAGCAATTTCGTATAAAAGATTTAAATAGAAACACTAAAGTAGAGTTAGAGTAGAGTCGCTCGAAATGTAGGTAAGAGACGAGCAACGTAGAGTCGCCTAATAATTGTATGTGGAATAAAACAGGAAATTAAAGATGTACGAAAACGATATGGTCTTTTTCTTGAGAAATTCGGTTCACTTCTGAAACCTCTTTCGAATCAGTAGAGTGAAGCAATTAATGCAACAAGTGGTCCACCGAGCCGGATGTTTACAGTGAATATGGAGAATTTAGAAAAGGACAAGAAGAAGAGAAGTCTATTCAGAAGAAATGTTACGAAGTTGGTGAACAAAGTGAAAGATATATTGGATTCTCCAGATGTGGAAGATGGATTGGTCGAGCATCTGCGTAAGGAGCTGCTGGAACGACAAATAGAGCTGAAGGAAGTTGACGATAAAATTTTGGATTCACTGCTGGAAATCGAAGAAACAGAGGAGCAAGAATTGGATAGAGAAAGTGAAGAGGCGAGTAGCTATAAGGAAAAAATTTCATTTGCCATCAGCAGGATCGATCGATTTCTAAAACCGCCAGAACGAAATTCGCACAACATTCTTGGAAATTAAAAGAATTAAGTGGAAATTTAATTTAGAAGTTAGCCCATGGCAAGGAGGGCACTTTGAAAGGATGGTACGTAGTGTAAAGAGATGCTTAAGAAAGGTACTTGGAAATGCCAAGGTATCCCATGATGAACTATGTACTTTACTGGCAGAGGTAGAATGTGTGCTCAATAATAGACCCCTGACCTACTTGTATGATGAGCTTGGTGGAGAAGTCCTTACCCCATCTCATTTAGTCATGGGGAGGAGGTTGAACTTGTTGTCATCAGGCATAGAATATAGGAATAAGAACAAAGAAAATCAGTCGTCTTTAACTAAACGGTTCTTGCATTTAACCCGATTATTGAATCATTTTTGGAATAGATGGAAAAAAGAGTACCTTGTAAACCTTCGGGAGTCACACAAAATGGTGAGTAATAAACAGCAAGTAATCAGAACTGGAGACATAGTATTGGTACAAGATGACAACTTGAAAAGAGGAGAATGGAAGGTAGCCAAGGTGGAAGAGCTAATTGCAGGGAAAGATGGACATGTTCGCGGAGCAAAGGTACGCAGAGTCGGAAAGGGTAAGTATGAAATATTAAATAGACCTATTCAAAAACTGTACCCATTTGTAGACGCGGGTGAGGAAGTTAAAGAATCGAAAAAAGAAGGGAACGTAATGCATCAGGAAGGAAAGAAGCAAGAGAAAGGGAACGCAGTTGAGGGGAGAAGTGAGAATGAGCAACAGGACCAATCCCAGGCACACCAAGCCACAGGGACCCGAGCTACTAGGGCAGCCGCTAGGGACGCACGTCTCAAAACTAAGTTATTGCTTGACTCGTAGGAACTAGTCAAGGAGGGGGGTGTGTGCTGGAAACGTGCTCACACATGTGTTGTGGGAAATTAGATACTTACAGATACAGTAAAATTAATAGACTCGTGGAAACAGAAATTAAGGAACCATAAATGCACACAACATCCTGCATGATGCACAGGCACATGGTTAAATCGTAGTAAAAACCGTAAGTAAAGCAGATTAATCAGTATTATTAGATAAATGGAGCAATTTCGTATAAAAGATTTAAATAGAAACACTAAAGTAGAGTTAGAGTAGAGTCGCTCGAAATGTAGGTAAGAGACGAGCAACGTAGAGTCGCCTAATAATACTGATTAATCTGCTTTACTTACGGTTTTTACTACGATTTAACCATGTGCCTGTGCATCATGCAGGATGTTGTGTGCATTTATGGTTCCTTAATTTCTGTTTCCACGAGTCTATTAATTTTACTGTATCTGTAAGTATCTAATTTCCCACAACACATGTGTGAGCACGTTTCCAGCACATTATTCTTACGTGGACATTGGCTTAAAACATATAACCAATAAATTATTCCAAATGCCTCAATTCCTTATAACGTTATTACTGATGAATAAATAAGCAACTTTTGAATGTATTATTTTATTTTGTAAACAAATTTAAGTTATTGATTGCCCTTCTTTTAGAAACGAGTGTATTTTTAGTAGTATCATATAAAGACTACCTATTCAACAAGCCTTGTCAACTTGTCAAGGCCTCATTCAGGTCTTAGAGAAAGCACTGGCGCAACTTTCCTCGCTGTGTCGGGCAGTCCTGCTAAGGCATTTACTGGGTAAAAATGATTTTCCTTCTAGTTTTTTGTTTAGCCCAAAAAGTTCATTTTATAGGAAGACTCTTTATTACCTTGATTAGGGCTGTAGATTTTGAGAAAGTGATGACTGCTGACAAGAGTATGTTCGATCATGAATCTGTTAACCTCAGCAGTAGAATGAAAGCAACAAAACAAAAATTTTTGTACAAGCAAGAAAACTTCAAGATAACCCTAGCAATGGCTAGACGAAGTAGGCAAAGCAAAACAAAATAACCATCTTTTTTACGTCATTCATTGGGTGAACATTCTAAAAAAATGTTCTTTCGTCAAAGCAAACATTAAATCGAGAAAAACTCTCCTAGAAAAGGCACTTATGATTAAAATTAATTATTCAGTCTCAGATACTTCAATTAAATTTTTGAAAATAAAGAGTCCATCAAAAGGGACTTTACCTCTGTTCATCTGAACTGACATTGTGCGCTGACTTTCAAATACTTGCTGAGATCAGGACAAGGGTCTTTCAGCTCCGGGTAGTCTTGATCCGTGGCGCCAAGGAAGCAGGTTGTTCTTCCATCACATTTTTTAGCAATCAGTTCAGTTATCCCATCATACGAACAAGCCTTTTCAGTAGTGAAGTTTTTGTACATGCACACGTCAGAGGCAACACGTCCATAAAAGGCAGACATAACTTTTATTTCTGTAGGCCAGTTGCAAGAGATGTAGACAAAGTTGTCAGTTTGATCAGCGCAAACCAATGATACTTTAACGTCTGGCTTTATTGCTATATGGATCAAAATAAACCTTTTAAAATAAACATTTTAATAAGAAATTGAACACCTTTGAAAATACAAACAGTTGTCCTCTAGCAGAAAGAAAGGGGTTACTTGAAACTGAAGCGCTACCAGGTGGTACTCGTTAATCACACCGCTTGGTGGCAGCAACAAGGGCTGAATGCGAAGCATTGTCTGCTATTGAGAGGTGGGTTTAAAATTATCAATGTAAATGCGGTCAAGTGGGCTGGCTCACTCAGGTTGGCAGTGATGAATACCACCAATTCATAGGAACATTTAAGGCCAGTCTCGGATCAAGATAAAAAAATTATGAGAGACGGGTGACATTAAAAGAATGCTGTGAGGCGCAATGAGATGTGAGTTTTTTTCCATAAACCTTCGCCTTTGTGCGCATGTGCAGATGATGTATTTTCTTATTGGTCCAGACAAATGGATAGAAAATAGTCCTAAACAATAGAAATCTAGACTCGTCTCGCCAACCAGAGAGAGCTTCTATAACACAAGCAAATTTATAGGTGGGAGCCAACACTGTTCCCAATCTGAACAAACGTTTTGGACAACCCCTCAAATTAAAGGCTTACAATATATCTTTATAATCTAAGATAAATTTCCCCAAACATAAATCAGTTTGCTTGTCATACCTTTACAGGTCCTTCGATTGGAGCCAAGATAATGCCCGTCCTTGCAGCTGCAGACGTGACCTCCGTAGACATTATGACATTTATGATTGCATCCACCATTTTGAATTTTACACTCATCAATATCTATACACAAGATGTAAGTTTGTATAGGACCCATGATTAATTTGTTACGTAGGTAAAATTACTCTTACGGCTATTTGCCCAATCTAATTAACGGCTAATCAAAGCTTCATTATGAAGTTTTACAAAAAAAAATTGGATTTCTATTTAACCCTCACCTGTATATTCATGTACCAGGCCTATATACAATGCAAAAGTGGCACATAATTTATCTTCTTTCGCGATTGGCCATTTTTCAAGTTTAGCCCGACCAAGTACGACTTCCATACAATGATAAAATTTATGTTTTGCTACCAGCCTGAACTATTTTAGTTTATGTTGAGAAAAATCTACTAAACAAAATTTCTTAAAAAACGTGGATCTTCCCCAAACTTGCTTTTAACCCTTCGTGCCTAAAAGCATTCTTAGATTTTTTCTTGCTAGTTTCCGAAAAACCACGTATTTGACCATAATTTTTCCAAGAGACAAAAGTACGCCATACAAACACGATACACGTAACAGTTTTAATTATCTACCTTTTTGGTCAATGAATCCTCATTTACCAACACCTCCTTGTGAACAGAATAACATTGTATGATGCCTACGACATTCATTTGATTACTATTTTCACATTTGAATTCATTTGAGGAGGCTGTGTTGCATTATTAGGTCTTTTATGAAATATACTTAATTGGGAAAACAAACTTACCTTCGCAGCTGCTAGAATTTGCATCCAACTCAAAGCCATCCAAGCACTTGCAAACATAACCTCCAGGCAGGTTGATACAATGGTGTTCACAAACGCCATCGATGCACTCGTTGATATCTTAACAAGAAAGAAACCCCAGTCAAAGTCAATTTAAGGGTTAAAAAAGGCACCTGAAACCGATCGGTCTGCTTCTTATCTTATTTTCATTTGTATTTTGTGTTTGTTACTACCAAGCTTTAGAAGGCAGTTTTTTGGACATTGAGAAGCTATGCTTGACAAGCAGTGTCCTGGTCTTTTCTGTTGATGTGACAAGGAGCATGCTGGTATAACAAAGAGCCGGTGCTAACCCCCAATCTAAGTGAAAATTTGATCATACCAGTGACTTGAACCATAGAGATCTGCAGTCAAAAACTCTAGCCAATCAACTTTTGTTACACCTTACTTAGTGGATCAAATTGTGTACTTTCTTCCGGTCTCACTCATCTAGATGTGCATGTTTTTTATGTATTTAGATGCTAGTGTCCGGGACTACCATTTCGTCAGGCAAAGACCGTAATGCATGAAACAACTTGAAGCTACTTCCATGATGTTCAAAAGCTGTTTTTCTAACTCTGTTGGTACAAGTTTTAAAGCAAACTCCTTGGGTTTTGTGGCAAGCATGTCACAAAATGTCACAAATGCGCAGGAAATTGATATTGTTGTCCAGCTTTGGGAAGGGTTTCTGGACGCAAAATTGGTGAATATGAGCTACGGCAGCTAAGGAAGAGTTCATATCTGTTTTTATTTCAGTTTAATGTAAAATTTTTATGTACAAATTTATGAAAAAATTTGAAATACTTTTCAGACTGTGTTTGAAAATCTACACCACTGGGTAAATGGTTGAATGTTAGACCATTTCAAATCTACATCTACTTGTGATGAAGGTAATACTTCTAAAAAACTTTCCAATACTCCATCAAAGGCAAGATGAAATGATACTTACCATGGCAGGTGTCATACTTCAAAATGTAGCCTTTACTGCAGCGGCACTCATAGCTTCCCGCAGAGTTGACACAAGTCGCGGTGCAATTACTGCTATCCTCCGGGGCGCACGTGCACGGGTTGCGGGAACATTCGTCGGTATCTGTCAGAAAAATCGATATACTTAATGATTTAATCAAAGCATTCTCTTATCCCTTAAGGTCTTCTTTATACCAGTTCATAGAAAGTAAACTGTAAAGCCAATATTTAACTGAACTTTCTATACATATACATACTACAAATATATATACAAAGCATATCTACGTGTCTATATAACAGTCATAGAATCATGTCATTTACATAATTTATAGAAAGTAAATGCACATACCGATGCATTTGTTTGTCTCCTCTGGATGGGCCTTAAAACCTCGCTTGCAACGACATCGAAAACTTCCCCAAGTATTTTCACATACTTGTTCACAATTATTTTTAGATTCATCCTTGCATTCGTTCACGTCTAAAATGAGATAAATATTTCATTTTTGTTTTTAAGTTCGCTATTTTTTCCTAGTACGATTTTAGTTTAATTTCAAGTTATAAAATGAGGTAAAATTGAATAAAGCCATTGAAAATTAAACTATTCTTAACGAGTTCCGATATTCTCGCGTTAAATCTAGTTTCAACGACTTGTGATTCCCTGTTCGTCTTCCCATTTCCAGTTTGTATACATATATGCAATGCAGTTCATATTAGGTATTCCGACCAAATAAGTAACGAAAGAAAAAAGGAATTCTCATATTAGTACTCACCGTTCTGACAAAACTCTCCCTCAAACCCAGATTGGCACTCACATTTGTCAGGAGCTACGCACTTCCCACCATTCATGCAGTCCACTGCGCAGATTGCTACAATAATGATACAAAGATGAATAAATTTTCCGATTAATGTACATTACTGTTAACCATAAATGTTTTATGAAATTTCACATGTTTAGCCGACAACATTAACTTTTTCAGTGAACATTGTGGTAGCAATTTTCCAACGAAAACCTAATCAAAGTTCTTCTGAAATCAGGCAAATCATGTACAGGGTCTAAAGTCTGCAATGGTGAGGACACAACCTTCAAAAAGTTTATTAACAGCATGACTTTGAGAGAAAAGCTCAAAAAGGGTTATATTTTTCTCCCTTTCTTCCCAATCAATCATCGCCACTAATTTTAAGCTTATCAAAAGAAATAATAATAATACCCTTTTAACATCAAAAGAGAGTTCAAGCCACGTCAAATGCAAAACTCTCTTGAATTTTGCTCCTCTCAGAAAAAATCATAGTTAAACCAATAGCTTGTATACCTTATTCCTTATTAGTGGCAAATTGCTGATTAGTTATGCACGGTGTAAACAACGAACTCTACTTTAAGCAATTCATACTAACTCGCCGTTTGAGCAAAAAGCAAACGTGGGTTTGATAGTTGCAGATTAAAACACAAAAATCAAATGTGTTTTTCTCATGGAAATCTGTATTCATATAAGAAAATTAACAGCAAGCTACAAAGAATGATTCATGTGAAAGTAATTCTTTGGGCAGCCTTTGGTCAAGCGACATGATCTAATTTTGGGTTACTTTGAAATTCTTAGTATTTCTTATTTTTCACGCTCACCCTCGTTCGCTCAAAAGCTATTATATATACTGTGTTATTTTTAAAGCGGTTGATTTGAAGGAAGACCATTAAGAATTTGTCTATGTGATTGGACAGCAAGTAGCCTGCGTGCAGTTTCTAAGAAGAAGAAAGGAAATTTCTCCTCCCTAGAGTCTGCACGCAGTCTAGAATAAAGAGATGCATGATTAGCTTTGATCGGAATAGAATTTCCAAAATGCAACAACTTGATTTCATTTACAAATGGTCATTTTATTGATTTCATGCTATGCTTACAAAAATATCTCGGTTAAGCCATCAGTCGTTGGATATAGTCCACTACTCATTCAAAATTGATCACATTATCGCCAATATTCTGAGGGATAAGCATAGCCATTTCTGATCAATATCTTTGAGCCTACTTACGCGTACTACATTCTTGACGGCCTTCTGATTGCATCCATCCACTACAACAATAGTAAACTGGAAAATTTTCCCATACTGTCCTCATCATGTACTCCACCGCGCTCTGCATTCTGGTTACAATATAAAATGAGATAATGTAGGACTCTTATAATCAAATCATCTAACACAAATTGCTCTTAAATCCTACTGTATCTGGGAAATAAGATCTGCAAAGTTTGCATATATCTTAGGCCCCGGCAAAACGACTGGACATTATCACTGAACAGGCACTGGACAAATATCCAGCGTAAATGTTGCGTCGTTTTGCCACCTTGTCGAGAAAGCAGTATCAATGATTGAATTTCGCTTTCTTATTGCAGAATCTTCAACTCCAAGCACCGTGGAGAAGGGGGAGCTGGGGGGCTATAGCCCCACATTTTGCAAAGAATGACAAATTTACCAATGAATTATCAGTCAAACAACTTTCTTTTGGTTTTAGCCCCCCCCCCACCTTTTTTAGACCCCCCATATGAGACATATTTTAAAAAACAGATGGAATTTTCAAGCCAACCAAACCAAAATATGAACGAAATAAAGCGTCCTTAAATCCTGAAACGAACCCTCTACATCAAAGATATTTTACAGTGCCTTTTGTTTCATTCTCTGTCTCACTGCTAGTTCGAATCCAGCAGTACTTCTGAATTTCCATTTTCTTTAACGTATCAAACGGCTTGGAAGAAGCTAAAAACTATTTGTAATTCAATAACTTTCCTTTTGGACCAATCATGGTTGACCCTTTTCGACATTAAACAGACTGCAGATGGTGTTATTGGAAAATCAATAATCTTCATACATAATTTTTAAACAAAAAAGTAGAGAATGATTTATAAATATAATAACTAACGAAGACCAAACATTATCCAAAAAGGGCAAACGCATTCATAAACTGGCGTTGAGTTACTTCACCGCTTTAAAAATTGCAGCCCGATAGCAAGTGGAAGTCACAATTCAGTTGTGGTATTTTGGTAAGATAGTAGCTAAGGAATCGTATCTTAACTCTCCTAGCCTGATTACCAGATGCATGATTACCAAGTTGGAGTTACTTCTAGTTAAGAGGCATTTCCTGTTCACTTGAAAATGTACCGAGGCAGGGCTTGATAAAAGATTCAGGATCCTAGTGTCCCTGTCGTTACGAGCGGGCCAACAATTTGCTAAGCTATTTGCTTTTAAAAGTCTGATAAAACAACAGAGTTAGAAACACCCCTTTTTAAACAGCGGCAAAACATCTCAGCAAGAAATTTCAACCCTAAAGAATATTTTTTTTTGGAAAAATAACTTTTTTGATAAAAAGGGTTTTGACGTTCGTAAAGGATCTCAAAAAGCATATAAGAAGCTCCTAAATTGGTTACTTTTCGGCACTTACAAGGGGGCTGAGCCCCCTGACACCACTAGCAGCAAACCCTGGTCTGCAACTGTGAACATCAGCATATTAAAATTTGCCGACTTGAGTTGATCACGATAATAGCTATCGGTTGATTCTTTAAATTTCTATATACTAAAAATCATACATGAAAGAGGGCACCTACCTGTAAATAGTTCTGTATTGCGTAGACCACCAATTTGTAACATACTTTCGTCTCACAGAAACAAGCTTTGAAGTAATATACGAAACATTCCTTTGGACCTGTCGGCCCTCCATGTACTTGCAAACATGCGAACTGCAACAAAAACACAATAACACATGGTAATACAATCTAGCTTTCATCGTGCATTGTTGCTAATTTGGTTACAGTGGAAGAAATAGGTCAACTTAGGTGTGGATGTACTCCAAGTCTCATACGTCAAGCTCTCTCATTACACACTCAATGGCGTGGCTTGACTTTCCAAACGAGAGGGGTGAAAAAGAGGAAGGATTAATGCTTTATATTTATATTTTATATAAGACAACATTATTATTTATATTTATGCATTTTGGTACCATGGGGGAGGGGGGGAAGGGTACTATCTACTCACTAAATCTAGATAAGAAATGACGACAAGGACGAACAAATTATTTCAAACTGAAAAAATTGAGATTTTGAAGACGCTCTGATAAAATATAGAAGTTTCATCTCTTAAGCTTAAACATTACTTCTTTCAAGTAACACTGTTTTTAGCTTTATGTTGGAAAACTGACTGAGTTCTGTGCACCAAGGAACTCACTCTGGAATCCTCCTTTGAATTTAGGTGTATTTCACTTAACGTTAGGCGATTTTACCGACTAACGCCCGTCCCCCCCCCCCCCCCCACCTCCCCCCACTAACAATTTTTTGGACCAACTCAATATTTACAAAGCAACTAATGAAGGATTGGGATGTCAAACCCCCTACATCCCCTGTACACACTCTCTGATCTCGAGTAAAGGGGATGAGAAAAATAAGAAGCGAAGAAGAGGATACCTAGATTTTCACTCATACCCTCATTTTTGTAAGATTAAAATATCGTACTAACATCCCCAGCCACAGATGAAAAATAACACTCTTTTTTTATAACAACCAGTAAATTTAAGTTCAGGCTGATTGTTCTTAATTTTTCTCGAAAAACTGAGGCTGGATTGTTCTTTATTTGTTTTTTAAATTAAAGGGTATAAGCGGTGCGATTGCTAGTTTTTCGCTCTTGGGAGGTGTTCAGGCCTCATTTGCCAACAAAGTGAGTGAGAGAACCTTCATTTGCCGCAATGTTTGAATATTCACCAAAAAAGCACCCACACGTGGCTAAAAATCTTCCTTTTTGAGATAAAACGTTGTTCAAAATTGCATTTTACAGTAATAGACAGGACATATAGCTTGACAATCTGACATTCAAGCTAATGTTTGCTTTCTCAACGGATTCTGGTAGTAGAGAGCAAAGGCTTTCATAATCTGCCAGGTGACTTTTTGGAAAATGCCTGGATGTCATGTGACTGATGACGTCATTTAACGGTAAAAAATCAGACAAAATCATCGTTAGCTCCTCACTGAATGGTTATTTTTCAACGCGATTTACATATTTTGACTCGTCTCATTGCAAGCTTTCAAATGATATATATTTAAGCAAGATTTGCCGATATAAGTATTTTCATTATGACGTCATAACAAATTTTGCATGACGTCATCAAATATTTTATTGTCATAAAATGATACGTTAGCATAATTTTGTTTTAATATGACGCTGGCTGTCAGCAAAAGCTTTTCTTCCATGTGTTTTTCAATTAAAATATTAGTATTTAGTTCATTTAAATTGAATTTGTGCCCACCGCAATAGCCAAAGTTCGAAACAGGTAGTAGTCACTATCTGACGAGTGAGTCACTTCTTACTCCGAAGTCGCAAAGTCTTGCTCCTTCTCTGAACCGGACAATTATTTCTCCGTATCTGCATTTGACTGTTGCTAAGTCGGAAAATATCTTCGCACTATTATAGGCTGCCCAAGATGTCTTCGCACTATAGGTCTTTAGCGCTGGGTATGAAAGTGTATGATTTTCTTCATGGGTAAATTCATCTCCTGCGTCACCTTCATATTCTTGTGATGTAAAGGAAGCTCTCGGAGATGAGGAATCTGCTTTCCTGTGAACCATTTAGACTTTAAACGGTCGAGTATGTCGTCCAAATTTCAACATCAGGCTTTTGGGACATGTCTTGTAGTAGTTGCACCTAAACAGTGTAGCCAAAATAACCTTGTTAAGTTGATACAATTTAATTCTTTTCTGATTGACTGATTGAGTGGAACTGCTGCAGATGATTTTTTCAGATTTGATAAATATCTTTGTCCCTAAATAGCTTTTATATGTTGTTCCACTATATTCTGCTGTTTCGCGAATGTCTTTGCTTTTGCGATAACTCCTTCGGAGAGACTTTTAATGATGACTTGTTTCTGGTTCCTCGTTAGCTTTTTTCACAGAAACCTTATCAATGTTGTGCTTATATGCAGTTGTCTCAGCCCACAATTGCATTAATCTGTGATAAAATACAGCAAATTTTGGAACCAAAAGTTTCAGCGATGCCTCAAATCTTGACGATTTGTTTGTTATTTATGCACATAAACCACTAATTTGTGGGTTTGCACTTCTGTGTTGCATGAACAAGCAGCACACATAAATCAGTATCTTTTGCAACAGCAACTACTTTTGCATCTTTCGAGTTACCATGCAAAATATTCTGGTTTCCGCCTTTTTGTGGTTACATCTTGGAAGGGACTTCTACTTGCTTTTTGAAGTCTCCGATGCTTCTCCTCCTTAAGCTACGATAAATTGAATTGTCAGGGGCCTGTGACCCTCAGCGCTTTGAAAGAATTCGGGAGCAAGTCTCATAAGATTCTCTTTTTTTCATCAATGTAAAAATACTCTTCTTACTTTGGAGTATCTTTTGCTCTCCACTTTTTATATGCACTTGCCTTGATGACTCTCTTTTGCCGTTTGCTTGCTCGTGTGCTGTTTCTAAATATTTAGCGTTGACTTTGTTTCCACTTTCATTGCTTTAGCCTCATAAGGAGGATTAGCACATCCATGAATGTTCTTGAACCAAACACTGAATGTTTCCTTGGGTTTGATGCTACGAACTCAGGCCGTCTCATCAAATCTCCATCTGGCGTTTTCTGGTGGCGTTTTTACAAAATGTTCTCACGGACTGATGACACTAGCGCTAACATGGAAGAAATATCTCGAAGAAATGAGCTATTTTGCTCGAATTGTAGGTTGTTGCTGGCAACGAAAGTTTAGTCAGAACCTTAAGCTGCATTCTGGGGCACAAAGATCCAAGAAAAGAGCGAAAGCAGTCTCAATAATGAACGAAGACCACCAAGCTTTCGTGATTGGCAAGGCTGCCTCTATCGAAAAGGCATTTTCATATCCCATCAAAACCATAACTCTAGGCTTGCAACTCCTGAAGGTGTACTGTGACAAGGAGATAAAGCTGTTCTTTATAATTTCATGTGCAAGGAGCCAAATCCATATATAAATCCACCATCAGGAAAATGCCAGATGGAGTATTTCATTTATGAGATGGCCTTACTTCGCAGCAGAATATAGCCTTATTGAAAAAAGTCATGCACCTTCAGCACATCGGTAGGACATCTTGGATAGCCTATATTGCCAAGACATTCTTCCGATTTAGTGTAACATTCAAATGCGGATGCAGAGAAATCATTGTCCGGTTTAAAGTGGGAGCAAGACTTTGCAACTTCGGAGGAAGAAGTGACTCACTCGTCAGATAGTAACGACTTCTTTATTTAAACTTTGGCTATTGCGGTTGGCACAAATTCAATTTAAATGAGCTAAATACTAATTATTTTGATTGAAAAACATATGGAAGAAAAGCTTTTGCTAACAGCCAGCGTCATATTAAAACAAAATTATGCTAACGTATCATTTTATGACAATAAAATATTTGATGACGTCATGCAAAATTTGTTATGACGTCATCATGAAAATACTTATGTCGGCAAATCTTGCTTAAGTATATATCATTTGAAAGCTTGCAATGAGACGAGTCAAAATATGTAAGTTGCGTTAAAAAATAACTCTTCAGTGAGGAGCTAACGATGATTTTGTCTGACTTTTTACCGTTAAATGACGTCATCAGTCACGTGACATCCAGGCATTTTCCAGAAAGTCACCTGGCAGATTATGAAAGCCTGAACTCCCTACTACCAGAATCCGCTGAGAAAGCAAACATTAGCTTGAATGTCAGATTGTCAGGCTATATGTCCTGTCTATAACTCAGCCTCAGCCTGTTCTTAATTTGTTCTTAACTTTTGACCAATTTTGAGGTTCGTGTTCTTATCAAATTGTTCTTATAAAAAAGATTGTATGTTTTTCTAAGATGTTCTCTCAAGTTAACAGAACATATTCAAATAGCAAATCAACCCTGTTATCACACCAACCCTGTTATCACACGTAATTGCGTAGCACACCAAAATGTCGAGCAAACCTGTTATCACGTGGTCTTTGAAACAATTGATAGTGTGTAGATTATTCCGGTATAGTGTAACTCTAGCCTAAAACGCACTCGATCCCAAAGTTATCGCATACAACAGAATCAGGATCTGGCTCTTACCACTTAGCAGCACTCCAACCCCCACCAAACCAGATTTTAGCATTAATGACCAAACTTTTGCAATTACAATTTTCAGCAAACAAAATCTCCAAAAATTAAGGATAAAATCCGGTCATACATTCTGGATATCATTTACCCGATGTTTTCGAGAAAACAACGAGAACGACGGTCGAGGGTGACGTAGCAGCGTTGCTAAATCGATTCTTTTTTCGGTTTTTTCTGAGAACGGCAAATTTTAAGCTTTATAACTTGACAGCTATTTGGAGTTTTGCAATCAAAACAATTTCATCTTACTAAATGCAGCAGAAAAGACTTTTCACTAAATAATAATGGACAATTTTTTGGTTGGAGATGCCATTTAACTTACTTTCGTTTCAGAATTTGACTCTATTTCCAAATAAGACTATCTTCATATTTTTAGCACGTACACTCATTTTTTTATAAGAAACAAATGTCGATGTTCAGTATTCCAGTTTCTTAATGTCCTGGAAATTTCAATACTCATTGTTACTCATGAGTTTCTTCATTATGATGTCATGGATGATGTTATGAAATGCTCGTGACCTTTTTATCACGTCAAAAGATTCGCTTCCATTCTGATGCTGTATTTAGATGTGGAAAGTTTATTTTTATCCTACCCCTTGTGTCTTAAGTTCTAGGCCAACAGGACAATCACGTTCTTGGATTTTACAAAATTTCGTTTTTCTCAGTTTTATCGCGATTTAATAGTTTCTTAATTTTTTTGCTTCAAGTACTAAAGTTTCTTAATTTTTCGGACTGTTCAGTACTCGTTTCTTATAGCCAGTTTCTTATAAAAAATGAGTGTATAACATTAAATAGTGTTACGAGGCTTTTCCTCAAAAGATGAAAAAGGACCCGTTTCAGGTGAGAGAGGGAAGGAAGAAGATACGTGAATCCGAGATCTAAAAAACTTTGGTTCGAACCTACACAACCTTCCCCTTGGATTCGATCGGTTTTTATGCTGAAATGAAGAATATAAGTGACCATTTGTTTGATTCGATTCTTATCAACCTTTATCGATAACCCTGAATCCTGTCATACGAAACTAAACCTACTGATGGACATCTTTAGATCCGTACTCAAACATACTTGGGTACCGCCAATCCACTCAAATTTTAAAAAAAATCAACAATCCCTAAAATAAACCGTACACGTGGTCGCGAAAATGCAAAACACTCCAATTCCAGTAACCCGATTGCTTTCGTATAAAACTCGATAAAATTTAAAATTCTATCATTTATAAAAACTAATTCACAGACTTTTTGTTGAATTAAATAAACAATAACAACAGGGAAATTTCAACTGAAACGTACCCATCAGGTTTTAGCGGCTTTCCAAGCACAAAGTAACAGGAACAAGCGAGGAAAACTGTAAACCAAATCATCGGAGTAGCTGCCATTGTGTTTCACTTGATCAACTCTGCACGAACGAAGAAAAAGGTTGATAAAATAAATAGTAACTGATATGATGGAAGTGAACTCTGAAACAGATGATTGTTTGCGAATTGTTCCGGCTTTCCATTAGCAGGAAGATGATGACGCATTTCCTAGTCTTTGAGAACGAGGTTATGACGTATAGCACAAATATCGAATACCAATCCTCTGTTCCTAGCATGTTAGGCCCTATTTACTTTAACATGCATGCAAGTATAATAGTTTGCAAATAAGTTATTCACCCAAATACTGCGGCAAAATAATGCCAGAGCAGACAAGGATTGTATTTTTATCAAACTTCACAAAAATTATGGTTGAATTCCGTCTCGTTGTCAACAAGGTCTCAAAAGCAGTCATGGCACATTCGACAAACCAAACTCTTGTGATCAGTTTGTAACAATCATAGAAAACATAAGGACCTTCAAAAATGGATACTAAAACAATGAGCTGCTGTCTATTGTATGGGCGTGTGGATTGTAGAATGGCTTCGTTTACAACCTTCGTCTCGCCGGAAAACATCCTGAGACAAAAATCATTTGTCTGTTGTTTTGAGTTTTCTGTTTCGGGGAGTGGTTTGATTATTTTGACAGATACGGGCTAAAATGTATGCATTGGCTAATAGCATAGCCATGGAGCATCATCTGAGGATGATTCGTACGGTATCAAAAAAGAAATTTGCATTCTGAATATAGAGGTAATTTTAGTATTTGAATAAAAAGGTCTACAAATATACAACGACCAATAGGCTAAAACGAAAAGTCAACAGACTTCAACTACTGCTATACAAATTATGTCATTTTAACAATTACAATACGCAGATACTGGAAAAAGATATGGTTCAAAAGGCAGTGAGACGTAATTAAGAAATCACTTGAAATTGCAGGCAACAGATTATATAGTTTCTGGAGCTAACAAAATTCTTTGATTACAAAAAGAAATGAAATTTCAAGAATCGATAACAACTCAAGAAAAAAAACGGTAGCAAATGTTTGTAAAGAGAAAAGTTCCATCGAAGTTGAGACAATCCCTGCAAAAATGCTTGCGAACACTCTATTGCTACAGCGTTGCACCTATCCCTCAAAGTCACACAAATCTGAAAGGGAGTTTTGGACAACCTTCTTGAGACAATCATATAGAGCAACGTCGTTTCAAAAGGAAGAGGGGGTTCTATTGACAATTTGCAAACGTCTTGTGCAGTGAAGGACTTTGATAGGCATCATAAGTGTTACGTGTAGTGTTTGAAGATTTACAAGTATTAGAATACCTCTATTGACGGGCTTCAGGGGGAGGGGGGGGGGCGTAGGCTTTACCTCGGGATCTGAGTTGTTGGTTCTCGACATCCTTGTTTGCATCATTTTGTTTTCATGGTTGTAACATATATAAAATCTTTTTATAAGGCAATCCTTGCAGAATATGTTCTTTCTTTGATCAACCGAAGCATCTGTTCTTGGGAATCCACTCTTCCTATACAACTAATAATATCAACGTATCGCTGCTCCCCTGCCCGTTCAAGTAGACGGTAAATGTGAGTAGAGCTGGTATACAACCGTTTTCTTTGTGCTGTATAAAATTGTTTAGAATAAATGTTGTCCTGTATACAACCAATCAAATTTTATCAATTTTTGGCTAGTGTTTACAGACCTTTAAACTGGACCAGTCTTGGGTATGCGCAAACAACTGTGCAACAAGGGGATCAACAATCAGGCCACGCCTCGCCTCTTTTTAATCAGGTCCAAATTCGCCTCGAGTTTAAAGTGGATAAATTGTTTTCGGATAAGCCGTTTACATTACAAGAATTCGTATCATCTTTGAGGGTACCCAGTAGGCTCCTTGATTCCCGCTACATTATTACCCTGATTCCCAACCATCAATTCCCAGTGTTACCCATTCCCGAATGCCGCTCTCAAAAATTTGCTTATTCCCGATTCCCGACTCCAAACAATGTCGATTCCCGCTTCCCCCCAAAACATATTGGGTACCCTCTATTTTCTGCACGTGCAAAAATTTTGTTGAGAACTCACGTTATAAATGGATAAAATTTGTCCGCATAACCAAATTTAGTGTAAACGCAAGGCCTTATTCGGGACAGATTTCATCCGGATTAAACTAATTAGAATCTAGTGTAGATGAAGAATCAATAAGGATTTAATGTCAAGATAATTAATCAGTCTGTCTATACACAGAGCATATGATATAAATGAGCATACAAATTAATTGAAATAACTCTATCTAAAGTACAGTGTACGTCTACTTGACATTTATTAGTCATGTTTTTCTTGTTTACTTGCTTCATGCAACTGGATCTGCAGCAAATCAGTCCCACCGTAGTAGACAAGGGCAAATATGTGAAATCCTGTCACGAAAATGCCAAACATTCTAAATGCCCAATAATGATATATCGCATAAAAAACAAAAAACAGAAAACCAAACCAAAACAGTACCACAAGCTGCATCTTTCTCACCGTGGCTGCTTCTGTTTCAACGCGGTCGCTTTCTGATATTGAGTTGTGCTCTGTAAATTCTCCATCTTTGTAAAATTTCTCTAGCCTTTTTTCCTTCTCAGACCACCTTTGAACACACCAATTATCAAGCGAGTCAGAGTCACGTGGTAACAAGTTGATGTCATAGCGAGTGATGTAAACATGTATCTCGCCAGGGAATTTGCCGCGCAGCAAGTCGAGTTCCCCATAACAAAAACCATTTTTGTAGCCAATAGTAACATCGTGCACAGCTTTAAGCGTTTTGTCGCGCAGTTTCTGTATAATAAAATTAAAACCGCGAACACGTGGATGAAGAACATATTCATAAAAAGGCAAATCGTTCTTTAGAGCAAATGCATCACTCTTGCTTTTACCCTCTCGACAGAAATTTGTACCTTCTGGGAAAATTAGCAGCTGCAGTGGGAAATTAGTGTCAAGAAAGTAATTAAATATGGCTTTCAGATAGTCTTTATCTTGCTCCCACCTTCGTTTCAGAAAGAGAAACATTGCATTTTGCATTGCCCATCCTAGAAAAAAGACAAATGAGAAATAAGTTAAAAGTTGAAAAACACTTTTACTGCAGTTTTTTCACTACCACAACAGCTGTTTACAGAACGTATCATAACCTTAAACAATATTTATATACATGAGGTAAAACATTATTGGTTGAAATTGGGACAATCCTGATTTAAAAACTTAATTCAAGAAATGTTTTTGCTGCTGCAGTTCTGTATTGCAGCTGCAGTTTACTTTAACTGTATCACAGCACCACAGTCTTTATTGGTCATCTCAATTCCTTCTAAAATCTATCAAAAAATGATTTATTAAACAAGATTAACATCCCTTATATCATGATTTGATTTATGGCTAACTCACTTTCAGATTCTTTCAAATAATTTGCCTTCTTGCAAAAAAACTTTGAAGATTTGAACTGCCTTATCAACTTGAATAAACGGTACTAAATATTGAAAGTATAACTCTTTAGGAGAATTCTCAATGTGCTGACCTGGCCCTGGAAGTAGTTTGAGGTCCCCTCTCAGAATGATTTTCTCATTTCTTAGGTTTCCATTTCTCAATAGTACCATAAAGTAGAACATCCAGTCTAGACGACATCTATGATTCATTATAATTAGAGTGGCTTCATCTTTTGGCACTTTGTCCCCTTTAATCAAAATTTTGGTTCCAAAGAATAGTTCTAGAAAGAAAAAAATCATGAAACATTTTCAATGACAGTACACTTAACAGTCTTAAAGATACTTCTGAATCAGAGTTATAAAAAAACAAATAGCACAATAAAACTTTGGTGAAAGATAACAAATTGTAGAATGAAAAGAAAGATAATTAGAAGATACATGAATTTTGCTGATATCCAAAAAAATATAAATACACACTCACCCATAAGAGCCTAGATGGGAAAGAAAAAGATAGCTTCATTAGAATGAAAGATAATAGTACAAACTTAACAAATATCATTTTAGATTTCATCTGCTTTTTCAAAAAGCTTAGAATTAGTGATTAAAATTTGTAACTAAAAACTATAAAGCAAATTTTTTGGGGCTATTGCACAATTTGTGTCCTCCTTGCACCCCTTTAAAGGCCTATGGCAACCAACAAAGAAGCCTCTATATTTTATGGGATCTTCTCTTGTTTATCAACCATGCACCTGCTCAATTTCATGAATTTCTGTGTCAGAAAATAAAAGATGCACAATTGTGTGATTCTTGAAGAGAATGCTGATATTCTAAAATGAATTTCAAATTCCATGCAGTTTGCATAAGCATTTCCCTGTATCTGCAGGCATGATAGCATGAAATGTCTGAGAATCAAGAGCAGTTTCACAAATCTCATAGCATTCATGGTGCAAATTGTTTGAGACATTGGGGATAACTATTATTTGTTATATCTCTCAACTGAATCTGACATGGTGCAGCGAGCATCTTTCTTTCTTAGCATGCATTCTACAAACCGGTGGACTAACTGACACCTGCAGCCTCGTTTGTTTGCTATGTTTACTTCCCCTGTGTAACTATGCAATTTTTTTTTCAGACCCAAAAATTCCTGAAATTGAGCAGACATGATGTTGACAAATAGGAGAAGCCACTGTAAAATATAGGGCTTCTTTGTTGGTGGACAGTGAGTCTCTAAGACCACAATATCTGAACATTGGGACGGTATGATGTGCAATTTGTTATGGATGGTCGAAAAGCTAAAAGTACTTGGGAAATACAAACACAAAGAGACAGCAATTTTGGTATATAAAGAAAACCCAAAAATGTAACAATTATGGTCTATTACCTATACTGACAGTAAAATCCTATTGAAGTAGCCACCGTAAATGCACATGTTGCAGTCAAATAACAAGGCAATAAAATATGTTGCTTTGTGAATGTTTTACCAATTATCTATCATGTTTTTTCATTTCAGTTTCATAGATCTTAATTTTAATCAGCTATGCGATATGAAGATCATCAAATCAGGTTGTTTACCACTCTTTACTTCTTATAAGGAAAGACATTGCAAACAACCCCAGGGGCAACCAAGTCCTGTGGTTTGCAGTTCCTACAATCTTAATCTGAATACAAGGAATATTGCAAAATGCACAATTGGTGTATGAATGTCTCCCTAACAATATTCTAGACAGGAACAAAACAAATCCATTTATAACCAATCATGTGGATGGTCCTTTGTTTGCGTGATATACACAGACACTGTAAAACATGACAGTCAAACAGTCAATGACTGTGAGGAAGACTTATGAAAAAATGAAATGGAAATGCCAAGCCAAGCCCCCCTTTTTTCTTTGTCTTGGGAAGAGGTTCCAATGCTTTAGAAAATTTTCTGGAAGACTAACAGTTCCCTGGACAACCACTAACCCAAGGAACCAAAATTCATTAATCAGAACTTGAGTTTCAATGGCTTTATAATTTCATTATTCATTATCTGATTTTAGATTTTTCTGTTACCAAGATCAATAATTAAATTGCGAGAAAGTTTAATTGCATTTTTATGCTATAGACTTGCTTACAGGTAAAATTGAATGCTTGCTTGTTGCATTTTGAAAATTCTTGTAGTATGTCAAAGTTTGTGGCCCCTAACATCAAGTACAATTTCATGTACAAACACACTTCAGTCAGGTTTTCTTCAGCATTCAACCCTTCTTTTGTCCAGTGGCAGCTCGAGTATTGGGGCCATTGGGGCTCAGCCCCACCAAAGATTTCCAAGAATAAGTTTAAGATTTATAAATGTAAATAAAATCAACATCCATTATTATTTTAGCATTTTTCACTAATTTTTTTGCATCCAGTTTAGGTACAAATGCCTGCTGTTCTCTTGAAAACTAGACAAACATGTGTGTCAGAAACCATCACCTGAGCTTTTGGGACTAGCCCCAAACTAGAAGAAAATGCTTGACTATTCAATAGATAGCTGCCTTCTGATTGGTCAATTCTGCACAATCTGCATTCCTTGGGGGCTAGTTTTCACTAGCCCAATGTAATTCAATTCAACGCTAGCTGATAGGCAATTGATATTTGTTATTGTGATAGGCAATTGATCTTGAAGTGAAAAGCAGCAGAGTGGCGAGTATTCAACGACTCACATTTCCAGCCTTAAAACTTGGAAGTAGATAATACAAGTTAAGTCTTCATCGGAATTCCTTTTTCTGATCCTCAAATAAAACTAAAAATAAGAGCGTTAGGCTGTAGGCCTTCTTCATCCAAGTGGGAATCGCCATTACAATTATACCGAGACTGAAGTCTTCTGATGGAGGAAGGCATATTTCCAATGCAAGCTTTCAACTTGAACTATAGTTTAGCTTCACAGCATATGACAAATAATTGATTAACAGTTTGAACTTATTGTTCTGTAAAAATTTTTAAATTCCTAAGATATGCAAAGGATATCATCTACGGGTTGGCCAGATTCAAGTTGTTTTTTTATAGACATAACCCACAAGCTCCCCTATTTTGTGAAGAGAGAAACGGTCCAGCAGGCTTGAAAAAGTAAAGTTGAAAGTTTATTTCTTTGTTTATTTCAAATAACACATAATTAATATTGACTCTGGTTGTTTTCAATTAAAACTTTCAAAATGATGATAGCCTTGTTGATTAGAGGTAGTAAAGAATTGAAAGGTGATTCTTGGCGTTTCGTATCTATGGCTCTGGATTTTGAAATTACGTCATCAGCCCCACCAAAAAATTACCCAACGAGCCGCCACTGCTTTCGTCCCTTCCTTTTTAGCTTTGAAATACAGCAATGCAATGTTAATTTAATAATTCAAATAACAAGATTATTTTTTAATTTAGCTTTAAGAATGTTTACTTTGCCTGGTTCATTGTTTGAAGTTGATCTGCCAGCATCAGCCAAAACCGAAACTGAACATGAGTCCAAAGGTTATTTTCTGAATGAACTTTGGGTTGCACTTTGGCAAAAATCCAAACATAATGCTCATATTTTCAAACATTAGTAGAGATTTTACCAAAATTGATCTATGGTACAAGCTCGTAATTTCCTTCAAGGTAGTCTATTTTCCGTGACACAAATACTAAATTGAGAAACCCCCTTCTCCGTATCCAACATCAACAACAAAACAATGAAAACAAAAAAAGAGTGCATTAAATACCTGCAAATAGCAAATATATTGAAATTCTCAAAACCTAATACTTACTCCTGGAAGAATTAGCCATGTGTGGAGCGCGTAGTCAAACATTTTCCGAAACATTCTTCCATTGAGAAACATCAAAGGAAGAAGTGGCCCGGCTAAATAAACAACTCCAAAGAATGAAGATAAATACAGTATAACTGTAAATAAAAGTCCCGAAATAACACCCTTGATTTTTTCTGACATGTTCTCGGCCATTATTTCGCTTTAAAAGACCCACTTTGCTATCTTTTCAATGGCCTTTCCTTTCACTTGCCTTGTTCAACCCAAAAAGCGAGTGCACCTGTACATTTGTAACACAGGGCTCCAAGAATTTAACATACGCCGCGCCCTCGCTTGAGTGCAACATCGCGGAAGGAAAATCAAATTTCATTCTTCGTTGGTTTGTGGTTTATTTCGCTAAAAACGCTGTAAGTTAAACACTTGTTCCAACAATGCTCCAAAGGCAAAGAATAAAATATTGAATAAATCAAATGTCCCAGAAGAACATTTTGATGAAAACAAGACTGTGGTATGGCCGCATCAGCACAGACTCCTTCTTCTTTATCAAATCGCTTTAATAAGACACCGCGGAGCAGGGGGGCTGGGGGGCTTTAGCCCACTTTTTGCAAAAAATGCCAAACATTAAGTATCAAACTACCAGAAAAGCCTCTTTTAGCCCCCCCCCCCACTTTTTTTAGACCCCCCACTTTTCTCAACGCTCCGCGGTGCCTGAGATAGAACATAAACTCTAACAATCCAACAAACACGCTAACGTATTTTTCTCGACAGATTCTGTTAGACTAAGCTCTAATCTAAAAATTTCGATTTGCACTTTTTGAGAAAAATAATTTGTTCCCACTTGCCTAATGACGTAGCTTTCTTTATGTAGCAATGAGTGGCTAAGAATCAATCGTCATTTGTCAAATGGTGTTCTTAAAACTAAAATAGCAATATTTCATGCTCGTTTCATGCTCTCTCAGCTCTGTAATAAAATTACGAGAAACGACAATCTTAGGGTAGCTACGATTACGCTCAGTTTAAAAATTACATATATATATTGCTGATATACATATATATTATATATATATATATATAATATATATATATATATATATATATATCATAGATTGGAGAAAGTAAAACTACATGGTTTATCTCTACAAGCCTGTTTCGTGAGTAACTCACTCTTCAGGAGATGTTGATATACTGGAATATTCCTCGAATAAATAGATAATACGGTACAGAAGGTGTTACATAATGTGTAAGGTTATACAAAAGGTAAATTAGGGGCGGTACATAGAGGGATTTAGGTGTTACATAATAGTGTTTTGTTTCTATGGCGGCAAGAAGATACGAGTTCGTTTCGTTTGTTGAGTGTTGATAATTCGGGGTGGCAGATAATGAGGGTCTTTTCTTTAAGACAAAGGCTGCATCTTTTGTTTGAGCTGCTGTAGGATGGCTTTATTGAGAGGATGCGCCAGGAAATGGAGTGGTCGATTTTATTGTCTTTTAGGGTCCAGATGTATTTACTGAGTTCTGTGGAATTTCTGTGTTTTGCGTGACGGAAAGATGCGGTGTGATTTCTGTATCTTGTCTTGAATTCGTTTTCTGTAAGTCCGATGTATGTTTCTGTAGTTTCATTGTCTCTGCGTGTGACGGTGGCTTGGTAAATGACTGATGATTGTAGGCAGTTCCCGTTGAGTGGACATGTGTTCGCTTGTCGGCAGTTGCATGTTTTGTTGACATTGGTATTTTCCGGGGTGGTGCTGGTGTCGTGTGACTTTAGGATGCGTTTGTTGTGACTGTCAATGGCTTGCTTGATGTTGTTCATGCAGCTGTAGCTGATCTTTAAATTCCCCGAATTATCAACACTCAACAAACGAAACGAACTCGTATCTTCTTGCCGCCATAGAAACAAAACACTATTATGTAACACCTAAATCCCTCTATGTACCGCCCCTAATTTACCTTTTGTATAACCTTACACATTATGTAACACCTTCTGTACCGTATTATCTATTTATTCGAGGAATATTCCAGTATATCAACATCTCCTGAAGAGTGAGTTACTCACGAAACAGGCTTGTAGAGATAAACCATGTAGTTTCACTTTCTTCAATCTATGATATATCACGCTCTACGTGCTAACGTATTGAGCACTGTGCTACGGAAGTATCAAAAGACAAATTTCTATATATATATATATATATATATACCTCAGGCTGATTTTTTCCGGCATTTTGCAGGGAAGGATCATCATGGGTTTCTCGAAGATATTAAAGTAACTATTATAGATAGACTTAATGGGAATGGTAGGATACGTGAAAGTTTCTGGCAGTATAAGTTAGAAACCTTTGCGCCCCGGGGCCTTAATATTAGATTAGCTGATACATAGTTTTATTTTTATTTCCTATCTTTTTGTTTATTCTCTCCTTGTTACTTCTGTTTATTTTTTCCACGTTTTCTATCTACTTTCTTTCTTTTCTTTGCATTCTATATTTATTATATTTATTTACCTAAATTCTTATTTTTTTTGGGACAGACAGCATTCACCGTTTCTTTTTCTTGGACTTTTCTGCATGCTATACCATCTGCTATCGCACTTGTTCTATTGTTCTTTTATCTATTGTATTTATCCATCTTTTCTCACCTCCGGTTGGGCTTAGAAACTATCATTATGTTCTTAAATTAGCTATTATTGTTCTTGCTTGTAAAATGTGTTACCTTTTGTTCTTTTGTTTCGTATTCCTTATTTTACGCTCCAGATGTATGTGTTAGTTATTCTGAAGAAGCTTATAGCGAAACGTCAACCAAGTTGTTTTTTATTGAGTATCTATATATATTTATATATATTTATATCAAGTACTTCATATTACTGCCAATTAGCTCAAATTCATGCAAAGAACTTCTGGTTGTTTGGCACTTCACAATGTAAAACTTTGTGCAGGAAAATGTGGAAATAATGAAGTAGTGGTAGCAGAAGTAGTGATCTCGTCGAAAAAATACCTAGCAACACCTCGTGCATTCATGAATATTTAAAAAGTTGTAGAGGAAAGAGATATCGTGGTCACATGGCATTATCTTGGTTAAGCTCATTTCACCTTAAAGTGGGTCGGTTTTCACTTTAACGTTTTAAAAAATATCACAAATCTTATTGCGACATTTCCTGTTTTCATCACAAAAATTACTTTTATTTTGAATTATTAATTGATTTACTTTAATATGACCAGGTTGATTGAATAGCAAATATTCTCGAAAGATTCACCAGAAATGGGTTTCATTTAACTTACAATATTCTGATTATCGATAGATTAGTTCGCATACATTTAATGTTCATTTTGGGTGATTGAAATTATCCTGCATTAGCATACCGTAGCCCATTGAGATTTCATTTCCTAATACTGTAAACAAGGACGACATCACTAATTACTAAATATTTTATTCTAGACTTAACAAATAGCCTGTGTTTGTCTTCGAGCCTTTTGTTTACTTTTGCCGGCAGCTGTACGAATAGTTCATTCTCGCTTGGTCACAACAAGATAGCAAGAAAATGATTTGAAAAAGAAACATTGATTTCATGTGCTATTGTTTGGAAGCGAGGTAGCTCGAGTCCTCAGTTAATCTACTGGAGAGGAAATGTTTTGCTACAAGGAAGAAAAGCGATGCAATCGATTAAACAACGTTCTGCGAATCTGAACGGCTACACTGTTTACTAGCTGGGTTTGGAAAACAGATAAATCTACCAAAGAGCGATTATGCAAAGCTGTAACGAAGAGAACATCTCATTGGCAGCAGCCTGTGAAAGCTGCTTCCCTTTGATGGCGTATGTATCTACTTTTACTGTCTTTTGTTCCAGAATCCTGCTTTAATACTGAGACGAATTCATTCAAATAATATTTCACTCTACAATAAAATATCGAAGCAGAGGCAGGGTGGAATGGTGAAAGGTTGCAATTTGGTCCCAAATTTGCAACAGATTGCTGCATTGTCATATAAAATTTATCACCGAAGATAGTGTCTCATATCTTCTTGCAACTTATTTCACTTTCTGGTAAATGAGGCTATAGCTGACTGTTTGGTGGCGTATGGACTAAAGTTGGTTTATTTAAAAGCTATGTTGGGTAAGCAGCTTTACCTAGTATTCGAAGATAATGAACACAGAAAAATCTTGTTGCCCTGTAAAATTTATTGGGAAAAAAGTAGAAAACTATAGGCATTTTCTGTGCAAAAGTACAGCACGTGTTCTTTACGGAACAGCAAAAGTAGCACGAGAGATATGGCATTTGTTATCTCCTTCATACAATATCTTTCAATTACTGTGTGCTCAACAGTTGTTAGTACAGCAGGTTCAACAAGAACTGGGACCGTATTCAGCCACCTGAAAAAATGCAACGCTAATTTTACAGTCGTTGGTATGTTCCCTTTCCATAACGATAAAGATTCAATTAACAGCTCTTGCACCAATATTCGTGAGACACTGAATCCGTATGGCATTTTTGAATCACTAGCCATGGTCTACACAGTTATTGCTATAAAGAAAGATGCAAAACTTTTACCAAACATACCCCTTTCAGTCGACATTTCGGACAGCTGCAATAGCGTTAACGCTGTTACTAAGAATTATCTAGGCCTTGATTTTGTCCGTCAATTCTATGAAGCTGGTGGGGAAAGAGAGGGAGTAGAACGGAACGAAATTGCGATCATTGGTTCGACAACAACGGCGATGGGGATCAGTTTGTCCACATTATCTAACATATACAATATTCCAGTGGTCGGTTACTATGCAACCTCACCTTTGCTTAGTAACAAGGATCGCTTTAGGTCGTTCTTCCGGACGGTTCCAAATGATAAACTGTTCGTTCAGGCATTGATAGAATTGTTAGAGAGGTCGGACTGGAATTTGATAACTGTATTACACACTCAAACAGATTATTCTTCTTCTGCGTTCGGATTATTATTGAGGGAACTGAAAAAACGCGAGCTAAAAGAGGATTGGTATAAAGATCAAGTTTGTGTTGTCTCAGATCATCAAATCATTAATACAAAAGACACAACAGAACTTGATAGGCTATTTGATAAGATTGCACGGAGAAACGATGCAAATATAGTGGTGTTGTTACTACATTGGGAAGATTCCTACTCTGTCCTAACGCACGCGTTAAAACGGAATATCACGAGCAAACTTTGGATTGTATCCACCGATTACCTTGCAGCTCAAACATTATACTGCCAGGAAAAATGGAAAATACTATCTAACAGGATTATAACAATACAGTTGAGGCAGGGTGGTGTATCGAAGTTTAATGAATTCGTTCACGACCACCTGATAAACAACACTAACACTGGACTACTGGATTTGCTACCAATTTCAAAAGAAGATATCATGTATGTGGTGAAGAATAAAGCAAACTTTCTGGGCCAAATTCCAGTCACAATACCTTATGTTATTGATGCTGTAAAGGCCGTTGCCCAGGCGCTTCATCACACTCTTGGGTGTGATGAAAGCATATGCAGAAATTCTCATTTATTCAATAAAAGGTAGGCTTTGGTTATGCAGTATCAAAAGCTGGTTCTAAGTTTAAGCATCCTTTGAATTGTAAAGAGAAAAGCTATGGATTTTCAGATTTAAAAAAGTAGTCATCTATTAAATATAGCTTACAAGTGTCTTTTGGAAGGTTTTATTTAATTAAGCACCGATCCATCCATTGAAAGGCATATTCAACTCAAGGTGAATAAGGTAAACATACTGAAAATATTCAATCCAAGATGATTCAACCTTTTATCTAGCTAGACAATACAGTAAACATATGCGAGGGTCTACTCATCCCTGGGTTTGGTACGAATACATATGATATTTACATACATATGTTCGTTTCTTTTGGTGAAATTCAAATATAGTGTAAAAGCATCTTACCGATAGCGTTTTGCTTCAATATAATTTTTGGAAAAGTTTACAACCCAATTTGTACTTATGCCCAAACTTATCATTCAATACACTAGTGACCAATGACATTTTTCTGCAGTATTTAAAAAAAGTGTTCAAGTTCTGTCTAACTTTACGACTTTTTCAGCTACCAAGTGTCTTTAACTTACTTCAAACATAAAAGGTCTTCTTTTATTGTAGTGGTCTGATGGAAAACCTCTCTAAGGTAAACTTTACATCACAGCTTGGTGAGCCAATGTTCTTTGACACGAATGGTGACACAAACGGCTCTTACGTCATAAAAGGATTTTCAAACAACGGGAAACAGTGTAAACTCTTTGACATTGCTGAATGGACCAGTACTGGCAATTCGAGAGGTTTAAGAATGCTTAACACATCCAAAGTTGAGAAATTTACTTCAACATGCAAAGGAACATGCCAAAATGGCTACGGAAAATATACGCAAACCAAAAATGGTTGTTGTTGGTCCTGCATAAAATGTAGTGGAAACGAATACTCGTCAACGCCAACAGGCACATGTGGACAATGCTCTTCTAGGGAAGTTCCCGATGATATGAATTATAAATGCATTCCTCTTACGATAGAGAAGCTAGACTTTACAACAAGCTCATTTGGTATTGGAGTTCTGAGTCTTTCTGCACTGGGCCTTGTACTTGTTCTGCTTATATCCATAATATTTGTCATTCACAAAGACACGCATATGGTGCGAGCATCGAATAAGCTGGCGACTAGCATTCTCCTAATAGGAATAGCACTCGGCTATGCAGCTCCACTTGTACTAATAAAGGCTCAAAATGCATATCAGTGTGGCCTCTATATCTATGTGCATGGACTCTCCGTCTGTCTGATGACTGGTGCTCTGTTCACAAAGGTTAATCGTATGTACAGAATTTTCAGAAAGCAAGTTATGAGAGAAGGTAAGATGCCTACTTTATTTTTCATTGTCCACCAATAAAGCTTTGGCCAATCAGGGCAACATCGTTGCACAACATATTTTTTCGGTGTTGTTGTCGGATTTACGCGCCAAATTCAAAAGGGCGTGGACACGAGCGTAGCAGATGCTATACGTTCAGTAAGGCTTTCAGGAGATGTTGCCCAGATGGAGTCTGAAATTCGATAAATGTTGCCCAATTTCGTCTCCTACGCTTATCGTCGTGGTCATTAGCGCGCCAGTTTTCAAGTAAGCATCAAAATAGTTAAAGAAAGCAGCCCGGGTACTTTTCCTTGAAGCTCTAGATAAGAATGAAAGTCGAGTGAAGAAGTTTGCAGAAGAAAAAGCTTAGGTTTATTCACTTTATGCCTTCGACTTCTTTCTTTACTGTAATAGCTTGATTGGTAGTGAATTTCCTTGCCACTTTTGGCCGCCCTTTTGTCAAGAAAACAAGTTGCCCGCTTTTCCTTGTGATACTTGACAGTACGCAAAATTGCTTTTCCAATATCGAAATTAAGTCGAATTGCTTCCCGACTAAAAAACATGCTGCTGACAACAAATGTTGCTGAGCATGTTCAAAATTCGAGCAACAAAATTTCTACCGAATTAGTCAGCCAAACTGGGCAATAATATCAAGCAAATAGGTGATCATGTATATTTCTTCCCACATGTAAGCTAAAATTTATGACTGCGAAATGACATTTAGCAATATCGACATTTTTTGTGTTGCTCGACAATGTTGCTCAGTTTGGCCATATTCTAACGAGCACGAGTTACTTCTTTTGAAAAACATTGCTAGCATGAAGTTGATAATGTATATTTCTTCCCATAGGAAAGCTGAAATTTATGACTGCGAAATGGCAGTTAGCTACAATACTCCTATTTGTGGCTTTAGGAATCATACTTGCAACGATTATCGTCTTCAACCCCAAGGAACCAGTTAGAGTCAAGGAAGTGGTGGAAAAGGAAACCAAATCTATTAAAATTGTTTGTGAAATTAACTTTTGGATTGATTTCGCGGTAATATTCTTTGGACAATGTTTCTACTTACTGTGCAGCTGTCAAGCTTTTCTTGCCAGGAAAGTTCCTGGGGAATACAACGACAGTCGGTCAATCTTTGCTAGCACCATCGTAGTGACACTTGAAAACATCGTGTGCATTTCTTTACTGTTTTTCCAAGACCTAGGTACTATAAACAAGATTTCGATGAGCATTTTTGGCATTCTCGGCGCAACAACAATCCTTGTGAGTTTTTTCGGTTGGAAGGTTTATGTGATTTTGTTTCAGCCAGAAATGAATGCAGCAAAGTTGCCGCACGGGCGTCTGGGAACATTTGGATCGATGAGAACAAAAAGGAAAAAGAACTTTCGATCAACCGCCAAATCCCAAGAAACTATATCGACGGACATCAAACCGGATGACATTAGTAGTTTTTCTTCCAAGGAGGATGTTTTCTAGCCAAACACGTGATCAGACCAAGACAGCATGTGCTTACATGTTCCTTGGCAAACTATTTCGACGGACATCAAACCGGATGACATTAGTAGTTTTCTTCCAAGGAGGATGTTTTCTAGCCAAACACGTGATCAAGACCAAGACAGCATGTGCTTACATGTTCCTTGGCAAACTATTTCGACGGACATCAAACCGGATGACATTAGTAGTTTTCTTCCAAGGAGGATGTTTTCTAGCCAAACACGTGATCAAGACCAAGACAGCATGTGCTTACATGTTCCTTGGCAAACTATTTCGACGGACATCAAACCGGATGACATTAGTAGTTTTCTTCCAAGGAGGATGTTTTCTAGCCAAACACGTGATCAAGACCAAGACAGCATGTGCTTACATGTTCCTTGGCAAACTATTTCGACGGACATCAAACCGGATGACATTAGTAGTTTTCTTCCAAGGAGGATGTTTTCTAGCCAAACACGTGATCAAGACCAAGACAGCATGTGCTTACATGTTCCTTGGCAAACTATTTCGACGGACATCAAACCGGATGACATTAGTAGTTTTTCTTCCAAGGAGGATGTTTTCTAGCCAAACACGTGATCAAGACCAAGACAGCATGTGCTTACATGTTCCTTGGCAAACTATTTCGACGGACATCAAACCGGATGACATTAGTAGTTTTTCTTCCAAGGAGGATGTTTTCTAGCCAAACACGTGATCAAGACCAAGACAGCATGTGCTTACATGTTCCTTGGAATGCCAACGAGGTTAGTACATGGAAAGTACAGCAATGTTGATTGTGCCATATACGGATAGACGGATGCAGCAAAGATATCAAGGCAAGCGGAATAAAAGCCATATGACTGTCCATATTATGCATCTATGTACCATTCTTTGGCTCTTTCTTAACGAACTGGTACAGAAAAATGTCCATCTAGCATTTGACTTGTTCAGAATGTATTTACCGTCAACTGTTAAATGTAACAATGGAAAGCCATACATTTCTACATCATAATCAACACAGTTTCGGTACAGCAAAAGTGATCACAAAAACTCTTGACAGTTGTGAGTCTATCACAGATTTCTGAGCCAACAATGCTAGAGGTATTTTGATTACGACACGAGAAAAGCTATTTGATATGGAGTAACGCACGATTTTTCTAAAATAACAGCAATGTTTGCTAATTGATAGGTCATTACAAAAATCATTCATCACAAAAGCAAATGCGTTATCTGTGCTACATTAAGACACTGGTGCAGCTATTTGAGTGTTATATAATTTTGTTGCATACAAATAATTCTACTTGAGACTGTGTTAACTATGTATAAATTTGGTAAGGCATAGTGCATGACGGGAAAAAATAACTACAAAGCTCCAGATCGATATCAAGACAAAATGAAAAGATTTTTCAGTTTGCTGAAAGATCACGAATTCAATAAATAGGATAAAGCTGGGTGATGGTTTAAAATTTTAATGTTAAATTCAGCATAATGTTTATCATAAGAACAGTGGAATTGATAAGTTTGTTGTTAGTTGGAAATTCTTTTAGGGATTCTCTTGATGGGAAATCTCTTCATGGAAAATATATATTTGGGAATCCAAATGGGAATTATCTTCATGAGAATCATCTGTATGGGTATTCCTTTGATGGGAATCTACCCAACTGGGATTTTGTTAGTGGGAATTGTCTTCATGAAAATCATTTTTAATGGGGACGGGCATTTTCGCCATGGGAATCATCTGTATGAATATCTAATTGATGGAAATCTGCCCAGCGGAAATTTTCTTAGTAAGAATTACCTTCACATGAATTTATTAGCATACACATGGGAATGATCGCCATAGGAAACATCTGTATGAGCAACCAATCCGGTACGACAACATGCGAAGGCACAACGAAAATTCAATAACAACAGACTTTTCGTTTAGGGAAGAGGTGCGTGGCTAGTGTTATTTTGGTACTTAAATAAAAACATCAGTAGTTTGCGGGCTTCTGAAAACCTCCTTTCTAAATACAAAAACAAGAAGTTTGTTTGAAGATGTCCAATCACGCAGCCACATGATGTATGAAACAGGCAGGACTCTGGCTCACCAAGAAGGTTGATACAGCAGATAGATAAGGGTGCTAGCATCTAGGTTCTAGTTTCTAGATTATGAAAATTAAAACTAAGATCAGCAAATAGAAACGGTCATTGTGTTCAAATGATTTACCAAGAAATTAATGATCCAAAATTCGGAGATTTCCAGATACAATTTTATTTTCCAGCACAGCTCCAGACGGAATATCGATTCTGTCTCCATGGTTTGCAATAATGATTACTGTTCCCTAAAAAAGAATACAACTCACGTCGCACTGAATCTAGACAAACACATAATTTTCGTTGTCATGCAAAAAGCAAGATTTGTTTCACATTTGATGGGCTGAATTCCAAAAGAGGGACAAACCATGGTAACGTGCAACGGATTTTTTTAAAAAATTACAAAATAATACATATAGAGCTCTCAAATTTAAAAAATCAAATGAAATTGCAAAAAATCTTCTAGCTTTTCTCGCATGTAATTCACTCAAAAAACAATATTTTTCAGCGGGATGACAGAAACATTTTTTCCAAGTTGTTCCATATCAATCACAAAGATAAAATATATTAACGAATATAAAAATATTAATCTTACCAAGATGTTGCAACGTACCTTAAGAGTAATGTTCCTTCCAAAGGTAACATCACCCGAGACAGTGAGATGGTCCAGTTCCAGAATATTAGGAATGGAGGCGAATCTTAACAGGAAATCAGCCACCTGTTAAAGCAAAACAAATTTACTCTGTCAACGAATTAAAGAAATTTTTCAAAATTTAGATTACTGGCTGGAGGAAGGATGGGAAGCTCTATGGGCTTTGTGTCAAGCACCCGAGGGGCCGAATTTTTTAATGTCGAAACCAATAGCAGAGACAACTCGTGAATTACTTCATGGTACGTAGGGGTGCTAACTGTATCCATCTCCTGGTTTTCCTTAAAACGAATGCTGATTGCCATATTACTAACATTCTCAAATAATCTTAGTTTTGAAACAATCTTTTCATGGTATAGAATTTAAACGGCTTTGAAAAAAGCAAACATTTTGAAACATGAAATACTCACTAGCAAAGAGTTTTCGATTTATGTTCTGACGTTTTATATTCAGAAGAGTGTCAGACGAAAAGCTTTAGTAACATGTTTCAAAATGTTTGCTTTCTTCAATGCCATTTTTAAATCTTAGCGATCATTCTGATGAGTATTTGGATAAGAGCTACTCGAGGCTGTTCAGGGAGAACCATTAGAACAGTTCAGTTCATCGAAACACTAAACGACGTGTGAGAGCTTAGCCTTACTTCGAACTTTACAGTATTGGGGTAAACGCAGGGGTGGGTAACCTATGGCCCGCGGACCAGAATCCGGCCCGGGAAGAGAATTTTTTGGCCCGCGAGATGAAAAATATCATATAATATTATTTTTGGTTGGCAAGGATGATTTTCCGAGAATGATGTAATAGAGATGTTTGTAATTGTAGTGTCATTGAATTTAAATGAAAGTTTTTTATCATTACTATAATTATTTTATTACAACTATTGCATTCGTTTTTCATATAACCTTTGGCCCGCTTAAAGAAAAGATTTGAAAGATCTGGCCCAGTCTCCAAAAAGGTTGCCCACCTCTGGGGTAAAGCATAAGAAAAATTAAAAGAAATTAAACCTTTTTGAAATGGCGGCCAGTAATCTTGACAAGAGGCGTTGTTGGAAATATTCTTCTGTGACTCATCGCGAGTGTGCCACTGTGCATGTCATAAAGATTCGACATGACCAAGAAAAGATCAGATGTCGTTTTGACAGGCAAGAAGCGACTTCGTGGCACGTTGACACCTGAAATGTAATTATGTTATCTCAAAATCCTCATAGCTGTCATATATTCCTTCATGTCTTTTATCTCAGAAAGAAAACTCTGATAATACTTTATACTGAACTAGCAGTACTTGTTTTAAACTTACATTAATTGTAAAGTTATGTAAACACTTAATATTTCCTTCATTACCCGGCAATGAAGGACAACGTAATCGTCTGATACTCATGAATAATCAGACGAATAACAAATACGTCTGAATAACAAATAATTTGCCTTGATGAATAACAAATACTGCAAGACAAAATGTTCGAAAAGGGAGAGTAGCACCCAGGGTGCATTGTTCCTTAGGTAGCCTCCCAATTTCCAGGTAATTAAAATTGTCCATGGCATCCTTTGTCCGCAAAAAGAGCGAAGGGACTGAAAAAGATCCGTGTTCGCATTTGCCATTTCTATACTAATCATGACTGTTTTAGTCTCACATCATTTGCTGACTCTCTACAGCCTGTAAAAATTTACCTCTTTAAATAATAAAATTTACGTCTTAAAGATTCTAATATAAACGCAAAGATCACCCGTATAAAGTTGGATTCGAAGGGACGATGGTAGAGATAAATGGCAATAAGATAAACGGCAGCCTTAATTGTTTTTGTCACTTTTGATGACTTTTAAGGAGAAGATTTCGGGGAATACTTAAAGGAAAATACAAGAGTCGATAAAACTGGCCCGGTAAGAAGAGGTGAAGTTGCACTGTAAAAACGCTAGATTGTGGCAGATACGAACATGCTAAGATACAGATACGAAGAAACAGTAATTTCAGGCTGTGGCATTGAGCTGCCAGTGTTATCAAAAACTTGTTTATCATACCTATTGCTCCTTCGAAGCACTTTATTGCTGCACCGACAGCAGTCTCCAACTGAATGACATTCACCCCATTATCAAGAGTCTACAAAAGAATACAGATTCTTACAAAAGAAGGACATGGGTTCGTGTTATAATGAAAAAATTAAAGATTTACATTGACATAAATACTTTTTATACAACAATATGATCATGATGTTAGATCTCAATTTTGATAACCCATTGTTGAATCAGTTGTGGAAAGCTATAGCTTTTCCTTGGGGTAAAATGAAAATGATACACAATGGTAAAGCATTTCCTACTTCGAGAAGCTCATTCTGGTGAGTACATTGCATCTTCTTTTTTGAGATTACTTCTCTTAATGACGAGAAGAAAGAAATAGTAGCTGAAATTCGTGCTAAATATTTATGAAAACTATCATTTGCCTTGCTTTTTGGTGGCTAAGTAGTCTAATATATCGCTAAGTCTAATCCAGACTTGAGGCAAGCTAGAAATTTCGGAAAATATTTCACCTCACCTTTTTTTTTACAAACCGAAATTTTCTCAAAATTTTGCAGTAGCATTAATTTCATTTCATAATTATTCTTTTAATTACTCATAAACTGTTAGAGCCATGACAATATCCCAAATTCACAAGAAATGTGAAAAAATTTCAAACTATTCACAGCAACAGATACAGCTCAAAGATAGAAAATATTTTTCTTTCTACTCCAATGTAATATGAAACTCTCGGTGTTTTAACTGTAACTTTAAATGTAAGGGTAAATGAAGAAGTTTTATGCCAGCTATTAGACAGTTAAGCTGCAAAAAAGTACAAAAAGGAAGAAAATACTTTCATTTACGTAGCAACGAGAGCTAGCATATTGCATTGAAGGCTTTATGCATTTTTCTGAATTTAGTTAGATATGACTCTTGCCAAGAATGAAATATTTTTGCTCAACAAATTGATTTTCTTAGATTTTCAAACCGTTTTACTAAGATTTTTTAAAAAGGTACTTTTTTCCAATCTGGGCCTACAACATCCTTTTAGATGCAGAACCCACTTCGATCACGAGTGGTTCGGGTTACGATTCTATTCTATCTGTGACCATTCTTTGCGAGAACCAGATACTTCAATTAAAGATGGGCCCCTCAGGAATGACAATTCCAGTGTGTTGATTATAGGTCGAAAGAAAACCAGATGTTCCATACCGCTATATCTTAAAATATTAAGAAATAGAAGGTTTTAAGAGATATTAAGAAAAACTACCTTTCGATTGATGATTATCTCCATGCTTAGAGCTCTCTCTTTCACCAAACGGTGAATCGCTCCAAGTTTCATCCAGAGATTGTTGGTGTTAAATATCCTATAATCAATAATCAAAACAGAAAAATTTTCAAACTTTCACTAATAAATCATTTATACTCACTTGGGGTAAAATTTGGGGTAAAAACATGGAGGTAAATAAATAAAAGGCCAGGGAAATAATTTTTAGAAATAACCTTCTTTTTCATAACTGTTATAAAGTCCTTTTTCAAGAAATTCTAATTTAAAGAAAGAGAAACAAATATTTTTAACTGTTTACCAGAGACTTAACAGCAAGCCTTCGTTTCATTTAAGCAGATACGAAATTCATAACGCGGAGCATGAGACATACCTAAACTTGTTGACGGCTTTAAAGTCATCTATCTAAAATCCAAGTAAAAAATCTCTTAAATGACGACAGTAAAATTTTTCTCAAAAGTTAACAGGAATAAAATAACAAGAAGAGATAATTTACGGGTAAATATTATAAAGTTTGGAAGTGAGACTTTGTAACTAACAACTGACTCAGTCCCGTGTTTCACAATTTTTATCCTCACTGATCGAAAGATAATAAAAAGATGGAAAATGCTTAATTTGAATCAATCTTTGCTGCAGATTGTCAAGTTTGGGTTACCACACCTTTCAAAATTGTTAAAAACTTCACTGATAAAAAATCGTACAACGCAATGATAAAAATCAGCGTTGGCTTGACCTGAGATTAAAAAAGCCAAGACTGGAATAAAATATCCACCTTTAGTAGATCTATTCAAGCGAACCACCTTAAGTAGACTTACATGTTCCTTTGGGACTTGAGCAATCTCAAGGAGACGGAGCTTTCCTTCATATTTGATCAGAGTGCCACCCTAGCGTGAAAACAGACAAATAAATTTCAGCCAAGGGGTTCTGAGGGTATTTAGCTGCCTAAGATGCCATTGATTTTGAAATATGATGGATAAGCTTCATTAAATTGATTTATAAAATAAAACTGTTTGAGGCAATTTGTGGTTTTTCTTTCGATTGAACTATAGGGTTGTGAAAAGATGTGAAAAAGGGAACAAGAACACATTTTGTTCTAGACCAATCAACGGGTTTGTTTACAAAATGTCATTAGCCAATCACCGGCCTCCATTTCGAGCTTGATTTTTGAATGTTTCAAACCAAAACACAGTTGCTGTGGAGAAAAACCTACCCCCATACCTTTGCTCGGGAAAAAAATTTACGTTCTTTAACCTAGAAGATTTTTCAAACTTAGTTTCTAGAGTATTTGTTTCGTACAAAAGCTTGTTGAAAAAGGGTTAACGTTATCCAAGATGCTCTCTATGTAAGACATATTCTCCTGCTTCGAGAAAAATTTGCTTGGAAATTCAACTTCAAGTGTCATGACGAAAACTGTTGAATAAAAAGTGCTTTCTATTAAAATTGTTATCTCTTAATTATCAATTTACAGTATATGACCCAACAAATAATTGTGTTGCCAGTAATGCCAAAAAATTGGTCATCCTCCAATAAAATTGGTGCAAGGCTCCACGATCAATTATTTTCACAGCTCGTTTGTACGCATGCCTGTATCGAAGTAAACTGCTCATTATTTTCATCATCAGCCTTTTAATTAGGTTCAGCTCGAACACAAGAAATACAACATTTTCGTATCGTTTTTACTAATAACAGACCTTGACATCTGCCATAGTTTTGTCTGTGACTTCCATGACAAATTCACAAGGATTGCTGTCGTCAGGTTGATTAATCAAGAAGTTCAAAATATCTTTATTGGTTAAGAAAGATAACAAACAGGGGGGACAACTAAGTGAATAATTCTCTATTAAGAAAATTAATAAAAAATAATTACTAAGTTCGACTTATAAAATAGCTGGTTTAGGCAAAAAGGAGCATTTATAGAATGAGGACTAGAATAGTTTATTATGATTATGAATAATCAGCCAACATTCATGGAAAATAATTTACTCAAGATTTCTGAATTTATTAAAAACACAAGACTAGTTCGAATGAAGGCAACATGGATAAATGAAATGGTATCATCTTCTAAACCTAGTGATTGAATGATAAAAGCTTAAATTCGGTCTGACTGGATGCCTTCCAACAAACAAAAAAGTCTGGCTTTATAAAACATTTGTGCAGGTATCAAGTCCATTAGGTAGCAACGAAGGTAAGTCCATTAGGTAGCAACGAAGGCCCATATTTAGCAGATGTGTTAAACCAATATGAGACAGATAATGGGCAGGCATATAGTTGTTTTGCAAAAAGTTACCTTAGTCTTGAAAAGTATGTCACTTCAAACCACTCTACCTTTTTAAATAGAGTGAAATCCAAAGGTGATAAGAATACGAAGTGAGGTCAAATCATAAAAAGAGGCACTGAATAGCTTAACGACGGAACAGAAATAAATTGGTTCTTGTCTTCTTTCATTTTTTAAACTTTTGTTAAAGTGGTTGGAAATACAAACACAAAAAGCCATAGAAGCAAAGCCTACTAAAATGATAAATATCAAAGGAAAGGATACTGAGGTCAATTGTGGCACCTAAATTGTCAATGTTTGATACAAAAACAAATTCCTTCCCCTCTCGAATGAACATATCTAGCAAGCCTGAATTGGCAAAAGAGTCATAAGTATCACCATGACCAGGAGGATACCAGCTAGAATTGATAAGAGAAGCGTTAGTGGTTTTCACATTAATTGAATGTTATATTCTATCATGATTGCCAATTCCACTGAATATGGCTTACAAACCTATAAGTTATGCAAAGATGAGTGTCTCGTGATACTTGGCATGGCAATACACCCAAGTACATGGCAATTTGTCAAGGAGCAAAAAAAAACAGGGGCACATTTAGATTGGATTGACTTGATGATGCAGTGGAAATCTGATCGAGTTAACGACAAAAAATCAGAGCGAAATCGACAATTTAAATATAGTCTTACTGCTCCAGATCTTCAGAATTCAGATCAGCAACAATTGGGCGAAGTGAGTCTTTGCTTATTCTTGGAAACTGACTTTGTTCAAATGAGAATATTTTCACACGGCATGATCCATATTTGCGTAGAGATTTCTGGGTATCTTTATCTGTGTTGAACGAGTTCATGAGCACCAAAGGAATATCACAATCATACTTTTTATTTAGATTCTGGGAAGAGAATTATTGCAAACTTATAAGATAATGGAATCTGGAATTTCTATAAATACAAGTTTTGTAACAATTAATGAGCAAATTCGAGCAACTGAATGTTGCAGTGTAAAAGCAACAATGCAATAAATCAATTGGAGTAAGAGTGGTCCGGCTACAATGTCTATAAGGCAGGCCCTTGACAAACTGAGCACCTTCATCTTTCTAGGTGCTCGATTGAGCACCATCAAATATTATCAATAAGAAATTTGGTTTTTCGGCAGCATTCATATTTTATCACAGCTTGGTGCTCAATCAATCAAGCTTCTTGAAGTTTCTAGGCGTATGCAGAGGCGCTTGGCCAAGCTTGAGCGCCTCTCCATTCAAGGCCTGCTGTTTATGGGTAAATATCCTGGAAAATCTCTAAATTAAGGTTTTTACGGAACCTCATAGGCCAATATTTCTTTGAAGAACCAATATTTCTTTGCATAATACATTAAATACCAAAAAATTCAGTGCCAAAAATTTCAGTGGATTAATATTTTTCGATGGAAAAAAATTTCGGTCATATTTTTTGTATTTCGGTGTATATTTCGGCGAGAACTTGAAAAATATCGGTGAGCAAAGTAAGGAAACATTTTCTATAACTTATTTCCATCTTCAACAAAAAATTATCTTCTACGCAATCTTCAAAATTACAAAAATCGAATATTTTGATGCCAGCTTAAAAATGGAACTGAAGATTGGGATGGATGTCATAAATTCTTATTTAGAGGAGGTCTTTTTTATTTGATAATTTACATCCCATAAAGGAAAATACATTGGAAGTGTTTACAATGAATTCGCAATGATTTCGATTGCAAAACGAAACGGGGGGATTAGAAATTCTGATCGATTGTGAGTTAAAAATTTTGGCATCAAAATTGAAACAGCTCGAACGTTAGAAAGAAATAATTGAGAGAAATTACGAAAAGCCGATTTCTTGGATGTAGAGGCCAAAAGAGAAGAAAGTGAATATGAGCTGGATACCTTATTTGTTGATGACGAGGAAGATCAAATAACTGAAAATCGATATGTTGGGGATGTATAGTAATGCACATATAATATCAAGGATTGTTTTTTGCTCTTTAGAAAATCTATCAGTGTAAAACGAGATTTTTCTAGCGTTTGAAAATGTCGGCTTCAAAAAAATCTCGCTTTCAAAATAAATTCGGTGGAATTAATTTTCGGTTGCCCTGTTTCACTGAAAATAAATCCCATCGAAATTTTAAGCACTTAATGTAGTTCTCGAAGAATTAACAAGACAAGATATGTTGAATGCCAAGGCTACAAATAGCAAAATAAGGCACACCTCAATCTGTTGGACTGTCAGATCCAGAAAAGTATTATCATTTCTAACTGAAATCAAGCTTTTGGGTCCTTTGCAGCCCATGCTAGTTCCAAGACCACCATTGAGTTTCAAAACAACCAGCTTATCCAACAACTTCTTGACATCACTGGGTTTATAAGACTCTAGCTCAATATCCTTGTATTTTCTGATCTGAAAATGAATTCCTTTATCACAGAATCAAATTAAAAGAATTACAGCCGGTTTGAACAGCAAAATTCAAAAGCAACCATTTTTCAGACATTCTAAAGGCCATGTCACAAGAAATTTAGCAGGGGTGCAGCAAACAGCTCTCCTAGCAATCTCTAGGTGAGTTACTTCTAGATAAATAAGAATAGAAACAAAGGAAAAATTGATTTCAAGGAAAGCGATTGGCTTCTTAGAGCAATTTAGGAGAGCAATCTGTAGCTCCCCTCCATCATTGGTGGAGAGCCTAGAGGTGAGCAAGAGCTATGGCTCTCCTCAAATGGCCAGGCCTAATTTTAGTCCCAATTTGTCAACCTTTTATTAACTTTAATAAATTTCACCCCTCCCTCCTTTTAGAAAATACAACAAAAACAACACAGTATTTTCATCAAGCTATTTGACAGGCCATTTGAGAAAATATGTAAGAAAACTTTACTTTAAAAAAGTTTCCCATTAAATCTACTGCTTGTATTTGTTTATTTGACTAATTTGAAACTTACATACATGTTGTAAACATTGTTTTTCTGAAGAATGAAAAATCCATAAATATGAACATTATATAGTATTCAATTTTGCTTAGAAATTGACACAAAATTCAATATTATCCATATCCATCTCTATTCATTTGGAATACATTTGCCTATGCTCACAAACATGTACAGGCCTAGCCATATATATATATATAATATATATATATATATATTTATATAATACTATATAATATAATATAATATATATATATACGCACATATATATACAAAATCTAAATAATGGAAAAAGTATTTTCAGGTAGGGCAATTTGCTTTTTTGAACAATTTAGGAGAGCAATCTATAACTCCCCTTGAGCATTTGGGGAGCCTGGAGGGAGGGAAGAGTTATTGTTTTCCACAACTGGCCAGGCCTGATGTACATAGAAGATTTCAAACTCACCATGGATTCAGGAGGTGGACTTATGTCATCCCAAACTAAGCCTTGTCCTTTGTCTTCAACAAATCTTCCAAAAAGCTCTTCAAATCCTTTAAAATTTTGTTCATATTTCTAGAAAGAATTAAGTCTTTGCATGATTTTTTAATGAAATTATGCTGAGGGTTATGGAAATAGCAACTGATCTTAGAGAAGACAACTTAGCTAAGGAAATTCTACTAATTTTTAAATTTGTTGAAAAAGAAGATTTTCATTTATACTAAATCATGAAAGATGTATTCTGGTTCTCAAACGTAGATACACATCACATCTTTTTTATAACAACAGTAAAAACAAATACAAAAAACTCAATTTGATCATTGTTGAGATGGAGGCAAAAAAAATAATGGTATCGAGTTGCCACCACACTCAACATTCCAAATATTCCAAAACTTTGCATAATACACTATAAATACACTATAAATACACAATACAGAACAACAAAGTACAACAAAGTACAATACAGCACAATACAATATAATACAATACAAATACAGTACAATACTGTACAAAATGCAACATTGTATAGGTCATCGTGCTAGCTCAGACCAAAAGGATTCCATCTACCAGATATAGCAGACAACGACTAAAGAGAATTCATTGAAATCGTTTAGTCTGCTTCACATGTTCATTTGCTTTCTGGTTGTAAGTCTTACTTCCAAAAAGAAGTATATCACATAAATGGTCGTCAGGCAGTTGTGTAATATTATTGCCAACAATATCAGATATTTTATCAAGCAGGTTCATTCCATCAAGTGAATATTGGCAGTAATGCAGGAAAAAGTGGATCGTGGATTCGACTCCTAGGTCACATTCACACATAGGGCTTGCACAAGCAAAGTTATGATTAAATTGATGTTTGCGTAAGTCAGAGAAATGAATTCGAAGACGGGTTGTGATAGACAACTCACGGCTTTTGGTAACACCATGCAATGACTTTTGTGCAGGTGAAACATAGAGATTAGTAGCTTTTTGAATGCAGATATTGTTGGAGCACCTAGGATTTCAGGGCCAAGGTTGTTCCATGCTGGGATACAGAATGAGAAAAAACTTTTAGAAAATCTTTGTGTATGAGGTGTTCCTGCTCTAAGCAGAAAGGATGCTGTAGGTTATATTGTAGGGTATTTTCATCTGGGATAGAATTGTACAAATACTGGGGGGGTCTGATTATTGACAATCTTGTAGAATAGACACAGTCTGCGGTACCATTGTCTGTTATGTAGCAACTCCCAGCCGAACTTCTCAAGTAGTCTGTTCGAGCCTGTGCCCTTCCACGCCCCACTAGCAGCCAGTGCTGCCTTAACTTGTGTTGATTCTAATTTACATGAATAAGATATGTTTTGATCATGGTAAAATACATCACCGTAGTCAAGGTGTGGCCTAACATATCGCTTATACCTTTGGTCAGGTACATTTCTCAGAACATTCCTCAGAATACCTTTGGTCGAGTACACATCTTATAAGAAGCGAATGATTCAGATCGGCTCTTATGATTGTGTTGTGTACATGCTCAGTGAAGGTTAGTCTCTCATTCAAAATTAGACCAAGATGCTTGTTTTTGTTGTCAGCTATTATTTCATGTTTATTGAAAATAAGAGGGGGATGCTGTTGGTTTTGCCTTTTTGTCAAGAATAAAATTTCCTTTGCTTGCTTAGTGGCATTGTATACCTCACACTTCACATCTTATGCTATCCAAGAAAAAACTCAAATAGGCTTGCCCCAATTTGAATATATATGCTATAAATAGCTCAAGAACTAAGTGTAATACAAATAGAATACAAATTGATTTACAAAAGATATCGTGCAGATGCTTTGAAAAGTTCCTTTATCAGTAATGCGATAAAGATGAAGCTAACATATATGTAAAGTAAACGAATGTACTGATGTGGTTGAAAGTAAACTGCCTATTGGAAAGGAGATTACCAAATATGCTGCGCTTAGAAAGGGTTTAGGAGCTAACTTTTGAAGAAGTGTAGTTCTTTTGGGGGCTGTAAATGAGAAGAATAAAACAGAACAACACCCATAGAAAAACTCATATAGATATACATATGTAAACATAAAACCATAAAATAGAAATATACAATTCAACAAGCCCAGTGCATTACCAAGGCTTTCCCATATCCTATTACCAAAGCCAACCTTTCATTCATGCTAAACCTATATTCTGCAGAAATCTTTGATGTCCTATTTGAGTAAAATGCCTGAGATATGAAACATCCAGACCAAACAAATGATAATTTTTTTTGCTTTATAACTTTAAGGGGCTGGGTCACATAACCTGAAAACAAAAAAATTGTGCAGGAGGTGTGAAAGAGGGGTTTTGTTTACAAGTTGTCAAAGCTGAGTGTCAGGCAAAACAGTAGGTCATGAAATCTTGATTACATTGTCTGAATCATTCTGAAACCATTGCTTTTAGCACTGTTTACTGTTTATAAAACAATAACATTGTCCTGCAGCCTTAAAACAAACCCAGCCCCTTTAAGCTAAAAGTTAATCTAAAACAATAGGCCATTTACATTGTACTCTAACACATATATCAAGATTAAACAAGTATTTCATCTTATAATTCCTACCAATAACATAAGATCTAAAACTTATGACATTGTGCACTTGATAGCAAGCATGTGTACCCTAATGTCCCTGATTACCAGACTTAGCCCTCATCAGAAGGTATCACATATTCTTACATCTACTACCTGCAGTTCAAAATGGCCCAAAAAAATATTCTTGTGCTCATCAAAATGAATTTGGTCAATGAAAAGCTCAAGGTACTAAATTTGTGTTATCCCTTATATATTGCAGATTTTTCAGGGATAAATTTTTAAGTACAATGTCAAACGAACAACTCTTAAAATGTTTTCTGTGTTTTATTCATACAAATATCACAATTTTATAAACATTATGGAAATAAAAAACATTTGCAACATTTAGAAAAATTCAGATGGAAAACAATCCAAACAATATTTCCTTTTGTACTTTAGAAGAAAAGGCATTTTTATACTTTTGTTAAATGTTTTAAAAAATCTAGGTTAGAGTGACTTTGTAATACCTGTTTCTTGTTCTCTGGTGCTGTTTTTAGAAGATTATGGATATCTTCTGTAAGCAAATCTCTTGCATCTTCTCGCTTCTCCAAACCAACGAAGCTCATGATGAAACTTTTTGTACCTATTGATGGCAGAAAATGTTAGCTATAAAGTGAAGAGGCGTTGATTTTAGCCAATTGCAAAATAAAAGTAGCAAATTTTTGGTATTCTTTTCTCAAATAACTAGGTCCTATTAAGGCCCTACATCAATAAACTACTGTGTGTACCCAACTTGCCAAGTAATATCAAAATAATGGCTTGCGATGGGTCAGCATTCTTGCAATGCAAAACTGCTCACATGAAAAGCTAACTTCGCAGCAGGGTAGATAAACAGAACAATGGTTATGGCTGAGGCAATGACATAAAAAATCACATGTCTCTAAAAACCCTTGCAGAGTTGCTTGCTTTAGCTGGACACATCACTATAACAAATCAAAATAAAATTAAACAAAATAAAACAAAAGCACATGATGCCTCAGGCATTTTTCAAGGGCACAAAGTATCTTTTTCATCAGTTTCAGTTTCATTCATTTATCAATCAATCCTAAATCAGTTCTACATAATTACTTTACAACAACTAATATAAGAAACCATGAAATATTAAGGAGAATACACTACTGCAGAAAAAACTGACATGACTGTATTTAAGATTGATTGATTAAGGAGGAGCTCTCTAAATAGGTAAACAAATCAAAAAGTACTAGTGATTCAGCGCCATACCTTGTACATGTATCTAATTTGTTTTTCTGAGCTCACAATTAAATACATCAGACATAACTTCCGAATTCAGGCTCCATGTTCAATCGTAACTTCAAGCTATAACTCCCCCACTTTTGTCAAAACACTGTCTTCCCTTTTCTTGTAAAAAGGGCGAACTTTTATTATGGCAATTATATTGGGAAAGGGTAGCTAATATTTTGTAATATTTACCTACTTATGCAGTACATTTTAGATGAGGCAAATAAACAATCATATTTTCATATAGGGTTTCAAAAAACAATGTGGACTTGCCTGATAGGTTGTTTGGAAGAATCAGGTGGATCGTGCCCAGGCAAAGCATACAATTACGGGATTGCTTTTGGCCTAAAATGCCACCAGAAGCCGGTGTGTGGTTGTAGTTACAATTGTGGTTACGGGTCAGAGAGATCCAGAAACTTCACGATGAATATTTTTAGCAAATCATTGGCGTTAGTATACAAACATGAAGTATACAAACATAAAACTTACCGGGACCTCGATGCTTCTTTGTTCTGTAGTACACCTTTGACCTTCCCACTTGTCCTCTGATGGCCCAAGGTAAAATGTTGTTGTGGTCGTTGGTATGCGGCTGGTCTGGGTCCCAAAATTGAACATTACTTACTGCGCAATGGCTGTACGCACTATCCGCAAATAAAATAACGAAAAATTCGTTTGGATTTCCAACAAATTTTCCTTTTACTTTGTTTCATGCATCGTCAAATCATAGCCTATTCGAAGAGAAATCTCTCCTTGATTAGTTCACCTATTGAGAGATCTCCTCCTTTAAAGACTTCCTTTCATACAATTTATTTTGTCCTGTATTTGTACTTATACTATTATTTACTTTAGTTTAGTAATTTCTTTGTATAAATGTAATACAAATTGTATGTTGAGAATTTCAAAAATATGAAACTGAACTGAACTGAAATAAGATTTTTTGATGAAACATTTTTTGAAGATAGGAAACATTTTTTGGCTGTAGAAAATTTTAAAATGGCTTTGAAAAACAAAGAATCTCTGAGGTATGTCAGACGAAAAAGCTTTAAGCATGTTGTAACATATTTGCTTTTTATGAAATGATAATGATTATTACAATATCCCCGGGTGGCGGAGGAGGGGGGGGGGCTGCCGTCTTTTTTGTTATTTTTGTAAACAGAGTATGCAAACTGTTCATATACTGCTTGATTTTATCCGTTCTATTTTCTAATTTATTTTACTTACTACCTTATTTAGGTATATTTTTATATTTATCGTTTATTCTAATCAATTCAGAAGATAACTTTCTATATCTTTGCAATATCTGCATTTTGGATATGCAAACATGGCTTACTGAAAATACTCGAGACAAAGAAGATGCACATTTCTGTTCAGGAAGTAAAATTCTCTTAATCAATCCAGAGAGAATTTCATGTCAACTGTACGCCGAAGGTTCACCGGGGCATTTGTTTAGGTACGCCGAATATATGATCAGTTAGTAAAACTGTAAATATAATCTTGTACGCCAGACAAAGGAAACTGATTCATAGAGAAAACTGCGGTGTAAGAGTCTTTGTTTTATTCTTTCTCGTGTCAATATGTACGTGGCTTCATGTTTAGCACGCCAACTAATGAAGATTTACGTATGTCAAAAACGTTTTTATTAGTTTGTACTCGGAATACCAAAAGACCTGAATGTACACCGAAGCTTACGCCTCTTTGTTATTTGTACCCAATTTCAATTTTTTCCTCACGTCGGACTCAACCATGGTGGGTCCTCCTATGTCACTAAACTTGATTATTAGCCCCCCCCCCAGGTTCCATTTCGTGGCACCGTCTTTGCTGTTCTTAACTTTTTCCAAAATCTGAGGCTGTATCGCTCTTAATTTGTTCTCAAATTAATAGGGTGTAAGAAGTACGATTGCTAGCTTTTTCGCTCTAGGAAGGTGTTCAGGCTCCATTTGCCAACAAAGTGAATGAAAGAGCGTTCACCCACAAATGGCTAAAAATCCCTTAATTTTTTAGATAAAACGGTGTTCCAAGTTGCATTTTACAGTAACTTAGCCGCAGCTTGTTCTTAATTTGTTCTTAACTGTTGACCAATTTTAAGGCTCGTGTTCTTATATAATTGTTCTTATAAAAAAGAGTGTATAGGCAGTGCTGACTTTTGTTGGGACATATGTAACTTTTCGGGGGCAAGTTGCAACTAACATTTCAATTTTCCTTTAGCATGAACTTTCAGAGACTGCTATACCTTGAAACATTTGATTTCTTTGCCCAAAACATATATTCATAAAATTTGGTCTTAACTTTGGATTACAGTTGGCCTCCTGTAGAACTATCAAAATCGAAATAATACAGTAGTTGTGGAGTGCTGCAGTCTTGGTTCTTTTACTATTGTGACACCTCCTTTCCCAAAGGCTCATGAGTTGGCTCTTTACTCGATAAATTTGGCATCATTTACTGATCCATCATAATTCAGATTTTTTTACCTTGTAGAATATTAAGTGAAAATTTGGAAGCAACTCAAAAATGGCACATTATCCATGACTAATATTTGAATTATGATAGAATCATCATCATCAACCCTTAGTCTCACGACCGTAGTGACATTGCTTTCCGCACAAGATGCTTTCCTCACAATCAGCCTCATTGCTTTCTGTCCCTGGCTTTCTTCATAATTTAACCAATCTCCAGCACTGTCTACTCTTTTATGTTATCTATCCACTGTTTCTCTGGTCTGCCTCTTCTTCTTTTTCCTTCTACCATCCAATAAAATATGAAATTAGATATAATAGAATTCATATTAAATCAGAACAGAAATATGACATAACGTAGTACTTTGGTACGGATAAAACGTTTAATTTGAAAGGTCTGCAATTGTCGACAATATTATTGTCGTCATTCGGATCTTGCAAAAAATCCCCTTCAGCTTTTTCTCTCTCTTACATACGGTCGTTGTGTAAACATTGTTTTTAGGCTGCTGCCATGTTTGACCTCAAACCTGACTTAACACACTACATTGTGCTAAAGGCACGACCTGTATTTGCAGATGAAAGTGCAAAAGACTAATACAACTGCAATAAATTGTGTAGCTCTAGCAGGCATTCTTTATGGCACTCCTCGAAGTCACGATTAAACAAATAGTTTCTACCTTTGTTACCTTTCTTATTAGTTTAGCAACTTCTTTATTACAAGTTTTGATGTTTGTGTGTAGCTCTTTAAGTTCTTTTGTCAAAATAGGCAGTTTGATGAGGTCGGAGATACAGACCAACTTGTCCTTGATGGCCCTTGATATTCTGTACGCCTTGTCAAGCAATCATGCACTTTTCATGGTGATAAAATTTCTAACATCTTCCTGGTCAATGCAGTTCTCGATTACTTGGCTTATCGCATCAATTCACCGTAATTTGACACAAAGTCTGCAAGGCAATTTCGTGCTGTTCGCTTTCTCTTGGCAGCGCTCACTTTGTCGAGACCTTTCACAACTGGTAAACATGTGCATTGCTTTTACCTGACGCAAAACTCTTTATCTGAGTAAAATTTTTGCAGACGGTCATAATGCTTATCAATGTTGATGACGAGGGCTTGTTCTGCTGTCAGGGTTGAGCTCTGGAATGACTTGGAGTTATTTTCAAGCAGCTGTGCCAATTCCTGCATAGCTACAAGGAAGAACATTTATGAACACGACTGTGTTTTTGCTAGCAATCCTCTGGACTTGCTACAAGTCTCTCTCTTTAAAGAAAGGGAAAAAAAAAATGGGAGGGAACGTGAGGTAACACATTGGCGGACAAGTGTTACAAGTCTCTCTCTCCTTCCCTTCCATTTTTTCTTTTTTCCCTTTCTTTAAAGAGAGAGACTTTTAGCAAGTCCAGCAATCTTCGTGCCTTTGATTTGCACACAGTTCTCATCTTTTAAGTGAACGCTGGACTTTCTGAAGCTCAATGTGAATTTAAAAGTAACAATTGTTGCTGGTTCTCTGGAGGCCCACCAAGATCCAGCAATGAAATGAAAACAGTATGACTCCATTCTAAACCAAATTGTGCAAAGAATAATTTTTATGCGAGGTAACATCCTTGATATAAATTTTTTTTGCGCTTCAAACATGTCATAGTTGGTTTCATAGTCAAGAGCCGTAAGACACTTCAAAGGATTAAAGAAGAACACAACAGGCCCCCGAAATTTCACATTTATCTGTTCAAATATGTAACAGCTTATTCTATAGCAAACTCCTTCATTTGCATAATTACTGATAAATCCATATAATAAAGGCACCCACTGATTATTTTTGTTCACAATAGCAATATTGTTTTTTTCTATTCGCATAAATACACTGCCCCGCTGCCCCCGTGCTTCCCGCGCCGCTGGTTCGGATTAACCCATTTTCTTTCATGATCAAAATTTTGTTTCTCCCTTTTATGTTGATTGAGATTTAATTGAGGTCTAGTGTGTCTAATTTTTAACATTTTTTAAATGGGGGCACGTGAATCAGATTCCCCGGCTCGTACGTCTTTGGTCATGTGCCCAAGAGTCTGTTACCAATAATCTCTTATCGATTACGAGACTGGCGGGAACAGGAAAATGGCCGGTACTCCATCACAAGAAGGCTCCGTTGCAAATGGAAAAAACAATGTACTTAAAAGAATTTGGTCAGAAACTGTTGATCATAAATTCAATGTGCTAAAAGTAGGGAAAGTATTTAAGTAAGTTTTTCCAAAGTTGATTGCAATTATTGCATTGTTATAACCCAGAGTATAGAGGATTGTGAGTACAATAAAACAGGCCCAAGATTTTATATAAAATAACCCTGCACATCTGGTGAAAGGTGTGGCATTTAGAGATATGGGTATGACCTTCTTGAAAATTGTGGATTTTTAAATCTTGTACTTTTATCTTTTAATGTAGTTTAATCTTTTAAATATTGGATTTTAAAGAAAGAGATCCAGTAGAACACTGATTCATCCCCTCGTATCACCACAAAGAGTCTCTTGCGCCTTTCTCAGAGTCACATGCCCGTACTGAGCGTTTGGTTGAAGGCCACTGACCTTTCTTTAGAAATCTTTCTTTAGTTTATTGCAAATCGAGGTAACATAATTTTCTTTTCTCAAGAGACATTTTTCCGTCAATGGTAACTGGGGGAGAAGATGGCATTTTAAAGGTACATCAGTGCACCATAAACGAAGGATCAAAATTACTATCAGGATTTGAAACTGTGAGTATAGAATAAGTGAATTGATACCTGGTTTTGTGATAGACAGTTAATGACTTATTGACTGGATGTTGTTTAATGGAAAGTCAGGAATCTGTCAATCATTTATTCATTAGGTCCAGGATGTATTGATGGGTTATAAAAATTTACTAGGATTCACTAAATACTGTGGTAGGGACTTAGCAGTTAGTATTAGCAGTTAGAAACTAATCCTGGTATTTGAAGAGGTACCAATGCAAAATTTCGACCCTTGAAAATTGCAAAAGGATTTTGGTCTTATGAAGTGGAGACAAAAGTTATACAGAAAAATGGTTTTACATACTTTGTATCACATACATTTTGTGAGAAACAATCAAGAGAACCCAGTACGATTGAATTCTTAGTAACCTGGTATTTTTATGGTCCTATGGTCATCAACAAATAATTGATTGATCATTTGATATCTGAAAATAATTGTGAAAGCTCTCGATCGATGGGGATTTCTTGGCACAAGGCAAGCCTCTACCTAGCAGTAATGGCTGCTCACTTCCATGAAATTAAAAAGGTTGATGTAACCAAGAAAGAATTGAATCGGTCAAAAATAAAGTCTTGAATCGCTCCCAACCGACCTCTTCTATGCCTACTAGGTGTTAGATGCTAAATTTTCCTGTTATAAAATGAATATAATGGAATTCAAACCTATGTATGATAGAATTATACTACTTGCTACCCCTCACTGGTGACAGCTTGTCCAGAATTGAAAACTCATTCCTCTCCTCATTTCTGTGCCATGTTCGTTCAAAGTTGATTGTTTTCAATTTTTAGCAAGCGTGAGGACAATCACGCGTCATTTAAACCTTCTGATATCAACCTCCAGGCAACCCGCGCTCGCAGGCACTTGTACCCTTGCTAAACTTTAAATTTCTTCCCCTAAATTAGATACTCTTTCTGTATTACAGACAACATTGAACCTTTTTGTCATAGTCTTGGCTGTTCACATAACATACTAGAAGGATGAAAAATATTTTTTGGCGATACCAATTTTTTGTGTTGATACCTCTTTAAGCCAAATTTGATTACCATCCATAGATTTGCAAGAAAAATTCTTGTAAGTGATGAATATGTACATATCTATTTTAGAAGGGACATTCACTTGAAACAAAGTCTGGTCCAATCCAAAGAATATGTTTTGAAAATGTTACAAATTTTAACTCTACTGATATCCTTGTTGGAGACTCAAAGGGGATGTTGACAATTTTTACAAACAACCAGATACTGAGTAGAAGAAGCTTGATACAAAGCAGTATTGCATCAATAACAATTGAAAAAGACTCAGGTAACCAACCTTGGAAGTTTTTACATTCATTTTGTCCAAAGCTGTTTATTTCTGAAATCTCAATTTTATTTGTATATGTTGATAGAAGGTGAATCTCATCTACTGTCTGTATCTACAGAAGAACCTTTTAGAGAGCACCTCTTCTGAACCAAAACTTTGATGACCAGTTCCTTTCCTGGAATCCTCCCCAATATAATGAGTAACACATTTCATGCTTGCCAGTCAGGATCCAGTTTGATTAGATTGAACCTATAGTTGAACTTAGTTGTGAAATATGACTCTCATCACTTGAACCTGGAAATAAGTATTCTAAGCCACTTCACCTTCATATATCGGTCATCAACTTTATTTTATGCTTTCCTCGCATCAAATTTGATTCATCATTTTGGAGTGGTGGCCCAATAATATTATAATGATTAAACTCCTTCCTTCTTGTAGCTGGAAACATGAAAATTCTACTTGGCTCCCTGGATGGAACTGTTCTTGCAGTATCTCCCTATTCAACTCTATGGAAGCTGAGACTTCCTGACATACTACAGGAAAAATGCCAGGTATTCAAGTATGCAGAAATAACCTTCAAGCAGCAGGCATCAAGCAATATTTTAAACAGCTGCATCCTGTCTATAAGATTGACCATTTAGAATGATCATAATTTTTGCAGAAACATGTTTTAAAAAATTCATGATGCCGCTAGCAACTGTTCTTAAATCTAAAGAGAAGTTATAGGGATTGAAGATTCCCAATTTTTATTTTCAAATATGCTTTCTGGATATGCCAGATATATAATGCATGTTCTTAAGATATTTTTGATCTTCTTTGTATAAACTTAGGCAAATTGCAAACAAGTTTTAAAATTCTGATAAATTTACTCTAAAGGGTATCCAAATTGTTTGCTTTGTGCAGAATATTTTCGTTTTGAAACAACTTTTATATAAAATCTCAAGTTGGTTTGCTGATGCTGTCTCTAAATACACATGATGACATACTGACATTCCTGTGTATATTTTTGTTTTAATACACAGGATTATTCATAGAACAATGTACTATTTGAACACCATTAGAACAAAGTCCTGCTAAATGCAAACAATTATAAAATGATAAAATGAAAAATGTTGTGTTAAGCACCTTTTTCTCAATTTTCAGGGAGCCATCACATCTTTTGAAATTACAAGCATACTCAATCAACATCTGGTATCTGGCTCAACTGATGCAACTTACACAGTTGTTGCTGATAACAAGTGTTGCCTACATTTCTTTCAGTCAGGTACTTTGGTGCGAACATTAAAACTACCATCAGTGGCTCTCTGCATGTGCTCTGGTTATTTCATACCAATGGATCCAATATTGACCCCAGTTCCAACCACACCAATGCTAACTTCTACACCAGGATTTTCCTCCCCAACAAGAAAGACTCGACTGCAAGGCAGAATGGATGACCAGATCGCTGTAGGTACAGCAGATGGAAAGATCTTAATTGTTTCTGGACCAAATATTGTTCAATATGGTAACATTGGAACCAGAATAACAAATATCCATGTTGTTAGAGGTGCATATGATGGATCTGATTTATTGATTTGCAGTGGACACTTTAATTTTCTCAGCATTTTACAGGATGGCAAAGAACTTACTAGGTACAAGACCGTTGACTGGATTCATACTTTTGACATACTGATTCATGAAGATTCAAACAAATACATTGTAATAGGCTGTTTAGATTCAAAAATTGAAATACTAAAGCTAGACTTCTGATGCTGCAAGGGAGACTTCATGTGCCAATTTCTATAACTGGATTTAAGCACTATTTGTACAAATTCTCATTTAAGAGATTCAAGTTTTAATTTTTTAGCAGAATGTGCCTTCAATAAGGGTAATAGACATCTTTAATGTGTGTATAAATTTCTTCTCTAATGATATTCTCAAGGAAAAACTTTCAGCTACTTCTGAAAAAGTATTATGACCACAACGAATCCCCTTCCCCCCCCAAAGAAAGAATCAATTTTTAAAAATCAGCAACATATCACTCCAGATAGGTCTATTTTTGAGAATTTTGATACTTTTTACCCTGTTTGTCATAGCCCTGTTTGTACCTTAAGATAACAATGTTCATGTTCTTACATTTGTTTTTTTTAAACAGAGGAGACTGTACCTTAATAGTCACTGCTGAAAACAGGCAGGGTTTCATGCCATGCTAAAATTTGTGCAAAGAGATCATGGTGTATGAGGGAGAGTCATTTGAAGAAACTAAGATCAGTACCATGTTTTTGAAGTTGGTTCTTAATCATTTGGAAAAAGTATAATAGTATTATTAAATATTGATAATGCTTCAAAACCCTTTTGAGTTTGATTTGCATACACATCCACACCCTTTTTGGATATAATCACATCATTAAAGCCTTTTAATAATATTAATATGAAGAGTAAAATTTAATTCTAAAACCATTGGCGATTTTCTTAAGTTAAAGTTCACCTTTATTCAGGGAAGTCATTTTATTAATAAGAATCCTGGAATTCTTCCTTTATTGTTCTTAACAATTCTTCATTTGTTAGTATTTCCACAGCTGTCATCATCAGGGCTTTTGCAGAGTCCAAAGTTGGCTTTTGTGCCTCTGGAAGACCTGCTACCCTGGTAAATTCAACTGTGTGATTGCATGGATCTCCTATACTGTAAATAGGGTGGATAGATGGAGCTATGTAAGAAACATTACCCATATCGGTAGATCCAGTTGACAGATCCTTACCATCACATGGCAGGGTTTTGTAGTCAGGGAAGTAGACACCAAGTGATTCTGCTTGTTTCTTGTAAGTTTGTACAAATGACTTGGCCTGCTTCATATCTGAATATGGTTTACCAATTGGTTTCAATTCCAGTAAACAACCTGTGCATTATGAAAATAACAAAGGCATTGTAGCATCATTCTCTAATTCATATAAATTGATATGGCAAAATATAGGTGGAACTTTGAGTAATTATGCCACTGTCAGTAAAGTGTGGTATTGAAGTAAGTGGAAGAGCTGCAGTCATTAACAGAAAGGTGGAGAAACTCCTGGTGACAGATTAATGAAACTGGGTGTGAATTTGTGTTAAGATATTTGAATTGCTGGCAAATTGAATCCAAGAAGACTGAGGTATTATACTCACCAGTAGATGCTGCAGCTGCCTCAGCACAAGCTAAAACTTTTTCGTTTAGTTCATCTCTAGTCTTACAGGTTTGTCCTCGAATATAGTAATGAAGTTCAGATCTTTTTGGAATAATGTTTGGCTTAGCACCCCCATCAACAATAATTCCATGGACACTGCAACCAGGCTGCATCTGTTGACGCAACATACTGATGTTATTGTAGCACTGTATTGCAGCATCTAATGCGTTTTTGCCAACCCAGGGACACATTGAAGCATGAGCCTCTTTTCCTAACAAACAAAGTTCCAAGTAACAGATTAGATTGATAAAGTATCATTAGCCACTCTTGCTAAATTTCCACCATTAAAAATATAGTGTAACAGTAACTCTATATACTGAACAAGCCACTACCTCTAAAAGCGTCCAACACCATATTTGGTTGGAGGTTTTCAGAGGCTTGTTATACTTTAATTGGTTTTGTTTTCAAAAGAAGACAAAACTAAAGACATATTGGCAGCATTGGTTGAAAGTAAGCAAAGGAAGTAACAAAAAGCTAATCCAGTCAGCAAATGATAAACAAATTTATAAGATGATTTGGCTGAATAATTTTACTTCCAACAAAGTTCCTTACTAACCATGGTAAGTCATGCTTAACTGAGAAACAGCAAGCACTTCAAACTCAGGCATGTCTGCTGATCCTGGATGTGTCATCATACAAATGTCAATTTTACCAAAGCATCCTTCTTCAGCCATAAAAACTTTTCCACCTTGCCCTTCTTCATCTGGTGTCCCAAAAACAACTATTTGAGCCTTGAGACTTGAATATGTCTCAATGACTTTCTTCAATCCTTGAAAAATTTAGCAGTACTGTCTAAAACAACGATGGTTGATAAGTACATAAAAAACTTAATACCGAACATTGAAATTATGGTTTGTGGTACTTTCAACCAGATATTAAGTTGTTGAAATGAGCAACAAACACTAAATAGCCTATCATTTAATAGGAGTGCAGTATATCAATCAAAATGTGATCTATCCAGTGAAGTAAACAAACAACATAGTCAGATTAAGCATCTTTTTGCAGCTAACAAAAGATAAGATAATCTCTCAACAGATAATTTTATTTATAATGACTCATATTTTTAGATCCCTCATTCTATCTTTGAAGAAATACTTTAAAGATGTTCATTGATATTATTTTTTCCATTAACAAAAATTGTCTGCTTTTAGCTACTTCCTGAATGTTTGCCTTAAGTTTCATTATGAAGCTCTGTACAGCAGAGCTAAATATAACCCAGCTTCCATTTTTTATTGAATCTTTTGCTTTTCAAATGTAACATCAAAAATTTACATAAGATGGTTTCTCCCTGTTTCTCACTGTCCCTGGTTGTTGTTTTTTGGTATCATTATATTATCCCATGATTCATAGAACCCTGTGGACAGATATCCTGTACCTCTTTCTTCTGGCAAATTAAAATTTGGTTTCGACAATTACTGAATGCTGGATTTTCCTCTTCAAGCTTATTAGTGTCAGCATTAGAGATTATCAATTTTAAAATTCATGCTTCTACAGATTACTATATTCAAAGAAACAAAACAAGCTGATAAAAAACAGATACATTCAAAGTGATTATAATCCTTGAAAAATTTAATTGCAAACTTCATCACAAAATTGATTTTAATTTTTCTGAAGGAAAATTCTGCAAATAGTTGTTCAGTTATTGAATCAGTTTTGTTCGTTTCACTAAACATCACTTTTCAAAATTGTTCAATTTATCAAGCAAGCAAATTTTAATTGATAAGCCTTTTTAACAGTTTGCATGGTTTTGTTTCATTAAATTTAATATAATAAGCCCTTTTACACAGAATTATAAATATCACTGTTTTACATTGTAACAACAGGTGGCAGGGAAGGTGGTAACAAAAAGAACTAGCACGTTTGAAGGATCCAGCAAAAAGAGGTTTATCAAAGAGCAGGTCTGTATATTATTGTGTACTCTGGTTTTATACTAAAACTTTTATCAGGTATTAGCACACACCTGTCAACTTAAAATTTTTAAAACCTGGAGATATTTTATTTTTTCTTAACAGCTGGGAGATTTGGCCAAACAAGGAAATTAGCAGAATTTTTTCTGAATTGTTCAAACAAGACACCTGTAAAACTTTGTGCTGGGCAAACATTCAATGACAAAAATTAAAATGAGAAATTTCTTCATAATGAATTTTAGTGTTTTTGAATAAAGAATGAGTTGATAGGTCTGTTAACACAAATTAAATATTTTAGAGAGAAAAATAGAGAAACAGGTGCAGCAAATCACAGGCTGGCAAGCTATTAGAAATTACCAACCTATGGCAACAGCCACACCAGCCTCTGCAATCAAGTTGTGACCACATCCATGACCAATACCCGGCAGGGCATCATATTCACACATAACACCAACTTTTAAACCATCTACATCCCCAAACTTTGCAATAAATGAGGTTTCAAGTGGAGTATGTTTTTGGACCTCAAAGCCTTGATTCTTGAGGTATGTTGTAAGGACAGAATGTGCATGTTTCTCTTCAAAACCAAGTTCAGGCTTTTCCCAAATCTGCTGGCTAATCTCATTTAGTTCATTTGCTTTGCTATTAATTTCTTCAATCCCAATTTGCATAAGCTCAGAGGCAGGGCATGTCAATTTTTGCCCCTATAAAACAAAAGTATTTGCCAAATTACTAGCCATAAATGAATAACATGAGAGGGTACTTTAAACATTTAAAGTAAATTCCAGTAAATATCACTCTCATATTAAACCATAGACGCCAGAAAACAATAGAAAAGTAAAGATAATTGCTAAATGTTGTTGAAGGGCAACCTCCTCAACAGAGCCAGGGATGAAACACGAAAAGCCCACAAGCCTGAGAAAAAATGACTTTACTTATTTGACAGTAGTGCAAGAAAAAGAAAAACAGCTAAAAAATTTATGGCATGCAAGTTTCATGATTATTGGCTTTACTTGCAATGAAAATTTTCAATGAAAACCAAAACAGTATTCCATGCCCTTCTTCCTGTAGAGATCTTACCCAGCCTAGGAAACTTATTAAAATACAATAATGGATTTTACTTAAAATTGACCACCTTTTGATTGTTTCCCGCAGATGCTTTACTGTCTGTGACACCGCTGTGTTTCCTTTTTCTTTCCATTTTATTGGATAGACACAGAATTTAAAGAAGAGAGCCGAAATTTCTCTTACTTACCCGTCTTACTTATTTCTCTTACTTGTTTCTCTTATCCGTCTTACTTCCGCTCCCTCCCTCCCGCGAAATCGCTTTCCCTCTCCACCGTCCGTCTCCTTCGCAGAAGTCAACAGAAGGGAAATAAATAGTCCTCTCTCGAAAATGAAATTGACTTAGAGCAAAATCAAGTCTAGCTTCCTACATACCCTAACGTCAATAAAAGCCAAGTCTTAAATTGAATCGAATAAAGTCGTAAAATGAAATTAAAGGATTTCTTAATTATTGCCTCTTTGATATGAAAGAGCAATACGAAATACTTCCATTCTAATTGTGCAAAATCAGTCTGAGGTATGACAACGTAAGTTGACCAAGGCTCAAAGTTGTTATTTTTTGGATAATTTGCGGCTCGAGTGTCCTTTATGCTGTTCTTACTTTAAAATTAGTATTTCACAAGTTACGTTCTATAAATTATTCCCAAGACAACTAAATAATATTTTGTTAGACATTTTAACAGCACGATTGTCTGGCTAATAAAATCTGCACTCTTTTGTCAACACGAGTGTAAATTAAAAAAAACAACATCGCTTTTTTCTTATTTATATTCTTCTGAGGCTGGCCATATTCTTACGTTGTTCTTATTTTTTGCAAATAAGAGTGTAAATATGAAAACTAAGAGTGTAATGCTCTTTCTTGTTCTATTAGGGACTCTACTAAATACAAACCACGTTCTGATGTTCCAAAGGATGCCCCTGAACTCATTTGTATTGAAGTAGAACCACCAAAAGCAAGCCATTTCTCGTTGTAGCTTCGTACAGACCACCTGGTTCTTTCAATGTTGGTTCTAGAACATGTTCTATCTTATTTGGACAGAGAGGGAAAATAGATAATCCTCCTTGGAGACTCTAATTGTGATCTTGCAGGATGTGAAGCTGACCAGCCCAGAGACAACAACACAAAAAAATTGTGTGATGTTTATGGGCTCTTTGACTTCAAACAGCTTATTGGTGAGCCAACAAGGGTAACCTTGATCACATCTCCTATCATTGATCCCATTGCCACAACAAATACCAGAGACATAACGGGTTCAGGAGTGCATAAAGTTTCTATAAGTGATCATTATTTGGTCTACTGCATCAGAAAATTTAATGGTGCAATGGAAAAGGGCCACAAAATGACCAAAACACGCAAAATGAAAAATTTCAGCGAGGAAGCATTCCTTGTTGATGTTTCTGCTACATGTTGGGAGCAAATGCTCACTGGGCCGATGACATTAATGTTCTGGTCGATCTCTGGTCCAGCCTATTTTCCCTGATCATTGACAAACATGCATCCATTAAGATGGAGATAGGACTGAAAAATCTAGCTATCGCCCAATATCGGTCTACCTGTCATCTAAAGGCTCTTTGAAAAACTTGTTTTCTACCAACTATACCAGTACATGAAGGAAATTTGAATGTTCTCAGGGAACCAATCTGGCTTTTTGTGCCTTTTCTCCACTGTAACATGTTTGCTAAAAAATACTGATGACTGGTACAGTGGGTTGGATCTTCGACAGTTTTTGAGTCTGGTATTTCTTGACCTAAAAATGGCCTTTGACACTGTTGACCATGAGATTCTTTGCCTAAAGCTTGAGCATTTTGGTAAAAAAAATAGAGAACTATCTTGGTTTAAATCTTACCTTTTTGGGCGTAAACAGTTTTTTAGGGTCAACGGCATTGATTCAGAAGTTAGGGACATAGAAACCGGTGTGCCACAGGGCTCATGTCTTGGCCCCTCTACTTTTCCTCATTTATATCAATGACCTCCCACAGACTGTCCAGGATTCAGTTGTATCCATGTATGCTGTTGACACCAGCCTGTGTCATCGATCCTCTGATATTACTGAGCTGAATGAGGCTATAAGCAATGACCTCAGTAAATTAGACACCTGGCTGCAAGGCAACAAACTTACTTTGAATGTTGCCAAAACTCATTCCATGCTTATTGCAACAAAACAGAAGTATAAAATGCTTAAATGTCAAAATGAGGAGTTGGACCTAAAGATACGCAACAACGAGCTTGACATAGTCCAAACAACCAAATACCTCGGCCTTCAGATCGACAGTTCTCTTGATTGGAAAAAGCAAATCAAAGCAGTTTCCACTAAATTTTCCAGAGCTGTCGGGTTCTTGAAATATGCCAAGTCCTTCCTGCCAAAGGCATCCTGAAAACTCTCTATACGGGTATAGTGGAGCCTCACTTTTGGTATTGTTGCTCTATTTGGGGCTGCCATGGTTCAACGAAAATTAACAAATTGCAAAAACTTCAAAATCGTGCTGCAAGGGTAATAACAAATAGTTGCTTTGATGCCCCAAGCAGACCAATTATCCAAGAGCTGGGATGGAAGACAATTGAAGAACTTATAAACTGTGCAACAAAAACAATGGTTTATAAGTCCTTGCATGAGTTGGCTCCAGAATACCTATGTAGCGTTTTCACCCGTACCTCACAGTGTGCTTCCCACAGCCTGTGTAATATAAAACAGACCTGAGACTGCCCGGGAAAAACACAGCAAATGGGCAAAAGTGTTTTTCTTATAGAGGAGCAAAACTGTGGAATAGCCTCTCAGCTGAGTCTAAGCATGCATCAACACTGAGTAGTTTTAAACATTCAATTTAATGGACATTTGTTCTTACTTTTATTTTAACTCTTGTATATTATTTTATGTAAATATGAATACTGCTATAATTAAGGTTTTATAATTATGGTTATTCAAAGTATTATTGATTGTAATTGTTATTTTTTGGATAGGGCCCCTTGTAAATCAAATTTGTTGAAGGGCAACCCTAGAAATGAAATATGAAAAAATGAAATATGAAAATGAACATGACATCAAGAGCAAGTAAGCAGGAAGGAAAAATTATGAACAAAGCAAGTAACATTTAAGTTAAACAAAAACTGAAAAAACCATAGCACACAAGATTTGGTGCATTATCACAATAAAAAAGATACAGACTGATAGAAAAATATTTGTTTTATAGCGACAATATTTTCAAACATTTCCATTTTCTATAAAGCCCAATATAAAACCTTTACGTAGAGAGCACTGATTTTCAACTGGCTACAATCTACGTATCATTAATGTGTCTAAGATGTTGATAAAAATTCCTCCTTAATCTTCTTCAGCAATGTATCACTTGTCAGCACTTCAATAGCCACCATCATCATTGCTTTTCCTGATTTAAGAGTGGGGCCTTGTGCCTCTGGCAAACCTGCTGCTTTGGTAAATTCTAAAGTATGATTCATAACATCTCCAATCCTAAATATAGGATGAATTGATGGTTTAACATAGGATACATTACCCATGTCTGTAGAAGCCGCCATATCTTTTATTGGCAACTTCTCCAGATCAGGAAAAACGACTCCTAGGGATTCAGCATGTTTCTTGTACAAGCTGTTTAGTGTTGGAGCCTCTTTTATGTCAGAGTAAGGTTTGTCCAGAACATCTACCTCAACCGTGCATCCTTTGAAAGAACAGATAACATTTTCAAAATCAATATGTGATTTTTGGGTCAGAAAGCAGATGCAGAATGTATTCCTCATTGCTCAAAATTTACAATATTTATCAATATAAGTTCAACAAAAGTTAAAGAGGGTCAATGGAATAAAAGTGACGATTACCACGCCTAATGGAATTTGCATTTATTTTTAGTCGACCGAGATTAATATCACTTAATTCTCCTAAACTTAAAATAAAAAAATAAAAATCGATACAACTTAATATCAATATATATGGCCCTAGCATAAGAGGTTCACGGTATTAAATATGGTTACTAGTTGTGGGAAACCCTGCGCAGGAGCCATATTTCCAGTAATCATTAATTCGCATGACTTGCTATCGTGATATATTTTGTTTGCGTTGTTTAGAGTCACATGCTTTTGCTTATTATATAGGAACATATTGATCTATTGAATAATTTACCTTTGTGTTATAGATTAAGTTAGTTGAGTTGTCACGAGTTTTTTTGAGGGTAGGAACGTAGTCTCTGATTAAATTGATTATGGAAAATTGATACAACTGTGTTTTTATTTGGGTTCACTCTACGATTCGATAAAAGCAGCCTTTCGAATCAGTACAAGTCAATACACTAGTTAATCCACTGCCGAAGAACTTTTTGATTTTGATTTGATGCATGAATGTGTTTGTTAACAGCTTGAAATTATCCTCAAGCCCTGACCAGAGGAATCAAACATCTGCACAAAACTTCATCCGACAGTGTTGAATAAAATTTGTTATTCCTTTTGTCATCTCGTTTTACAATGTTTTACAATTTTTAAAGATGTGATAAAAAAATTAATGCCACCCAACACTTCGTAAAACATCTCTTTTGTTCTTATGATGTTCTTACTTTGGAAAATTTAGCAGCTGAAGACCAAAGACAGTGTTGCTTACCGAATACACTCTTCTTTTATAAGAACCAGTAAATTTAAGTTCAGGCTGACTGTTCTTAATTTTTTCAAAAATCTGAGGCTGGATTGTTCTTAATTTGTTCTTAGATTAAGAGGGTGCAAACAGTGCTATTGCTAGCTTTTTCACTCTAAGGAGGTGTTCAGGCCTCATTTGCCAACAAAGTGAGTGAGACAGCCTTAATTTGCTGACAAATTTGAATATTCACCGAAAAAGCACCCACACATCGCTTAAAATCCTCGATTTTGAGAAGAAACGTTGTTCAAAATTGCATTTTGCAGAAGCTCAGCCACAGCTTGTTCTTAATTTGTTCTTAACTTTTGACCAGTTTTGAGGCTCGTGTTCTTATAAAATTGTTCTTATAGAAAAAGAGTGTAACCCATCTGATCATCATTTCTGCAACAATGTTCTTGCATTAACGTTTCTACACAGTTTAAAATATTAATTGCTGGTTATATATAATTTGAATATCAAATAATCGGCAATTTCACTTTGTGTACCAAAGAATTTGTATTTCTTTCTGGGAAAGAGGACAAGGAGCGAGGTTAAAAAGAAAGCCCGTAGCGTTGCATGTGCAAAACATTGCAAAGTGTTTTTATATCAAAATGTTCTGAATCATTGGAATTTAGTGCTTGTTATAGGTCTCAATCCATTTACCTTTTGGCTTTATTTGTTGTTCAAAACATTGAAGAACTTGGCCAATAATTTATTGAAATGTCTGAATACTTTGGCCAATAGTTGATTGAAATACGGCTTACGTCACTTTATCATCGCTCATAAAAAAAGCTTACAAATGAAGCTTACCAGTGGCTGAGGCAGCCCCATGGACGCAGCCAAGAAAACGCTCTTTTAATTCATCTCTTATTGACGCTTTAGGTCCTCGAATGTACCAGTGTAGCTCTGATCGCTGTGGGATTATGTTCGGCTTAACTCCACCGTCTAGTATCACCCCATGAATACGACAGCTAGGCAGCATTTGCTGACGCAACATGCTTGCGTTGTTATAGCATTGCACGGCTGCATCCAAAGCATTCTTTGCTACCCAAGGACAAGCCGCAGCATGAGCTTCTTTGCCTACGATGCAACGCTTTTCAGAATAATATAAATTGGTACATATATATCAAAAAAATATGAAGCAATAGAGGAATATATGTATAATTTCAGCAAATGCATTATTGATAAGCCAAGAGAACAGTGTTCAGGTCATGTTTCTAAATGTAATGATGCAGGCCTGTTACCACGTAGAATAGGTCTTCCACCTTGGATAAACCCTGATGCATAAGACTTTGAGCTAGTGGACCATGGCTTTGGGTTGAAAGTCTTTAGACGTGCTTGTACACCTCTTTGAAAAATGCTAAATTTTTTCACAGGTAGAGCTTTTTATCTAAATACTTGTTTCGTGAAGAGAGCTCAGGGGCACTGGAACACATTTTGGAAGGGGGAAACAAGACAAGCAGGGGGCTCCTATCGTAGTTTGTCATCATTATCTTTGATGCCACAACCTTGATATCATACTTCAGAAAAAAAGCTGGGGGGGGGGGACTACAGCATATCTATCTTACTTAACATCGCATAGTCTAAAATAATCTACGTGCAAAATGTATGTTTGCAAAGATAACCATTCACTCACCATGGTAAACAACTTTAAGTTGACAGGTAGCTAAACACTGAAATATGACTGAATCAAATGGTGTGGGGTGGGACATCATGCAAAAATCCATGTCATCAAAACAGCCCTTTTCAATCATATCTATTTTTCCACCACCTCCCTCTTCAGCTGGTGTTCCAAAGGCAACAACTTGGGCTTTAATACTTGGGTTTGCTTCAAGTATAGCCTTCAGTCCTGCAAAAAGAAGAAAATAAATTAGATGCCCTGTTGCACATTCACTTTCATACACATTAGATATTGAACAGCATGTAAACAAAGGTTAGGTTTCCTTGACCTCTTGGGTAGTCTTCAGTATTTGCAATGCTGGTGCGAAGAAAACAGTGAACTTAACAAAAGATCTTGCCAGTTTACAAATTTAAACCTTGAGAAATAAAGATATAAATAACAATAAAAACAATAGATTAACTAATGAAATATATCAATAGGTCTCATGAGAATGTACCTATCATAAACTTGATTGGTATGAAAAAGCAAGATCCAGGCATGCATGTGCAACACATTCTGATAAATGAGCATCAGTATTTTAAAAATACTCTGTTCTAACAGCACATTTTTAGTTTTCTTTCTTAGATTAGACAGTTAGAAATTTAAGGTGAACATTTTTCAGCATAACAAAGTAAATGTTTATAAATGAAATGACACATACTAATTCTGGGCAATGACTGACTTGATAAGGTTGTTTCACTAGAAATTTGTTTCTATCAGATTGCAAGTATATACTTAGGGAAAATCAACAACTTGCACAGACCTACAATCTTGGCAAAAAATAGCTGAGACATATGAACAAAAAGGGAATTCGTGAGCTATATCTTCATATAATGTGCGCTGGTGACCTAAACCCCCTTTCCACGTGGTAAATGTTGTTTAAGATGGTTACAGAATAAGTGGGGATTACATAATTAGTTACCAGGGGGCAGGTGTTTTGCAAGTAGCTTCTTTTTTGTAAGTGTCTCAGCATTTTTTGCCAAGATTGTAGTTTATGTAGAAGTCATGTGTCCATGCTCAAATTTTTCTTCAGATCACGATTCTAAACCCAGCTAAAGTATATCATAAGAAAGAAGGCCATTTTGCTTGCTTCGGACTGCTGCTGATTAAGGCTGATGCTTCCAACAGGAAATCAAAATTTCAATGTCAAGAATAAGTGCATGTGATTTCAATATCAAGATTGCAAGATTGGGAAAAAATATGACACCAAATTCTTGTAAGGTATTGGTTGTCAGTTGGAAAGAAAGTTCTAGATAATACAATTCATCTAACTTTAAAGGGCCAAAAATTGGGGGAGTGGGGTCTTGCGGTATTGCGGTATTTGCCTTTTCTCTGTCGGTATTTCGGTAATCTTCTTCAAATTGGACGGTATTTCAGTAATTATTAAATCGTCGGTGAACGGTATTTAGTGAATTCAATGCCCAGTATACGGTATTGGCCTGTTCTGAATTAAACAATGTAGCAGTTTAATTAGAATATGGGTGAAACGCGTGAAATGCGTGAAATGCTATCGAAATATTGGTGAAATGCGTTTCTTTTGTATCCATGTTGTAGCCCGTTGCAATTTTTTTCGATAAATCCTAAACTTTTCTATTCTCTCCCACTCTAAATTGCGTTACCCCTTGTTGAAAAATTCCTGAAGTGGCAACTGCAAATGTACATGTTTTATTTTCGGATTATTTATGATTCCTTTTTTCCACTTCGTTTTCATCACAGTCTAAGATGTAGACTCGCTGGAGACAGGGAACCAATTATCGTTTTGCCCATATGCCATATACAACATGTCATTTATAAAAAGTAAACTCGACTTCAGTTCGGGATGCGTAGAAGGGTGACCTATTTTTGTCGATGGCAACTTCATTTGAAATACCTACTGTTTAAGCATGGTCACAGTTTTTTAAATTTTTGTTTTCGAAAAAAGTACAATATTATTAAAATACATCCGTGTTGAGCTTATGTAATACAGAAAGGTTGTTGTGTCTTCCTTATACATGCCTATGAAGGAATGTCCAACTTTGAACTTTGTTCTTTAGAATTTGCTAGGAACTGAGCCATAACCCCCTTTTTCTTCACGCTGGTGCTACTGCTAACTGCTTCATTTTTATATAAAGCCACTAGCATAGCAGAACAGCACTTGGGCATTAAAAGCGTTCCAACTGCCTAAAGAAGGAACTAAAAAAAACTATTTCTAGTTTAGAAATGGAGATGAATTTGGGTCGTTTCAGTTCCTTTTTTAATCCCTGGAGTCGTAAGTTTACTTCGATAAATGGTGTTACGTCATAAATGGAAGAATTACGTTTTGCTGTTACACAGGAATCTTATCTTGGACCTCTCCTATTGATAATTTGTATCAAACGCGTTCTCGTTTGATCAAGAAAGCTGCCAGGTAAACGGGATCTCTTCTTTTACAAAAAGTATCAACAACTTGAACAGAACGCTAAGAAAACCCTTTTTTCCTGAGAAAAATCTTCAAACTTTCCTCTGTCCTGTCTTAACAAAATCCATCCGATTATGTTTGGGCATATCTCTGTAGTCCTTTTCCTTTAGCTAGATCACATTGACTCTTATAGCTTACAGTTACTGCAAAGAACAGTAGAAGATGCTGTGGCGTGCTGGGGATGATATTTCAGGGGGCAAAGGGTAACAATTGCCCCTTTGCCAGCATGATAAGCGTGACAAATTAGAACAACTCATCGTTAGCATCATTAAGCGTCCTTTGTTACGAAATGAAAACTCACTGAAATAGAAATTTTGTTCTTTGTTTCGATAAACCAATGAACGGCGTGACATACTGCCTTTAAAGGGCTTTATTTCCATCGATCTTCACAATCATTTTGGATTTGAATAGCATTTTCAGAATTGTAGAGCAATATCACGAAACTGCTTCAATATTCTATATGTTTAGATTTAAGCATGAAATTTGGGTACCACTTTCAGAATTATATTTCAATTTCCCTTATATTTGTTTTTATAACTTAAATTCACCCCAATATTGATTCATCAGTAATACTGAATCTTCACTAAACATTTTTGAAGCTTACACAAGAAATGTTGTTGAAACTTTAACTGGAGTTGTTGATATGAAACTGTTTAACAACTGAGAAAATTATATGCTTCAAAGCATTAAAGAAAAAAGAATAGTTGTATCCACCAAGAAGACTCTAAAAGGGTTAAATGTCAGAATGGAAAGTCAGCTAAATATGATGAAATTTTCAAAGAATTTATGTTAGAAAGATTGATGGAAAAGGGACCTGGACAAGCTTCATATCTTGTAGGTGGATGAGTTTTGGATATATTGTAAACTTTCTGCTGATATATGGGAACATATCAAGGGGAATATAAGAGGAAATTTAAATGGATTTCATTAAATTTCAAACCGCAATGTAATTGGTAATTTTCATTTTGAAAATTGGTATTACGGTAAAATAAAAAATTCTTGTGGAATTACGGTGTAATAGGGAAATTTTATTGTGGAGTGACGGTATTTGATAACCCCCAAAGACCCCAAATGTGAAACTGAAAGAGGAACGAGTTTTTAAGTCAGGAGAATAAAGGATCTCTCAAAATGATCAGAAAGTTTTTGTCAGAACTACTCCAAATAGAAAACAGAATTCTAGTCAAACACCACTACAGTTTACCAATGTCTATTTATCTGATGTGATCCAATTAAGGTTGGAATTTGTTTATTTAGAACCTATCGTTGTTTCAGAAGAAATGAAAAATGAGGAAAAGTTACCCTGTTTGCTTTTTCTGATTCAGTACCCTGTCAGTTTTTCAAATGTTAGTTTATAAAACTCAGATTGAAGGCTGGCATAGAACTCTTAATGAATCAGTAAGTAGGTCTAGGTTCTCATTAAAAGTTAAACTCACCTATTGCTGCTGCTGCACCAGCTTCTGCAATCAAGTTGTGACCACAAGCATGACCAATTCCAGGAAGTGCATCATACTCACACATTACCCCGACCTTGACACCATCATCAGGTCCATACTTGGCAATAAAGGAAGTTTCAAGTGGTGTCTGCTTTGAAACTTGAAAACCTTGAGACTCAAAAAAGGAAGTCAACACAAAGTGTGCGTTCTTTTCTTCAAAAGCAAGCTCTGGTTCATTCCATATTTGCTGACTAACTTCATTCAGAGCATCTGAGCATTTATCAATGGCTTGTTTGCCAATCTCAATGAGCTGTGACAGAGATGGGACTGACATGGCTAAAATAAATCATCAATAAATTCAACACTTTACATTTAAGTAGGGGTACTCAAGTTTCCCTTGGGGCACCTTTTCAATAACAAAAGAATATTTTGTAAAAAAATTGCAAAAATCAATAAATATTAACAGAGATGCAGGTTATTTAGGAAATGATTTCTTTGAAATTAAGAGGGAAACTGTGGATTACTAATTTTAGCACATTTTCTGGCACAAACAGATGACAATGTTTTGGAAAAGGACCTTAAGAATGCCCTCAAAAACAAAATAGAATACATTGATATCATGCAAACAGACATTGTTAGCAATTTCTAATAATTTGCAATAAATTTCTTCTAGAGTGAATCTAGAAGGGCATCTGGGGACGAATTTGAGACCATACATTCCTAATAACAGGGGTTACCATATTTCCTCTAAAGAACCCTGCAGCATTTATTACAAAATCTAACTTCTAGATGCTGCATTTAATAGAGGGTGGTGATTATCAGAGGGCGGTGTTTATGAAAAATTTGCTAAATGAAAAATGACAAAAAAGTGTGACAAAAAAGATAAAAACAGACTTTAAATAAATCTTTTCTTTTCCCAAAAACAGGATGAGGTTCTTTTCAAGATGGGGCATTTAAAAGAGGGTTGTGTTTATCAGAGGGTGGTGTTTTTCACAAATGGTTGGCTCAAGGTGCAGCATTCAAAAGAGGGCAACATTTATTAGGAGGTGACATTCATGAGAGGAAATCTGGTTTTAGCAAATCCTACTGAAGCTGTTTATCAAGTTGCCTTGCTGACAAGGTTTGTAAAACCACATGAGACAGAAAAAGTAACTTGTCTGAAACTATCTGCAAGTTATTTCAAATTGATGACTGCAACTGGTAATAAGATTAATTTTGTTTTCATTAACTTTTAAGAACAAGAAAATACAAAACATAGATAGCAAAGCATATGAAACTACTCAAAATAAAATTCCCCTGAAGGTCAAGATTACCAAGAATAAAATACTGCTTGTGAACCCCTAATGCAAGATAAAATTGAACCCAAAAGACTTGAGCAAATATTTGTTCTTATCACAAAAATAATTCCACAGTATTTTTTTCAACTTCTCTGAAAGTTCGTTTGTCGTTTTCCTATGAAAGATCTTGTTTTAGACATTAGAAAAGGAAGGACAGAGTAAAGCCAGCAATAAAAAATTTTTATATTTTGCCCTCTAATTGGTCAAACATGTTGCTTGCCCTCTGTGTTTGAGGCAATCACCTGAAAATGTCATCGCATTTGTTGATGTTGGTACCTTTGCAGCCATACTAATACATTTGGATGGAATCAAACAGTTTTCATTCTACTTGAATGCATTAATTCCACAAAATGCGTTCAAAATACTTTACTGAAATGAAATGTGTCCCATTAGTGTTTCATGTTCATATAGGAGGTCAAACAAATGATGCTTTTTTATCGCTCTTTTATTAGATTTCAAACTCATTTCCCCTCAAGTGGGAACCAAGCTTTAGAATAGTTCCTGTTGGCAAATCTTTATTTGATTCAACATTTTCCTTTGTTATTCTTACATCAAAAAAATTGTTTGACCATCTCTGAAGACAGTATCAAACATGACAGTAACAGACATCTTTACAAACATGGACACTTGCTTTACATTTACTCAGTGGCGAAGCCAAAGGTCCTGCTGGTCCTGCTGAGCAGGACAAAGAATTTCCAAAGATAAGATTTACTGTAAACAATAAACAATTTCTTCTTTGCAAAAAGGAAGTTTCAAATTCTATCTGATAAACAGTCCCGAGTTCCGCCAGCTGATACAGGCATCCCGTGCTAATCTCAAGGTCCTGTTCTTTTCTACGGCAATCCTGTATTTTGGTCCTGCTCATAACTATGATACCCTATGTTTGGTCCTGCTTCACAATGGGCTTTTGTGAATTTAGTCCTGCTTCACAATAGTCTAGAACAAAGAGCAGTCCTGCTCAATCTCGGGAGCAGGACCTCGTCGAAATGATCATCATAACATTTCGTAAGCAGTTGTGATTTGATTGGTCGAGGGTTCACCTACGTAGGTCAAAGAGCATTGTTTTGAAAACCTTTGGTCCTGCTATTTCTGAGAGCAGGACTGCAAGAATTGCCCTGTGCATTCTCGTTCTGCTATGAGACACTAGCAAGGAGGCCAGTTCAAGTATTATGGCGAGGCGATGTGAATGTAGATTTCCTGCTTGCTTTGGCAATACCAATGATATTATTATTGACAACAAAACTTGCCTCAGTTGAGCTGCATAAATTTTATTTGTAACAAGACAGAGTCCAAAGTTCGCGAGAAAGAAATGGCAAACAACAAGGATTGGCTGTTTTAGGCTCTCTGATTTCGGCCTTCGTACGATCTTTTGAGGCACGGAATATCATGATGGCCTAAATAAGATTTTCATAGACTTGGACAAGGACGATGAAAGCATAATTGAATTCATTGTTGTGTGATTGAAAGTTTGGAGTTGGAGAATAAACCAATTTCAGCGGAATTTGCTTTTTTCCACCTGAATTGTTTTCTCGTCTAATGGTTTGGCTAATAAAGTTGTTTTCATTGATAACGCGACACATTATTCAATTGTACCTCTCTTTATCAGCTGCAGAATAATTGTTCTGCAGAATATGTGAACCTGCCCCTACAGACTTTAAACTCTGTTGTTTATTAAAATTATTTTAATAGAGTATCTAGATTGGTCAGGTTTATAAGACCAAAATCTGAAATACCACAAATATGTAATATGCAACTTCAAATGCCACCCCTACCCCCTTTTATCGTCAAATTTAGTTATCACCAATTTGAACTTTTACTTCAGCTGTAGAGGCTTACTACAATTTAACATAGATTTTTTTGAAAAGTAAGCACCCTAAAGCACGTCTTTAAGTATGGGTTTATTTTTCAAAAGATAGACATTGATTTAAAATTTGCTTTTTACTGAATTTAAGAAAAAATTCATCTGCAAAAAAGAATTTTTGTCCATGGGCGTTTCCTATTGAATAAGGGCGTCGCCCTGTCCATAAAGCAGGACCAACAATTTTTGGCTAGCTTCGCCACTGCATTTACTTTACTTACAGAGTCAAACTGTATCTTAAGCAGACTGCCAAATGTCTCCTTATTTAAAAAAACAACTTTTGTCTTTGAGAGGAAATGACAGTGAACAAATTATAACTTAAATGTTTTAAGATGGGCATTCCTATCATATAAAAACAAAAAGCTGTTTCATTCCAAACTGAGACGCCGGAAGCACACTGGAGTACATTTTAAGTTTTTTACCACCAAAGGATTGTTTGCAAATAACTGCGCTTAGAATTTCTCAAAATAGGTAGGGGTACAAAAGTGCAAACTCAAAAAACCTGCTTGAGAAGAACACTTCTTACCTGCTTCCTTTCCCTTCCGGTCACATTACCAACGATAACGGTGCTAATTAAAAACATGGTCCTTTTCAAATGTCTTTGTTTTTTTAGCCAATGCAAAGGGCTTGAATAGGATAAATATTTTGTTCAAGTAATTGAACCCCTGTAGCCTCGTCTTCATTCGTGCTAGAGGGAGGCTATAATCAAATTAAAGTTGAAAGAATGTTTTCGTCTGTTGCATAGTGATCGATTTATTGCCACAGACCATCTGTTGGTTGTACGATGGAAAAACAAGTCTTGCGCAAAGGATCCTACAGGGTAAATCCTTATACTTAGCTTCTCTGAGCAATTTTCTAAATCCTTTCCGTAGATCTTTTTTCGTAGCCTCAAAAATCAGCTAAAAAACGATTTTTTGATCACACACCAAGCAAGGTCAAAACGCTAACAAACATGATTTAAAAAGGCCTAAGTTCTGAGAGATGCACCTCCGAATAAAATGCTTCAAGTCGAATAAAGAACAGATTCCTGGCGAGTCCATTTTATCGTATTGATCAATATTTACCCTTACAACATAGTGTTGAGAGACGTTGTTTACTTAGAAGTAGATTCGCGAGCGGTTGTTGATCAGGTAAGATTACTTATTGTACTTTAATGCCACAAAACATAAAACGCAACGATAGATTTTTGTAATTGTTTAGTGTTTCAAGTAGACAAAAGTTTGAGAAAAAACAGTCTTTTGCTGGTATCTATATATTTATCTTGCAAAATATTTATGAGATTTTTACCAAACAAAACTACTTCCAAGAATTTTCAAATGAAGGATGCGCTCAATTTTGCATTTCCTTCAAAACGCCATATACGTTACCCCCCCCCCCCACCATTTATTGTTTTCTGTGTATATTTAAACTGAACTTCGTTGTATATTTGTCGTGTGCTATTTTGAAATGTGAGATAGTGTCTTATCTTTATATAATACATGCTGGTAGCCCACACCCCCTCAGCCTTAGGGGAAGGTTGGGTGAGATGATTAGAGAATATATGGGGATACTCGTAGGCTAAACTACCCTCGTAACTACCCTGAATGTTGCTATGCACCTCAGACAATGGTGATTCAAAAGAGAAGAGTGCATGATTTGAAGAAGTGGTAACAATTACCTTTTTTGTACAATGAATCCTACAAAGATCTTATCATAGCTATTGGCAAATAGAACTTATTGGATGATATAAGCCCCCAGGTGATATGCCTGCATGACTTTTTCTCTTTTGGAAAATAAAAGACTGCTTTATACTGGCTGGTTGATTTTGTGGACGTTTCCAGAAATGAAAAGAATTATAACAAAGAAGAAGCATAGTCATGTATCTTTATTCAAATTCTAACAAAATTGAGGACAATTTTTCCAGATTTTTTGCCAAAATTTTAACATGGGGCTGCATATTTTAATCTTAAGCACTGATTTTGTTACATCTCAGAGAGAATTTCAGGCCTTTGATTCAAAACTGATAGTCATACCAAGCCTGATGGGAAGAGAGGGTTTTATCAATTTTTTGATTAACAGTTTCAGTTTTCTAAAAACTGACATCCTTCATACACAATCAATTTTTATCACTTTTTTGACTGACAGTTTTCAGTCTCTCAAAACTGATGTCCACCATACATGATCAGTTTTCTTTACATTTGTCTGACAGTTCACTCTTTTTTATATGATCTATATTTTTATAATGAAGCTTAAACATGGAACAACTGCCTTGAAACAACAACATGAAACAGCATGAAACAATTCTTCTTGCTGCGGCTTAGGTCATCAGGAAAAGGCAAAAGTGCTGAAAAATGACAAAAAATCTATTTCAAACTGTTTGCTTTTTGAAAACTATTCTTAAGTCTGAAGTTAAAATCCAGAATGATTTTCATTACTTCCATACATCCCAATGCTCTGAAAAATATACATCTTGCGCTATGGGAACATAACTGTACCAGCTTTAAAACAGTAGTGTCTGCACCAATGAATACAGATTGCAGGCAAAACTGACAAAGTTGTGTGTTCAACTTCTTCAGTCAAAAACTGGTGATCAATGAGGCTTAAAGTTTTAATCAGTTTTTGTTAAATAAGCAATCAGTTTTTAAAAGAAAACTGACAGTTAAAAACTGATTGTGTATTTCAGGCTTCAGATTGCAACAAAAATGGTTTCATAAAACGGAAAAATATCATACAAATTTTCATCATTCTCTTTTATGTTTTAGGTCAGAAAGGAGAAGTTCTATTAAGTACTTTATAATTATCTGTCAAAACACAACATCATGCCTATTCCAAACTTTGTATCACTTGCTGACAGAAGCATTCCTGAAGATACAAAAGCATTAAGACTCTGCTTTCAAGTCAATTCTGAAGAAAATGGCCAACATTTGAATGAAAATTCAGTTTACAAGTTGAAGGAAGTCAGTTTGGTTTATGAAAGACCTCAAGAAATAAGGTTTGGAACTAAAAAGGCCCAAAACTTGGGGACTCAAGAAGCAAGAATTATCTTTCAATCTCCTGAAGAGAGAGGCATCTCCGATTCTCCAAATGGGTTCTACAGAAGTACTCCAAAGTCCCAGACCCTTGAAGAAACAGCATTAAAACAAAGAACATACAATGGAAATCATGAAGATAAATTTGGAAGTTTTTTAGGCAATAACAGCATGGCAAATGGGACCACTGCCTCTGCAATGTGCACAACAAAAAGAAGCTTTCCATCTACAGTAACAAAAAAATACAAGCATCTTGATGGTAATTTACAGAAGCTTTTGAAACACTTAAAAAGATTACATGAAGTCAAGCAAGAATGCAGAAATTCATTAAACCAGAGTATCAGTGAAAACACACGGAAAATTTTTGAATCAAAATATTTTGCAGTTGTAGAAGAGCTAGTGGCAACTGAGACCAAACTTTACAATCTTGGTTATGGCGAATATGTCACAAATCTGAAAAGCAGAAGCAGAGGACATAATCAATCAACTAGGTGTTATGAATCCAGCATTGAACTGGACGCATCCCAAAATGGTATCAGTGAGAATTTCCCAAACAGTTTTGCATTTGATTATAGGACGCAGCAGATTAATTTTGATGACAGAAACATAAAAACCAGGGAAAACCAGCTACTAAGGACAAACGAAAAGATTTCAAAAAAACGCGAGAGAGAGGCTGAGACATTATTTCCTATAGACAAGATAAGGGATAAAAGGAGTCTTGTTAGACAGGGTTTCTATCCACAACGCCAAAAAGAATTTAGAACTATCGCCGATTTGAGATATTCTAGCACAAAAAAGTTAGGTTCTGGTCAAACTGAAAAAGCTAAAACCAGCCTTTCATTGCTCAAGGATGATAATAATAATTCTCAACATAGCAAACATAATTATGTTGATGCTCAGACACGACAAGTTTTGTTAAAATACAACAAGAAAGAGACAGGCAAACATATTCAACAAGCTTCATCAAAGGAAGCTTTTAATAGGGAAGAGTTAGTGGAAGAAGCTATGAAATTGCACAGGATGTATCAAAATCTAGCTAAAATTAAGCAACTAGCTCGACAGAAGCTCGCAAACGACATCAAAGAAAAACATGACCGAGATAGGGTTGAAAACCAGTATTTCGAAACCCAGTTGGAAATGGAAAAACTTTCATTTAAATTCAAACTTCTGGCTAAAAAACTGGGCATAGAATGGAAACAACTTTTTAAAATAATGAAAGTCAATGAAAATGAGGATGATCTTCAATCTTTATCGTCTAAAAATGATTTCGAATCACAAAGTCAACCCCAAACTCTAAAATACTCAAAGCTTTCAAGTGAAAATGAAAGTAATTCAGATTTTGGACATTACCACAGACTACGAACAAATAAGCATGGCGAAATCAGTTGGGGAAAAAGTAGTGTTGATCAACTTAGTGATGCTACAGAATCTGATTCTGTAAGTTTAAGGATGTCAGGATTAAAAGACGACCTTTCGAAGTATAGAGAGCTGGAGTTTATCAGCAGAGGTGTTCAGACTTCAGAAATCGACATCAAGACAAATTTCGACAGCAATGGCATCAATAACAAAGAAAATAAAGAAAAGCAGAAAGAGAATAAGTTTTTCGGGACAGCAGAAAGACACCAATCAAATGAGTCACGCCTACGAAACTCCATGGAGCCCTCAATTGAAAACTGGATCAAGGTACGACAACAGCTTACATTTTTGTTTTGTTCCATTTCTAGATTTCCAAGTACCTAAAAGCCCCCGCCCAAAAGTATTTTTTTCTGAAATACTACCCCACCTTTGAACAAGCCCCATTATTTCTATCAAAATCCACTCCGAATAAGTTCATCTATTCGATTAGTTATTCAACGAGAATTGTTGCCATTATTTTGCAACTGGTTAAAGCTGTATATGTCGCGGACACAACTTACCACAACTCATGTTTTCGCTTGCAAATTACTTTACCAATTTGCTGATATCCCGATGCAGCTGTCAGAAAATATAACACCAAACATTTTTAAGCATACTGACCATCCTCAAATAGAGCAAGGAAAGTTTACTTGGTAATATTTTTTGCTGCTGATGATTACCCCCCCCCCCCCCAACCTTCGAATAGGCTCCACCCCCTCGAATATTCGCAGATTTTCCGTACTTTTTTGTTATTTCATTTGCAACTTTATATGTATCATACAGAAATTTGAATGCCACTTAGAAGTCTTCAAACCTTTTTCGACATTTTCGCATAGTTAGGTTGAAATACCATATATTTTAATTCATAATGCTTGATTTATTTTTGGAGTTGAATAGAAAGTAAATAATTTTTTACGATATAATTGTAAAGAATAGTTTTAGAAAATGCAAGCATTTTGAAACATTCTTCAGAGTATCAAAAACGTCAGATGCTCTGAAGAAGTTTTTGCACAGCGTCTTTACGGATATCAATTATTTATCTAGGACATGTCAAATGAAAGAAGTGAGGCAAACAATATAGCAGACGAGGAGCAAAAAACTTCTAACACAGATATGGAGGTAATTAGGAAAAAACGGTTGGATTATTTCAACACGAAAACATTGACAGAAGAACAGCAAGTTGTGGAAGAAGACATTGAGGTGGTTGCTAAATCACATGACCAATTGGCATTAAATGATACATTCAACGATTTAATGTTTCGTGAAAATCAATCTGAAGATTACGAAATGGAAAAACAAGGTGAGATTGATTCAATATCACTGACAAGTAGCAATTCAAGATTGCTATTGCCAAAAATACCCATGACCCAAGGTGAAACCAGTGATGAAGAACTTTTACAGTTTCAAGAAAATGTTAAAGCCAGGCTGCTGACAAAGAAACCAGTTTTATATGATGTGTCTGATTTTTCTTCCCAAGACTCCAATGATGTTCTCAGTGATGGCGTTCACAGCTTTCTACCGACTCGTAGTTACTTCTTTGAGGACAAGAGCGAATGTGATTCAGATATAAAGTATAACTTGTATGATGTTTCTGACGTTGAGATGAATGCAACCCGAACTGATGCTAGTAACACCTTTTTTAAAGACGATGCTGAAAGTATTACCAGTAAAAATGGCAGCACAGATGACATAGAAAACGGTGCAACAGGCTATTCAGTCACCCGATTTTCCAGCGATTATTCTTCTAGAATTGAAAATATAAGGAAAATGTTACAACGGAAAGATCCTACTGAAATTGAGAATAAAGTCACCCATTCTTCAAAAGACGTTGAAAAAGATGATGACAAGGGATTTAAAGCGCCTAAAGATAAAGACAGAGAGGCAAAAAGGGATATGTATGAGAAAGAGGCCAGAATGCAACACCTAAAAGAGGTTTTGCAAATTAAGGCATCTTTGGAATTGGGTGGTAAAAGCATTCATACTGAAGATCAGGAGCGACATGTTCACATGAAAGGGCAGAGTAATATAAATGGAGGTGGAGTTGTCAGAACAACGGATTATGATCCTAAAATGTCAGATTATGTATCAAGAATTAAAAACATAAGAGAAATTTTGCAAAGAAAGGTTTCCGGTGAAAAAGTAAGGAAGGATACTGTATTCGAAGAGACCAAAAATAGTGGAGAGAATAAAGAAGCGAATAAATCAAATGAAGACGGGTTTGCCAGGAGATATAGTAATGAAGATATAACAGAGGCTGAAAATAAGTCTAAAGCACTGCTTCAGTCGATGCTCGATGATCTAGACCAGCTTCATCGAATAGACACAGAAGCAAAACTGATGGATTACGAGAGTCCTGACCAAAGCGAGGATTCCCAGTCGTTCGATGACGTCACTAAAGATGGTAGTGTGAGATTATTTGCTAGTGATGATAAGGTTAATGAGACATTCGTTACACAGAATGAAGTCGCCGAGGACGAGGCTTGCATTTCAATAGAGGAACCAGCGAGTGAAATCAATCAACTGTCTGAAAACAAACATTCTTTAGAAGATGAAACTGTAGCCACTTCCAATGCAAAGACAAATGTATCCGAAAATAATGGCAATAACCTGGAAGACAGCGAGCTATTAGAAGAAACAATAGAAGAGACCCCTTCTGTGCCTGCAGATGGTGATGACACCCAAGATAGCAAGACTGAAGATATTGATTCAGAAAATGAAGACCCACCAAAGCTGGATCTTCCAAGCCTGAAGATTCTCTTCGAAGCACGTCAGATATAAAACAGTCATCGCAAGATTTCATTGAAGCAATTTTAGCAAATGGTGTTCATTATGAACCAGAAGTCATGAAAACTGATGTTGCCGAACAACTTGCTAGTTTTTCATTCGAAGAGATTATCCAAGAGAAAGAGCCCGTTAACAGCCAACTTTCACATGTCTATCTTGACGACACATTAAAGGACAGTATAGACATGTTGAGCAAACTAGAACAGCTGGAATCAAACAGTTGTATGGATGATGGCCTCCCTGATGGCTCTGAGGTAGAGATGCATCATGACCAAACGTACATTGAGGATGTCATTTTTGCAAATCAACACGATTCGGAAGAAACTAAACTTGAAGAAAAAGAAGACTGCCAGGTGGAAGATCTTATTGAAAGTACTGACAGCGTTGGAGAGTGTATGATTGAAGTTGACAATGAGATGGAGCCTTTTGTTATTGACGAACAACAGGATGATGTTGCTGATTTTGTTCTTGACCATATTGAAATGGAAGATTTAAATGAGACAGATAGTGACACTTCAGTGTTATCATCCCAGAGCATTCTCCGTTCACCTCTACGAATGCCATCACTTCCTCCTGAAGACGATCCAATAGTCAGTATGAATTTCCCAACAAATGATACCCTTTTATGTGGAACTGGCTATCAGGTCACGACCACCGACGAGCAGGATAATGGAAATGATTCCCTGGTAACAAGTATTTTTACCAATTTAGATATACTAGACCCTGACGAAAACGATGCTAAAGGCAGTAGTTTAGACATTAGTGATACCTCTGGACCAGTAAATGACAAAACACAAGAAATTGAAGGGACAAGGGAAGCTATAAATCACGAGGCTCCTTATATGGAGAATGAAGCCCTAAATATAGGATTATCCAATGTGGATTCAGATGGGAGCTTGTCTATTGATGTTACCGATGGCGGGCAAGATTCTATCGTTGAGGAAGACTCGGGGGCTGAAAATTCAAATGATGCTAATTATAAAATGAACGATTACATGGAGGAAAATAGTCTTGAAAAATGTAACACTGAGTCGCAAGGATCTTTGGAGATTGATAATGAAAGCCAAGCTGAGACGAGCAAATGGGAATTTGATAATGATACAAAAATTGAAATTTGCCACGTGGAGCCCTCAAACGATGGTACAGAAGATAGGGAGGATATTGAAGATATTGTTGTAGGCAACGAACATTCTTTACCAATGTTAGAAAGTGTGGAAGACAAAAATATTGGAGGGGAATTAACATCAGATGAAGTCTACCAAACGAACCAAGAAGAAGGGAAAGACAGCATAGAGGAAGGAACTACAATAAAAGATATTGAATTTAGTGAAGATTTATCAGTCGACAAGGAATCTGATAGAGACCAATCTAATGAAAAGCAAAGAACTTTGAATTCCGATGAGACTAGCATAACAGTTCCAGAAGTTCAAGACCAAGACGAAGCATACGAATTATTTAGTGACGCAAAGTATGACGACAATGTGAAGGGCCTAAATGACAGTGCTGGTGAACTAGAGTCAACAAATTCTGTAGATGATCAAAATTCTCTTATAGAGTTTGATGATGGACATATTTTCAACTGGAATGAAAATAATGAAGAGAGTGAAGAGCTGCTTGAGTTTATTGACTCAAGTTTGTGCAGGGAGAGCTCATTTGTCAATGAAGCAATTATAGTGGAGCTTTCTCACGAAGGCAATGCTGCGCACGAAGAAGTTCTAAAATTGGGAGATACAGGGGACCTAAGAGAAGAATACAGAGCCAGAGCTGATTTGCAAAACCTACCATCGGAGCTTCTAGATAACCTTCCCTTAATGTTGTCGCCTAACTCCACTATGAATTCAGTTACAATGATACCAACTGGATTTGCTGTCGAAGGTATGGACACTGACACTGACAGTGACGAGTCTCGATCAAACACTGGTTTGTCCGATTCTGAAGATGAAATTGAGTTTGGATTAGATAGCGGAGAACTAATTGAAGATGACGAGAATGGAAATTTTATAAACGATAATTTTTATGAGATTGAAAAAGAAGGGATCTTCTCTAGCAATAAGATGGCAGGTGATGAAAAATCACAGGAACTCATCGATTTCCGAAAAAATTGTGAAGCACAGATAGATGATATCGAGATTAAGAACGGAGATGATAAAAGGGAGGATGAATGTGGGATTTATTTTGAGAATTATTGGCATGAAAGAGTACAAGCAGAGAGAGAAATAAAGTTTCCTTCTAGCCACGAAACAGAAACAAACGAACAAATGACAGATGAAGCCTATTCAGAAGGTAATCAAAGTCTTTATACAGTAGAACAAAGGCACCAGCCACAATCAAGGAATGAGGATTGGGTCGACAGTGGGAAGCAAAATGAAGGAGAAACGTCTCTTTCACTAGAAGAAACAGTTTTGCCAGTTGAAATGGAAAATGATAAGCAAAATTCTGAAGAAATTCTTCTCCTTCACGAAGATGAATTTTCTAAAAAAATTTCAGAGAATGATGATTTAAAAGAATTTGAGGAGCTGGAGCATATACTTGAGACAGAGGATTTGATAAGTGAAGGAAGTGATGCTTTGAGTGTATTGTTAGATGATCCTTTGGAAAACGCGATCGTTGCTGATGCAATGATTTTAGGTACAAGTCAGACAGGCATTGGAAATGATGAGCAGCAGGTAAAGCCTGGGCAGTTATTGGACAATGAAGAACAGATACCTTCTGATCAGCAGGAGCTGCTTGACATCCTCGATGGCATCCTCGAAAAAGAAGAATGTGATGAAGATGATGTCGAAGAAATTGAATTTGAAATGCTTGAATTTCCGGACGAATCATCAAGCTTTCAAAAGCAAGCCACAGAGGATAGGCTACACAGTCCAGAAATTAACGCTGAAAACGAAATATCTGAACGCCCTCCATCTGAGGCAAGCGAGGATTGTGACATCTCTGAAACAGAAATTCAGCGACAAAATATACTTCTATCAAATACTGAAGAGGTCTTTGAATCTTCAGAAAGCAACGAGCATGAGAAAGTTACTGAGCCTTGTACAGAAACTGTGCCAGCAGACCACTCAGACAGGAATATGCTTTACATAATACCAAATAAAAAGACTGGAAACAACAATGAGAAAATTATCAAAGATGAATCATTTACCAGGGATTCCAGATGCCCAGATTTGCTTCAAGATTTTAATGAGAGTCAACTGCCCAAAACGTCTGAAAACGAGGCGAAGTCTCATACAGACCAAAATGTTTTTGTTGAGTGTCAAGACAAAACGTCTCGCAGCGAATTCGATGTTAACACATCCAGCGGTAACCATGTAAGTCGGGTTTATTTCCATTGTCTTTACCAAATAATTCCACTTTTGAATGGTAGTTTATAATGTTAACGCTAGCTTTAAAGGTGTTTTTGCATCATGTTGGGGTTTGAAGTACATTTTAGCTCGAAACACTATAACTTAAAACATATGTTAAGAGGAATCTATACATTCATGAAAACAAGAAATATTTTAAAACTCGTATTAAAGATGCATTTATTGATACCATGAACAAGTATAAAAAGTTATTTATATGTTCTTTCACTCTTACCAGGCTTCCTCGAGTATTGGCACACCGGTTGTGATTGATAATGGATCCGGCAGAACAAAGGCCGGTTTAGCAACATCTGAATTACCGTCTGTTGTATTTCCAGCAATCATTGGTAAACCAAACTACGAGGTATAAAGAACTTAATTAAATCTTAGAGATTTTCTTTAATTCATTTTTTCTACTAAGACACCGAATTAATTCGACTTCAACAGTTAAACTTAGTACACTTTTTTCTTTTTATAAGAAACATGAAATTTGAGTTGAGTCTGAAGGTTTGTTAGTATTTTCCCCTTTTTTTAGCCCACCGATGTTTCTTAAATGTTTCTTCAAATGTTTACATGTACCCCAGTTTAAATTTTCCACAGTTAAACTTAGTACACATTTTCCATTATATAAGAAACATGAAATTTGAGCTGAACCCGACGGTTTCTTAGTAATTTCACATTTTTTCAGCCCAGCTATGTTTCTTAAATGTTTCTTGAAAGTAAATGTGCCTCAGTTTAAATTTTCCACAGGAAATTCGTTTTCTGCCATTCGCTTGTTGTTGAAGACATTCCAATGCAAGTTTCTATTTTCAGAACAAGAAAGAATGTTAATCTGAATATTTATGCTTGATTCATGTTAATTCTTCCTTTTTTGCTTGATTCAGCCTGCCAATGTTTCTTAAATGTTTCTTAAAATTTAGGCAATCTGAGCCTCATGTTTTTTGAAATCATGTTTCTTATAAAACAAAAGACGTGTATTGTATATTGTCTACGAGATACGATCTTAACGAAATATTGCTGCATCTTCATATTGTTGATATTCAGTCTTTGACACATGTTGATATTCATTCTAATTATCAGTTCAAATTTGCAGCAAGTAATGCATGGTATTGACAGACAGTACTACGTTGGAGATCAGGCAGAGCAGTATAGAGGCGTTTTGAAGCTGACGTATCCACTTGAGCACGGAATCGTCACGAATTGGGATGACATGGAAAAGGTGACATTCTATTTATATTATTGTTTGATGGATCAAATTATGCCAAATAGAATCTGAAATTTTATTTCAATTATATTGCAAGATCGGTTTACTTGTAGCTAACAAACAAATGCAATAATACTGGTTGCATACTTGAACGAACAGAACGTACTTCCATGTCAAAGTCTGGATTACACAATTTATAGATAAGAAAAAGACTTTGTTCATCTAAAATTTATCTTTTAATTATCATTTACCAGCTTGGGAAGGACTTTGATAGACCTCAGCAGCAGTAGACAGGTAAGATGGGTTTAGTGGTTTATTCTGTGCGATGTTTCTGGAAATTCGCCCTACTTTCAGCCAATATAAGACTAATTGAATCAAGGTTATATAAATGTTCCTTTTTACATATGCAGATATGGGATCACATGTTTTTTGATCAGCTGCGAATTGAACCAAGTGAACATCCAGTTCTACTGACAGAAGCTCCTTTGAATCCGAAAAAGAACCGAGAAAGGATGCTTGAGGTGATGATGGAAACATACCAGGTGCCCGGCTTTTACATCGCAATTCAAGCAGTCTTATCACTCTATGTATCAGGAATTACAACAGGTAATTACACATTTGCAACTCTTGTTTCGTGATAAGACATTAGTGTTTATGTTTTACTGCATAACAGGTGTGAGCAAAATCCATAAGATAACAACAATCTTTAACCCACAACAATCTACTAATGAGGCAATAGAATCAATTCTAGATGGAAATGACAATTTCTATTAAGTATCAAGAAAAACTGTGTTTGGTATGGCAGCAGTGTTACCTCGTCATCACAACATTCCACAGTTTCCACTAACAGTTTTTTTGATCTATTCAAAACATAAACTAAGCCCAATTTTACTACAAAGTGTAACGGTTGAAGAGAATTGCTTTTTGGTAGACATAGATATATTCTTAAATTCTGCTTTTTAGGTGTTGTTGTTGACAGTGGTGATGGTGTCACCCACATTGTCCCTGTGTATGATGGGTACTCGTTGCCCCACGCAACTGAAAGAATCAACATCGCGGGTCGAGATTTGACCGATTACCTAATGAGGATCCTTATCGACAGAGGCTACTCCTTTAAAACTTCAGCTGAACGAGAAATTTGCAGAGACATCAAAGAAAAGCACTGTTTTGTTGCTGAAGACTTCCAAACAACCATGGAGCAATTTGAAACAAGTTCAGATAAAACCCAAAATTATATGGTAAAGTTAGATATTTTACATTAGCTATTGAATATTCCCCCTTCTTAATTTTCTTACAAAATAGGAATGTTTATTTTCATAATGAATAGTGTTAGGCATAAAGTTTAATCAGTATTGCAGTGGCAGTGTTGCAATTTTCAGATTTAGCATGAAATCAAAAACGAATCCATTGGGCGATCGATCTCAGTCTGAAATCATGAAATCTTCATTAGAACCAAATTATGTTAGTTCTAAATAGCATATAAGAAATTGCTACAACATTCGAAATTCCCTGGAAAAAATAAGTTATTTGGCTAATTCTACAACCTATTTTCTTCGCAGCTTCCAGATGGACAAACCATAAACATCGGAAATGAGCTGTTTCGGTGCCCTGAGATTCTTTTCCAGCCCAGTTTGATAGGCAAGGATATCCCAGGCATTCACGAGTACCTTTTTAAGAGCATACAAAAGTGTGATGTGGATCTACGCCAATATCTATACTCAAATATAGTACTCTCGGGTAAATTCTTTATCACAATCTCTCTTTATTGAAGTGACAATAAAACTATGTTCGGCGAAAGTAACTTTTTAATTGGTTCACTTGCGCATTTTGTGGTTAGATTAATTGCAATTTTTGCTACGTTTTGATTTGAAAGAAGGCCTAATGCAGCCAGGTTCATATTTCTAGTTGAAATGTAGCAGAATACAACATAACAACATTGTTGATAAATTTAATTATTAATAAGAAAATTTCTTTTTAGGAGGCACAACAATGCTCAGTGGAATAGAATTAAGGTTAAAATCAGAACTCCAGAATTTAGCAACAGAAAAAATGGGTTACAGCATTAAAATAAAAGGCATGGACTCACGCGAATTTTCAGTGTGGCGAGGTGGAGCGGTTCTTGCGGGTCTGACGTCATTTTCTAATATGTGGATCAGTGCTGATGAATATTACGAAAGCGGTGTCGATATTGTGCATCGTAAATGCTTTTGAAAATGGCCTCTGCTTTTGTGAATGTTTTCTCCAAAGGGCATAGGTGAGAAAGAAAACAGGTTATATTAAACGCAACCTTGCCACCTTTTTTAATAATCAATCATTTCATTGAATAGTAGTTTTCTTAGAAAGCTTTAAACTAGTATAAACTATATTACTGTAGAGTATTATTCTGTTTTAGGACTTAGGAGAACAGCTGAGGTGAATTATCAAAATTAAATACAAGGTAGACATTTTTCTACTGTAATAATTTTGCTTTAAAGTGTACCCCTGTAAAAATTAATTTTTTTTTAAAATCTTATCTCAAGTATGTATAAAGTCGTTACTTTGTAAAGTGTTAATATTTAAGTATTTAACAACTGCTTGTGCGTACATTAGGAAATAGTGTGTTTACTCTGAATTCAAGTAGACTGCGATGACTGATTGCAGCTTGGGTGTTTAATCTGGAATACGCCAGCGTTTCACAATCCAAAACATTTTTATCCCTAAACGATGGTGTCTACATCAATCCTGTCGATTGTGGACCATATGATCTTTTAATTTTTTTTCCTAATCAACACCAAGAAACAAAGAACCAAGTTGGATTATTAATGAAAAAGGATTGTTATACTTTGATTACATTGCTAGAGCTTTACAAATTATGGAACATTAGCAAAAACAGACCGCTTGCTTACCTGGCTGTAGGTCTTTGCCATCCCTCTCAGTCTCTTCAAAATGCTGGTTTACCATTTGGGTGAGGTTGAGATCTTAGCCTATTGTTCCTTCAGTGAATCTAATAGTATTTTTCGCAATAGACATTTGCAATGTTCTTGATTAAAGAAACAATATAACTTGTAAAGAGTACTTTGGATATCTTATATCAAATATATATTTATGAAATTAACGAACATTATATAATTCCTTTTAACTCATTAGCATCTTTTTTGAATTGAGTGTATCTTTAGTTGTTTAATATTACATTATGTTTCCTGGTTAATGGAAATGGATATTTAAAAAGTTGCAAATTTTTCAAGTTCTCTTTCTTTTTTTGGAGAAAAATCTGAATATCAAATTGCAGTTAACTGAATCTAAAGAAAATTTATTGTAAAATATTGTTTTACTTATTCCTGATGCTACAGAAGAGCAGAAAAATTTCAACTATTGTTGTTTCCACAATTAAGCTCTTTTGAACATAACATAGGTCAGGCTTTTCTATGATTAATCAAATAATAAGATTTATAAAAAGATATGCAAAGAATGGGAAATTTTATGACTCTGTTCTTGATTACTGCTTTGATGTTTTTTGCCTGATTTACTCAATTAGCTCAAAAATCTATATAAATGCAATTACATAGTAATGCATTTAAAAGCTATAGCAACTCTGCTGCAATCTCAGCCACCCAAGAGTTAGTTTTTCCTACCTAAAATAGTTTTTCTTCCAAGAATTCAATTCAATTTTTTTAAAGGAGATTAGCAGCCATTAAAGGAGATTTCTCAAAGCCATTTTCAAGTTTTGTACCACCAAAAGATTGTTTGGATATTCATACAGCACGAGTTTTGGTAGGAGGGTACGCTCTACAAAACTTTACTGGAAAAACATTCTCAGACTTTTCTATCACTAGCTCTCATTAATTGAACAAACAAGGGCCAAACTTTTTCTTCTGCAAATCATACATGATCATGCATAGCCTGTTTTGTAAACTTCAGTTTCCCTCTTAAAAACAATGAGCACAGAACTCTTGTAGAGGGGGTTTAGTCAGGCAGGCATGCACAGGGGGAGGAATAAATATGTTACAATCAACTTTGCGAAAAATTTATATTTATAAAATGATTTGGTTAAACAATAAGTCTTAATTTTTTCTCTAAAAACGATACAGAGATTGGAAAAAAGCAAAGAAAAGTTGGAAGTAGAAGAATATCTATGACTTCCAGAACTAAATGGCTGTAGCTGCTTTTTAGAAGAAACTAGCTTTATAAAAATATGAGAATCTGAAAATCAAGATACAAAAAAGTGCATTATCAAACAACACAGACCAATTGCAAGAAGCTGGTTTAGTGCCCTAACTGGAGTCAGAATTTGAAAAATAAGTTTTGAATAGCCAAATTCAAAAAACAAAAATGCACTATATTCAATTCAAAATGGACACTGCCGCAATGTTACATTTGAAGTTGATGTACTTGAGTTCAACAGTATGTGGACTCATAGACTCTGCAGTTAAACATTGTCACCAATAACTAGGCATATCACATGGCTAGATATGATTGTATATGTACATTTCATTTTTCAGATTTATGTCAATTCATGTGCTTTTAAATTTAGGGCTGAAGTCCATAAAACCATATAAAATATGACATAGCTACTTTACAACTAAGCAAAACATACACAAAACAATGGGAATTTCCAGACATAAAATTGTAAATAAAGTATAAATAGACTTCTTAAATTTTGATGTAAGGAAAGTTCACTGCTATGGATTACTCTGTTTACAAAACTGAACATGATACAGGCTCTACACAATACCAAATACAGTCTGCTTAAATCACTGCAACATAGAATAAAGGTTTTGCCAAATCGCATCACACATTGATAAGTTAGTACTATAGAATTTCATTTCAAAAGCTAACCTCTCCTCATGAGTTCTCTTATTTGTGTGGATTGTTTTTCAATTTCTATTCCAAGATCATTAATTTGTTCTTGTAATGATAATAATTTTTCATTTTGAGCGTCTTCTTTTGCTTGCTCCTTTATTTGACCTCTTTTCATTTCTGCATACAACACAATTACAGCAATGCTAAAAACTACAACCTCACTTAGGATATTCGCTGCCAGATCCACAGCTGCTTGATCTGTAAGAGGTTTGATTTGAGCCTTGCCCTCATACCCCATTTGCTTCATTCTGAACCTCTGCTCAAGAGTGTTGTAACCTAGATTGGAGAAAATTTAGGGCATCAATGTAAAGCATATGTTTGAGATCCCATTTTAATGTAGTAAACTTCTTGGCTATTTTCTAATTTTCATTTTCTCTGATACTACACCGCATTTTAGCATTATGATACTACACTTAGGATATTCATTTTTTTCAAGGTGTCAGCAACTTTGATGATATTGAAAATATGATGAAAGTTGGAAAAACTTTAAAAATGGAATTAAACTGCCTCCTTTTCTGATCAAAGATTGAGCAATTATTTGCCATGGTTGACTTTGGTTTTATTGTGAAGATACACTGGCCTGTCCAACCAAAAATCAAAGTTTCTAAACTTGAACTCAGATAACAAATATGTTATTTATGATTCCCTTTAATTGTCAATGGTAAACTTGCACAGTAATAATTTTTTGCAAGTACCACTGACTGGTTGTTGTTGCTTGAAATGAGATCCTTGGATCACATACTAGATGCTTAATCATATCAACCATAATTATAAACCTATTTACAATTGGTTTCTTTCTAGCTAATTCTTACTTATTTATATCAAGAATCTGTACAATTAACCATAAATTATGAAGGATAAAAGAAATTATATTAAGTGCAAATGTCGCACGTACGGTTGTGTGCAACCGTAACTAAACATTCCATGTCATACAGCATGTTTACTTATCTACGATTTACCAAGTTGCTACTGGAAACTTTGTTTCTTGCGTGGACAAGTTCAATTTGAAATTCTGAGACTGCGCGCCTGAATTTATCAATTTTTATTACTTTGTGTGCGCGGGCAATATATGGAGCACACGCAGCAAAGCGTCCAGTTAGCTTATAACCCGTTCAAAAAAATAAAGAAGAGCTTTCTGGTTACTGCCAGAACCCACTCTATGGCACATATCTGTTGAAACACTAACCTTGAGCTGGGAACGAAATTATGCGTCTTAAAACTGTACTGTTTTTAGCTCCTGTTTTTACGAGTGTAGCAATAGGCTTCGAGGCTTGCTTTACTACAAGAATACCAAGTTTAAAAAGAGGCAATGCAACCATAATTTGAATTGTAATTTCCAACTTTGATGCCTTTAAAATGTAAATCTAAACATCCCCAAAATTCAATTCTTAGAAATCCACATTTAAATTGCCTCGTATTCAAGATGACCTCTCAAACTGTCCGTGGTAGTCAAAACAATGAACAATGCATTGAAATAATAGAACAATAAGGAGCAATATAGAATGAAGAATGGTACCACTCCTTGAAGCCTGGGACGGCGGTACGGTCACGCGAAGCTTGTCGTACGGTACGTTAAGTGTAAATCTGCCGGTAACATCCAATTCTCAGTTTATCATGGCCTTGAAAATAAAAGTTGTATACTGGTAAGTTAGATCCTATTAACAGAAGTATTTTTGTTGGACTTTATCATTCAATATAGATAGAGAGAACATTTTTGATGGCCGATGGCGGGTGAATAGCCAAGGCGGCAAGGCCCATCTCCTCTCAGAGCACCAAGTTCGGTAAATCTTCCGGTCTTGAAGGGGCTAAGTATGTTGAAAGCGAAGAGCAAGACTTTTTGCATTATTTAATGTACCAATTTTGATTTATTGATTTAGTAGTGCAGAAAACAGAAGCCTGAAGCTCCCGTTTCCATGGTCGAGGTCCAGTCTGCAGAGTATGGCATGTGCACACCGGAGATATTTTTGTGCAAAACCTGTTGCACAACGGGTACTTTTGGGTGTGGCAAATAAGATTGGTGTGGCTTGGTGTGGTCCCATAGAAAATGTCAGCTGATAAAACAAGCACAGTCGTGTATGAACAATTTGAGATATCATGAATCTTACTTGACAAATATACAAATAAAAACTTGCGCTATCTTCAACAGTATACTGTCTTCACACGCATTTTTACGGTGAAATGCGAATTCACAAATTTTAACCACAACGGGAAAATAGTCGGTGCACACCAGCACGCCAGACATTTTTGGTGGTGCACACCGGCACACCAGGCTTTTTTCTCGTGCACACCGGAGATCTCGTCGAAAAGTGCCACACTCTGCAGACCGGGTCGAGGTACCATTACCTAAGGTGGGGTGGGGGTGGGGGAATAAGACAACAATCACTTCTTTAAACAACTGAGGCTTTCCTTGAACCAAATTTTGAAGAAAATATATCTTTCAAATATTGTATGTAAAAGTGCTATATCATAATGTCACTCTTTTTATAATATCAAATTTTACTGCAAAATATCTTAGTTTATTAATATTTTATTGAAATCTTTTACAGTGGTGCCTGAGGGTACAAACCAAAAGTAAGTAGTTTTTAAACCTTGTTATGGTTTATTTTTTAATTGATGTACATGATTTTTTACGCAGATAACCAAAATTCCACACTTCACTGACTGTAATATAATAAATTAGGCTGAAACTTACTAATTTTAGTTTGATCTTCTGTTTGCATTGTTTTCAGTAGGTATGTCTCAAAGTACCTGAAGTCACAATGGTCTTTTGTTTGAGATTCTATATTATCCTGCCTATCCTCCTCTTTTTGAATTCAAGACTGAGATCGCCTAATGTTTCTTAATGTTGCTTTCAGTAACATCTTATTCCATTCCAAACTTTAGTTGGTTTAAAAGCATCAGCTTTGGTGTCTACATTCACTGGAAATTGGCTGTGAATTCTTTGCAATATTCAGCATTTGTTTAAGAAAATTGGCATTGTTATTTCCAAGATATGGCTTAATGATCTTCATGTAATTCAGATTTTTCCTTCCTTCTCATCAGTCACAGATGTGACTCGTTGATAGCCAAGCAGTCACTCTGTTGTCAGTAGACCAGTTGATAGGTATCATGCTTGGTTTATACCTCTTTTTAAAGACATAATACCTTACGCAGAGGCAAATCAAAGTTCATGGCCCTGAAAACAAACACTTTTTCTTTTGCAGTTCATAAAATTGAAGAATGAGCTGGAACAAAAATTCCCTGGCCAACTTCAATTTGAAGGTGAAGGAACACCTAATGTCACTGGGTACTTTGAAGTATTAATTGCTGACACTGGAAAAGTACTTCATTCCAAGAAGGTATGCAAAATATTGTATCAGGAAAATAGTCATTTGGTAGGTTCAGCAACAAGATATGTCTGGCAAATGCTTTTAATTCTTCTACCCATACTACCTGAAGGGAAGTTGAGCTATGTGACCAATGTCAAGAAAGGAGGGACAACACTATGAACTTCTTAAAAAAGTTTCAAGGAATACTGGCATGAAGTTCTTTTTTTTTAAAAATTCTGACCAATGTCTGATAGTTGAAAATAACCCAAATTACAAGATTTCCTTGATAACCCAATTTCATCTTTTGTATTTGTTTTTTCTTAGTTAATCAGTCACTTTTCCTATTTATAATTTTGTTTTTGCAGAAAGTTTTTGTATTTACCATATGCTCTCTTATATTTCTGCCCCCCCCCCTAATATTCCTGACTCTCTGATAATCCAATCATTGTTCTATAAAAGATAAATCTGGCCTTTCCAATAATCCAGCATGCAGGTTTGATGTGGAAATAAACCAATGCATTGCAAAATTAATGTGCTTTCAGTTTCAAAATTAAGGGTGAATAATGATTAAGCCAATAAGCGTCAACATTCAAACCAACTTTTGTCCATTCTTCTTTGCAATTAACTTTAATGCAAAGTTTTGGCACCAAAACAAAAAAAAATATCTTAAAAATTTAAGCCTGTGTTCTAAAAGCATGTTGAGAAATTAATTCCACCTCTCTAATAATTCCACATTAAATTAGGAGGTTTAATCAATAAACTCTCAGCAGGAATGCACTGAGAATACACTATATGCATAAATAGTTATCATTTAATATTTTATTACATATATTCTTTTTTATGTCCCTTTCTTAATTCACTTTTAGAATGGAGATGGGTATGTAGACAGCAGTGCAAAAATGGAAAAGATTGTTATGGGCATCCAAGAAGCCCTTAGCAAAGGGTAGAAATTTTTTGCAAAGGTATAGTTTCAAATTCAGTCATCAGTGCTCTGCAACATACCATTTAATGGCTAATTTAACTACTGTTCAAGAAAGCTAAAATAGCTTTGTTTCATCATAAAATATTGCAAAAAACATTAATTTTATAATCTGCATGAGCTGTACTTCGCTAAAATAGAAGTGCGGCAAAAGAGAACATCGAGGAAGTTGGGAATAATCATTTCTACCATGAACTTGTTCTCAAATTTCTACCATGAACTTTCTTTGAATATCCTGTCCAAACATGAAAAGCAATTTTTCAACAAGACCACACTATTAAAATTAGACACTTATTTTTTCATCAAGCATTTCTTCCATGAGTTAGCCTAAGAACAGATAACATGAAGTTAGCCTAATTACTCTCTACACTTCAAATCTACCACCCAAAATTCAATTACTCCAATGATCCCTCTCTGAAATTGCTGTGATATGGAAATTTCAGACCTGTTTTTATTTTCATAATATTGGGTGACAGTGTATTGTTCCTTTTTAGGAAGACTTTGTCAATAGAAAATACCTTTTATGATGGATGTGGCAGAAAAGCTGACTTAGTCAGTTTTGCTTGTATCTTGATAAAACAAGGGATAATATTTGACTGAAAGTCTCATTAAATTTGTTGTTGTAATGATTTCCTGTTACTTAGAAGTAGTTTTTTATATCTTGCTTTAACACAAAACCTGTAGTCTATCTTTGAATATCTCTATATTAAAAAACCATCAACTATGCATATGTTTGTATATTTGCTGGTATACAATCTGTTGATGATAGTGTTGATGCTTGATTATGATGGTGATAATGGGTACAGACCAATGGTAATAATGATTGATGCAGATGTTGATGGTCATTGTGACAATGTCTGGTTGGCAAAACCGATTTGAAAAAATTAAATATCCTTTAAAGTAGTTCCCTTTGATGCTAGTGATGATGATGATAGCCTGACAGATGTTCAGGATGGTGTCAAAAAAATTACACATGTCCATTCAAAAATGTTATTCTCATAAGAATTTATTACAAAAATTAATCTGGTCATAATATCAGATAATATTCAATATCTTACAAATTTATTCTTTCACTAAGCTTTACTAAAATTGAAATCTATTAATTATAACTAGAAAATCTGCAAAATATTCCATCTTTATTTATCCATTATCATATATCCAAATGTCAATGTACTTTCTATAAGAGTATGACTTGCTGTGACTGATGCAGACGTCTCAATTTGGAAATAAGATCAAAATCAATTGGCGTTGCATGCTATCAACTTGGGAAATCAGCATTCAAAATTGGTGTAAATCAGAATTTATGATGTCCTGGAATATTATTCCATTGTGTTTTAATTGATAGGAGATTATCTGTGATGATTTACTGGTTATCTGTCAACATGACAGATGTCTGGTTGACTCATGATTTGTCAGGTTAATTGTAAGGAAAAATGATGTATTTCTGTGGTTATTCAGTACCAAGAGGGTAAAAATTGGTAGTCTTACGAAATGGAGGTTACAATAGAATTCAGATGCAAGCATGCTAGTGAGTTTGAAATGTGTTCTTGTTGTGACTGTATAAATAGTCTGTAGGGTCCATGTGATAGCTTGTTAGCTGATACGAGCCAATATAATTTTTGGTAGAGATTGCTACAATTGATATTTTGCCTAAAGCTGTTAATGGAAACCAGGCTTTACATTGCCAATACTCTTATTAAAGCCTTAAAATTGAAAAAATAAATTTCATGCAGCATCAAATATCAGATACTATTTAATGAATTGCTAACATATCATTTTTGCTTCAGTTATCTATCAAAGCTTCTTGACTATTTGTCATTGGGTTGTCGATACAAAACATCTATGCGCCTATGAATGTAGCAAGTAAGTTCAACGTCAGTGAATAAACAGAGAGTCCTTAAGAAATGCACCCTGTGGACCCTTTAAGAGGTCATTGACTATGTCATTAAAGCTTAAGTCATGCGCAAGTTTGTACCTTAATTTTACATCCTTCAAATGAAGCAGCATCTTCCGCAAATTTTCACCCATACTGCTTGTTTTTCGCTCAGATCCAAATCTAAAGTGGAAGAAAAACATTACTAGAGTCATGTCGCCCCTTATGGAACAATTCGATTTTTTCATGAATTCTGACTGTGCAATGATAAATATAAATATGAAGGAGTTTGGGTTTGTTTATCTTCTTGTCTATCTTATATATGAAGGAGTTTGGGTTATAATTGCTGACGACATTATTTGTTGTACTTTTTGCTAATCATCGTAGTTCATAAAAGCTTGGAGAATCTTTTAAAAGTAAGCGGGATGTAAATGAAAAAGTTGTCAGTAGATCTTCGACTCTTCTTTTTTTTCCTGCACCTCAACTTTCTTGGCTATACCCACGGTCGGTTTTTTAGCTAAAACAAAACAACCCCCACAACATATTTATTCGTCTCTCAAAAACGAATATTTGATTGTTTTTTATCAGAATGTTTTTTCATTGGCCAAATGGCTACTTCGATGGAACTGCGGGCTTCCTGATGTGATTCTCAACAATTCATAAGTGGCTGAACATGTGACAAGTGATAAAGTCTCATTCAAGTGAGAAAACCAAACTGGGGGATAACTTTTTTTTCTTTACTCTGAATTTGAAAACAAATGGCTTAACGAAAGTCTGATTTGATATTGACGAACGATAAACGTAGAAGAAAAGAAGGGAGATAATAATTCCCGGTTTTTCTCCATTGTGCGCTTTTCTGCATGCCTAAATTTGAGTCGTTCTGTAGTAAGGGGTGATGGCCTACGCTTTTCACGAAAAAAAGTGGCCTGTGGTAATGTTGCTCGTGTAGAAAGAGAGAAAAGCCGATAAGACTGTCTTTTGAAGCGGATCCTGACACTAACATGTAGATTATACAACAAATAATGTGTTTGTAGGTTGTTGATTTTATTCTAAAAGCTCGGAAGTTCTAAAAGCTGAGGAAAACAATATTTACTGAAATCGTTACATAAGGAGCGACGTGACTCTACTTATGACAATCTCTTTTTTGCAAAAGTTGATGGAAGTGGTTAAACGGGTGGACTTTAAATGCAAGTGAGTACTCGCGTTTGATACATATTAAGATTTTCAAGGCATTCCAGGTATGTGCATCATGCATTATTGCCTCCAGGTGCACCATCAAAATGTTGCACTATCTTAACGTGAAACAGACCAATGGCAAGGCAGGCAAAATTGAATAAATAACGCATACCTTGTCACAATGTCAGATACCACAGAACCAGTCAACTGATACAGAGATAGATATTGTTTCAAATAATTCATCTCTCCTTTCTGAACAACCCTTTCGAAAAGAGGATCTACCCATATGGAAGTGGATGTTAAATTATATCCATCTGCAATAATGAGGGCCTAAAAAAAATGTCTCAAGTGAATATAAACAGTGGTTGAATCACTTTCATTAGCTCCTAACATGGTCTGAGCCCTTAAAAATGATTTGAACTCGAGTTTAGCTCTCACATCTTGCCTACAAAGCACTGCTTCAAAGTTTTCAGGAAAATTTTTGTCCTCTGAGTTCGGGCCAGCTAGCCCTTGCTCTGATTCTATCAATAGAAATAGCTCTACATAGAAGACAAGCTATTTCCTCATCGAACATCTCTACATTTGAGATAAGGGAGACAATTTATCACAAACAGCAAAAGAAAGCAGCAAATCATACACTTTAATAGATGCTCTTCCTGCTCTACATGTCGTTTAAGACCTTTATAATTGGACAAAGTTTGCAAATGACACTGTCAAGGGATGGATGGCAATAAATTCAATAACTTAATTATTTTCTAAATGATAAACAAGCATAGGTTTACCTCATAAAAATCTTCATGACTTGTTAGAAATTTTTTAAGGCTTTCATTTCGAAGTCCGATCACCTTCTTTCCAGTGGGCAAAAGTCGAATTTGCAATTCAGCTAAGCGAGCCACTCTCTTGCAACGTGCACACTGCCTTAAGCAATTCACCTTTAAAAATAATGTTCACATTAGTAAAATGTAAAAAATAATGCAAAGAATTCAGAAGATAAGGATGATAAAAAAGTTATTTGCAGTTTCGTTAATTCCTAGTACCTTTCTGAAGTTATCGGCTGCATAAGAAAACGTCTTCATCACTGACTTTAACTCTGATTCCAAATCCTTTAATGAACCTGCAAACAATTTTCAAAAAACCTAAATTGTGAATCGATTGAATGACCGTTTATGAATCATCCTATATAGATAACAAGTGGGGTTGAGGGGGGTATAACAAATTACTGGCTTTCTTTCAACCAAGTCAGATAACAGTCGATATCGGGGGACACCACATATCATAAACATCGGGACATTTCCAGTACTGAAGTACGCTAGCCCCTCAGTTCATACAACTAGCTAACGCGATGTAACCTATACCACAATAATCTCAAAAATCTATGTGTCAGAATTGTTGATGTTGGATCACATAACATAGACCATAATCTGAAAAAGCACTGTGTTTTACCCACACAAGTGCATTATCAGTTTATGGGTAAAAAAGTGGCAGAAATTCAAGACACACCTGAAAACTTGCTGCTCAAAGCAAGGATTTGCTTCTCCCCTGTCTCCTCTAGTTGCTCCCCAACTTCTCTATGCATGCCAAAGCGCATCGATAGCATGTCCATTTTTTCTGTATCATTTGGATGGTTCGTCTTGATGTACTCCAACAAGGCACTTTTCAACTGCGCCTCCTAAGCGACAGAAAAACGTGTGTCACAAGATGCAAGGCTTAGTGCAACGTCCTGATCAAAGTTTACAAACAGCTAAGCATACAATGTTTCCAAGAGGGACTAAGGTAACTCAAAATAAACCAAAGTTATGGAAAGGAAATGAACCAAAGACACTTTCCATAATCGTTTGATCTATATTTGGTTACAGGGTACATTAAGCAAGTACACCCAAGAATGTCGTACTTCCACAAACATAAATTGGCAGGCAAAACACTGGTTCAAGCTACAGACTTTATCCATTATATCCAAAACAGCGCCAATCCATTATATGTAAAAGGTTTCTAGAAAAAGGTGTAAGGTCGCGAATCTACATTGCAAAAGAAATACCTTGTCAATATCTTTGCGGAAAAGTAGTTCAAAATGGTGTGCTTCTGCCAGGGCTTCAAAAACGTACGACATTTCTTTAAATCTACCAATTCCTGTCAAAATTCGTACCTGTAGAAGAGGGCCAATTAAATACAATTTTTCCAACACACAAACTTGAAAATTTGATTTTAAACAATGAGTTACGAACTACGATTCATGTTCTTTTCCTGTCCCTGATTGGTCAATGCGATCTACAACTGGCTTATATATCTTTCCTAACTTAAGAGTTTCTCGATTTATATTCTGACGAAAAGCGTGAGTATGATAAAAAATGCTTGCTTTTTTCAGAGCCATTTTATTCCAAGATCCTTAAAATTCCAACGCAGTGAAAATGATTTTTCACTAGCAAGGCCAATAGGCTAATTTTCTGACCGGGTTATTAAAAGACATGACACAACCCATTGGTCAAACTAATAGAGGCAATGATGGCAACACTTTCTTTAAATCAAAAAGTAAGATAAAACATGCTTTATAAATAAATATAGCTTTTTGCGTCAAAAATACTCTTTTTAATATTTTTCCTCAGACCAAAATTTTGATCTTTGACATTATTCATCATCCCTATTCTACTTATGTCCCTGCAAAACCTACAGAATCGAGGAATATTTGTTGGTCTGAAATCACTATTCAATACAGGTTTGTAGGAAAAATGTATCTTGTATGATAAAAGCGTGATTCTTCTGAAGCATGACACTTACCATTAGCGAATAAGCTTTGTTTTCGACCAACTGCAACATGCAAACGCGCGCGGTACGGAGTACCTCTGAAATGCCTTCCATGTTGCATGAAAGCGTGAAACTATCATGAGCTCTGATCAGCAATTCTACTTGCGTTTCTAAAACTAAAATGCATTTGACATAATATATCGCCATAACTACGGGCCTTCAGGCGCAGTTAGGAATAGCATTATCGACTGCAGAATTTTGTACTAGCTGTTAGTCAATGGACTTTAGTATTCTCAATCAATCGATGGAGAACCTCAGAAAATCATATTTGACTTCGTGTTGTACATTATAGTATACAACATTCGTAGATGGCTTTTTATCTTTATATCAGCAACTGCTATCGACATTGATCGGACACAGATGGACAACTCATCAAACGAACATGTGAAACTGCTGCAGTGAGAATAAAAGGGTGTTTTGACGGGGCTTCCCACTTTTTTACCACATTAAAGTATGCATAGAACAACGGCTTACAAAGAAAAACGTGATATAACTCAGAATGTATGTGTTGTCATTTCATCGTTTACTTAGGAATTTTCTTAGAAATGGGCTCTGAATTCTGGGTAAGCTATAAAAAGGGTTTTCATCACAAAAGAACGGAAATGTAAAAGAACAAAAATTGCAAGGTCAACAGCCCTAGGACCACATGAAAAGGTCATCAGAAGAGAAAGATAAGAAGAGAAAACTACATTTCACTGAGCAGCGGCAAGGTGCTTAAAGGCACATACTATTCAAATCTGTCTCCCCATGCACAGTTGCTGCCATACCCCTAGCTTCTTCTAACAGGAAGGTTCCAAGTGATGAGGGTTGTTGCACGAGTTGCATCAAGCGTGTTATTTCGTTCGGGTTGAGTTTCGTTGTGTCTGTAAACTCTTGTACTGTGAGTGTGTTGAGTTCTGGAAAGAATATATGATTCCTTAATCCTGATAACCGTTGATCCAGTATCTGTGTGAGCTTGTAGTAAGAGAAGACGATCTATCCCAGGCAATTACAGATAAATACAATTTCGGAATGTAGCATAAAGCTCTGGCATCATTGATGCATTTTGAAGCCTTTGAGAGATCTTCTAACATATTTTAAAACTCTATCACATATAATTGTGTGCCATTATAATTGCAAAAGGGAATCAGAACCTTTCTATAAGAAGAATGTGAATAGCATCATTGAGACAGACGTTAAAGCAGTTAGAATTTAGTACAGTGATACTTCAACCTATATCGAGGCATCGTGCATGAACAAAGATACAATCAATCTATGGCGGGGAGGCTTCTCGTGCAGGGCTTTGGGAGCAGGAAGAAATTTCGGGACCAAATTATTTTTCGGTTGTTTGGAGGTGTTAGTTACGTTTGGAGGTATCATTGGGGTTTAACATATTCTAAAAACATGCGATAAAAACATCTGTAAAACAAGTGGCACACAAACAATCTGTATCTAGCCCGTATCAGCGTTAAAACCCAAGCGATCAAAATTTGTAGCAAGAAAACATCCTTTATTGTATATTTGTCTTACGATTACAAAATCCATACCAATATTTGCTTTTGACTTGATAACTCTGATAACAATCTTTGCAATGAAAGCTGCAACCTAGAAAACAAAAGGCTGTAGAATGGCTGTGCTTTGGTGCTGTGATAGAACCTCACGGATTCTCGAGAATTGTGCAAACGTGAGGGCATAGAGGCGAGGTGCTGGAGGTCAATTACTATGAGCATACAATGTATCTAACAATATTCATCACCTAATCAAGCTATGATCATTAGCACACCAAGGAGAATCACAAATGGATCATAAAATCACTTTGCACATTTTCCTGTTGTTTAAGGTGCTCGTTACGATCATTAGCATATCATTGGCATACCAAGGAGAATCACACATGGATCACAAAACACTTTAGTTGTATACATGTGTAAACCTAAAGAGAAAATATTTTATTAAATGGTTTGTAGTGTGTTTTGAACCAAACATTACATAGAAGTTTTAAACAAATCTTCTTTGAGATAACAAAGTTTGTTCTCTAAAGCTTGAACGAGTCACCTGACAACGTTTAAAAAGGTTTTCCCTTTTTTCCAACAGAAAAAGGTGTTTATCGAAGCGTCAAATACCCTAGAAAGCCTCAAATACCCTTCCTTTTTTACGTGTCATCTCAAAATCATACTGTTTTACCTCTTCATCTTTGAGGTCAAACGTCTTTATGTACTGCCTGCAGATTTGTCTTTGTTGGTCCATATCGCTGTAGACGAGCAGCCGTAGAACTCTAAATGGATCCCAAGACACGATTTCTTTATAGGTGATAGAAAGCATCTAAAAAGAACAGAAAATATAGTTAACAGAGAAGAAAATACCAAACGACATGATCTGGAATAGCGTTCAGACCATCGATAAGCTAGCTTATGCGAATTGGTCAAGCATAGCGCTGGGTTTAGATAACAATGGAACTTTTTTAAACATCGTACTTTACGCAACAAAGATAACCGGGCCTAGGCCCTTCAAATTCTAAGAAAATGATCCGCTCACGAAGTGCAGTGCAGGGAAAGGAAAACAGAACAGTGCAGGGAAAACAGGAGATAAAATTGATATGAACATACTCGAAGAAATTATCATGTATGCAAGGAGTGAATAGCTACTGTGATGCTGAAATATAATCCCATCAATAAAGTGTCACATTTCCACATGGGCTTTCTGTGACTTTGTCATAACCGCCACAATAAGCTTTCTATTTTGAATGTGCCAATCATGATAGCTAGTATACAAAACACAGTCTCTCACCTTTGATATTTTGAAGCAAATCAAAATGCGTTCACAGCATTTTCTACCTCTGGTGCACGTTGACATTAGCTTCTCGATCGCGTTTTGAGCCTCTTCGACAATCACCCAGTCTGAGATCACTAGCCCTGGGCTGGCCGTGCTCTCAACTGTGCTTACTCCTCGATTGAACGATACAACCGTGTCATAGCTGCTTGACAGTGAGAGACTACGTTTAGGAGTCTTTGCAAGCAGGCGTTTGATATCTTCCTCTAGATTTTCAACTTGCTTTGTGCCTTGTGCCAAAGCAATTGCAGACTAAAATTTAGAAATGTAAATGTAATATGCAAAAGAAAATTCCGAATTTCAAATACGTGAGAAAAAATATTTTGTTATGACATTCTCACCAGAATAGAAGATAATGCTCTGAAAGATATCAGCTGCTTGTGAGCCTCATTTCTGGCATTAAATGGCATTTGTTGATGTGTCAAAAGATTACTTACCAGGATGTAATAAAGGTCAGGTGTGGTTCTCCCGAATAACACCGATACTCGCTGTGCTTGGTCGATTTCACAGTCATCAATTAACTGTCCAATCATAATCTCAAATGCATGATTCTCCTAGGAAAAGAAAAGCAAGTAGGCATGCATTTCACTTCATGATAAATGACAGATCCGAAATAAGATAACCTAATCAATACTGTGTTATCTATCACGCTACAAAAACTGGCAAACAAGCGGCTGATTGAATCACTTCGTTGAACTCTAAAAAAATTAGCAGAGAACTAGCAATCAAATAATGTTAATAGCCTAATCAAGCTATGATCTTTAATGTATCTTGTACCTGTCTAACCTACTGATTAAAGTCGATTAACTAGATCTTCTCCTTATTTCATGTCTTTGTATGTGTTTAAAAAAAAGAATAATATTATCCGCTTTGATACGCCGATCCACTAACACTAAAATAAGCATGTTTTAAGCAACGTCGATGAAAGCCAATTGATATCACAAATCATTAAGAATTTAGCGTTAAAGCTAGTTTTTCTCTTGGTGAAATCGTTCTGGCGAAGCGAATTCTATCGAAGTTACACATGCATATTTCATTTTTCACCAGCGAGCTGAATCCATTAAAGCAGACTTTCCTAAGACGATCGAAATTGCAAAGAAATCAGATGTAAGTACGAATCACTTGATCTCCTTCTCGAAGACCCTTTCCCTTCTCCCAAACTTTATTGGAAACAACTGATTCTCCTTAGAAGTTGCGATTAGCAAATAACTCTCTTTAAGTAAATGAAGTCAACACTGGAAAGCCGTTACAAACAGCAAGTTTAGAAATGAAAACCACAAGCTTTTCATCGAAATAAAAGACCCCTTGAAACCCAAAGACAGAATACGAACTCGTTGGCTCCAGTCAGCTGAGTTGCCTTCTATTTCATTCCCAGAAAGCTCTTTACTTATTAGTAGATTTGTTTGCGAAGAATCATGGAAGCCTGAAAAACTTTCTTTGTTTCTCTTTTCGCCAAGGAACTCGAAAATCTTTGCGTTGCACAGCTGAATCGTTCTTGCCAGCGATGGGTCTTCGGGACCAGCAATGTTTTCCTTGTGAAAAATGACAGCAATAATGATAAAAAGACAGCATTATACAATGAACAATATAAACAAAATCAAAAGAAGGTATTTGCAGTATTGTAACGGACATTGAAGAATATCCATCACAAATCAACTTCAGCACATTTCGGCTGGTAATTGAAGCGTTAGCGTAAAAATTCAAAAAATTTACCTCGTCTAACTTTTCAACTTCTGCATTCAATTTTAACAACCAGAGTTTTTTCTCTAATTCCTTTAACTTCGCCTCCAATTCACTCTTCTCCTTTTCACTGCCAAGGGCTTCTTTGGATTCACGAAACCAATCATGGGCCACGGCTAGCAACAAGGCCCTTTCACTGAATGGCAGGTCTTCCTCAATCACACCTTGTGACTAAAGAACAAAGTCGTATGAGAAGCGTCAAAGCAATAAGATGCCCCATTGTAGCACAGTAACAGCCTTCTTCAGTATTATTCCTTGGCATGCCCCCCTTGTGCCACTAAGTTCGAAATACCAAGTATGGATATTGCAATTTGAAGAATCAAACTTCAGCCTGATTGGACATTGTGCATAAATAACTTGACAAATGGCAAAAGAAATAAATAAGGATGTTTTGTGATCCTGTTGATCCTGATAACATTTGACCAAAGTAGATCTTAACTTTGAAGTCTGAAGTAACTTAAAAGGCATTTAGGCTGCCGCAATTGTGGTATAACCCATTGTACAGAACTCATAACAAAGTTTCTCGCACTGATTTAGGCCATACAAAAAAATGCCAACCTCATAGAAGCTTCCAGCTACTGAATGCGAACAGCGGCATTTATGCAGCCTCTCGTTGGACTTCATCCAAAAGTCGAATCTTGCCTCGCAGCTAAGCCAGAGTCCCGTATCTTTCATTCTTATAAGTTCAGTTGTCTCCTGTCAAATGTATTAGCCATAATGCAAATCAGAAAATTGAAAAAATTTTAGCACATTTAGCACACACAATTTGAGAGTGATGGTGCCATTATCGACACTCAGTATCGGTTTTCGGTACAGTACGCAAATGTAACAAATGAAAGCGGCAATATAATATGAATTGCTGGTTGGAGGATATGGTGATCTTACCTGTTATATATTTATTTACATACTATCAAAAGCTCTAACTCCAAGTGTAATAAAAATAATATAGATATTCAAGAAAAACACTCTCATGTAAACGTTTCGATCGAAGTCTTCATCAGTGATCTGTGATATATACATATACATACTACAAGCAGTAATGATTTGTCGATAATTGAAAATATGAGCATGGAAAGGAACGAGGCCTTTCCCTATAAATTTGGTATTAAATAGAATAGCAGAATAAATTACCTGAGAATAGGCGACTTTCCAAGACGGTAGATCAAGCGTGGCGGCTAATTTTGCTGCTTTTTCAAGATGCTCTTTGGAAATAAGATGGTCAAAAATTCGGTTCTCTTCTTGATTGGCCAAATCCCTCACTTCAGAAGCCAGCTTCAAATAGTCCGGCAAAATTGCCGTTTCCTTTGATATTTCACACACCATGGCAAGTCTAATGTAGGAGGCACCTGTACGGGAAATTTAAAGTGAGTGAAGCTCAGCATCAATGGACTATTAAAAACATATTTACATTTCTAGGTCTAATCCTCTTCTCGCATGGCTTTTAAAAGCCTATTTAAAAAAAACAGTCCAGTTTCAGTGTTCTTTAATGCCTCGAAAATGTTCCAAGAATATTTACCCAAGAATATTTAACTATGTATTCAGATACTTAGAGAATTTTGAGGATTGAAAGAAGTTTCTTATGAAGTTCAAAAAATTCATTGAGTATTTTGGATTTTACCAGCAAGTGTCAAGGTTTGAAATTTATTCCACTGGAAATTTTGCCAACATAGAAATTATTGAAATTGTAAAACTGTAATCCTTGATATGATAAATCGTTATGTCAAAAGTTAGGCAATTTTCAAGATAACTACAGAAGATCGAAATAAAATGGCAGTTATGAAATAATTAATAGAAGCCGAGAGTGTTATTTCAAATGCCTTTTTGCTCAAACCTGCCCCCTTTGCCCATTGGTCGTTCCGGCGTCCCTGACCCCTAGCGGGATGAAAGAGCTGAAACTTACGATTTGGACTTTGGAACTTTCCGAGATCAGTGTCAATGAAGTACTGGAGCAATTTCCTTTTGAAAAATTTCGACTGAAAGGCAATGAGGACCTTGATAGGGATCATCTGATGAAAAAATTGCTCAATAAAGGGTTCATCCCCGACTTTTTCTTTCGCGAGCCTTGAGATGAACGCCTTTAGATGCTGACCGCAAACGTCATCGCTCTCTTTTGCTGCGAAAGATTCGATGAACAAAAAGAAATGGTACAGCAGGTTTTCCTGGAAATAAAATATAAGAATATAAATAAACCCAAAAATCAACCCAAGAATCCCAGCTATCAGGCCACAACGAGTATCCTAGATATGAGTCTACAACGTGAGCCTCTTGGCCAATCATAACAGAATGGAAAGGCGAAGAAACGAAAACTGTCGGCAGGTGTATTGGTAAAAAATGATAGTACCTTCATGAAAATCTTGAAGCCTTGGGCAATAACCACGATGGCCTTTGCTTCTTCAAACAACAAATCAGAAACCAATTCAAGCATCGTTTGAACAGTCCAGTCAGCTCGCATTAAATCTAGTACAAAAAAAGCACTATGCAAATAGAAGTTGTTAACAACATACCGAGCTCAATAAAGGTTTGATAAAGCTGAATAAACCAGCGAAAAACCTTCAATAATTGTTTTCATTATACACTCAAGATACTGAATACATAAAATTGACAAAAAAGTCTCCTCCCAAACCAATCTCACTCTACAACAACCGCGACAGAATCGTCGCTGAATTCTTGTTTACATAAAAAGGGGGAACCTAGGTCCAATGCATTCTCTTTTGCACAAATTACAGGGTCATAGATGTTAGATATTTAAAAACATACGACAAGGTCTTCAATATAGAGTCGACAGAATTGGAAAGTTTTTGAGACTAGCCTATAGGTTTGTCTTTCCGAGTTAAATGTTTCTTTGTTTGCGTTGAAATTTCCCGCAGGTAGAGATTTGAACACATGCCTCCTATCAATTCATCTTATTTGTTTGCAATGCGTAATCAATACCATTCGACCGCAAAATAGGAGTATCTACTGCACTATATACTAGATCATTTATGCTAATTTATGATAATTTATGATAATATGTGATAATTTACGATCTCATAGTTTCTCGAAGCTGAAAGTACGGTCCTACCAAATCAAAAATCGAAAATCAAAAACCGTCTCAAATGCTACAAAATTACCTGGAACATTTCTAAAAACGGTTTTCCTTCTTAATGTTTCAATATTTGATATCAACCAAACAGAAAGACAATTCAGTGGACAAGAATCCTGAAAAGAAAACAAAAGAATAAACACATAAGCAGATGCGCCAGGCCTGTTAATATTTAAGCGATATAAAAAAATTGCTTGCACAAATAATAGACGGGGTCAACGATAACATTAAGTGGTGTAGGACCATTGGAAATTTGTTTCAAATTAGCATGTAATGTCAAATGAGGCTTTTATTAATGCCAAGTCATGGAAAAATTATTGTTTTGCCTTTCACGAGCTTATTGTTAACCATATCATTGTTAAACATCTGTAAATATATTTTTGTGAATAAAATGTCCTAGAGCATAATTGTCCTTGATTGACAGAAGTAAATCATCTTAACTAAACAAAATATTATGACATCAATATTACAATACACTAACATTATGTTGGAATAATCGTGTGCTATGTTATCACAAACAAAGCGCCATATTTCCTCACACCTCCCTCCAGTAAACATGCAGTCGCCATTTATTTGATAATGATAAAGAGTAAAATTATGAAATTACATTATCAGTTGCTGCATCACTTGAAGTGAATCAATCTCATTATAAATTTTGTAGAAATTTATGTTGAGAATTACGATCTAACCGTAACTTTGAAATTAACGGCCTCCTCTTTTAAAAGGTGATGTCCAATAGTGGTGCTTGGCAGGTAATGGTGGAAATTATATAAATTAATAGGGAAGGATGCATTTTGCAACATGCGTAGATTAGTGTTTTTACTCATCATCTTGGTTCAGGCATACCACAATATGACAATAAAACGTCACTAATTGTGTCAAAATTTATCATAAAGAGAGCCTGAAAGAAACAGACAAACCTTGTAGCAGGCAGCAAGGACAGTTAGGAATGGCTGGGAGTAATTCAGCGCGTATCTAAGGAGGACACGTGAAGGGAACCCGGTTTCTTCACACTCGAGGACAATATCAAGAATGTCGTCTAATGGCTGTATTTCGCCAAGTTTAATTGCTGTTGAAGACAAAAGCATTTGTAAAAACTAAAATGTACGTAAAAATGGTCTAAATCGTCAAAAGCAAGATACACTGGTCTGCTGTTTGTCTTAACGATTCAAATTCTAAACAAATAACGGATCAGCAGCCTCGTTGCAAACTGGCCTAGACATTTTTCTGTGACGTTAGAAATTTATGTTTGATAATATATCCACACAACGCAAACTGATAGCTGAAGAATACTATATGAGCATGGAAACGTCGAAAAGCTATATTCAAATCACTATCCTGTTCTTTTAATCAAATCTTGTTCATCGCTTCTTATTCAGTTCCAACGGATGTCCAATGCTGTTCGGTATGAACAAAGCAGACTTGTTTTGGCAGTGATCAAATGCGACATAAATCTAAGATGTACAATTATCTAAAACATATGACGACGTGGGCTCTATAGATTATCAAGATATAAGAAATAACTGTTCTAAGAACAATACTGCTGATCTACCACATATCAAGGCTCTTTAATCAAATCAACAAACGTAAAAATCAATTTAACAATAAGCAAAGTATAAATATTCTCAGACATACGTGGTTTCTCAACTGGCTTCTCATCAATGCTTTCGCTACTTCCACTGCTCACTCCACCTAGACCTTGCTCCCGTCGACGTCTGTTTTCGTTTAATGAAGGCGAGGCACTTTTTGTAGGGGAAACAAGGTCAGTTCTTTCTGTTGCTCTCTTGTTCAGATTAAAATAAAACTGTGCACGGAAATCTTTCTCTAAAGCTGCTTTCTAGGAATATAAAACAAGTATATTTGACCAGGCTGCAACTTCAAACAAACAAAAGTGATAACACCATTTTTTTCAGTGATACAATTAAAAAGTCCTTTAAAATACGCAAAATTTGGTTCATCTTTCTACCCTAACTAAAAGGATAAAATATGCACATTTAGAAAGAAAAATCCGTACATCAAAATGGTTAATTCTGTGAAAAAATAGTCTTACTCTTATTAATTTTGAAAAGAGCAATGCCATTAAGAGGCATTTCAGCTATTGCTCTATAACTCTTAGTGTTGTTCTACCATCAAGAAAGTTGATCCTTGCAAACTTCCCTTATGACAAAAAGGAGGATAAGGCTGAATATTTAAAAGATGCTTTAAAAATTCAAAACTACGCACGAAATTTTGAAAAAAAATCATGGTGATTGACTGAATACTAGAATCTTCACTGGCTCCTGTATAAAAGTTATTAAAAATTTTAAGTGCATAGTTTTTCCTTATATGCCCTATGGAGATGAGTCAAAGAATTCCTTGGTTGCGAACACAGAACACAAGAAAGCAAGCAAAGTAACCGAGCAATTTAAATGCCATGGGTCTAAAGGTTGATGCATCTAAGTTAATAAATGGTATTTGTTGGGTTGATAAACTGATGTAGACAACTCAACCTTGACGGTGTTTCTTCCTTTTTTAACTTGCTTTGGCCTTTGATCCGGCTCCATTGCCTCTTCCACCGTTTTTCTCATCTCCTTTGCGTTCTTAACAATCGCACACATATGGTCCAATAAAACAGTATTCGTCATGGATTTTTCTAATGCAGGAATAATCTAGAAAATGTGAAGAAAAATTTATTACTTTGGGGACATTATGGTTTATATTTGATAAATTCGAGGAGCATTAGGATAGAAATGATTATTTGTCATCATAAAAAGGGTTGTCGTACAAGATGCAATTCTTGAACTCCCCCTCCCAATCGGGTCCCAAAGATTCTTGGTACATTGGATTTAGTAATTCAAAGTTTTACAACCGCAAGAAGATCGCGCAACAGTAATATCAAGCCTATTCCAACAGGGGGGGGTGGGAAAAGGGGGGGGGGCATTTTAAGAGCTTTTATGGAAACAAAAGACCTTAAGTTAGCATTTCATTGACCGAATTTGCTATGAAGCAAAACCCGAACAGCATTTGAAGCTTAAAAATGAGAACTGATTGCTATGTAGGAGAGAATACAAAGATAAGAACCTCCGATGGCCTTAATTGATACATTTGAATATAAACGATGGTATGGAACCAACATCCGTCTTTTATTGTTTCTTCGATGATTTTTGTAGATGGAGGGAGATTACTGACTTGAGCAAACTGCACGGCGATTCGGTATGACAATATCGCCGCAAAACTTGACCTGTGATAGAAGAATATTTGCTAAATGTTGCCATTCGTAACAGTCAATTGGCAATTGCTGAGGGTAATATAAAATTAATTGCCACACTTGCTATGATTTCTGCGGCTTCGAAATAACTAACTAACATTTTCACTAATAAAGATAATAAATTTTCACTAATAATAAAGATAACAGAAACTGAAGTTTAAGTTCAGTATTGCAACCTCAAAACAACAGAACAAGATAAATAAACCAGAAAAACAGTCACACAGGGCATTCTTGCTAAACATAGTAAAAACCAGACCTCAAAATGCTTAAATAGATAGCAACAGCAACCTAGAAAAGACCAAAGTAAATTATGCTATCAACAATAATGAAGTTGTATACAAGTTTATTGTTTGCCTGACGATGTGTAAAATGCCCAAGTGATTTATTAGCCATCTATATAACTTACAATTCAATATTTTTCGTGCGCAAACCCGCCTCTACGCATTCTTCAAGCATTCCAAGAAAAACAGCCCTGTCCTTTTCTTTGCCTTTCAGTGATGCAACTGTAAACGAAACAAGGTATTACAAGGGACTTCGAAGGTTTATCGTATTAAATTGATAATATATAACCTTACAAAGTCGAAAGGAAATGAGAATTTCTAGCATGGTTGCATATTATTCTGATAAGGAATATGTTTAGACTGTGTTGAAATTTCGGAAAATGGCTTGAGATAGACTAAATTATTTACTTCCAAAAGATCATTGCAGAAAGGCTTATACAAAAAACCAGCTAAAAGCCTTAGTTACGGTTCTTTCAGAATAAAAGCTAAATGGGACGCATGAGCATTACAGCACATGAATTAAAAGCAGGAAAATTACCAAATTACATCTCTAATTGACAAAGCTTCCAGCATGTCCATCCATGGGCCTAAACTGGATGGTCTTAGGGCATTTGTTTATATCTTTAGGAGAGAGCAATTCAAACAGAAAAAAAACGTGGGTTTGAAAGAGACGTGACTTGGTTCAAATATCCGGTTAACCAGATTAAAACTTGCACATTTTGCTTCATTAAGAATTCTACAGATTTTAAAGGTATGTAACGATATGTTAATTGTTACCAATAAATTTCTTTAGCTTTTCATCGGACGAATACAACTCATTATCTCTCTTCTCCCAATGCTCAAGGACAAAATTTGCACTTTCTACGTCGACTTTCAATGCCAAAGTATCCATTCCAAGTAAATATAAAAAACATATGCACGCCGAGGCAACCGGGTTGTTTGCAAAGTCAGTTGTAGCAATTTCACATGCCTCGTAGCATGCCTCGGATAACCTGATAAGAGGAAAACTAAGGTAGAATGGGGACAAAGCATTTATGAACAACCCCAAAAAGGCCTATCAACTTTTCATCTTCTACAAGTGGCTAAAAAGAGGGGGCTTTACAGAGAAGGGGCTAAACTTCGAAACTCAATTGAGAGGTAGACAAGATATTTTCAACTCTTAAGCACGTGATATTAGAATTTGGAGATATTAAAAAAGAATGTGATTATATTGGATAAATATTTGAACTTTATTTCTAGTACACGAAATTGAGGGAAGGGGGTTATAAAGAGAGAAGGGCTCATTGCAAAAATTGATGGTTTGAGGACTGCCTATTGGGGAGGCTGGGCTATTCATGAATACATAACTCTACTAACAAAGTTAAGAAAGTGGATGCCCCGACAAGAAAAAGCATCACAGCTGAATAGAAACATGAAAACAACATCAATGCTTCAAAATTCTTCTTTAAGATTTAAAAATTCCTTGAGATAGTTTTCTCTTTTTTTATCACTACAGTCTCAGATACAGAATTAGAAATAGTTACTGTCGGGTCGGTTATTTTCCCGCCCTCTCTATCAAATAGTTACTTTAGTTTACCTCGAAACGATGATGCTGATTTACGGGTACATGGAACATAAAATATTTCAAGATTGAAAATCCACTTCTGAGAAGATTAATGCTTTAAAAATGGTCAAATGAAGAAATGATACATGTTGCCACGAAAACGATTTCTTTTACTTAAAAAAAGGCTTTTTCGATCAAATTTGAATGGGTTTGTGTCTACACAATTCTGCAAGGATGTGCTAACTTGTATTCATTAAGCTCGAATTGTCACGTGGATTTTCCAAAGTTACCAAAAGGCAAGTGCACAATCTTTACTTAGGGCTACTTTGGAGTCAGATATAGAGAAAAATTAATTTGATTTTTAACAAAAATTTTCATCTAAAATTAAAGAAGATTAAAGAAAATTTACCAACCTTTGCTCTCTTTCTTCTGGTCCATTCGGCAAGCTCAAAATGAAAACAATATATGCATACACAGGTCTTCTTTGCTTTAAATAATAAATGTATGACATATCGACACGCACGCCGAATTGTTCCACTAAATCTTTCGAAGAGAAGTTGGGAACACACTGTGCAGGAATTTCTACGATGCAGAAAAGACACAGCAAACTTGACAACAATTCTGAGTCACTTCATCCAACTTCAAATCATCGAAATAAGCTACAAATTTAACTCGAACAAATGACAAGTAAGTACAGTTTCTGCTTAATGTAAAAGCAGCCTGAATTTTGGAAGATAGCAGTTAAGCAAGATAGCAGTTAGATAGAATTTTAAGCTCTTACCTTCGGAAGAGCCATCTTGCAGGCGCCAGTTGAAAAGCTTTTTCGCATCAATGTCTGTATTATCCTGATAGCAGGAAACAAATAGATTATTACCAAAATGTTTTGTATATTTAGCCCAAATATAAAGTGAAGATAAAAACAGCGACTAGACCATTGCTTCAAAATAACGACTAAACCCCTGCTTGTTTCGAAAAATGCTTCGTTTTATATGGGTCAACATTCCTGCCACAGAAGGCACCAAGGTAAAATGGTTACGAGCGTGTCTGACAGATGAGTTGTGGCTCCAATGTCCCCATTTTCAGATAGTTGACTGGCCAAATCGGCAGTCATTATATGAAACAGGGACAATATAAGACCCCCTCACCATCCCCAGGCAAGAATGCCAGAAACGCCACATCAATGAATATTGATAATAAAAAGAGATTTTCGGGTATCACTAGCGATGAAAATAAAACACATTTTGAAACTTTTGGTCAGTCAGCGATTGTGTAAGTATTATGAAAGGTGCTCGTTGTTCACTTTCAACAAATCGGCTGTCAAAATATCCTTCATCTACACTGTATCATGCATTTCAATACCGTTTGATAAACAGATTCGCAAAACTCCTTGAATGTAAATATGATTGGCAAGGCTGAAAATTGCAAATTTGCCTTTACCTGTAGTAGCTGAACGGCAGAAACAGTTCTTTCTCCACTTGAATCTTCTTCGTCAAAAATGGCGGCGTACAGTGTAGGATACTGCTTCAAGGAATTCATCAAAGTTTGCCCATCAAAACCCAAGTTGCTTGACATATCGTTGTTGAAAACCTGAAATAAAGCAATCTGTGTTAATGAATCATTAGAAATTGTGAAGTCTTCAAAAATTTTGTTCCAAAACGGGTGGATTATCACGGATAGAACGTATAAGAAAGAGTTCTACGGTTTACTCTTAAACTAATCGAAAATTTACCTAATATTATAATGAAAAATCGAAAATATTTCTAACAATATCATAAATTCATAGTTATTTTACCCGACATTAAAATAAATGTTCGTGTCTGAACTGATGTGTCTAACAGCTCGGTTTACAAATTGACAAGACAATGCGACATTTACCCTGTTCAGTTCCAATGAAGACGTTAAAATAGTAGCTAGAACAGTCAATGGCTTGGTTTGGCAGAGCTGATGTTTCAGGTCGTTACCAGATAAATTCAGAATGTTCTCAGCTGTTGTCAAATTCATTTCTAGTATATGCTTTTTATCTGAAAATAAAAAAGGGAAATTAAAAATGAAGTTACATTCAACGAGCGTAACATTCTCTGGTACTATTATCATTACTAAGAGAGGTCTAATTGGCAGATAAACTACACAAAAGGAAAGCCGAAGCCTTTTACTTCCCATTAAAACATTTTGTGTTGGATTTTTGCAAAATGACGTTTTATATGGCAAGGTCTTTAAACTCCGACGTCCTATGAATCATCTTTTCTATGAGGGGATGGCGATTTCATTGGCACTTTTGGCATAAACATTGCTTGTAGGTAAATAAATGAAAATGAATCAAGCATACACAGTCGAGCCATACAAACCCACAACACGACATATGCAAGTATCAATTTTTAACCATGATGCCTAACATAGATTTAACGAATTGAAGTTTTATGTTTACATACTTCAGTAAGAATCTGAATCAGCTTCAAATTCAAGGTACAATTGATAAAAATTATATAAATAACATAGCAGCCTTTAAAGAACTGTACACAATTTTTGACAAACGGAGCAGCTTACCTTTAGAATAGTTCCTGAACCCAATCATCATTTTAAACCATGGGTAGCTATTTACATCCAGGCCACATTCCTCCAGATTCCATTAGTCGGGTATAATCTAAAAGAACAAAGAATGCTTTTAATAATTCTAAACATAGCTGAATAGTCCACAGTAAAACAGGATCCACCCATTTAAAAAATTCGTTGATACGTTGCATTGCAGAATAGTGCAGAGAGCACAATATGATATCGACACGAACGAATCCAATAGTCTCTTCCCTTCATGTGTATGGATTATAGAATGGCCATTCTTGCGTACTTCTAAGCAAGCTCCATCTTTTAGCTGAACCAGCTTAATTGCTTAACACTAACAATAAAATTTCATAGAAATACTATCGAAGGCCTAGCAATGTAAGTTGCTTTTAGATTTATAAATATGAGGCAAGTAAGAAAGGCATCAAGAAAAACGATCTTTATAAGCCTTAAGCTTTCTCTTTGACTGCTACGATAAAATCTTTAGCGTTTGTTTATGCAAAGTATCTTTAGCCCTGCTTAATAAAATTTTCAATAGAGTTGGAGGAAATTTAATTGAGACGTACCCGTGAAAATCCATGTAAATAAACAATAATTCCCTGAAATTATTTTTCACGCAGTAAACAATAAACTGCACAGCAAAGATTGGCGATATGGTGTAAGTTTCATCTGATTTTTTCAACAGAAGATTGTCCTCAGTCATCAACTTCAGAGTTTTGTTGAAATTTCTTTCCATATATTTTGTGTAAAAACCGTGTCTGCAGAGAAAAATTTATCATTTGTAGTAGGGATTTAACTGATAAAATGCGCTTGCGAGCGAGCGGTGCTCTCGCTAACAGGCAAAAGGCCTAACAAGATCGAATTGGGTAGGATTTATATAGAATAAGAGAAAACAAAGCTGCATAACAAAAGTCTTAAAAGATGCATGAACAAAAAATACATTGATTATGATACATAACATACAAGTTTATCTTCTCAGTCTAGGGCTGAGATTGTACGGCGCAAATAAAACTTCTTCAGATAACACGGTGGCAGATATAAAAACATAACTACTGTCACATCTACTGGTCTGCCTTTTGCAACAAAGTTTCACAAGGTAAAAAACAATAAATAAAAAGACACATGCTAAATTTGTTTGTAATTACCTTAAAAGTTCACGATAGATGCCATTTTGTAGTTTTTCCGTCGCATTATCACATTTCTCAATAAAATTTGGATCAAAGGGTGGGTACTTCTCTTTCAATCGTTTATCCCCCCGTGCAGAAGTTCGAATCCAGTCCAATATCGTGTCTTCGTCATTGTGTTCTATCAGATATTCCCAAAGAACTTCACTGGGTGCAAGTTCCTTGAGATTTTCTGTGAAGATAAATTAGACAATAAGCCTTCTACGTTGCACATAAAAAACTGGAATAGTCCATCTTTTACTTAGGCGTTAAACATGAAATACTATACACACACTAGTTCCTGCTTAAAATGGTTCTACTAACGCCATGGAACAAATGACATGTTTATCGGTGCCAGGTCATCAGAAAAGTGCATAATTGCTTGTGCTTGAAAGCTGCATGTGCAAAAAGCAATTTAACATTGATCAAGATATTTGGACCATTGAAATGTTCCTATTCTTATTTTCGCAGATTGATTATATTTTTGCTACATGAGACTTGTGGTTTTGTAAAATAATCAAAGTGCGAAAATTTGTTTACCATTTTTCGTACTCAAGCAAGCAACAATAATACAATAGGTCGCTGAGGTGTTAGAATATGCTAAAATAAAAGTTTTTCAGTTATCTTACAAATTTATCATAGATTTATTGATAACTTCATAGGTTATTGACATGTACATAAAATATATCTTCATAGGTTATTGAATATAGACTATTTTTGAATAATAACAATCTCACTCCACTGTTTCTACTATCTAGCTTTGTTGTTAAAAGTTCACCATCATCACCCTAGCCAATAGTCTTACTTTCTAAGGCTTACTTCTTTCATTCCTATCTCATCATAACAGTAGTACCTATTGCAACCGATTAATTTCATATTTTCAATATAAGTGCAATATTTACTATTGCTCGAAACTCAGCAAGCAGGTTTAAATACACTATACATCTCTCACCAAGATTATTGGATTGAAATGCTGCATCAAGTAGAACCATTTTCTTGGATTTTTCATCCCATTTCTTGACCCAGCTGAACGTTAACTCCGAGTAGAGACCAGTCGATATAGCGTCCTAAAAACAGATTGCTACCAATAATGCAATACTAATAAATCCTCCTTCTACTCTAATTCACCCACTTCTGCCTTGGAAAAAAATCTTATCTGTATCTTTGTTTAAGTCGACTTATAAATGCTCCTCGCGACTTTTACAGGATTTTAGAAGAAACAATTGGCTAAAAGAAAAGCACACTACCTTAGGCCACTTGCTGATTCTAAAAATCTTACAATGAAATGCCTGAATGCAAATCAAATAAGAATAATTAAATAACACAACAAACAGTTTTATAAAGCAAAAATATTTATTAAAATTGATGTTAAACTTGGTTACCACGAACAATTTTGTCTCTACAAATAACGGAAATCGAAACAATATAAAAATCTAAATATTATCACTGTGCAAAGCTGAAGCAATCAATCTTATTTTTCACCTGTTCGCTGCGACTCGTCAGACTGGATAATTTTTGGCAAGCTGCATCTGTTGCTTCGATGTCATCTCTGTCTTGGAAGCTTGTTTTCAAAGTTTCCCAAGAATCCCTAGAGGAGCAAACCCATCATTGATCTCTTTGCATATTTGAAAAAACAAATGCTTATGTAAGAACTATCCACATTCTAAATTGATAAAATACATTAATACTTAATGCTTAAAATGGTTGAAAATGCAAAGATTATCTTTTAATAATTTCATCATGCTGCATTGGCAGTCTTCACATTTCTTTAACATCAATCAATAATTTACCTGAATATAAAAAAAATTGAAATAAGAAAACTAAAGACTCACATAATACAACTTTGACTGTGCACATTTCTAGGATACCATTTCTCAACTTTGTCAAGATATTTGACATCTTTCCAGTCATCTTCAGACAACATTTGTTTGTAAGGCTCTTGACTAAAATGACCCAGCTGTGCGGAATAAAAAGTTGTATTTTGCTGTTTGTCTGATATTAAATCAATGTTGCTACACGGATCAAATGTACAACCCTGCTATTTTACCAAAAATCATAAATTAAATTTATATCATTTCCTTTCTTATGCATAAACAGTTTTCTATTAATTCACATTTAGATTCAACTGCTTGTCTCCCTTTCCTAAAAATCTCTTCTTTCCCTTTTCATCCTTCTTTGAAACATTTCACTTTGATTCGATTTCAATGAAGTAACAACACATTTTTAGGAAATTTCAAGGCAGAAAATCTATCCTTGAGTTGTGCGGCCAGGACAGTTGCGGGGTAAGCAGTGTCTCAAAATTTTTGTATTTGCTCTAGTCCTTCTTTTATAGCCAAATAGAACCACGAGAGGGAAGAAAAATTGTTTGCCAATTTGTGACTGGGTATGGTTTCAAGAGGAGGAGGAGTTTGAAAAATCTGAGATACCCTATGGTAACTTAGGATCTGTGCTCTCTGCTGATATAAGTCAGATTTTGTTACCTCTCAAACCCAAGGGTTAAAAAACGCTTTTGTAGATGGTACATTCATTTAAACAATAAATATGCCTGGAAAGTTTCACTTTACAATATTTTCCAATTATTTTGAGATGGTTGGAATAATCAAATTCTTGTGCATCGAATGATGTATATTTTAATCCGATTCCGTTAATAGTTTGGTTTTAGGGAGAGAAAACCAAGTATCGTGTCAAAAACGTTTTTTACCGTAAACTTAAGCCAGTATATTTCCAACATACCAAGAAATTTCGGAGCCCTCGGTCGAGTGTTACTTCAAATAATCGATGCAGGATTGCTTTGTGATCAAGTCCCTAAAAACAAAATTACAATATTCGAAAATAAGAAATCAAGAAAAAGCATTTCTCTGTAAAAAGCTAGCTGCCTGTAAATTTGTTTGCTTAGTTTAATTAGGTATGTTGGTCATGCTGAAGTGAGAGGCTCTGCTATTTGGTGGCTCTGTCTTGTGAATAGAGCTGCGAATGCTGAAAACGAGACGAATTAGGGATTTTCAACTTGTGTCTTTTGAGTCTCAGGCCTAAAGAATTTTTTACAAAACAAGCTAATACTCTGCAAGGCTGTAGCAGCTGGAGGGACATGCCCCACCCCCCAATAGGCTACACAGGAAAATTAAAAGCAACAGCAAATTTAGCCAGGCAAACCTTTTTCAATTGGCCCACCCCAAATTATCTTAGCAGCGCTATGACTCTGCTTTATAGTGTAGAAGTCTGTTATTTAGAGCTGTCATTGTTCACGTACAAGATACGAGATGTTTCACTCACGAGGTAAGAAAAATTAACAACTTATTCAAGTTACCAGATTCTTAAGTATCAGCACAGCGTCTTCTAGATTACGCTCGGTCAGTTTTCGAAGCGCGAAGTTAAGACCAAACTCAGTAATTGACTCAAAGGAAAAGGCAAACTCTCTGTCAACCTGCAGAAGAAAAACAGGAACATATAAATCAGCGTCAAAATAAAGGAGTTTTGCAATATTATAATACTTGCAAAGCCATATTTCCATAGTTTTCAAAAAAGCTCTAGCTTTCAAGAGATAACAAATGCATTTAAATTTTAACAAGGAAGCATTATTAGTAAATCATATGAAATGTGAATTTCAAGTCTGAAGGGAAATTTTAAGTAAGTATTACAATTTTGGCCAAGAGATCCGATCTAGCCTTCGTTCTTTTCCTTTATTTTGATTGTAATTTGATTATGTATATTAATCCATATTCAGTCAACACGAACATGGTGGTGCATAATAGTTATCATATCATTATATAATCTTAAACGTACGTACAAATCAACATCCCTTGGAAGCCCCAAAAAAAGACTTACGTGGCTCCAGACTGAAGTTTCTGGAGCTGTTGTTTTGATTTAATTCTCACTTAAAGGAAGGTTAATCCTATGTTTCCCTAACAATAGGTAAAGCAATAACTTGATGTGGCCACATCGAAAAGAAGCGTCAAGGGATGTTTGTGTAAGCATAGTCTAACAGTGTTATTAGATGTTAAGTTGTTTATGAAAGTCGACTTAACAAATTCAAAATAGAGATTAAAACAAGCAAATGTTGAGCATGCTACAAATTATATGAGTGATGAACATGTCAAAGTCACCTTTGGTTGGTGTTTCAGCAAATACCTCTGCAAATGAGTGATGCGACCAGCAGAAATCTCTGTCTCCATATGATCTTTTAGCTGTAAGGGGTAACATCATCAAAACAATCGTAGAAAAAATATCTCAGGTTTCGTGACCAGGGCTGAATATCTTGTACCAAAGAAGGTCGCATATTGGTACAAACAACCTGGCTTATAAACTGGTCCTCAGAAAAACTAAGACCATTGAATCACCTCAAGGTTTAACCTGTACATAATATAAAGAACACAGAAATGATTAAAACGAAAGATTCTATTCCGTTGTGTAATTGACACGAAGGACCGTTGAAAACGTCGACATAATCCTTGTGCCTAAGAATACTGGAAGTGTTCTATGAAGGTGGAAAAGTTCTAGAAAACACACCCAGAATGTTGGAAGATTCCATCAAGAAGATGCAAAATA